AGGTGGAGTATTTGATTTCCTGCACACCGGGTCCGCCCTTCTTCTCGGAAGAGCTGTAGACTGTCGAGGTATAAGTCGAGAGCCCTTGAGCCGAGGGAGTAGGAGAATGGATGGTCAGGCGATAATCAGTCCTTCCGACAAACAAGGTGTCTCGGACCGGAAGCGCGTTCGCCCGCTCCAAATCATCCAGCTCGTCGTTTTCGCAGACGGCAGCGCTGTGATGAGACAGGTTCAGGGCCGCAGATGGAAAGCAGTCAACTTGCTCGCCCGTGAGCAGGTTGATGCTCATGAGGGAAGTCTGCTTGGAGCCGGTGAAAATCTGGGTGGGGGCGTCGGGGAATGCAAAAGGGGAAAGTGCAATTCTGCTCATCATCAGCCCTGCACACAGCCCTGGTTTATTCACATGACACAACTCACAGTTGCTCCACTCCCAAAGGTAATTGTCGCATTTTGACCTCTCCTTCAATCTCCTCATGCACGTACAAGCTTCCGCTGAGCGGCTCCACAATGTACTTTTCGTCATCTCTGCCCCTCATTTTGCCCCCCACCAGGGGATCACCTTCGTCCAAGACCCATTTTTCAGTCCCCGTCTGGCGGTCTATCGCATGCAAGGCACCGTCGACAGTAGAGACGAGCACAAGGGGGTGGACATCGTGGTTGATGACGACTTGCGGCGCCTGAGTCGGAGAGGGCTGTGCTGGGCGGCGGGTGTATTGGGGGAATGGGATGAGAGCGGCTGGTTCCGAGGAGGCGACTACGCTGAGGAGAAGGGCGAGGAAGGCGAGGAGGGAGAAGAGGAGGGGTGTGGGCAGCATATTAGATGTAGGGCATGCGCGCGTTGGGCGGGGATGAGTCCTCCTCTCGCTGTAATGGGGTGTACTTTTTGTGTCAGTCAGGGAAATTTCAGATCTCAAGAAAGGAACAGGGCAAGCACAGAACAGGAAAGACATGCGGAGAACGGGGAACTCCGCCCGCAACAGTGGTATGTTACGTAAATTGTCCTTCGTCCCCCCGGAGGTCGCCCGAAACCCAGAATTCACAGATGAGGTATTCTATAGCCCAGTATCAGTTGCTAGCCACCAGCCGGGGGACATGGCATAGACGGGGTGGAGGGGGGAGGGGGGAGAGAAGGGGGCCTGGCAGCCTGCATGCATTGTCAATGCAACGAGACGAGGTATATGGGAGTATGCGTCTTTATACCCATCTGGGTGGCGAATGTGGGGTAACGGTACCTAGATCGACTTACGCGTCGTGGCCGGAAGCCCGCCGATAACCCAAAGTCATCGACCAGGCGGCTAACCAAAAGGGATTCTAGGCTATTCATGGAAGTAACTCATTTTCCCTTTCCATCTCCATCTACCATGCCCATCTACTCCCACGACGACCTCTCCACCTACCCCCCGCTCAACGGCGTCGTCCTCATAGACACCTCAGAGCCAGAGCCCCCGCCCGCACAGAATCCCGCAGATGTGGCCAACGTGCTCAGGCGAAACCAGGCCTGTCGACAGTGTCGGAGGAGAAAACTCGTACGTGACTATACCACCTGAGACGTATGGAGCTGTACTGACACGAGCACAGAAATGCGATGCTGTGAGGACAATTTGCTTCCGAGCAACAGGTAAAGACATGGCTGACAGGACTCTCAGGCTCGGCCGCATTGTGCGACGTGTATAAGATCGTATCGCCACCTCCTCAAGACCTCTCCAAGAAGCAATCCTATACTGTGCTGCGACTATGATGACGGTGCTCCTGCTCAGTCGACCGAGCATGACACAAATAAAAGCCTGAATCAGAGCACAGGCCAGGCTGCCCCCACGACATCCTTTGACAACAATGCAGACGACGAGGGGACGCAGGGCAATGGTGGCTCCAAGAAGAAGAGGAAGGCGTCTGGGGAAGGAAAGAGGAAGAAAAAGGAAGACGAATTTCAGGAAGAAAAGGACAGGTTGAACAAGAAGATTCGTGAGTGGCATCTTGGGAAATGGTATTTGGTGCTCATTTTTTTTTTCCTCGACAGAGGAGCTGCAGTCTCAGTTGTCCAAAAAGTCGAATGGCACACAGCAGCCCCCAACCCCGCCGGCCTCGAGGGGATGGTCGGGCAGCTCCTCGCTGTTTGCAAACCAGGACCAATCTGCACCTTCACCCAACACTTTTCTGGACATGTTTACCACAGGCCCCGCTGCCCAGCATGCTGCAGATTCTCAAACAACCTCGAATACCATGTGGAGCAACTCTGCCTCTTTAGATTCTGGCAATCTCGCCCAGACTGCTGCTGGACTCGCCAACATCGGCCAATCCCTGGTTTTTCCCTTAGGCCCTTCCCCGCCCAACCAAACGGGATCTCATGGGTCAAGTGGTCGGGACGATACACCTAATTTGACCGAGTCCTCTTCTGGCCAGAACACTCTTTCCCCCGGTGACTTGTTCAATTTCCCTTCGCCTGATACCACGTCGGCAGCCCGGACCCATGCTCCTGGGGAACTGCCGTATCCATTTTCGAACCCTGTGGCCTTCGACTCGGATGTCAAGGATTCGTGGCAGGGCTTACCGTCTGGTCCGGGCGACTCGGCTTCTTTTACAGCAAGCTCCAATACCAACAACGGCCACACGGCCGCGGCAGATGTGTCGATGGGCGGCGAAATCAACTTGGATGGGCTGCAAGCTAGCTTAGATGCGGCCATGCAACAGCAGATCTTGATGGATATGTTTTGGCCCGGATGGCCCGCCAAGTTGCCGGAACCAAACATTGTCAACGAACTGTGAGTAAATGTCAGGTTGATTGCCTGTAGCTGATAGTTGTCAGGGTGGATGCCTTTGATAATGTGCCCAACCTTCCCCGTATGTTGCACCGAGCACGATTCCTCTCCCGCCTCGCTCTCCCGCCCACCCACGCCAACTTTCCACACCCTTCCCTCGTACACGCCATCTGCGCCAGTGCTGCAGCCTGGTGTGATCCTAGCGTTTATGAAAAGTCCACCCGGGACAAGCAGTGGGCCAACTATGGGATGGATGGGTCAGGATTGTGGGGTCCGGAAGGCAAGCCGACGAAAAAGGCTTCGTCGTTTGGGGCAAGGCAGACTCTGTTTGCAAAGGAGGCGGTGCAAGAAGGGCTGAATACGGGCAACAGATTGTTCGATGTCGTTAGAGCAATGGTGAGTCGGCGTGCTCCTCGGACTCGTGCTGACGTTTTCTAGATCATTCTTTGTCGAGTATTCATCGACGATACAAGAATGCTGGAATGCTGGGCCTACGGTGGTCTTGTCGCGCGCATGATTCTGCCCCTGGGCCTCAACGTCCGCAGTGCCGAATTGTCTCTCAAGTCGGTCATGCTCCCCCCAGCACAAGACGCTCTCGAGCGCGAAGAGCGCCGTGCAGCAATGTGGATGGCATTCTACCACGACACCATCGCCTCCGCCGCGAGTGGATGGGGTACGAGTATATCCCTTGAAGAGCTCACAGTCCCCTTGCCCGTTTCGAAAAAGGACTTTGACGCGGGCAACGAGTACATGGAGCCCAACCCGCAGGATATTGAGTCGCCAGATCTGTTCTTGAGACATCCCGTGCCGGACTCTTTTGTGATGGTGACAAAAGCTTCAATTCTGATGAACCGTACCAATCGTTTCGTGCGCAGGTGGAAGAACAGGAATCTGAAGCCCAATGATGATCTGGAGGGAATGGAGAGGCCAGAGTTTAAAGAGCTGGCAAACTCCATCGCGTGTTTCCAGTGAGTTGTAACGCCGCTTGCTTTGTTCATATGCTGATGGGCGCAGAATGTCTTTCCCGCCGTCTCTCCGCAACTATAGCAAGCTTGGTCCCAAGAAGCAGCTTGATATCGACCTGATTGCCGCGCACATGTTACCCTTTGCCGCCACCATATGTCTTTACGAGCCATTCGCAGACCTTGACGACCCCTCAGACCAACCCACGAGACGGCTGGTGGCAGCCACCCAGGGTATCGTCGGGATCGTGCAACAGCTGGCGAGCGCAGCTGGAGGAGAAGGCGACAAGTTTGCGAGCATCATGCACTCGAGTGCTAGCGTGTATGTCTTGATTACTGCTTTGAGAGTTTGGCTGACGATGATACAGATGTTTTGTGACGACTGCGCGAACATCGCTCCTCCTCATGCGCCATGCCATGAACAACAATGACGCCGTCTCTGCCGAATCGCATAAGATGGACTGCGAAATGGTTCGACTTGCCCTGGCCCACTTTGGCACGAGGTTCAAGATAGGACAGCACCACGCGCAGTTGATTGAGTACTTTTTGGACAGGGCTTGCAACCCCACATTCGAGAAGCTGTCGGCGCATTACCCTGATCATCCTCGTCCTGGAGCGTGAGTCTATTACTTTGGCACCGATTCATTGGCTAATGTGGCTCAGGCCTGAGCTGACAAGAGAGTCGGATTTCGGATGGTGCATCTCGAACGCGCTCAACGTGAAACGAGGTTTCTGGCGCGCCGTCAACCTTTCCACATCCACATCTCCACCCGACTCCAACTCCTCATCCGACCCACACAGCTTTGCCAGTCACTCCTATCCAAACTTTTCTCAGACCCAGACGTACATCGCCGTAGAGCAGATGGAGAAGGAGATGCTTGTACAGCAAGGACAGCATCAGGTGCGGACGGTCTCGGGCGACTCTCAAGGGGCGACTTTGAAAGACATTTCGATGGAGTCTTCGCCGGGAGAGTCTTCGACGTCTGGGTCAGGAGGACAGGGTGGGGACGAAAAGCAAGAGCACGTCCTACACAAAGGTCTCGGCCACAACTCTTCAGTTGGCGACTTTGGCCCCATGACAGCGAACGGTGTCCCCCTGCCTGACATTCTCCTCCGGCGCCGATCGGAGGAGGAGGGGCTGGGAGATAAGGTCGCTTCGGTGAATAGGGCGTTTGGTGGCGGTTTCTGGATTGGACCCAAGACCTCTTCATGAAGATAGTGTGATCATAATTCTATTAATAGTAGTCCCATTTGTAATCGTACGGTTTCTCTTATGCACCCTTCGTTCAATACCAGCGATGCAAGATGATGCATGTGCCAAGTCGAGCGAGAGGGCTATGATACAATCAAGGGCGACAACCAAAAAGTGGCGTCTAATTTCACAACCAACGCTCAAGTAGAGTCTATAGACAACAATGACAAGGGATAAGAGTAGATAATACTGGGCTACAAAGTACGACCAAGCGTACCGAAATGAGAAAGAGGAAATGTACAACGTGATGATTCAACGCTAGCCTAGATGAGCCCAAGCAAGCGGGGGTCCCTTGAAGGATCGAAATGCCTCCTGCCCGAATCGCTCGCCCTTCTGCCACCCGTCGTCCCCGGCGGCCCCTGCCCCGCGACATTCGCCTGGACACCAAGCCCCTCAGTAGCAGCGGTCTCAAACCCCTGTTTGTTACGGGGCAGGTGCGGCGTCGATTTGGGCCTGGTAATGCCTGCCCCGACATTAGGGCCCGGCGTGGGCGGCGCTGTCGCGGCCAGTGCTTGTGCTTGGGGCTGTGCGGCAGGAAGATCGGGATGAGCCGCCGTAGGAGGGAGGTGGGGCACGTCCCGCCCCGAGGGGAGTGCGCGATCGAGCATACTCAGACTCCGCTTTTTCGCGTGGCCGCGCGCGTCCTCGTGGTCGTCAACGACAGCGCTCGAGTTGGAGGCAGGGGTCATGCCGAATCCGAGGCCATGGTTGAACGATTCACGTCGCGAGTGGGTCGTCGATGTGGAGGCGGGGGTGCTCGGGACGGAGTTGGAGGGGGAGAGGGAGGAGAAGGGGAGGATGCCGAGGGATGAGAGGAAGGAGGGGCGGCGAGAGGGCGGAGGGGTGGGCAGGGCTGGGCAGGTGAGCGATGCCGAGCGCGATGGTCTGCTACTCACTGTCCCCGAAACTGGTTCGCCTCTCCTCTGGTGTCTCTCTGTCTGCGCGATCGATGGTGTGTGTGCCGGCGTCAAAGTGTGCGAGGATGTGATGCAGGCGGTGGTCGGCGGGGGGCGTACCGGTGGGGGTGATGGGGCGGGGGGGATGGGACGGGACGGGGTTGGCCATGGCGAATAGTAGAGATCGGGAAGAGGAGACAAAAACAATTAACTAACTGTTGTCGTCGGTGCTCCGCGTGAATTACAAACTCGGATTAATCGGCCATATCCTCCACTCTAATCCCTGACGTCATCCTCTCCACCTATATAACCACAAACCTACTCCATCTCATTCGCCCACTACTCTTCTCTTCCACCCACAACCCACAGCACAGCCCACAATGTCTGCCCTCCGGCTCCGATCCCTCCCCGCCCTCAGAGCCCACCGCCCATCGCCCGTGGCCAGGTCCGTGGCGCTCAGGTCGATGGCTACCAGACACGGCAACGACCCGGAAGTGCGTCTCGCTGTTTGTACGCCGGTATATGGAGTGCTGACAGGGAGCAACAGGTTCTGCAGAAAGAAAAGGCCCGGAACCTGAGGGGTGAGCAAGACTCTTCAGCGCCGCACAAGGAGCATGCGCCTGGATGGAACGAGCACCTTGCTGTAAGTCTTGCTCGTCTCAGCTATCGCAGTTCACCAGCTCATGTTCTCGTGTAGTCTGATGCCGAGGCCAATGTAAAGGTGAGTTATCGGTCTGTTGAGGTACGAGGCAGAAGCTGACGTTGATGCAGGCGGACCAAGCTGGACCTTCAGGCAAGCCCGGCAAAGAGCTCCAAGATGCCACCGTCGGTCGTGAGTCACAATTCAACAAGTTAGCATCTCCTGAGACTGACATTCCCTGCCAGACATTGACAAGCACCATCACAAGGCGGACGGCAAGGCCGGGCACCGAACCCACGATGCCCCCGGGCCCAGTCCGACCGATAGCGAAGCACACGTACGTCTCGTCTTTACGAACGTTCACGCAGAACACTGACTTGATTCATTGCTACAGGTAAAGGCTGACCGAGGGGAAGCGTAAGCTTGGGAAACTCCAGGCCCATCCCTGGAGCGATTTGTATACTTATTGGTGCCACTTAGGTCATTTTATGGGAACACTCCTTGAAATGATGGTCCACCAACCAAATCGTATCAATAGTCCATGTAGCATCTGAACAGCAAACCACACAACATCTGAAAAGTCACTCTGAACATGGCGAAGAAGGAGCAAGGGAGAAACGAGACGCAGTCGATGGAAACTCACTTATGAAATCAAGTATCTGGCTCACAATCTGTATGTATATCGTAGTGCAATGTATGTGTCCTCGTGGGTGCACCATCTACCTGAGCTTGCCATCATCAATGCAGGAAAGCACGCGTCAATGTCGGAGGGCAACGTGACATGGAGGCAGGAGGAGTAAAACACGAGCACGACGCCCCGGCTATGGGGTTGCCGGTGGCGGACGAATCATCGCTGCTGCATTTCCACACGAGATATATCAACCCGCCATTCCATCTCCTCTTCATCCCCCCAGCATACTGCAGCCATGAGCGTACAGCCAGAACAGTTCAGCCAGCTCAAGGAGATCTCCGCCGAAGAGGTCGCCACCGTACGTACCATCCCATCTCATCCCCTCGCCGCCGCACGCAGAAAGAGGGTAATGCTGACACTGCCATTGGCTAGCACAACCAGCAGGGCGATATCTGGATCATCATCGATGCCGTCGTATACGACCTTTCCAAATTCGCTAATCTGCACCCCGGTGGACTGGGTGTGCTCTTGGATGGAGACGTTGGTAAGTCATATCGATCCGCGAGATGGAGATATGCCTCGGTGGCTTGTTGGGTTCCGGGTCCTGCTTTGACAGAAGGGCACGACTGACTCTTCGAGTAGCTGGTAAAGATGCGACCACCGTCTTCTTCAGTCTGTAAGTTCCCACATCACAAATCACAAGTCAGAGTGCTAAAGCGATACACCAAGCCATCGCCAAGAAGTCCTCCTCAAACCTCAATACCAACGCCTCATAATCGGCCGCGTCGCTGGCAGCACCCAGTCCGTCTCCCCGCCCGCCATAGGCGCCATCTCCACCGTACCCTATGGCGAGCCCACCTGGCTCACCCCGCAATTCAAGTCGCCATACTATAATGACAGTCACCGCAAGTTCCAAAAGGTCGTCAGAAAGTTTGTGGAGGAGGAGATCAAGGCGGATGCGCAGGCTTGTGAGGAGAGTGGGAAGAGGGCTAGTAAGGAGGTTTTGGCTGCCATGGCGTGAGTCTAGTTCCTGCGAAATGGACGTTAGCAGCTGAAGCGATCTGTAGAAGAGTCAACTTGAACGCCATGCGTCTCGGGCCGGGAAAGCACCTCCACGGACGGTCCCTCTTTGACGGCGCCTTCAAAGGCGAAGAATTCGACTATTTCCAGTAAGCCACTCGATCCCGCATCGACGGCTTTTAGCACTGACATGACCACAGCGAACTCATCATTACCCAAGAATTAGCCCGCATCGGCGCACGAGGCTACGCCGACGGCCTCAACGCCGGTATGGTCATCGGTCTGCCCCCCGTCCTCAACTTTGGCCAAGAGCCCCTCCGGTCCAAGGTCGTCGAGGAAGTGTTTAAAGGTGAAAAAGTCATCAGTCTGGCGATCTCAGAGGCTTTCGCGGGGAGTGATGTGGCGGGGTTGAGAACGACTGCTACCAAACAAGGGGATGGGTGGGTGATCAATGGGACGAAAAAGTGGATCTCGGGTGGTGTCCATTCCGATTACTTTGTGAGTCATATCTCTTTCAATTGGATTGTTGCTGAGTACGTTTGCAGACGGTCGGGTGTCGCACCGAAGGTGGTCTTACCGTCTTCCTCGTTCCCAGGACTGAGAATGTCACTACCAAGCAGATCAAGACTTCGTACTCTACCGCAGCCGGTACAGCGTACATTACGTTTGACAACGTCTACGTGCCCAACGAAAACATGCTCGGTCCGGAGAATGGAGGTCTACTCGTCATCTTGAGCAACTTTAACGTACGTAAAAAGTCAAAACATGGACTGGGCTGATCTTGCGGAAACAGCACGAGCGATGGGTCATGTGCTGTGGGAGCGCCCGAAGCTCCAGAATCATCGTGGAGGAATGTCTCAAGTGGGCTTCCCAGCGGCGAGTGTTTGGTAAGCCTCTCATTTCCCAGCCAGTCATCCGAGCCAAGTAAGTCTTGCCTCTCGTACCACCAGCCAGGGCTAATGTGACTAGGCTCGCGTCGATGATCGCCAAGGTCGAAGCTACCCAGGCGTGGTTGGAAGCCGTCACTTTCCAAATGTGCAACATGGTAAGCTCCCACACTCTGGACAAGTCTGCCGCTCACCTCGTATATCAAGAACTACAAACAACAATCCAAAAACCTCGCCGGTCAAATCGCCTTTCTCAAAATGCAATCCACCCGCTTTGCAGGTGAGATTGCCGACGACGCCGTCAACATCTTTGGCGGGCGCGGTCTCACCAAGACGGGCATGGGCAGGTTGGTCGAGCAGTTCCAGAGGACGCAAAAGTTTGATGCCATCCTGGGTGGGGCGGAGGAGGTGTTGGGTGATTTGGGAGTCAGGCAGGCTATGAGGCAGATGCCCAGGGATGTCAGGCTCTAGAGCACGGGAAAGGAATATGAAGTTCTGTATGATGGATAAAGGAAAGGGTCTGCCCTGCTCGGTTGTATTTCCTCTGACTGTGTATTGACGAATGGCATGTATCTTTCGGATGGAATGATGGGTTAGAATAACTTTCTCCCTTGTGTATTCCACCAGTTGCCTCTCGTCAACCTGGGGATGGGAAACTTTTACTAAAAAGAGGCAGACCAACTATGCAGTGCATACTGTAGGGCAGACTATCATTATAGATTGATCAAACAAGTCCCGACCGAAGTAAACATGGCCATCTTCAGTGCTGCTCAGAGCCTTGCGGACATCTAGAAGTGTTGCTTGAGACCCCCACCCTTGAACTTGTAGAAATGAGGTCTAAGACAGATCAGCACACACTTGGCAAGTATCACAGATCACGACTTACGCCAATTCTACCAGCCAATCTTCATCGATCACAGTCAGATCCCTCATAAAGCTCTTTGTCGTCTCCAGGACTTCATGGTAGATGACCCATCCAGTCGAGGGCTGCCTTGTGAACAGTACTGAGGATGGATGCACATGGAGGATGGCGTTAGAGCGAGCTGCGCGGAATGTGCCGTCCGGTGACATCCTTGCTGCGTTCTGCACCCCGTATGAGCGAATGGACGATCGCCATCATATAAGACTTGCCTTGAAATATCCCGAGACTAGACACTTTGTCAATCTCACCGCATCGCCTTCACAGCTTTGCACCTTGATCCCAAAGCGGTCCAGATACTTTTTGAGCTGTTTTCTGATGGACATGGCTCGAGACAGAGCTTTGTGGTTCAGGCGATGGTTGCCACACCATGATTTGTTATTTTGCCCATAGCGGGTGAACGCATTGTACGCTAGGTAATGGGTGAGTAGGATAAGCTAGCGAGATTGCAGATGACCTACCATTCAAGAGTGTCAGGTGGTCGCCTTCTTCCGCTGTAAACTTTCGACGTTCGAGCTCTGCCATTGTCGCCTTGGTGCCGCCCTCGGCCGTGATAAAGACATTCTGCGTCACAACGTCAGCATGTAATCACCCAGTCCGTTGTTGTACTTGCCTGGACCGAGGTCATAGCTGCAATACTCAATATTTCTTCGCCACACTGAAACTCTTGCGAATTCAATAGCTGCACATATCATGTTAGCAGATAGCCTCGACAAAGCTCTGTGGACTTACAATAGCAGCCATCATGGGGTCGAGCGGCACTTCCGCCATCCTCTCTCCGATAGGCCTCGCCAATCGTCCCTCATCGTCAATCGCCTTCAGACAAAACAAGAATTCTAACGCCCGGATCATCATCTCACTGGGTGGCGGGCTCATAAAGTCGAATTTTGCGAGATTGTCGATACCTAGGGCTTTGAGCTGTAGAAGGTAGAGGGATATATCGGAGCGGACCAGCTCGGGTGGCGTGGTGACTGGCATGGGGGAGGAGGGGTTGTTGGTTGGGAGTAAAGTGGATGGGTAGAGACGGAAACATTTGCCGGGGGAAGTACGGCCTGCTCGACCGGCCCGTTGATTGGCAGATGCAAGAGAACAGGGCGTTGTGGTGAGGACATCCATAAATGTTCTGGGATTGTAAGTCTTCAGCTGCAACAATTGATTAGTGGGAATATCAGAATTAAGTAAAGCGTAGGGCGTACCTTGACGAACCCAGAATCGACGACATATTTGATGCCATCTATAGTCACACTCGCTTCTGCAATATTGGTAGAAAAGATTACTTTTCGAGTATCTCTGGGTGGTGGGTCGAATATCAGAGATTGCTCCTCTGGCGGTAGAGTAGCGTAGAGGGGGAGAGCTAGTAATTTAGGTGCTGCTTTCGGGAGTGACTGTAATCTGTCCGCCACTTCCTGCAAGACTTGGTCTATCTCTTCTCTACCGGTCAAAAAGACAAGGATGTCTCCAGCAGGTTCCTGCAATATGTTAGGGGGAGTGATCATAGAAGTATGAGCTGCGTACCTTCATATGTATATCAAAGACCGTTTGGACGGCGGCCTCGGTATAGTCGGAGCAGGGCTCCTTCAGGTAGCACACCTCCACGGGGAACATTCGGCCTTCCAGACTGACGACTGTCATATCTATAAGCTGGATGCCGTCATATATATACAATGTCATACCTATAGCGTCGTCTTGTGACCGATCAGCGCCATCGGCGTTTGAATTGAAATACTCTAGAAAGTCCTCGCTGCAGAGAGAGTCAGCTGCAGACACTTTGTCCAAATTGTAGTACCGTACGCATCAATAGTAGCCGACGATATGATGACTCGTAGCTCTGATCGCTTCTTCATGACCCTGTCAAAGAGTCAGTTCTAGACAGTTACACTTGAGACGGGACTTACTTCTTGAGCAACCCCAGTAGCAAATCCGTGTACGCTCCTCTCTCGTGCGCCTCGTCTACCTAAAATACGCATCAGCCAAGTACACGTCAAGTAGTGTACCGCTTACCATTATGACGCTGTACTTGCTCAAAAGAGGGTCCATCATCGTCTCCCGGAACAGCATACCGTCCGTCATGTATTTGATCTTGGTTCTCGCCGGGTTCGTCAAGTCTTCAAAACGGATGGTATATCCCACCTAGCATGCATCAGCTAGCTGATCTGGCAATCATTCGAATACGCACCTCATCGCCAAGTACACTCCCGACCTCTTCTGCTACTCGAGTTGCTACACTAGTTGCGGCCACTCTCCGTGGTTGCGTACATGCGACAACGTGGTTTTGATTTGTCCATCCAGCTTCGTGGAGGTATTGTGGTATCTCTATAAGACCCAATGAGCTACAATCTCCAGCCTTCAAGACAATAGTACTCACGTGTAGACTTTCCACAGCCCGTCTGACCAACAACAATAACCACTCGATACTTTTCAACACACCATAACAGCTTCTCTTTGTGTTTAAAGATTGGAAGCCGTTTTCTTTGCGAGTCTATGCTTAGACCCGCATTCTGAGATACGTTTATCGGCAGTAAAGAGCCATCTCCTTCGGCTTCTCGATCTAGAGAGCTTCCTACAAGAGCGTCAGCATATAGCTTCAGACGTTGCAGACCACGCACCAGGAGCTGCCGTTCCTGGCTTCCAGAATTGTAGAGGGGGCATTTGTCACTATGGGCACTTTACAAGGGGTGAGATCGCTGCAGAGACCGCTGAATGTCAACAACAGAGCGTAAACAGACTTTCCGAGTGAGTGCGACGATGGAAATAGACGGAGATGTGCCGCATCTCCACTCGGCGGCGGTGTCCGACGCGTTTACACCAGCGCTTAAGCAGCACGCTTAATAGTGCCGCCAGGCACGATCAGAAGATAAGAAGAGCCAATGAGGGCGGCATGTGAATGAAAGTTTCTCGGGGCCACAAGTCCACTTACATCGGAAACCATCATCAGTCGCACTTTTGACATCAACGTCTCTTCCTGTCAGACGGACAAGACTGCCCACCATGCTCTCGGCTGTCACGAAACGTTGGACACGGGCGCGCGAACAGCCCCGATGGAGGTTGACCTTGCTGGGACGAGCAGTCGCCCTGATGTCCGGAGAGCTACTCTTCAATGCGGCCTGCTGGGTCGCTGCTGGCATATGCTTCAAGGGAAGTGGTGTCTTGGGGCTCGCGTTACTGGCATGGGTGAGCATCTTCGGGCCGTTTTGAAGAACCTATACTGAACTCCTTCACAGACTATCGGGCTGCGGCATGGTAAGTACCGGACTGGTCGACAGCTAGCATGAAAGGCTAACTCTTAGGCCAGGCCTTGACGCCGACCATATCAGTGCCATTGACAATGCTACCCGACAGCTTGTCAGCCAGGGTCAACTGCCCATCACTTGTGGTATGTGATAACCACCTTACTTCACGTGGTCAACAGAGTTCTTCTTGTTGCTAATGTGATCTGCACCGTATAGGACTCTTCTTCTCACTCGGACACTCTACCATTGTCATAGCAGTCAACATTGCTATTGCTATCAGGCGAGCAGACTGCCCCTTTCGATATATGAAAAGCTGACGCGAACGTAGTGTGGATGTGTATGACAAGCTCGACAAAGTCGGCTCGGTAGGCGGAATCGTCGGCGCATCCGTTTCCGCCTCATTCCTCTTCCTCGTCGCATGTCTCAACATCTTCTTTCTGATCGGCGCTGTCAAGCAACGGCGAGCCATCAAGCGGCGGCAAGCTTTGGGTTTGCCTCCAGATGAAGAGGATATGGATCCCACCAAGATCCATGGTGGGGGCTGTTTGGTTCGGATCATCTCGCCAATTTTAAGGGCGGTAGACAAGCCATGGAAGATGTACCCAGTTGGCATCTTGTTTGGTTTTGGTGAGCTCTGTTCCTTGAAAGCAGGGGCCGCTTGCTCACCCACCCGTTCAAGGATTCGATACGGCTTCGTCGATTGCTCTTCTCGCCATCTCCGCTGTCGCCCAGAGGGACAACAATGGACAATCTATCAGCCATGGCAAGATTGTTATCCTTCCATTCCTGGTACGTCTAGATATCCGAACCCAGCTCGTGAAACCAAAGCTTACACTGCTCAGTTTACCGCAGGCATGTCCCTGGTCGATTCCCTCGACTCTATCCTCATGCTCTACGCCTACGCCTCCCCCTCCCGCTCCACCCCCGAAGGCAAGATTGCTCTCCTACAAGACTCTTTCGACTCGAAAGAGACTATCAACGAGACTATCATCGAGACGCTGCCGGTGGAGACTTCCGACGAGCGCGAGAGGGTAGAAAGTGAAGAGCTGCGCGCGAGCCCTAGAGGAGAGATTGAGAGGCTGGAAGAAGAGCAGGGAACGAAATGTATGGGCGCGAGGGACGGTGGTGTGGAGGAGGAGGGCATCGGCAGCCCTTCCAACTTTGCGCAAGGTGCTCAGAACGAGCGGGTGATACAGGCCAAGGCCAACACGATGTCTTCGCTGTCCATTATCCTCACCCTTCTGTCCATCTTGGTCGCCCTCAGGTAAGCAAACCACAACCTTACAATATCCAAACTGAACTAGACTCAGCATCTCCCTGATCGAAATCATGGGTCTCATCGGCGACAATTGTACGCAATGCCAGGAGGCAGCTGATGACCCCGACGGGGGTGGTCTCGCAGGGAGCTGGTGGCGTGCATGGGCTAGAGCCAACGACCAGTCTGGCTATATCGGTGCTGCTATCGTGGGGTGCTTTGTGGCCATCTTGGCTGGGTTCTATGGTGCAAAGTGGGGTGCAAAGAAGTGGAAGGTCAGGCAGGAGGGCAAGCGGGCGGTCATACTCCCGCCAACAAACGAGGAGGAGGCGCATCAATGATGGGGTTCCATGATGGACTCTTCTGCAGATCAGATACCATGCTTCTATACGAAAGTTTTTACCATGCCGCACATGTAAGGTATAATAGGCATTGGCTTTTCGCCCTGATGTGTTTTTCATGATGCAGAAGGGTCGCCGAACACAACGAGGCTGAGATAGCTATTGAACGTGCCATACAGCTCCGTCCATTGTCATATACGTCTGTGCTGAACCTGCATGCATGCGTGCAATGCATACCACCACCATTCCCAATAGTCTGATGATGTACAATACATGTTACAAGAGCATAGAGCTATTTGCCCAACGCCTCCTCCCTGTCCATCACCTTTTGGTCCAACTTGATGAGGATCACCGTGCGCTGAGGAAACTGGTCTGTTGGTACCGTATGAGCTGTTACGCGAGCCGGCTTGATACTGCTGTCAGCGAAATGCACCAGCTATATTCGACTCAACGTACCACTTCCAGACCGTCGAGCACGCCTTCGACGATGCCGGCGGTGAACGCCTCGCAGCTGAGCTGTGACATGTCTTTCGGCACAGATATGAATTGAGTTAATGGTGGCTGATTTAACGTGATCATGTCTATATAGCACATGCATCCGAAAAATAAACGGATCTCCCGTGTCAGCTTACCTATCATGCCGGAAGAGATAAAAAATAAGAGCACAGGGGATGACGCACACTCGTTCTCTTCCTCTACGCTGCGTTCCAGACCGTCTGCGGGCTTGCCAAAGCAATAGCGGTACACCTGCGTATGGATGAATTGGAGTATGGGGATGAGGCGGTGCTCCCTCTTGGGCTCCTGCGGACGTGACGCGTCAGTGGGGCGCGTTCTAGAACCGCAAAAGCGAGACCGACCTTGATGCCTGACGACTGGGTGTTGCGTAAGAGCAGAAGCGGGAGTATCCTCTGTCCTGCATCGTAGCCTAGTGACGACAATCTGTAGTGCATTCCTCTAATTAGCACCGGCCGCAGACACCCCAGCCAGGCCCCAGGCTCCATCATGTACAGGAATAGGAGCAAGACACACCTCGCTTCCAGATCAGACACGCTATCCACTCTGCTCTGGCTGTATGCCACGACCTCGGCGAATAGGAATGACCATGCACCGAGGCTTACTTCTGCAAGCTTTGACTTGCCCAGGGGACGATCTTGGATATTTTGGGGGCCCAGTGGGGCCGGAGTGCTGCTCCCGAAGAGCTGCTGCTGGAGCGAGGAGGGCTGGGATGCTCTGGCGGACTCGCGGCGGTTCTGGTTTGCGGCGGCGAGGGTGGAGGCGGAGGGGGAGTGGGAGTGGGAGTAGAGGGAGGGGCTGGGGGAGGGGAGGGAGGAGAGGGAGAAGCGCGAGCTGGCTGAAGGGGGCGCGTTGTAGGCCATGGTGATAGAGAGAGGAGGAGTAGTTGTATGGAGTTGTAATGGACTAGAAAGAGTGATTAGAAATGTATCAGAAATGAATTAGAAACGGATTAGAAATGGATTAGATCTGGATAAGCTTTGTGGGTCCAGGCCCTTGGTGTTACGCGTGCGACCTTGTTCTCTCTCTCATCTCTCAAACACCATGGGGCAGGCAAACTCGTCCTCCAAGAAGCTCGGCCGCACCAGCTCCAAGCAGCTCTCCCCCAACGACCTCGCAGACTCCCTCTCCCGCACCGCCATCGCCGACACCGACACCCGCAACATCCCAAAGCGCTCAAAGGCCCCAGGCCATGAGCCCCGCCAGTCCTCCTCCTCCAGCTATGGCTCAACCCGCCCCGCCCTCAACACCCAGGGCTCCTACGACAATGCCCCCTCCATCCGCTCAACAACCTCCGCGGGCCCGTCCTCCCCGTCCTCCCCGAGCAACATCCCTACCACAAAGACCATCGTTGCTGCCCCCGAGAAGGCAGGCAGAAAGTCCTCTCTCATCCCAGGGGGTGGCTCCCCACCGCCGCCATCCGCCATGTCAATCTCCCCATCATCCGGCCGGTCGGCCTCCCCGCCACCCCTCGGTAGCTCCCCTGCTACCCCGGGGAATAGTCATATCTCCCGCGATAGCGCCAACTCTCTGCTTGCTCCCAATGGAGCAGCATTGACTCAGAGCATCTCGCGCTCGTCTGTTGGGCCTGGCGGCGGAGTTCAGGTGTTGGACGTGGACAACATGATCCAGCGGCTGCTTGAAGCCGGTTATAGCGGCAAGGTGACAAAGAGCCCGCCCTTGAAGAATGCGGAGATCATGAGTGTATGTGCAGCAGCGAGAGAAGTCTTCCTGAGCCAGCCAACTCTCATTGAGCTGAGTCCGCCTGTCAAAATTGTTGGTGATGTCCATGGTCAGGTAAGTACAGCTCGTACGACGTCGTCTTTATCTCTGCTGCGACTGTCCCTTGTTCCTTATCAAGTCTATCTCTGACTCTCTATCTACAGTATGCCGACCTGCTTCGTATGTTTGAAATGTGTGGCTTCCCTCCGGCGGCCAACTATCTCTTCCTGGGCGATTACGTCGATCGAGGCAAGCAGTCTCTCGAGACAATCCTCCTGTTGCTGTGCTACAAGATCAAGTACCCCGAGAACTTTTTCTTGCTGAGAGGCAACCACGAGTGCGCAAACGTCACCAGAGGTCAGTCCTTGCTCCATTTGAGATCTTCGCCCGGCCATGCGATTTCGGCCCCACACCCAAACTTGCTTCTCATTGGTCCATTTGCTGATGTGAACGTAGTCTATGGATTCTACGACGAGTGCAAGCGCCGGACAAATATCAAGATCTGGAAGACCTTTATCGACGTCTTCAACACCCTCCCCATCGCTTCTATTGTTGCTTCCAAGATCTTTTGTGTGCACGGCGGGCTGAGTCCAAGTTTGAAGAGTATGGACGATATCAGGCGGATTCAGAGGCCGACTGGTCAGTGTTCCTTCGTGTCGTCACTGACAGGTACTGACGAGTCTACAGATGTGCCGGACTATGGACTGTTGAATGATTTGGTGTGGTCGGATCCGTCAGACACTGCTTTGGATTGGGAAGATAATGAGCGGGGCGTGTCATTCTGTTACGGCAAGAGTGTCATCAACGCGTTCCTTGCCACTCACGTGAGTATTCGCATTACGTTGAAGAAAGTTGCTGATAGTGTGCAAGGATATGGACCTCATCTGCCGGGCACACATGGTTGTCGAAGATGGCTACGAGTTTTACAATGACCGGACTCTTGTCACCGTCTTTTCCGCTCCCAAGTGCGCCCCATCATCTCTCATTTGTTGCACCAAGCTGATATTCTATCGCAGCTACTGTGGAGAGTTCGACAACTTTGGAGCCGTCATGTCTGTATCGGAAGACTTGCTCTGTTCGTTCGAGCTGCTCAAACCGTTGGACGGGGCTGCGTTGAAGAAGGAGATGACGAGGTCGAAACGAAAGTCGTGCGTACATCTCTTCCTCGGCTGCATCTCTATATTGACGCGCGTATAGTCTACAAAACCACCAATCTCCGCCCAACAATCCCATGGCACAAAGCTTCTAGTCCCCTCGTCTCAAACTCTCGGAAAAGCACATGTTTGTACGAATATCACCACTTTACCCAGCCCTCGTCGACCCTCTATTCCTTACTGCCTGCAACCATCACCAACATCATACCTATTATAGTCGCAGGGGGAAGGGACGCAAGATGAACCAAAAACGATCATGACGTGCCAAGAAACAACAGAAATAAATCGAGATGATGAAAGAACGAGAGGTTGTTGGGTGATAGGGCACGAGTCGAGATGGTTTCGTTGTGGAAATTCGGGATATGGTTGTACTCTTTTCTTCGTCTTCTTCCTGACCGCTTTGCTTTAATTTGTGTACATTATACTAAGCGCTACTTCTCCGTCAGATGATTGATAGTTTCTTCTTTCTCCTGCGTATCATTCTTCTTCTCCATTTCTGTCTTCCCACATAGTATATATATCAGGGCGAAATCACGAGGGCGAAATGCCTGGTTACCTTTCTCCTCTGTCCCCTACATATTACGTTTCCGCACATGAACTGGGTCTCTGGGAAGTGCACAGGGAGGTTGTATCATCAGTTTGCTCGATCCGGACAAGCAGAATGATAAGGCTGCATTTGCATTAATGAGACAGCAACTTCTTTTGGTCGAGCTCCGAGCTCAAGTATACCCGTCTTTGGTCCATAGGTGGTTAGACTGAACCGAAAAGCCAAAAGGGGCTAGATCATTGCGATCGACGTTGGTTGATTGAAATAGGAAATGCTGAGCCCGCGACCCGCCAATCGTCTGAAACAGATCACTCGCTGCTCTGGGCACGCATATGGTACTTGGGAGTCTAGTAGATGACATGTCGTAGATGATGATCACACTCTTTGCTGGATGGTGCCCGAACGGAACCTCCGTGAGGTGGTCCCCGCCGTGCCGGTATCCACCGGCTACTTGACCTCGTGGTTGTCACGCCCACGACGTCTTTACAGCTCTCCGCTCGACCTTCCTCTCTGGCCCTACACCATACCCCCGCCACATCCAGCTCGACATGTACATCCCGAAACACATCCGCATGAAGAAAGCGCTCAAATCGACATGGCCCGACTACGCCATAACCGGTCGGAAACCCGAGCTCCCACTCCCCGCCTTTCCCATCACCTCTCTCCTCGCTCTCCAACCCGTGCACACCGCCATCCTCGACGCCCTCCTCTTCCTTTCGTCAAGGACATATATGCTGTTGTCAAAAGAGCACTATGCAAGGGCGATACCTCTGTCTTGGCGGCATGTCGTCCTCAATGAGGAGCTGATCGACGCTTTTGCCAGGGAAGAGGGGAGGAAGCGAAATAACCTGCAGTATACAGTGTCTATCCGCATAGCCAAAGTCTCACAAATCGCAGCTTTGGAGTCGGTTCCTTCTCATTCGTCAAAGCGGAGGATATTCGAACGAGTCAGGCAGGTGGAGTTGACGACGACGGCGTTCAAGGCCTTGTGGGATAAAGGCGAGCAGGATCAGCTCGATCTCGGGAGTATCGAGGAATGCTTGGGGGATGATCTGGAGGAGCTTCTCCTATGGATCAACCGGGTGCCCAAAAAGACGTTTGCCTTGCCCCAGAAGGCGTTCGACCAGCTCCTGGGCATCCTCCCCACTGTCGTCACGTTCGTCCTCGCCATCCCCAACTCTCATGCGCCGTCCTGGCCGGATATGCTAGAGCGGTTTCCTGCCCTGCTTCGACACTGGTACCCGTCCCAGTGCTTGCGTATCGTATTCAAAATCCCAAGTCAGATGGTTTCCTTGGTCAGAGATGAGCTGGAGAATGCCATCATCACGCATATCGCATTCAGGGCGCGCGACAAGGCGGTAGGGTCTGCTGGAGTGTCCGGGTGCAGGGTGGAATATCACCTGGATGGTGTCGACCGGCTGCGGGCCAAGATGAGAGCGATCTTTGAGATGAGCGACTCTACCAGCATTGGGATGATTGAGGATTTTGTGGAGGAGCAGTGTGAGCTAGTAGAACTGGTGCCGCTTGCGTTTCCTTTCAGGAGGAGTGGCATGGAGTAAGTAACGTTTGTCAAACGAGGTTCTCTGCTCATGACACATAGGATGATAATGTGAGAAGATTATACATATCAAATGTTCCTAATGGACATCTGTACTGTACGAGTACAGTACATGTTTCCCATACCGCCCATGTATGTCACCTGAATATCCAAAAGCTTTGCGCAAGAGCATGGGGCAGGAAGAGGGGTAGAAATTCTAAACCGCCGGGGCTCCCCCTCAGGCAGACCAGCTGGTACGGTAAAAGTCGGCATGCTTGAAGCACTCTCTGATCTGCTCGAGAAGGTACCCAGGGGTGCAGTAAGTTATGTAGTTTCTTGTCGAGCCACCATTGTTCTGTCCCGAGTGAATCTGGCCATCAATCTTAGCCTTCCCATCCCTAGCCTGTAGAGATGGTAAGTATCACAAGGTATGAGCAGAAGGAAGCGACAGGTGCGAAAGGATGCGACTCGCCTTCGCCATTGAGATCGGCTTGTCTGAGTTCAGCCTCGGAGAACGGCAAAGCTATGGCAAGTCAGGCGGAACAGACGAAGACTATCGTGAGAGAGTTGGAGCACACGCAGGGGATACACAGTGGAATGCGGATGCACAAGCTTCCCGAGACGCGTCCGGATCTCTTATAGGCGCGCTGAATTGGAAAACGACTCATTCAAACAAGCTCCGGAGATACATCCAATGTGCATGGAGCCCACTGTAGAGATGCATAGGGTCGGAGTGACACGGGGTCTTTCTTCTCGACGACGCACATCAATTCATGGTGATTTTGCGACGCGGATGATTTGTCTGCGACGTGTTGTTTATCCTCTCCCCTGGCGGCGGTCGCCGACGGACGCAAGGCCAGGACGCCACAGTCCAAAAACATTCTATCTTTCGCCAAACCATCTCCCTCGCCGCCATGCCCGTCGCAAAGAAGAAGGGCGCCGTCTTTGGCATCTACGCAGACTCCCCCGCCAAAGACCCCCACCCACAGCCCACCCGCTCTTCTCCCAGGCGGCCTGCCAACACGGCTCGCAAAGCCCTCGCTTCCAAGCCTGTCGCTCCAACAGCAGCCGCGTCCTCCAAATCACTTGCTTCTGCCACCTCCCTCAAGGGCAAGTCCCTGCTCGACACTTCTTCCTCCAAACCCAAGTCGACAAAATCCTCTCTCCAGATCTTTTCTGATCCGGAGCCATCAAAACCGAAAAGTGCTAGTGGTGTGACCGGCGTGACCAAACGCCGCAATGCCCCGACGCCGTTGGCGCCCACACAATCTCTGCCGCTGCCCCTAGGCGGCTCGAAGGCCACCAAACGTACTCGAGACCTGCTGTCGCCGCTGCCCATCTTTGACGATAACAGCAACACTCAAAGAGAAACTGCGCGGCGGCCAGCGCTGCGATCAAAGGATACGGGCCTTTCACCGGCCAAGCGGGGCAGAACAGCTCTCTCTGCTGCCGAGTCGTCTCCGGCTATACTCTCTTCCTCCAGAGCCCCATCCGCGTCCGTCGCGCCCAGTTCTTCGCGCCGCAAGGCACCGCTCATCTCGGACCAAGAGAACGCTCCCCCACCTCGCGTGTTTGGCGAGCTTGAAGGCTCTCCTGCGACCCGTACGCGCTCAAAGACTCGAGGGTTCGACTTTTCCATCACGCTGTCTCCCCTCACTTTCAGGGACAGTCCTCAGCATCGAAGGCGCTCCGAGGTTGAGCGTTTGATGGGGGATATGCCAGGGCTGCGCGGGGCGGTGGATCCGGGGCTGAGAGATGTCAGTGAGGTGACTGAGCACGGCAGTCCGAAGAGCGGGAAAACTGAAGTGACAAAGACGCCAAGGGTTTTGGGGGAACCCGTGGATGCGGATGGAGCGTTGGCAGATGTGAGCGAGGCGTATGGGGCTAGCGGAAGCGCGCCAATGGGGTTCTCGAGTCAGGGCGTGAGTCAACACCTCGCCTATATGGCAATGTTTCACAACTGACACTTTTGCTCATAGGACGAATAATTCTTGCACATTCTTCCTGCAACGACGGACAATCACTATATATCTTTACGCTTAATGAGACGATTTACAATAACGACACGAAAACAGTACTAGTCACGCTCTATACCCCGACCATATCACTAGACCTGTCAAAATATACTCCCCTTCGTGTTCTCTAGATTGGCATTCGTTTTCTATTGTTTTCTCGATTGCGGTGACTTTCTATCCTTATGACATACGACTTTCATGAAGATGACGGGGTAAAAGCCATTTGGTGACTAGGTATTGCTGCGCCTTGGATATCATCATGCACAACATGCTCATCATTGTTCATAATGTCAGAGGATCGAGAGTATTATCATACCCTCAACTTGATGGGTAACTTATGTTGCGTTGTAGATGACGTACAAGTATCTACATACAATACGCTGAACAGGTACAACTTCCTGGCGGACATATAGCTTCCCTGAGGCACCCAGCCTCTACAGTGTGACAGTCTACAGACGAGTGAGCGAATGCTGTCCAACGACCCAAATCGGAACACTCACCTCTACAACCTGCACAAGACCAGTCGCAGTCCACCCACACATTGTCTGGTCTTCTCTCGTGCTCTTCATCAATCTGAGCCCTTTTTCTTCAATGATCTCACACATCCTGCCGCTCACGACATCTCTCACTTCGGCGCGACCTCCAAACTCGTCGAAAAGAAGGAGATAAGGAGATTGGAAGACGGCCTGCGATGGTTGGCCATTCCAACGTAGATAAGTACCAGATCGTGATATCTCGCCAACTACGCTCATCCAGTCAGCCCAGGCCATAAACGCTAATGAGGGGAACTCGCATTTGGTCACATAGCAAGCTCCCCAGTCATAGACCAAGATGAATTCGTTATCTCCCGTTTGCCACATACCCAGGGGTCTACCCCCGCCTCTCCGCAAGCCTCCACTGAGTAGTTTGAGCAACGGCGCTCCTTCTTCCAGCGTACCGAGGCCTTGAGTCGTTGGCAGCGTGTTCAAGTCTGGGTTGCCGATTTCTGTGATGGTGATCTCCTTCTCGGTAATGACTGCCAGTGTCGCACGGAAGAAGGTGAGGGAAGAGGCGTACCCCGGCACGGTCAATGTAGATAAGAGCCGAAATGGAGGTTGGCTTGGAAATCTGGTGGAAGGAGTGCCGAGATGAGGGTGAGGTTGAAAAGGCTCAACAAATGCGAATACGGTATTGTGCGAGGTGTTTGCGTAGACGGCGTATGCGACTGTGACCCATATGATTAGCAATAAGACCTGATAGGCCACATTCTGGACATACCCAAGGTCCGCCCTTTCGATTTACCAACGCTCATCCACGCCACATGCTGACCCGGGCGACTCAAAAGGACTCCATCTATCCTCCGCTGCCTGACCCACGTCTGAGGATCAACAGTTGTCATCATATCCCTCAAATTGAATGCCACAATGGTCCCGCCGTTCATTGTCAACAGCCAGGGGAATTCGGGTATGGTGGTGATGGACGTAACCTGGCCAGTGTCAAACCTGATTGCCTCTTGGAAAGCTGGCAGTTCATTGAGCATGGGCAGTGGACTCTAGCAGTGAACTTACTGTCTGCTTCTCCAAGCCAGCCGATCCATACTGAGCGTCCGGCTGCCACGGCAAGCGCTTTGTTGCCATGCCAGACGAATGTGTCTGCGCAGGTGACCGGATCTTTGAGTCCTCGAGGCGGCGATATCGTGTTGATTACGAATAGCTGCGTCCGCTAGTCAGGCCTTGTTTAGGATGTAAAGGGGGGACATACCCTGTTACTCTCAACATCGTAGTCTCGAAGTACCTTCGCGCCCTCTATCTTTTCGATCCATTTGCGGCTATAGCCAGTCAGCCACGAGTTCCATGATATCCACCAAGCGCATACCGTTCTTCGGGTTTCTCTGTGCAGATCGTGTATGTTCGTCCTTGCGAGTCTCCATCTGATATCGTGAAGGGGTACATCATATCTGTTCCGCGTACAGTATCCAAGCTAACATTGATCAGCAGCTGATTTACGACATGGGAGACCGACTTACAAGCCTCCTGTAGGGCCACGAGCTGGATTGGACTTGTTGAAGCTTCTCTCGGGTACCGCATCAGCGACAAGTACCCGCATAAAGTCGAGGTGTATAGGCTACAGCATCTTGCAATCAGCCTTGAGCTCACATATGATTACGTTGGACGTACGCGAGACACGACAGCAAACCTTCCTTCATTGTCTTCTCTGGTTAGAAGCAAGTAGTTGTCTAGGAGTATCGCGTGTATCTTTTGCCTTCAAGTATGGATGATCGCGTGAGCTTCAAGTTGTACAGCTGGTTCTTCAACAACTCACCATCCGTGCCAATCCTTCTCTATCCGGACTCTCTTTCTCACGTCTCCCCTATGCACCAACGCCCGCTTCGGATTAAGTAGATCCAATTCCTGTACCAGAGTGAGACACGTGAAGTCTACGATGGGAATGAGCCTACCACTATTTCGCCCTTCTTGAACATCAACCTCTCTGCCGCGTCCCACAGCCCAATCTTCTCCTCCGCATTCGAGATCCCTGGCTCACTACTCTTCACCACTCTATGCAGAACATCAATCAAAGTAGGAATATCTTCTTGATCTTGATGATCCAATGGCGTTCGGTGAAGCAACGCCCTGAGCATGAGGATGACTCGTGGTAGGCGCGTTGCAGGGCGCATGAGGAATGTATTGATGCCTTTACGAGGTATGGAGGAGGATGTGAGAAAGAGTGCGAATTTGGGGTTGCGGGCAGCCTCTCGTTCAGCACGGGCTTTGGCGTAGGGATAGTTTTTCATATACTGGTGCTTGCTGTCAATATCGAGCAAGACTCATGAGCCATCTAGCTCACAGCATCGTAGAGATCCAGAAGCTCTAGAAAGTTCTCCAGGTATATGTCTGTGAGAGACATCATCTGTCGATTCATCAGCATTTTCACCTCTTTCTTGATAGGCAATCAACGCACCAACGGCCATTGTTCTCGTTGCCTCTCCAGCACTCTCGATAGGATCTTGAGATGTGACTGGTATAGCAGAACGGATGTGCTGAATACTTCTTTGATGAACGGCTCTAGTCTGGAGTGCTCAATGATAGGCGGGTCTGCAGTACGAAGGCCGTGTATGAGTACCTGCTCACGGTCAGCATACGGGTCCAGCTGAAAGAAGCATCGTACATCACAGATGACCCCCAAATCCTCCACATACATCTTTTCACTCCTGACCATCTCCCACCACGACTCTTGCCTGTTCTGCTCTTTGCTATCTAGAGAATCATGAAAAGCCTTGTCGACCACCTCGTACCAAAACTCTGGGTCAAAGTGCGGAGCATGCCCCAACTGTTGTTGCAGTCCCGGGCTGAGACTTGCAAAGGGTGAGTAAGACGAGACGAGGCTGAAGGCAGGTGAAGTAGACTGGTAAAGGAGGAGGAGGTTGTAAGAGTCTTCGGGGGAGAGGTGGCGAGATGGTCCTGGTTGTCGCGAGGCTTCTTCATTCGGGGGAGAAGGCAGGTTTCTGCTTGGGACCTGTGTAGAAATTTGGTCATTCTGAAGTCACCCTGGTAGAGAAATGACTTGCCAGTGTATCCGACGATGCAGCAAAGCCTCTCGGCGTCAATTCTCGAGGAGCAGCTCCCGGCAGAGGCTACAAGTCCACTATCAGTCTGTGATCTTTTCCCAGCTCGCCAACTCACTGTGGTCCTCAAGCGATCAGTCCCGACCTCACTAGGGTCTATCCAGCTATACTCGTCCACCGTATCATCCACGTACATCTCCTCATCTCCACCGCTCTGTCTCCGTTCCCTCCACTGCAGCTGGCTCGCCACCGAGATCACGCTGGGCGGCGGGACCGCATGCTGGTAGGGGCTTGATTCTGGTTGCTGGCTGTATGGGACGCCGCCGATGCCGTCGTGGCTCCTTGTCTCTACTGCAGCGTCATGGTCGCGGGGACTTGCGCGTCCTGACCAGGAGAGACGGGGTCTATGGCGTCTCCAGGAGGGAAGCCTTGCGGGCAGGTGGCGCTCCATTCTGTTGTGGCGAAGAGATCCTCGGGCTCGACCTTATATAGAGAGCGCCAGCGAGACGTCATCGGGTGTACTGATAGGAATACCCGCAAAGGGCAGCGGCCATACAAATGCTGTTGCAGCATACACAGCTTCGTGGTCGGATCTCCGAACACGGCGGCGCACCCCGCTGCTGAATGCGTGATCGTGACTTACATCTAACAGCTACAGACTACAGAGACATCCTGTGTATTCACAAATCCCACAAGAAGAACCGCCTAGACAGAATCTATACGAGAAACACCGACAAGATCAACTCGAAGCAAAGCACCTCTACAACATACACTCGGCTCTCAGATCAGCCCCCCTCCCTCTTCATTCTCCATCACTATCCAGTTGAGCATATCCCACTCCACCGCTCTCAGTCTCGGGCTCTGTGACTTCACTGATGTTCGAGTGTGCCCTTTGCATCTTCTGCTTTGGCCTTGAGGCACTCGAAGACGAGGTCGACCCCATAGCGGACCCGAGCGCGTCCTGCAACCCTGCCGCGCTACTTCCAGAAGCCGTAACCGCTTTCGCCTGACCAGGCCCAGTAGTATCCGGCGTAAGCGCAGGCATGTCCACACTCAACCTCGGCAAACCGCTCGGCGTGGACGCCCCGCTCAACGGGGCGCTTCCGCTATCCTCATCCATCAAATCTCCGCTGTGATGTCCACCTGGCGCAGCATTAGGACTAGCCAGCGTCGTCACCGGACTGACTGCAGCAGGCGCGGGTGACGTAGGGTTCAAGCCGCTTTTGGGCGGTACAGGGGGACCTGCGGCGTGGGTGGAAGCAATGGGACTCTGGGTGGAAGGGATGGGGCTGGGAGCAGCAGAAGAGCTGGTAGAGTTGGAGGACGTCGAGGTGGATGGCGCAAGAGGCGGGGGTACGGTAAGGTTCGATTGACTCGCACTGTTGCCTCTAGCCCTGTTGGCACTGAAGCTGCTCCCCAGAGCTTTGCCGGACGCAGCCGAGTTTGCTCGGGCGCGGACATTGTTGAATTTCGAGAGCAACTTGGACGGGCCAGACTGTTTGTCCTTGGTCGTTTCAGTGGGAACAGATGATCGACGTCCGGTAGTCTGAGTGGGCGAAGATGGGGCGGGCGTCGAGGCCAGTGCGGCACTCGTGCTGGGGCCAGGAGGAGGACCAGGGCTCGATGTGCTCGGCGCAGGGCCAGAATCGGTTGTCGACGAACCATTTCTCAGTTCTTCCGCCTGCTTGCGCTGATGTTCCTCGTGGTCTACCATAGAAAGACGCATCGCTTCCATGATCATCAACTAGATATCGTCAGCACGATACACATGAATAAAGAATGTACTCACCTCCTCCAGCTCTCGTTCTCTGTTGGACTCTCTTCTGCGAGGTCTCCTGCCAGGACTCGATGACGAACCTTCGCCATCTGCGCCCACCGACATGCTAAAGTCGGCCGTGCCAGTCGCCCTAGATGACGTATACCCTATAGGCACCAAACGGTCACCCACTTGACGCATGACAATCCTCCTCGAGGCCTTGCGCGCCGCCGCCGCCTTGACAGCATTCAGCTTGGCCTCCCAGTCCGGTCGGATCTCGTCAATCGTTACCACTTCCTTTGCCTTTGAGCTGACGCTCTTTCTGCGGAGAGTTTCCTTTTGCAAAGGGTTCATCCCCGGACCGACTGTCAGCTCTGCATCCGATCCCACACCCAAGGACGAGAATCCCGAAGCAAGGGCAGAGTCGTCAGGAGAGGTGGCAAGTGCAGTGTCGGACAGACTAGACAAGGGTGTTGTAGGGCGTTCGTAGATGACGCCGAAATCCGTTTCGACGCAGAAAGGACAGCACGCCGGTTCTGATTCAAGATGCGTAATGGTAGCTTCGGATCGCTTGATCTGAACAAAGCATTCGGTACAGAGGGGCTGTTGGCAGCAGCGGGAAGTGTTGATGTTTGGGGGGTAATTCTGTACAAGAGTCAGCGCAGAAGAGCAGCACTTGGACGCTCGGACGTACCAGAAAGCAGATGGGGCACTCGATGGCATTCCTGTATACCCTCTTCTCCCTCTTCTCTCGTTCTTCCTTTTCCCCTTCCCTCCTCGTCTCTCTACCTTTGTTGATACCCATCTTTTTGGTCACCTGGCCCATTCCGCCCGACCCTTCTCTTTCCTCCCGCAGCCGTTCGGTAAAGCTGTTGGCCACGCCTTCTTCATAATCCTTCTCCCGTTGCTCGTTCAGCTCCCGGATGATATCGTCCTCTGTCCAGTCCTCTTCATAGTCTTCCAGTCCGCGGTAAAAGGGCGCAAGCTTGCCATCAAGGATCTGACGGGTGACGACCGACTTGGAATAGTCGTGCGCCTGGGGAAGGGAGAGGCAGTGTGGGTTCTGGGGCGAAAGGTGGCCAGCGTACGGAAGGAGGGTCGGGGTCGAGGGGGCTGGCGGGGAGGGGGGCAATGTGGGCGGTGTGATGCCTGAGTGGAAAGTGGACGAGCCGCGATGGGAGGATGAGCCGGGGGCGCTGGCGGCGGCTATGGGCTGGGCCGAGACCGAGTTGGAGGATGAGCGGTGGTGGTCTGTGGGCTGTGAGGCGGAGGGCTGGGGGGAGGAGGGTGCGTTGCCCATGGCGGGGGAGGACAGTCAGAAGAAGAAGAGGAGAAGAGGGATGTATAAATGCGGAATAGACTGAGGATAGGCCAGGCGCGCTAGTAGCCATCCGGTGACGTCGGCCTCTCCCGGCCGGTTCAGCCTCCTTGGTATCCGAAATCCTTTCAGCTGCATCTCAACCGTATATCTGCGCCCCCGATGTATATCCCCTCCCTCAACCCTTTCCCCACTCCCCACCATGACAGGCCACACCATTGTCGTCGGCACCTCCCTCTCCAAGCTCACCCCCCAAGGCACCGTCGGCGACGGCTTTGACGTCCATGTCGCGATCGGCATCACCAAGAGCGGTGCACAACCGTCTGACGAGGCCAAACCCCAGCACGCCGTCAGCGAGTTGACCGCAAGGACTGTTTGTCATACCGTACTGATGGCGATTTCGCTGGTTTCTGCCTGTTACGAACTGACTATTGCAAACATGGACGAGAAGACAAAAGCCGGTACAGACCTCGCTCAACGCGAACGACAGTGGCAGATGCTGGTCTACGAAATGGCCTGGAAGACATGCACCAAAGACGGTGGAACCAAGATGGGCCACCACGTCAAATTCTCAAAGCTGACCACCTGCCGGGCGTTTGATAAAGCTGTCGGGCTGCAATCAGCCCATCCCAAGGCCTTTCTCAGCTTCCTGCGCCTTCGCTGCAAGGTCCGTCCGAATCCTCCCCTGAGCGCAAAGGTCTTGACCGATATGCATGCATGGGGCATCAACTCGGCTAAGAGGATCAGACAGTGGGTCGCTGAAGAGCCAGAAAAGAGAGACGTGGTCGAGTATCTTGAGCAAGTGAATGATCCATACGTGACATTCTTTCTGGCTCGCGGTGCCATGAAGCAAGCACTAAAGAGTCAAAAGGATTGATACTTGAATATAGCATGGATCTCATTTATGCAGCCATTTATTGCACAGCGAGAAGCGGCGTGTTGGTCTCGGAGGTCCGACAGCGGCGCCGAAGGTGTGTCTTTACGAGGAAGAGGCGTTCCCAACGCTTCACACCAGCAGCGTGCATGTTCTGGACCTTTTACGAACTCCAGCCTTGTAGTTTCGCGATAGTCCATGCGCTTGCACTGCGACTTCCTCGCCGAATCCTCACATCATCGTTTCACCTGGAACCCACTGTCTTTTCCTATCACCCCCTGTATTTGATCATCGCTAGCACCACGAATCTCCTTGATGAGTTCTACCCCATGCACCTCTGCAGAAGGGGGCCCGTTCTCCAGATATCTTCGGCTTCACAGGGTTAGCCACAGGCACGTCCACATTGACAATGGACGTACAACTCCTCAATCTTTTGCGACGGGCCTACAGCAGCTCCCTGCACACTCTGATCCTCGTGGTTATAACAGTGACCTCTCAGACCGAGTTTCTGGGCCCTATGAGACATGATCGTCAGGCCGGGGCGCATCTAGTTGAGTGATGGCCACTTACTCTTTTTGAGTATGATATCTGAAATTGACTCCCTGTGGTACGAGCAGTCAGTCAGGGCTTCCAGTATACCCAGCTTCATGAGCATACTTGGACGACTCCGGTCCTGCATGACGCGATCAGTGACCCGGACTCGATACCCGCACGTCGAATGACTGACGCAGGTGGACGCTGCGCCACCCAAACCGCACTCACACTTTGAACTGAATAAGGTCTTGGCTCATCCTGGTAAACGATCTTATCATTGAACACTGGCACGACTGAGCAACTGCAACGAAGAACGGCTTGCAACAGGTGGAGAGCCGAGTGGTGACATCAGAACGGTGACTACCTCGACGGGATCAAATACCGCCACAGTGTGCCGGGTGCTAACTCCGGCCTCCACTCTGAGCAGTCACTCCACGCTGGCCGTCTGAGGGGGCGCTTCGATTTCCCTCTCTGTCTTTCCATGTACAGACCCCTCCTCACCACTTCCCGCATCGCCCTCCGCAACTCTTCCCGTACTTTTACCTCAACCGCTGTCAAAATGGGTGTTACCGTTGAAGTCAGTCTGCTCTCCGTCGCTCCACATCGGACCGATCACCCGCTTCTTTCCTTGGCGACAGATGCTGACTTGGTATGCTCGTAGTCTATCACTGCCGGCGACGGCAAGAACTTCCCCAAGGCCGGTGACAGGGTCGCCATCCACTGTATGTTCCCTTGCTTTCAGTGACCTGGACTACACTCACTGACATTGAATTCAGACGTTGGTACCCTCCTCGACGGTTCCAAGTTTGACTCTTCCCGTGACCGTGGATCTCCCTTCCAGTGTGTCATTGGCCAGGGGTAAGTGCACATTCAGGTCTTCCGATGGATGGTATACTCACGTCTTGCAGTCAAGTCATCCGAGGTTGGGACGAGGGTGTTCCTCAGCTCTCCGTCGGCCAGAAGGCCAACCTCATCTGCACCCCTGACTACGGTAAGTCATTGACATCTCTAATGTGTCCACACTCTGATTGTGAAAATTAGCCTACGGTGCCCGAGGTTTCCCTCCCGTCATCCCCCCCAACTCTACCCTCAAGTTCGAGGTTGAGCTCATCAAGATCAACTAGACGTCTCGTCGAATTATTTTCTAGTTGAGATTTGTAGTAGCAAAAATAGTGAAATGCAGAAAGCAGTGAAGTTTTGATGTGTAACAGATTGGCATTCATATGACCAGATTTGGGGCTGCATCTACTCGACTGTTATACTACTGATGGAAATCTCCTCGTACGGTCTGTCGTCCTTATCCGTCCTCGAGTTCTCGATCCCATCGATGGTATCCAGCCCACCCACAGCTCGGCCAAACACACTACACGTGATATATGAGCTCGGATCTGTCGACTAGAGCGCGTAAACTTACGTGTGTTTGCCGTCTAGCCATTGGCAAGGAGCAGTAGTGATGAAGAATTGGGATCCGTTTGTACCAGGTCCTGCTCGAGAGTCAGCCAAGCTAAATCGACCATCCAGCTCGAATAACCCACCAGCATTGGCCATAGAAAGAGTAAAGGGCCGGTCGTGTCTCAGTCGGGGCGAAATTTCATCTTCGAAAGTACCACCCCAGATACTTTCACCACCAGTCCCGTCACCGAAAGGGTCGCCACCTTGGATCATCTGCAGCATATCAGCTATGACACGAAGCATGTACGAGGCAACGTACGAATTTCTTGATGACACGGTGGAAGATCGTCCCATTATAATATCCTACGACATGTCAGCAAGCATCTTTACACATCCTTGATAGACGCACCATTCTTGGCATGGGTGACAAAATTTTCGATCGTCTTGGGCACTTCTTCAGGGAATAGTTGCACAGAGATATCGCCCATGGTGGTATGGATCGTACAGCGCGTGGCAGAGGGGCGTCTTTTCTCTTCCACGGGTACGGCAATAGTCTGCTCCTCTCGGGTAGGTCGCTCGTTGAAGACATCTCGGTCGCCCTTGGTCTCCCTGCAGTATTGTTAATTCCGTGCTCGAATATGAAAGAGGTCGGACTTACTCTTTATCTTCTCGAGCGAACAGGTAAAACCTCTGCTTTTGATAAGCAGTAGCAAAGACATGAGGGTCTCGTGAAGCTTTGTCCTGTAAGAGAGGGTTTGCAGAAGCTGCCATTTGGATCGTTGTTACACCCTTCTTTGCCGGGGCGCCTTGATAGAGAGATATATTGAGGAAACGTAGAGTTTCGTCTTTGCCCAAGACTCGAGACACTTTGTTTGTGACAGTGTTTACAACTAAACCTCAAAGTCAGCATGGCACCAGATTAGAAGAGTTACGTACCTTTGATACCCAGCATGGTAGGATACAGCACAAAATTCCCGCTCTCATCCCAAACCGCGTTCGCACTCCTCAGCATCCCACCCGGCCCACTCTCACTTCGGTCAAGCTCTCTCTCCAACGCCAACCTCCTTCCAAAATCCATATCGTCCAGCTTGAACACCGCCGTGTCTGCTTGTTGCATCTCCATAACAGCTGTTAGGGATTCATCATAGGTCCTGGTGAGTTTGCCAGTGAGAAAGTTGAAGACGTGGACGGAACGGGAGGGAAGAGCCATGGTGACGAAATGTGAAGAGTTGGGGGAGAAGCTGATCGAGGTTGGGAGTGTTTTCGTCTACCTTGAGTCAGCGCTAGCCACCGATCATATTTCATCCTTGACTGACCTTTTTGAAATGGAAGAGGTCGGTGGAAGACTTGTATTGCCAGAGCCCAGGGACGGACGGGAGACCCCAAGGCTCGCTTGGCTGCCAGTACTCTACAAATCCAGCTTCATCGGCAGAGACCACACAGTCGTAGTGAGCAGAGTACTGTCCATGAGTGAGCTTCCATCCAAGATTGAACTAGCCATAACTCACCACCATCAAGTGCACGGGCGCTCGGTGCAACTTCGCAAGCTCATATAACGGCTGCCCGTCACCTCTCCCATCGTAGATCCGGATAGTCGGGCTGGCAACATCCGAGACTGCAAGCAAGGACTGGCCGGCTCCAGGCTCGTGGATCCAACAGCACGCTTTGGGCGTATAGGGGAATTTCAAGATATTGATCATGTCAAAGTTGACCACATCAAACACTCTCCCCTCACCGCCTTCGGACACTGTTGCAAACAGCTTTCCATCCTCACTGGCGCTGGTCCCAACAATGGCCTTCAGAGACGCCCTGTAATGCTTGACGAATTCTATGCCTTGCTCTTGCTTCTTCCACAGTTTCAGGTGGCCGTCTATCGATGTTGTCACCACAAAGTTCGTCCTGTATGCATGTCAGCCATTGTTGCCAGATGTAGATGCAAACTTACTTTGTGACAGTCACAGAGTTCAAAGGTTCCCTATGCATGAATGACTTGTAGTAGCGATCCGTATCAGGAAGAGATGCGAGATAGAGCTTTTCATGGGGTAGCACTGCATACTCATGTCAGCTTGTACTTGGTTGATACCTGGAATGCTCACCAGCCCTCTTCTTTTTGGGACGCGACTCGGATGCTTCTAAATCACCTCCTGGCATTGGCCCAATCTCCTCGTCGGAAGAATCGTCGACATCAGCAGCAGGCATATCGGGAGCCTCTGCTCCATTTTTGTTGTTTTGCTCGGGACTCGCGTCGCGATTCCTCTTTCCAAGGGCGGTGGACGATTGAGCGTCTTCAGACATCTTTTGGGTATCTTGCAGGAGATATAACTATAGGGCTGAATGTTGTGACGGCACCCTTGTCTTCGTTCAGCAACTGGCGAACGGAACCAAATCGAGAGCCTGGTAAATGGGGGTGAGGAGGCACATCTTTAAGGGCATCGGCTGCCGGTTGTTGACCGACGGGCTCTTTGGGTGCGCACAGCGTTGTGCTGCTGACGTTGAGCGGGACCGCACGCACTCGCTCGCTTCGGGGGTGACATATGCGGGATAGCGCCAGTATATTCTATACAGGGTTCAACGCCTCGCATGGGCCACACATGCTGAACAATACGTAAGAACGCGACTCGTCAAGTCACGTCGACCGTGGTGCGTTAGGACTACCGGGAGGGGACTGGCTTTTCTAAAGTGTATACATCCGAAATTTCTAGCCGTATACTACTGTGTAGTGAGCTGATGTCGCTACGGGTGGAAGACCGGAATCGGAGAACTGTGCCACGACCACATCCCTCAAGCAATCCTCATCTTATGCCGGTATGCTAACTGTACGAGTAGGGCGTCAGCGGCAGGGGTTCCAGAGTCCACAAGTACAAGGTAGAGATCCGTCCAAGATCTGCAATGATGAGATTCAAGAAGTCGCACTCCCCACCCAAACGAAGGGTCTACAACACTTGTTCCAAGTTCTTGCAGCAGGTGTCTACTGTGACTTCCTCGTTTACGTTGTTTCTTCCCTGTCGCCTTCCCCACTATGATAATCGCATGTTCGGTTCCGATATGTGCCTCGTTCAATTCTCAACCTGGCATCAAATGCATACAATTTGGCCATGTTTGACGGGCAGAATGAAGAATGCCAGCATGCACATTCCCACTGACATAATCATCGGACTGCAAACGCCCTCCTCGTTTTAGCCCAGCTGCCCCGCAGATGCTAGCATCACTAATCAGCGCTACATTATATGTTATGTCTTGGATCGTAATGCCCGGCGGGCAGCCCGCCGTGCCGTATTGTGACTTTTCAACAGGCCTGTTGGATAGCTTGCCTGTCCCGGTGCTCCTCCTCGAGCAGGTATGCGGTATAAGACGAGAGAGGGGCACAGAAGTCATCGACAGCCCTCACCTGTACTTCGATCTGCCGAAAAATTGCGTCCAAGTCTTCAAAGACCATGTTTGCTCGACACAAATACACGCTCCTCCCAACATACTCTCCTCCCAGCAGTCCCGTCCCTTCAGCAGTAGCTTCTCCTCGGAGACGGCGTTTTCGTTATCTATATATGCTCTTCGTCCTCACAGTATTCACACTCATAGCCGGTGTTTTTGGCTCTTCGATTAGCTCAGACGACGCCATGGAAAGATTCAACTCTTGGAGTACCGACAAGCTGGACTATCTGGCCTCGTTTGCCGGAGGGGAAGTCCGATCATGCCGAGGCTCGGACCCTGCAGCCCCCGAGTGGGATGACCCTGCAGGGTGTCTCAAGGCAAAACAATATCGACAAACCTTCAAGGTGCTGGAAAGAGAGCGTTCACGCAAGCAGTAAGTTGAGGGATATCCAGCTCGAGTCTTCTCTGACAAGCTCCATAGCAACCACTATCACTTTGCCATTGACCACAACATCGCAACTTTGGAAGTCATGCTCAAATGCTTTCTTCCAACGTCCGACCCCGAGTATACCCCCTGTCACGAGAGGCCTCTGATCATCAGTGGTTGGTGGTACACGGCTGCAGTTCTGACCGACTCCACTACGGGTGAAGTTGTCTGGCAGCGTTCCATCGTAAGCCCTTCGGTCACCTATGTCAAGTTGAGCTCACCTGGGTTTGAGACACAGCAACTGGAGAGACTTGGCTACTTTTGGATCGCTGTTGGTCCATACACCAACTGGATCGAAGTGGCAGAGATCATGCCTGACGTCTACAACACCCTCTGGAACAACGGCGTGGAGACGTTGTCTTGTATCACTGATCCCCGGTGTATCGCAAAAGAGGACTATGTCCCACCTGAGGGCGGAGAGGACTTGTCCGTTGGTGTGACAGATGAGGAACGAGGTATCATTCCCCTTTGGGCCCTCAATGTTGTAGACTATGTGAGCTTTCCGCCAGGCTATCCAAAGAGCACAGCTAACCGAGTGTCAGTGGGGAGCACGGCCCAAGGAGATCTCACACAACACCCACTGGTGGGGCCTCAAGGAGGAGGGGGATTGGACGTATCAACCACTGGGACAAGAATGGATCGCAACGTAAGGACAACGCAATCTCACAGTTACACGCGCTGATACTTTTCAGCCCTTGGCCTCTTCCAGCCGGTCATCATCATCTCCCGTATTCGATGGAAGAAGAGTGCCTTGCTCGTCCCACGACACCCTTGGAGGAGCGGAAGGATGCTGGGCTGATCCTCGCCAAACGTTCATGTAAGCCACACCTGGCCAAAGCAAACCTTGTATCTGCTGACAATTGCAATAAGCTTACTTCCACTACTATCACGTCTCCCCGCCCGAATTCTGGACCAACCTCACCCAGAATGACGGAGTTGAGCTCATATCTGTGGCCAAAGTTGAGGAAGGCAAGCCGATGCCGGTAGGGCTTGAGACCATCGGTCAACAGACAGCTGAGGATTACACAAAGTTGGTCGGAGATGTCAAGGCTATGGTTGGTATTGGCATACCCGTCATCAGTCCAAGTGTCTACGCTGCATGGTAAGCTTTCATATCAAACCTCTAGCTTTCCGATTGCTGATAGGACTGTAGGTGCCAAGCGACCCCCGTCGTCATCCCCATATTCCACGACGAGGACGACTCTTCTCCTTGGCACCCATACTCGGGCTACTCACAACACGGCCCTGCTCTCAGCGTCGGCGAGCCGTACGCCTATTCATACCACTCCAAAAACTACCCCCAGCTCGTCGAAGCCGTCCACAAAGCCATGTCCACGCCTATTGAGCGATTCATCCCCGATGACATGCGCCTGTCGCATACGATGAAGGCGCTGGAGGCGTATATGAACAGAGATTTGGTGAAGATGATGGAGTTGAAAGTGAAGGCCAATGGGGGCAAGATCCCGGCCCTGAAAGCGGGTTTGAGGGAGAGGTGTATTGAGCTTGGCCGGTGTATGCAGGAGCTACCACCAGGCCGGGTACCGATTGGACCACCATCGTTTTTGTTGTATTGATAGTACTTGGGACAATGGGCTTTGGTGTCTTGGTTTCTCCGAAGGCTTGGACATATGGCGTGAGCTCATAGGATGTATCCTGTATCATCATCAGTACCTATGATGATGGTTGGCGAGAGAACACATACTTGTGAAACTTTTGTGAAACTGAATCTCTTCGTTCGATAACAAGAGGCGTGGAACATCGATGTGCATCAGAACGTAAGTAGAAGACATAAAATTGAGTATCACAACTAGACTAGAACTGCAGAGCCAGTCAATATTGCTTCCTGGGGAAAATGATAGAAATGGAAACTCACTCGGATTTGATAGCTTCCGTTGGCTTTGGTGAGGTACCTGACCCATTTAACGCTCTGGTATCCGCTCTTTTCAAACACCTTCAAGAATCGAACGAGGAGGCCAGAGGAGGTGAACATTACGACTAGTCTTCGTTAGCTTGTTGTTCCCGAGCGAATGACACAAGCTCACCAGAGAAATCTAATTGTATGGGAGGTCGGGACCAGGCTTGACGATGTGTAGTGGCAGCAAGGTCGGCCTCTGCTGTAAGGGTACACTCCTGGGCTCCTTGCAATCTCGGGATCCTGCTCGCTGGTCAACAAATATCCACAAGTTGATTTGAGCAATAGAACTCACTTCCATACGATAAAGTTCTCTCCAGGGACGTATTTGGCCTTTCCGACGCTCACCTTGTTCCTGACCCCGGTAGTGTTCAGCGGCGTTGGAATCTTCAGCACCACGTTGTTGGCATTCAGCTTGCTGTCGAAGGCGGCTCTGAGGTGAATCGTATATTCCACTCTAGATTTACTGACTTCCACGACGTGTGTCTGTAGACGGAAGGGGAGGTTGATATTGGAAGTGGAGCGGTATCGCATGAGTTCAAATTCACCATCGGGAGGAATGAAGGAGATGGAGCGGTCGGTGTCGAATTTGCCGAGACGAACACATTGGTGGAATTGGCAGTCGTCAAGTTCCACGGCAGCGTCGGCTGACTTTGCTATTTGTTCACCGCCCCTGTTCCAAATCAGATAATGTCTTCTGCCTCTCGGTTGGTCCTTACCTCTTCTGAAGTACAAGCTTGTCGTTCAAACCAAACTTGCACTCCGGTGTACCGCTGAGATACGCTCTCATCAGGATCTGCCCATCCACATCCGCCCTCAACACTGTTCCCTCCTTGCTCATGAGCAGATTGACCGTCTCGATAACATCCACGAACGCCTCATTTTTTCTGTATTTGACATCTGAGCGTCGCCAGGATGTCGCACCCGTCGCCTGGATGGTGATTTTGGAAGAGTCCTCTCGGACAGCCATCTCCGACTTGATACTCTCAGTCGTGATGTACATTTTGAGGGTGTCGATCTCGGAGTTTTGAGGAAAGCCAAAGTCTATGATTTCATCGAGGAGCTCGTAGATGAGAACAAAGTTGTTCTTGACACTCTCTTCGTCGAGCTTGCCAAAGTAGCTTCTGGTGACGGTGATGAAGCGGTAGAGGAACTCGAAAACAAGAGCGGCAGAGGCATTGCACCTGCTATATGTCAGCGCAGACTTCATATGGAGGACCCTGAGCTTACTTTGTGACTCCTACGATGTAGACATTGTTGATGCGGACATGGAAGAATGAAGTCGAACCTAGCGTGATAATAGGCGACCGAACATCGGGATTGGAGATAACTTGAATACGAAAGACATCCGATATTGACCGTCTACGAGGGATGTAAGGATATAATTTCTCAGTATTGGCAACACCTACTTGACGTCTGGCCGAAACAGTCTAGAGATGAGGACCTGCGTAAGTGTAAGCGCGACACGATGGGACGGAGGACAGGTGCCGTACCTCGCCCTTTTGGTTGAAGAGGAAGAAGGCCTGCGTCGTGTTAGTTACTGCAGCTTTATACCACACCGTCCATACTCACGGATATCATCAGGGGCACTTGTGGATGATACAGTAAGGCTTCAACAACAATGGTCAAGGCAGAGTCACCGGGCGCGTCGTCGCTCATTGCCGCTAATCAGCATTACGTAACGGCTGTTCTATTCAATGCCGACTTTTTCGAGTCCACTGGGAGGGATGTATGACTCGCTTTTGCACCGACTCGACATAGAGAAGGGTGTATGCTCCGAAACATCTTGACAAGACACTCTCCACTCGCCACTCGACTCGTTCAACACAGACCCATATATCGATCAATCGCCGCCATGTCTGCCCCAGAGACGACCGTCCCTGCCCAAGAAACCCGACCCGTCGAGCAGGCCAAGCCCGCCGGCGCCGAGCCCGCTGTCGCCACCGAGGGTGTCGCTGAACAATCAAAGAAGGGTGCCAAGAAGGAAGCGAAGCGACTTGAAAAGCTCGCAAAAGCTGCCACTAAAACCTCATCTGCTCAGACTCAAGCGCCCAAGAAGGAGAAAGCCGAGAAGAAGGAGAAGAAGGTCGAGGCTCCTGCTGAGGCCTGGGTCAACACTACCCCCAAGGGCGAGAAGAAGGGTGAGATATGAAATCCGGAAACGCACCTCAGAGCTGACTGTCTATAGACGTCTCTGGCAACTTCCCTGCCGGTTACGACCCTACCCAGGTCGAGGCCGCCCACTACGACTGGTGGAATGCCAAGGGCTTCTTCAAGCCCCGATACGGCGCTGACGGCAAGCCCCTCAAAAAGGGTACCTTCTCCATCACCTTCCCTCCTCCTAACGTTACCGGTAACCTGCACATTGGTCACGCTTTGACTGTCTCATTGCAAGATGCTCTCATCAGATGGCAAGTAGTCTGTTTGATCTCGGCGAGCATGCTGACAAACGCACAGGAAGCGAATGCAGGGATACTCTGTCCTTTACCTCCCCGGCTACGACCACGCCGGTATCGCCACCCAGGCTGTTGTCGAGCAGCGTCTTCTGAAGACCGAAGGACACTCAAGACATCATTACGGAAGAGAAAAGTTCCTCGAAAAGGTCTGGGAGTGGAAGGACCAGTACCAGCAGAAGATCACCCTTCAGATGACTCGACTTGGTGGTTCTTTCGACTGGGACAAGGTTGCCTTCACTATGGACGACGTGAGTAGCGCCCCCTCGTAGTAACAACAAGTACTAAACTCTCTCCAGAACCTGAGTGTTGCTGTCAGGGAAGCGTTCGTTCAGATGCACGAGAAGGGTCTGCTCTACCGAGCCAATAGATTGGTCAACTGGTGTGTCTACCTCAACACCTCCTTGTCCAACTTGGAGGTCGACCAGCTCCCCCTCACTGGCCGCAAGAAGCTCAACGTCAAGGGATACGACCCTAAAGAATTCTTCGAGTTTGGTGTCATTACCTCTTTCGCCTACCCCATTGAGAACTCAGAAGAACGTATCATCGTTGCCACCACTCGTCCCGAGACCATGCTTGGTGATACCGCCATTGCCGTCCACCCCGACGACAAGCGATACACCCACCTGCACGGCAAGTTTGCTGTCCACCCCTTCAACGGCAGGAGGATTCCTATCATTACCGATGCGATCACCGTCGACATGGAGTTCGGTACTGGTGCTGTCAAGATTACTCCTGCTCACGACCCCAACGATTTCGAGTGTGGTCTCCGTAACAAGCTCGAGTTTATCAATTTGATGAATGACGACGGTACTTACAACGAGAATGCTGGCCCTTACAAGGTGAGCCATATTCTGTTCGCTCAATATGTGAACACTGACACAATTTGCAGGGTATGAAACGTTTCCACATCCGTAACCAAATCATCATCGACCTCAAGGAGAAGGGTCTCTTTGTCGAGCAGAACGACAACGAGATGCAGATCCCCATTTGCTCTCGTTCCGGTGATGTCGTCGAGCAGATTATCAAGCCTCAGTGGTGGATCAACTGCAAGCCTCTTGCGGAGGATGCTCTCAAGCGAACCCGTGCAGGCGAGCTCGAGATCAAGCCCAAGACTTCCGCCGGCGACTGGGTCAGGTGGATGGAGAACATGCAGGATTGGTGTATCTCTCGACAGCTTTGGTGGGGACACCGATGCCCTGCTTGGTTGCTCAAGTTTGACGGCGAAGCTCCCGACGTGAGTGTCTCATGTGAAACATAATGATCTGGCGTTAACCTTCGGACAGTCCTCTGACGACAAGAACTGGATTGTTGCCAGGACCGAAGAGGAGGCTCAGGAGAAGGCCGCCGCGCGCGCCAACGGCCGAAAGTTCACTATCGAGCAGGACGAGGATGTCCTCGACACCTGGTTCTCCTCTGGTCTCTGGCCCTTCTCCACTATGGGCTGGCCCAACAAGACTGCCGACATGGAGAACTTTTACCCCAACTCCATCCTCGAGACCGGTTGGGACATTCTTTTCTTCTGGGTCGCCCGTATGGTCTTCTTCGGTAACTCTCTTACCGACGTCATGCCCTTCAAGGAGGTCTATTGCCACCCCATGGTTCGAGACGCCTACGGACGAAAGATGTCCAAGTCCTTGGGCAACGTCATCGACCCTCTCGATGTCATCACTGGTCAAAACTTGGCCAAGCTCCACGGCGACCTCAGGCAGGGCAACTTGCCCGAAAAGGAGATCATCAAGGCCGAGGAGGGCCAGAAGAAGCTGTACCCCAAAGGCATCCCTGAGTGTGGTACCGACGCTTTGAGGTTCACTCTCTGTAACTACACTTCGGGTGGTAGGGACATCAACATGGATATTGGCCGTGTTGAGGGTTACAGAAAGTTCTGTAACAAGCTCTGGAACGCCACCAAGTTCTGTCTTTTCCGAATGGATGCCGTCGACCTGGCTGGTGTCAGGCAAACAAGCTCCTTTGTCCCCAACGCCTCTCACTTGGTATGTCATCTCTGATGTATCTGAATAATTCGCTGAACAATCACTAGCCTACTGGTCAAGAGGGTCTTGTCGAAAGATGGCTCTTCCACAAGCTCAATATTGCTAGTGCTGGAATCTCTGAGGCTTTGGAGAACCGAGACTTTGCCGATGCTTCCACTATTGCCTACCAATACTTCTTGAACGACCTTTGTGACGTCTTCATTGTGAGCTACACTTGTCTATGTTTTGTTCAGCTCTGACTGTCCTTGTAGGAAGCCACCAAGCCAATCTTTGAGGCCAACTCTGATGCTGCCGCCAAGCTTTCCGCCCAAAACACCCTCTACACATGTCTGGAAGCTGGTCTCAAGCTTCTCCACCCCTTCATGCCTTACGTCACTGAAGACCTGTGGCAACGTCTCCCCCGTCGCCAGGGTGATGCTTGCGAGTCTATCATGATCGCTCCCTTCCCCGAGAAGATTGCCGAGCAAAGCTTCCCCAAGGAAGCGGCCGCCTTCGATCTCGTTGTTGACTGCATCAAGTCTGCCAGGTCCATCATTGGTCTGTACAACCTTCCCACCAACGGCAAGACTGTTGAGGACAAAATCACCGTCATCATCCAGGCCAGGAACGACGAGCTGCTGCAGTTGTTCAAGTCTGTTGAGACTGTTGTCGTCGGCTTGACCAAGGGATGTGGCAAGGTCGAGTTCATCCGAGAGGACAGTGAGATCCCCCGTGGAAGTGGTACCGAGGTTGTCACCACCGACATAAGTGTTCACATCCCCGTCCAGGGCAAGGTCGACGCTGCTTCCGAAATTGACAAGCTCGAGAAGAAGGCTGTTGTTGTTGAGGGTCAGAAGGCCAAGCTTAACAAGGTCATGGGCATGAGCAACTACGAGACGAGTGTCAAGGAGGAGGTTAGGGCGCAGAACTCAGACAAGCTGGAGAAGATCAATGTTGAGATCGAGTCGCTGACTTTGGCCATTGAAAGGTTCAAGTTGCTTTTGTAGATAGACAATATAGCCGTATGCTTGCGAGATGTGAAACTTATAGTCCGCTTTATTGCCCATTTGCCTCAAAGATACATACAAATTTACAGCACCACTTGAAGACCTAGACTCTTCGCTGTCCCTACAATCCCCCTTGCGACCTTTTCCAGACCAACTGCCTTCAAATCCTCGTCCATACACTTGATCTTGGCAATCTCATAGATGTGTTTCACCGACACTGTGCCAACGACCTTCTTCATACCCTCTCCTGAACCTTTTTCTAGACCCGTCGTCTTCTTGAGGAGGTAGCTGACTGAGGGTGTACGCGTGGCAAAGGAGAATGTGCGGTCGGGGTTGATAGTGATCATTGTGGGTATAGGAAGGGAGGTATGGAACTCTGCTGTGCGGGCATTGCTAGTAGTAACTATGTTAGGCAATGATCATCAGTCTGGTGATGTGACGTACAACTCTTTGCAAAAGTCCATAGCCTTCACACCTCGGGCACCCAGAGCAGGACCGACCGGTGGTGTCGGGGCAGCCTTGCCAGCGGGTACCACAATTTTCTGTACAACAGCGTTCAGTGACTATGTTGGTGAAGTACGGAAAAGCTGAGACTTACGACTACCTGAGCAGCAATTGTTTTAGACATTTCCGATTGTTCGTATTGTAGGGGTGATCGGTAGAGAAGGGTACAAGCGGAGAGCGGTGAATGATGGACGAGTACAGATACTCGCTCTCGAGAAACGAAGTCAGAGGAGAGTGTCGAAATCTAAGGTGGAGGTCCACTTAAGAAGCGGCAATGACCGCTTCTGCATGAGGCTGCGGCCAGCCAACGATGATCGTCAACAAATGACCTCCGTCGTGCTACGAGAATTCTACTGTACTCGAGTACGGCCCGCCAACCAGACATAGCTCTGCATAGCCTTGAAGAGCTTCACAGCTCCTCACCACTCGTGTGCATCGAAGCAGCCGCCAAGAAGATAAGCCAGTGTCCCGGCCGGACGATCTCTTTACTTTTGGCGTAACCGACAATGGTATCCCTAGAAAGAGGTCATTGGATTGCGGTCGAGTCTATGCCTTAGACCACAGGTCCCCGAGGCGGGGCGCCTTGCGGTCTTACCTACCTCTGAAGTATGTTCTGAGTCACCGGTTGCCGATACGCCCCATTTGGAAGGGATCGAACACCTGACAAATTGATGGCGGGACGGAAATAACAGTCTGACAGATCACGCAGAAGATAAACAGGGCGTGGGAGTGAGCAGGTAAGAGAATCATGGAGATGGAGGCCGACAGGTCAAGGAACCAAACAAAGTGATTCCCTCTTTACCGTGCCTGGGCAATCATCCTTGTCGTCATCGTCGATCGTGCATCCTTTGATGTTGCATCTCATCGAGCGACAGCACAGAATGGCCTCCAAGCTTTTCTCCCCGCTGATCAGCCCTGCCCTCCGCTTTCTGCCCTGGGTGCCCACCACCCTGCTCACCCTCCCGCCCTCAATTGCGCTCCACATAGCACTCCACCCTTCTCCATCCCTCCCCAACTTTGTCGCATCTCCCGTCACCTCCCCCCTCCATCTCCCCCTTTTTTTCACCCTAGGCTCCATACCGATCTTTTACTTTCTAGGGCTGGTCACAAACAATATCAGCTGGGTCGACCGGAGCTGGCCTCTCTACCCTCCTGTCATCTCGTGCATGATCTTTGTCTGGGCTCTCATCAACCATGCTTCATTATCCTATGCCGGGAACATTCCCAGAATTACCCTCATGTTTGGCCTCCAAGTGAGTTTGATTGCATTGGACAAGACGTGCTGACTTTTCACAGCTGATCTGGTCTACTCGTCTCTTGTCTCACGCTACCAAACGCGGCTTTTATGACCTCAAAGGTCAAGACTACCGATACACTGTCGTTCAAAAAATCGTCCCCCGCTGGGCTTTCGCACTTATACATTTCTTTGTTGTGGCGATCGCCCAACCGATTCTACTCTTTGCCCTCTGCCTGCCTCTTTACGCCGCTCTCGTGTCTGCGCCTCTGCCGCAAGAGCAGCCCTGGTCGATACCATTCAGCGCAGTGGCTGGACTCTTGCCATCGCGATTGAGAACGGCTGTGCCACTTGAGACCCCCGTTCTGGCAGTATCAGATTACATCATGACTGCCATCTCCTTGTTCATTATCGTGGTGGAATGGCAAGCCGACAAGCAGATGTACGCTTTTCAGACAGGGAAGCACAATCTGATCTCAAGTCTTCCCAACGACCAACTCATCCATCCTTCTCCACCTACCTCCGAGGACCAGCCCCTCATTCAAAAAGAAGGTCTGCCTAAACCATCTCCCTACCCTGTCTCTCATCACCCGGGATACCCAACCCGAGGCATGTGGCGTCTATCGAGACATCCTAACTTTGCTGCCGAGCAGCTGTTCTGGGTCAGTCAAGGACTGTTTGCTGCGTTTACTGGTGCTGCCAGTGGTACAGCCGAACAGGGGTGGTTTATGAGGACAGCATTGGGCCCCTGCTTTGCCTTGAGCTTGCTCTTCTGTTCAAGCACCTTTCTTACAGAATGGATCAGTGGTCGCAAGGTGCGTCGTGACTCGTGCTTTATTCAATAGTGCTGACTTGTAGCAGTATCCTTCTTTTAAGAGGTACAAACAACTTGTGGGGGAATTCTTGCCTCAAGAGACTGCGCTTCTTTGGCTATGGGGTGTCGTCAGGGGCACTCGGGGGCAGCTCGTGAAAGAGATATATGAGGCTCCTCGGCCCGTTACAATGGCCAGACCGAGTGAACAGCATTACTGAGACGAGATATGATCTAGAAAACAAAAAGATGCATGATCAAATGATTATAGGTAGCAAGTGCCCAGAGGTGATAATAACATATCTCGATTCTCTAAGTTCTTTCTAAGACACAATTAGATTTTTGTTTCTTCCAGATGCCTCTCTACTCTCCAATATCGGAACGGTCATCCAACAGCACCTCTTCGTCATCCTCCCCAATCCCTCCCCTCTGCCTTCTACTCCTCTCGAGCTCCTTGCCACGCGGGGAAAGGATACCGAGGATGGCACATCGTCCCTCTTTCCACTTCATGTACACGAGTGTTGCCGTGATAGCCACCCAGTAAAAGATATATGTTGATCTAATGTGAATCAGTACTCAATCTCCCAGTACCAGGAGACACCAAGAGACGACTTACATTGTCCACCAACTGCCAGTATTGTTCCATCCGACCACAGCCTGCGCAACCTGGGCCCAGTTGTCCCCGCTTCCAGGTTCCGGGTCCCACCAGGTCAAGTGCCAAATGTTGCCCTTGACCCTATAGCTCCCTGGTCCATTGCCGCTCTCGGCAGCAGCAGCACCAACATGGTTGATAAAGTACTGCCTCTCGAGCGCATAAGCAGATCGGGAGCAAAGACCGGCGCCAATGTAGAAGAGGAGTAGGGAAGAGAATGCGGTAAAAGTGTGCACCGAGAGGGGGGAGGTGGAGGAGAACAAGAGGTAGGCACAGAGAGCACCGACGATCAAACCAGCGAGACCACCTCCAAACACAGAGGAAGGCTTCTCAGAGAGGCCAATACCGCCCAAGAAGACAATTCCTTCAAGGCCCTCTCGCAAAACCGTGATGAACGGAAGGCCAAACAAGATGGCAGTCGCCTTATTCGTTCGCTTCTTGTGGCGATGAGCATAGTGCGGGTGGAGAAGGCCGTTGCCGTGGTGAGGTGGGGGAGACGAAGCCTCTTCACCAGACTGGGTCTGGTATGCACTGAGAAGCTTGAGACGCCATTTGGTCTGCGCATGAGGGAGACGAAGGAAGGCGAGGGACATGACGAGGATGAGGAAAGCGGCAAGGAGACAGAAACCGCCCTCCCATAGGTTTTCAGCGTCTTGCCAGAGGTCTCTGGTGTATCGGTAGAACTATGGACAAGTGAGCGACGAGAGTCAAGTTTGATGATAGACTTACGACGTAGAGGAAGATGGCGCCGATGCCGATAGCAACACTTCCACCAAGCATCGCTCCACTCCAGATTTGGATTCGCATCTTCTTCATGATCGCCAGCCTATCCACATCGCCGCCGAGGACAACCTCCTCTTCATGCACATTATCATGCTCCTCGTCGTAGTATCTCGACGGGCTGGCATTTCGAGAAGCGCCGTACCGACTCCCTATTTCACTTGTAGATGATATGAGCTGAGTGCCAGAGTTGTTGGAAAGATCAGACTCGGCAGAGTGGCGGGGCTCGGGGGTGGAAGGACGAGATGGGCGGAGGGTCTGCGATGGGCGACGTGGTGGTTTGGAGGGGATGATTTGAGTGATGAAGCCAAGAAGAACCGCGACTAAATGTACGTGTAAGTTGTGTGCCGATTTGAAGAAGCAAGCAAGCAAGCATACTGATGATTCCTGCTTCGAGACTTTCTCTGAGCAGGATGAAGAAGGCTACTGGCTGGGCAAAAAGTCAGCAGCGATTGGAGGATTAGGGATACTCTTGCTCACAGAAAAGTACTCAGTGAGCGCCATAATGTTGGGTGGCCTTGGGGCCGTGGAGGATCAGTTTTCGGGATGTGGACGAGAGAAAGTGGACATTCGCAGGATAGGCGCCGCATCAGATGTCTTGTCCGATCTTTCGGACCGCTTCGTATCGGCGATCCCCGACTTTCACAACGTTGTTGTCAAGCCATATAAACACTGCATCTGCCGCAACACCATCGACGGCCATAGCCTCCTCAAAGTACCGCGTCCCGTCTGATCCGCGAAGTCAACTAGGAGAGCGCTCGGTTAGTACCAGGGTGGGGGACCACCTGGGAATCCCGGGTGCCGTCGTTTTTGCCTTTTTGCTTGGCACTGTTGATCCAACTGCTTATAGTATAGTTGTGGGGAACAAGCTTGGACATGGCAAGTATTTGAAGAGCGTGAATTCATTACAATAACATCAAGAGGCGCAAGCCCATATCTTTGCGTAGTGTACAGACAGTCTATCGAGGTAGTATGCCTCTTTTACAAACTTCTCCCTGGCAAGCTCGGAACCCTGCCCTTTGCTAGTTCCGGCTGACACCTCTTCAGCTCATGACACCTCTCCCGCAATCCCTTCCCCAACGCAGGCACCTGCCCTCCATTCTCCTCCACCTTGACTCGCATCATCCCCTCCAAGTCTCGGTCGAGATACTCCTGGAGTTTGCTAACGGTATAGTCCAAGCGCATGTCCTCTGGGATGAATCGCTCAATGGGCGTAGACATGGCCCGCTTGACAACCTCCACAAGCTCGGTGTAGTTTTTGGCGTTGTAAGAGTAGACGTAGGGTTCTCCGATGCGCAGAGCAGGGCCATGCTGGGAGAAACCAGAGTAATGTCGCCATTCGGATGGCTCTTGCTCGTCGTAGAAGACGGGGACGATCACTGGGGTACCCTGACACCTACAGCAGCGTAAGCTCCACCCAGAACCGCAAAGCTTTTGTACTTACAAAGAAGCATAGACACTGGGACTGATGGTGGGGACTCCGACACCGATCATAGCCTTGACGCTGCCGACCAGCTCGTTATAGCCGTCAATGCTCTGCATGCCGATCGTCTCCAGTCCATCAGGCATGGGCATGCCTTCTTCGATATTGGCCGTGGAGATGAGGTCAATGCCGTCAACGCGGGTGAGGTTGGTCCAGAACTCAGGAGGAGAGACGTGGTGGTAGTGGAAGTATGCTGTGAAACGAGGTCAGCAAGTGGTATGACTGACGAATCTACGCTACTCACCAGAACGCTTCGCGAGGATCAAAGCAGAATCCCTTCGCTCTTCAAGAGGCGTGAAGGGGAGTGCCATGCACTGTTCTTCCATCGTGTAGGGCAAGTGGAAGTGTCCACCTGGAAGTGGCCAAGGTCTGACAAAGCGTCAGTGATGTCAAAGACCGACGTCGCAAGTCACTCACGTCGCAATCCATTCTTGCCCAAGCGGTTGGTAGCTCCAATCACCCTTCTCGGTAATTCCCCACCAGTATTCGTTGTGCGAAATCTGCTTAGGACGTGCTCCCCACTTGGATCATGTCAGTATCGCCATCGATGTGTGACTGGGACGAGCTCACATAGTCTACAACATTCAGAGCCCAGAGCGGGATGACACCTCTCTCCTCATCAGGTATGCCGATTGAGAGATCCTCAGCGCCCTCTGGAGGGGTGTAATGCTCTTTGGCGATACACCGAGGGTCGGTAGCGCAAGAGACAACCTCCATATCACTGCCCCAAAGTGTTTTGTAAACGTCAGGCATCATCTCGGCGGCTTGGATCCAATTCTGATAAGGTCCAATGCCAACCCAGAAGTAACCCAATTTCTCAAGTTGCTCCAGCTGAACCTTTCGTTAGCATTTGCAGTGTCTCTCAAGAAAACTAAGGAACTCACGACAGAGCGCTGCCAAACGACTTCGCCCGTGGTAGTTTCGGTCAACACCGTCGCCGTGTACCACCACCCGGAAAGGACGAGGGGCTTTTCAGGGCATGGTGTATAGTCGGGATCTGACACCGGCAAGAAGCACTTGCTCATTTTGGTAAAAGTATCCACATTGTGGTCCACCGCAAAGTACCAGTGTTCACTGGCAACCTTTCGTTAGATGACGGCATAGGCGGGAGGAAGAAGGGAAAGGCGGGAGGCTTACTGCTGGTGTTCGATCTCCCTTTGCAGAACAGCCTGCGTCTGCCTGTATTGCCTCGCTTTCAGACAGCCGACTGGGTCTTCAGACTCTGGTCTTGACGGATCCCACCCTCTGCACTCTTTCGTCTCTCCGTTTCCCAGCACCGATGACGGTATCCATTCGCCAAAATTGTCATTCCCCCAAGTAGCCATCTTGTTTAACCGTTCATCGTGTCCAGAGAACCCCACAAAGTAGGAAGTCCCTATTGTTAGAGTCACGAGAGCGATAGTGAGGTTGCGCCGAGTCAAGCGTGGTCTGCCAGACGGAGGGGTGTAGCCGAGAGAAGGTGAGGAGGTCGGTAGGAGGGTGTAGCCGTTTTGAGGCATTCTGTTATCTGAGCAACTTGTAGACTGAGAGGGGATGTGAAGTAGATTGATAGCATGCAAACGCTTGCCGCCTTTTGTACTAGTCTGATTTCCATGTGAAACTGCACTGCACAGTGGCGGCCATGATGCAAGTGCGATATAGGGGGCCAAACTCGTTATCCTGATCTTGGGCCTCAGATCAACGTTAATTCGCCGTAATGCCACTACCAAATTTAAGGCCTCGCTTGCCCGGTGCCTCCTCGCCTTGCGCACTCTCTGGTACAGTAGGTCTTCTTGCTTCTCAGGCTCTGGACTATGGACTCTTCTGGACTTTCTCATGCCCGGTTCGGCGGGTAGGGGCGTTGACGGGAGCGTGCACAAGTGTAGCAGCTTTCTCATACATGGAGGGCAATGGCACACACCCAAGTGCACCCTGGCAACTAACTGCTTTCGGGTCGTCTCTTTACCCTTGCCTGCATGTCTTCGATGGCGCTGAGCGGTGGCTTGTGGATTATGGCAATCGAGATATGGATACTGTACCTCTCGGGTTGGAGCATATCGGGTGTGGGCCCTTTTGTGTGTCTCTGGCGTTGGACGGTAACTGGATATAAGTCTGAATGTGGTGACTGCGAAGCGAAGCGCCATATGCGGTGTGTCACGCCTCTCAAGCCAAAAAAACCCTCCAGTGCCGCCAGGTCCCAGGCACAGAGGCAGCATCCGCAACTAAATCGCTTTTAATCGCGTTTCGCCTTTCACGTGTCTAATCTTAGGTTCGTACCTGAGCACCTCCTTATCGCCCGTCGCTCGACAGTCGCCCGACACCCGATCGGCGATCGCCCACGTTCACGTCCACGTCCACTGTTTTGGCTCACACTTGCATGCTTTCTGCCCCAAGTGGCAGCGCGATCCAAATAGCTCGTACATTTTAGCCCTTCCTCAGGCCCCGTCTACTCTCCCATATCACTCAAGTCATTCCCAAAGACAATCATTTTGACATTATTCTTCACATCATCCGCCACATCGCACCTATCCACACCCCTCCACGCCCTTTTCGCACACTCATTCGCTTCCTCCTCACTCATGTCGGACGCCCTCTGGGCAAGGCTGTGGATCATCTGGGGCATACCATCGAAAGAAGCTGTTTGCTGCTGACTGGAGATGGCGCTTGTCTGTTGAGCAGGGTCGAGTGGAGAAGCCTCGGGGAGGAAGAGATCGTCTGGATTCTCGTACGATTGCGAGGGCTGAAAGTCACTGGCGGAGGTGCCGCCGACCACTCCAGGACGAGAGATATCTCTTTGATAAGACAGGGTGTTTGAGTCATCCAGCCCTTCACCAGCTGTCCTTCCCTCAACATGCGTTGTTTTCTCTACGACATCTGCGTCCTCTTCCTCCAGTGGTTTCTGCTCTTCCTCCGGTGATTCCTGCTCTTCATTGCGCTTTTCGGGGGCATTCTGACCCTCAATGACAGCAGCTTCAAGTTCTGTTGGACCCTCTTCTGTCGTCTCCTCGACGGTAGTGGTGGCCGCGATGTTGGGTGTCGATGTAGAAGGTGTGCGATGGGCAGATCCCTGGTCTGATTGTTGTGCGACAAGGCTGTGCTGGGGTGGGGTAGAGGCAAGCAGTTTCCCTTTGCTCTGACAGCGAGTAGCGGGGTAGGACGAGGAAGATGGTGGGTGGGTGACATGGGATTCTGGGGGAAGCGGTTGGGGGGCGGGGACAGGGGCTTGCTGCTGACTGATCTCTTTTGCCGAAGCTGACCTCGTAACTGGCATGATGAAGATGAGAGGACTTTGACTCCGCCTCCATAGAATATATAAGTAAGGCCTTGAGATGCGCTCGAAAAGGTGCTTACAGCCTGATCTTGCACTCACACCTGACCTTTCGCACCCAGCGCTCTCGACGAACTCCTCCTTACAGTCTATCGATGTATTATGTTTGGTGGAATGTAAGGCTCCTCGATGATCACACTGGAAAATATGAGGAATGAAAGCTGAGGAAACGAAAGAGAAAGAGAAATGGAAGATGTAACGAGAATATATACCCTTGACGCGTCATCTGCTGCCCGCACGGACCCCCTTTTCAACATGAACCCGGTAGGTCTCCCATAATGCATGTATGGCTCGTATACAGGTATGCGCGCCCGCATTCATTCACATGAGAGCTCACGCCTTCTTCTGTGCACCTGGTACAACCCTGCCGCCTTCCCCTTCACCCTTCATCTTGCCCTTCTTCCTTCTCCCGACTGCATTCTCATCGACCAACCTCAGCGCCACCCTGTCCACCTCCTTGTACTTTAACGCCAGACCCTTCTTCTCTGCTTTCAGATCGCCCCACGGCCTGCCCTCCTCTTTCCTCCACTTGGTGATCTTGGCAATCTCAGATGCAGCCTTGTTCTGGTCGGTAGGCAAAGAGCGGGGGCGCGGTAGGATGTTCTGAGGAGGAGGAGTCTTGGAGCGAGGAAGAGGGGCAGTAGAGCTAGCTCCAGAACGGTAGGTGGTTGTAGTGACTGTCGCCCGTCCCTTCCCCTTCTCCTTGGCCCCGATAGAGATGACTTTACGAGAGTTCCCAAGGGGCACGTTGTTTGTCCCCGTCAGCCCCACAGGTAAAGTAGGGAAATTCCCTCCGCCACTCTCAGCCATGAGAACCTCTTGCCTCTTTCTTTCACGTTCTTCTTCCTCGCCCTTCTCCTTCAGTAGTTGCTCATCAAGATCATTCTCCACCGTCAAAAGCAGTCGGGTAAGTTGAGCGGACGAGTACAGAGGCTTGGCGCAGGAAGGGCAAGGGAGTTGAGGAGCGTGGAGGGAGCAGACGATGAGGGCACAGTTGGGGCAGATGGGGGTATACTTTGAGAGAGGATGTATGCGGGCTGTTGTCGTATGAGCTTACTAGTCAATGTGAGGATGACGCGAGACAGACCTTGGCAGAAGCAATTATGCCCGTCCCCGGGCTGTGGACCATCGTCCTTGATCTTCTTCAGTGCTTCGATGATGCTCTCAATCTTCTTGACCTCCCGGCTTTTGGGAAGATCCCAAATCTTCTCGGCGGCTTTGCCCTTGCCCTTTGCACCGCCAGCTGAGCCCTTTCCCTTGTCCACGACATTGTAGTGGACTGCACCAGCTTGTCGAGGCACAGGGGTCGAAGATCCCGAGCGAAAAATCCCACCCTGCGATCCAGATACCCCTCGGGACAGGAAAGAAGCTTCATCCGCATCCCTATTCTTCATATACACCTTTCCTCCCGGTCCAAAGGCGTCTTGTATAGCCCTGCTGCTCCCTGCGCCCGAACTCGAGCCCGGCACTGGGGATTTGACATTCGCTTTGGACTTGGCAATGTCGGAGTCGGGAGCGAGCTTGGTATTGGGCAGGGCGGAGGCGGTGTTGGAGATTGATGGGAAACGGAGGGCGAGGTAGCGAGTGGTAAAGTCTCTGGCAGCTTGAGTGGGGCCGAGGAAAGACTGCATAGCGTCAGCACATGTCTTGCTATACACTTGACCAGACTCGCCTGTAGGTGAGCCCTGAGTCTGGCCTCGGAGGCTACTTCCTCGAGCTGAGGCATGATCATCTGGGCGACGGTCTCCTCGTCTTTGATACGGTCAGCGACGGCAGCTCGGGAGGGATGGAGACGCACCGAGCCCGAGAATTTTGGTCATGTCGTTGACGATCCATGGGGGTCGTTGTGGTGCCATGCTGGGTGACAGTCTTAGAGTAGAACTGTTCGAGATTACTGCACTACGTAGTATTGGAGACGGATCCGGCGCGGGATCAAATACAACGCGGACATCCCCGCGCCACTCTTTCACCAAGACTGACACCAAGATGCCCTGACTCTCTCTTCCACAACCCAACATGTCCAATCGATACGACAGGCCCTACCAAGGGTCCTCCTCCAGACGCCAGGATGACCGCAACGGGTCTCGCTACGAAGACGACTACAGCCGCAGGGACAACAGAGACAGCCGGGATAGGGGATACGACAGGGACTATGACAGGAGGAGAGACAATAGGGATTACGACAGGGACAGGTATAGAGACGAGAGGGATCGGTATAGGCACGATGATAGGGATAGGAGAAGGGGGGATGATAGGGACGATAGGAGGAGAGACGATAGGGATAGAGACAGAGGAGGTTACGAGCGGAGGAGAGACGACAGAGACAGGAAAGAACCGAGTCCCCGAACTCCTTCTGCTTCCACTTCGTCTATACCTCCCCCAGAGGGGGAGACAGAGGCAGAGAAGAAACAAAGACTGAAGAAGGAGAGGTTGGAGGCATGGAAGAAGGAACGCGCCTTGAAAGAAGGCAAGCCTGCTACCGCCACTCCTGAAGTAAGAAGCCCTGCACCTCCCTCGAATCTTCCACCAAAACCAGTCGGATTCTCAATGTCCCGCATCGGTCTCCCCCTGAAATCTTCTGCTCCTATGAAGCGATCCCTGACTGCCCTCGATGATGAAGATGAGTCGGACCGCAAGCTGCAAAAACTCGACTTGCCCGATTTCGACCGACAAGTCCAGTCTGGCGAGGCTGCCAAAATGGGCGCTATTGGTGACGATTTGGCGGTTGCCGATGGGGATGAAAATGAAGACGATCAAATAGTCAAGGAAGAGTCGGACAAGATGGAAGTGGATCAGGAAGAGGAAGAAGAGGAGGACCCTCTAGATGCTTTTATGAAGCAAAACACCAAGGATGTGTCTTCGGTCAATGACAAGGACGCCAAGAGGATGGGCTTGAGGGTAGCCGAAGATGCCAGCGATGATGAAGAGGGCAATACCAAGGTTGTGGAGAAGGACAAACTTGCCGAGGCGGAGGCTCTTCTAGCGTGAGTCCTGTAATCTTTTACATTTGCCTCTTTGCTTACCCAATCACAGCCAAGCAGCTGCGAAATCACGCAAGAAGGACCTGCCACCTCCAGATCACTCCAAGATTGATTACGAACCTTTCCGCAAGGCTTTCTACGTGCCCCCAGTGGAGGTCCTCGAGATGGACGAGGAGGAAGCCGAGTTGATGCGTCTGGAGATGGATGGTATCAAAATTCGAGGTACAGATGCCCCGAAGCCGGTTAAGAACTGGGGAGCCTTCGGTCTGCCTCAGGGATGGTGAGTACTTGACACTGGAGGAGATGATCTAGCTGACACGAACGACAGTCTCGACGTCATTAGACACTCTGGATGGGAGTCTCCCACATCTATCCAAGCTCAGGCCATTCCCGCCATCATGTCAGGTAGAGACGTGATCGGCATCGCCAAGACTGGTTCCGGTAAGACCGTCGCCTTTGTTCTTCCCATGATCCGTCACGTCCGCGACCAACGTCCCGTCACCGGTTCCGAAGGCCCCATTGCCATCATCATGTCCCCCACCCGAGAGCTCGCCACCCAAATTTACAAAGAGTGCCAGCCGTTCGCCAAGGTGCTCGGTCTGAGGGTCACGTGTTGTGTCGGTGGCTCGTCTATCAGTGAAGATATTGCGGCAATGAAAAAAGGCGCAGAGGTTGTCGTCTGTACACCGGGTCGTATGATTGATCTTCTTACTGCCAACAACGGTCGAGTCGTTAACGTTCGACGTACGACGTACATGGTCATGGACGAGGCCGACCGTATGTTTGACATGGGTTTCGAACCCCAGGTCATGAAGATCGTCAACAACGTACGACCTGAAGCCCAAAAGGTACTCTTCTCTGCCACTTTCCCAAAGACCATGGAATCGCTGGCAAGGAAGATCCTGATCAAGCCTTTGGAAATTACCGTTGGTGGACGATCCGTCGTTGCTCCTGAAATCGACCAGCGTGTCGAAGTCCGTGAAAGCGATACCAAATTCACCAGACTGCTCGAGATCCTGGGTGAGATTGGTGAAGAGCACAAAGACGACGAAGAAGACTTCCGAACCCTCGTCTTTGTTGACAGGCAAGAATCCGCGGATGATCTGTTTAGAGAGCTGTTACAGAGAGGTTATGTTTGTGCTTCCTTGCATGGTGGTAAAGAACAGGTGGACCGAGATGAGGCGATCAAGAACTTCAAGAATGGCGATGTTCCCATCATTGTCGCGACTTCTGTCGCCGCACGAGGTTTGGATGTCAAAGAGTTGAAACTCGTTCTTGTGAGTACTCTCCCTCATCTACATTGTTCATAGCTGACTTCCATCACAGAACTACGACGCCCCCAACCACATGGAAGATTATGTTCACCGAGCTGGTCGAACTGGGCGTGCAGGGAACAAGGGAACGTGTATCACATTTATCACCCCTGAGCAAGAGCGTTTCTCCGTTGATATCGTGCGTGCGCTTGAGGCGAGTAAGGCATTCATCCCGGACGACTTGAAGAAGATGTCAGATGGTGAGTCTTTCTCCACATCTGGGCGAGATATGCAGGCTGACGTGGTGTGAAGGCTTCCTTGGCAAGATCAAGAGCGGAAAAGCCAAAGCTGCCAGCACTGGGTACGCTGGAAAGGGTCTCGAACGTATTGAGCGCCGCCGAGAGGAGAAGGACAGGGCCGAAAAGACCACATACGGCGATACCTCGGAGGCTCTCTCCCTCTCTTCCCGTGAAGGCGCAGTCATTCCTTACAAACCCAAGACGAACGAGTTCAAGCCTCCCGAGACATCTCACAAGGGCGATGCCGACTACACCTTTACAGAGATTAAGGTGGACATCATCAATGGCCCTGCCCCAGACCGTGTCGCCCAGGCGCCCACGTTCGATCCCAAGAATGCAGTTTCTTCGCTTCCTGCGCAGACTGTCGCTGCTCTCAAGAAGGCCGAGAAGGAAGGGAGACACGTCGATGCTGCTCGCTTTGCCAGTGTTATCGCTAAGCTCACTCAATCTATCGAGCTCACCAAAGCCGAGAGGCTTGGTCTGGCCGATGCTCCATCTGCTCCCCGACTCGGCGTGGGTGCGCGCACAAAAGACCCGGATGCCACCGATTGGCACGCCATCTTCCCCATCAATGATTACCCTCAGAAGGCTCGTTGGAAAGCTACCAACAAGGAGCAGATGACCCTTTTGCAGGAAGTCTCAGGGGCAAGTATCACCATGCGTGGCAGATACTATTCGCCTGGAGATGAACCTGGTCCTGGGGATGAGCCCAAGCTCAGTCTGCTCATTGAGAGCAACGATGAGATGAGGGTGAGGGCGGCTGTAGAGGAGATCAGGCGTGTATTGGTGGAAGGTTCGGTACAGGCGTTGAACACCGTGGACCGCGGCGGCGCGTCAGGGAGGTACGCGGTGTAAAAAAAGACTCGAAGAATGACGGCCGAGGTGTACGTGTATCTCTGCTGACGTGTATGCATACAAGTATCGCTCTACTGACCATGCTCACTGTCTGCATCGCCATGGGTGGCGACAAGAAATGGTGGCCAAAGTCGAGGAAGTCAAGAAGCAGTATTATCTGAGTGCTCGCACCTTGCTCTCTGCTCATCTCAAGCATAGATTCTGTATCAATTCTGCGAATCGCAAGATCATCTCCTCTCCTACTGCTCCCAAAACAATGCGGTAAGTTGTTGAATCGTGGCACGCTTTGGTTTTCTTTTGGAACGCAAGCACAGCCTATGGGTTATCTTCCACATGTCATGTATCACCTCACGGCGGATACGCACTTTCTCCTGATGATCATGTTCCTGGTAGTAGCCTATATATAGAAGCGATATGAGCAGCTTAACCCATCTTGCATGCGTCAGATGATACTTGAATTGTGTCACGATTGAGCGGCAGTCAGCAAGCATCGCCATACATGTCATAGGAACTACAGCCTGATATGTAACATCTCAAGCCTTGTCATCACCAATGATGACAGTGTCACCGGTCTCTCCATCAATGATCTTGATGACACCATCTTCGATAACGACTTTGGAGGGAGGCATCTTGTTGATCGATATGTTGTTATGTAACGTCATTAGGCGGTACTGAAAGCCAGAGCTGGTAAGCGTTGTTCACAGTCCTACGTCCCAGCAGTCTCACATCATATCAAGCGAAGTCTTCAGATGGACCTGACGACAAAGAAGGTTGATTATTATAGAAAGGGTTGGTGAATTCGCCTCTGTGATATGCTCTTTCAGTCAACTCGAGACTCGCCACCAGACATCTTTGTGGCACTTTCCAGCAGGGTTTGGCCGAGTCGAACAGGTCACAGCAACAACATGTCTATTGTTCACTGGGAAGGCGGGGTTTGAACGAAGAAGTTACGCGAAGCACCTACTATACTCGCGTCGCATAGTCGTTGGTCGCCCTGCATCTCCTTTCGTCGTCCTTCACGAAGCAAGCGTGGTGTCGATCCAGTTCGAGCTCGGCCTCCTTGCCAAAGGTCGAAACACATGAAAGGACCTATCCAAATTTGAGGTGTCGGACTTGTTCATGTCGACCAGACTTTATGACGTGAAAAACTGACATTCGCGTGATTTCATCTGCTCATCATCCCACCTCTTCACGCCATTCTCACTTAATCATACCCAGCTCATACCGGTCACGTTTCGAGCCACAACCCAAAAAAAATTAATTGTCACCATGCTTCACAACGAAGGCTTCGTAGAACCTACCATTCCCTCCGTCCCTCGACCTTACCCAGTATCCCTACCGGCTCATGGCGACAACATCGCTACCCAGTGAATTGAAAACGAAAGCTGAGAGAGATTGCGCAATATTACATGAGATGCAGTGTCAATACTTTTGAAACCCAGGATTTACAGATGACTATTATACCTTCTCCGACCCATTGTCCGCTTGGCCACCCGTATGATTCTGCTCATGACCCTCAGCGTTCTGCTTCTCCTTCCCCGGACTCCTCTTAACACCCTTGCCTATCGTCCCCATTCCCGTAAGGGAGAAGATGGCGATGCACAGAGCCGTAAAGCTCATAGCCGCACCCAGCCAGAAAGCTGCGTGAAGGCCTTGTAGCAGTGCCTGCGTTTCGCTCATGCCCTTGGCCAACGCTTTCTGCATTTGAACGTCCGAGATCACAGAAGTCACGGCAAGACCAAAGGATCCACCGAGCTGGATGAGGGTTTGGAAAAGAGCGCCGGCGACGGATTGTTCGTCTGGCAAAGAGAGAGCCGCGACGAAAATCATACCAGTTGCCATCAAGCTGCCCGTGTTATCAGTCGACAGACTTATTATAGTGGTTGGTTTCACTCACAAGTCTGCGCCAACTACCGCAAGCCACATGGCGTTGAAAGGCATTCTCCAGTAAAGAGTATCCTGTTGGGAGATAGCCATCAAGACGTTTGCAACGCTGAGCATCCCATCAGCAACAGTCCAACTCAAGAACGGTGATACTCACCCTGTAGAGATCAAGCCCACACAAACCAGCCATTGGGTCCTGACTTTGCTCACCAAAAAGGCAACGATGACATTGCACAAGATACCAGAGACAGAAGTCGGCAGGAAACGGAGCATAGCGCCCACGGCGCCAGTGTTCTGGACCTGCTGGAAGAAAAGGGTGGCGTGGTAAAACAACGATGTGAAACCCATCCAGGTAACAAAGCCGATGAAATAGACAGCAGCAAGCCGTCCCTTGGCTCTAGTCCAGAGTTGCAGACGCATGAGAGGCGGCCGAGAGGTGTTCTTGATGATATGTCTCTCCCAAACGAAAAAGCCAACGACCAAGAAGAAGCCAATAATAAGGAGTGCGATCACGTCTGTAAGGATCGTGAGTATGTCGTGTTGTTACAGTATGGAGTACGTACAGCCAGTCTTCCAGCCGTTGGGGGCACCTTCACCGTCACTGATACCGAACTGAATGAAGACCAGACCGACGGTGACCATTGCAGCACCAATCCAATCCACTCGGCGGTCATTGGTATGCGACACATCATTGGGGATGATAAACATGGCACAGACAGCGTTGCCAAAGGCCAAGCCTGCAAGGCAGTACAGGGCACCACGCCAAGTATCCCTGATCCCTTCGTCAGCCCTTGACTAAGTTTGGAAAGCACTTGAAGACCACTGACTTGACATATGCGGTAAAGAGTCCTCCCAAAAGCAGACCCAAAGCCCCTCCCACTGGAGCACCTGCGGAAAAGGAAGCGAAAGCAGTTGACCGTGCTTTCCCCGTAAAAGTGTGGGCGATAATTCCAACCGCACTTGGCGTACTCATCGCCGCTCCGCATCCAGCGAGTGCCCTCGTGACGACCAAAGCAGCGCCGTTTGTCATGAAGCCTCCTATCAGGGTCCAAATGGCATACCATATGACCCCGATCATGAATAGCAGTTTGCGCCCTTGGACATCTGCCAGGCGACCAGAGAGCAGGAGGAAACAGCCATTCGTCAAGGAGTATGCACTGTTGACTGTGACGGAAGATTAGTCTCAATCTGCGACCTCCGCAAGTCACTTACCCCACTGCAGATTCGACTCGGTCAAACCCATATCATCTTGAATCGTGGGCAGAGCTATATTGAGTGTCTGCTGCCCGGCAGAAGACATGCACATGGTGAACGTGACGATGGCCGCGATACCAAACAATCGTGTCGAAGATAATTGCGGCGGCGGATTCTCGGGCTCGCCGAGCTGCATGTCTGCCAACGTGGCTCGAGTCGCTTGTCTTGACAGTGGCTCATCCTGAGAGTCTTCTGCCTGTGGCTTGGTCGAAGATTGACCATTTTGGGTATCGCTGGGCACTGAAGAGCTGGGACCGTCTATTTCGAGCTTGTTCAAGGTGGCGTCGGGGGAATCCGAAGACAATTTGCCGACGTCCTGGAGCTTCCCTTGGTCGGGTTGATAGCTAGCCATACCCTGCTAAAGTTCCACCGGGACCCGAAAGGCGAGTACGAGTGTGCTGAGAGAGCGAAAGATGATTATAGATAACAGAAAGGTGGAGATACAAAAGCTCCCTAGCTGTTCGGAAACTGTTAATTGACCGCAGTCGGTGGATCTCTACTTCTCTGCCGAAGCCTGCCGAGCCCAGGCACGCACGATTCCAACATTCAACGGCTCCATCTCGGCTTTCTCGCAGCCCTCGCCCCCCAAGCCATGTGCAGTTGTGAGGTGACCAGCTGATAGAGCACTGCGAAATGTTCTCCTTTGTTCTCCTTGAGAGCAGCCCTATAGCAGTTTCCAGCGCATATCACCTCCTATTATTACCATTCTCCGCAGTGCCCGGCCACAGCGGAACTGCAAACCCCGCCCCGCATTGGGCCCATATGACCCAACAACTGTACAGTGCAGTATATCATGTGACTTTCAATCGACCAGCCGTCCACTATCAAACATATATCAAACCCATCATCATTCCGACCCGGGATTCCCAACGTCCCGACGAGCGTTCTCCAACTCCTCACTGCCTGCCGCCTTTACGGGGTGGAGTTGCCGAGGCTGTAGGTCAAGTGGAAAAGAAAGGTGACAGATTTCGAAGCCGGGTCAAATTGCAGGAGAAGGGAATCGAGCATGGCGAGCAGTTCAGACCATACATCAGCATGAAAATCTCCATACATATCATTCAACCAGCTTTGCAGGGAGAGAAAAGCGAGAGAGACGAGAAAAATAATTTGAGAGAAGAAAAGGAAAAAGGAGCTGGGCCGCCAGCCGTTCCAGATGCAGACTGATAAAAAGGATGGAAAGGTGGATGGAGCTCTAGGGTAATGCGTGGATACGGGAGGCGGCAAAGAATCTCTTCCCATAGATTTGGCGGCTTATTGTACACAGATGGGGAGAACGTAGAAGAACTCAAGACAGGTGTGAGCGGGGAGAGAGAAATCAACTAACGCCGGCCACCGGGGTAACCGCCGTATTTCGGCTTCTTCTCTGCGGGTTTGAGGATCTATACAATGTCAGCACGATTGCTGAGGCAAAGGTTGATGCTCACTTGGAATGAACAAAGTAAAGTGTCATCTACGCTCATCATGGCACCCGCGTTATCGAATTCACCGCAGTAATTGGGGGCAGAGAAGAGAGTGACAAGCTGTCGCTTGGCAAAGAACTCGTAACCATCCTCGACGACCTGCCAGCGAGTCAGCCACGTCTCTGCAAAAGGCCTGTATCAACTCACCTGGTGCGCTCGACAGATCAGGTCCATATCGTGCTTTTGCAAGAACCGAGAGACAACGTCCGGACCGAAAGTGAACGAGACACCTCGGTCGTTCTCGCTCCATCCAGTGATATCCTTGTCGGGATCAGACCAAAGCAAGTCACAGAGAAGACCTGGAAAGGCATCAGCTCCAGTCAAAGAGGCACTCGAGGTTACTCACCAGTGTCAGGGACATCTGTCGGTCGCATCACTCTCCTGATCTGCTCCATGCTTTGCAAGTCGGGACTCAATCCACCGTGCATCGTAAAGATCTTTTCGTCAATGATGGCGGCGATGGGAAGACAGTTGAAGCAGTCGGTAAAGGTCTTCCAAAGCTTGATGTTATAACGACGCTTGCCTGTGAAAACGTCAGTCTTGGCCAAATTGCGGTGCACAATGTACGTACACTCATCGTAGAACCCGTAGATCCTGTTGATACTGGCGCACTCGTGGTTTCCTCTCAAGATGAAAAAGTTTTCCGGGTACTTGATCTTGTACGCCAACAACAAGCAGATGGTTTCAAGCGATTGCTTGCCTCGGTCGACGTAGTCTCCGAGGAAGAGGTAGTTTGCTTCGGGGGGGAAACCTCCGTACTCGAAGAGTCGCAGAAGGTCGTAATATTGTCCGTGGATATCACCTGAGATCGATTGACGTCAGTCAGGGTCCATAGAGTCCTAGATGGACGTACCGCATATCTTGATGGGCGCTTCGAGCTCGAGGAGGATGGGTTGGCTGATGAAGATTTCACGAGCCTTGGTACAGAGATATTTGATCTCGTATTCAGCCAGTTGAACGGCTTTACCGGGTCGGTTGCCGCGCACTGATGCCAAGTCAGCATTCTGTCAACAATTGGGAATTTGAGTGTTTGACTGACCTTCTAACAATCGGTCAATGACGGAGTCAAGGTCGATCTCTTGCTGGTCTCCCATTGTGATAGAGTTTCAGAGAAGAAGGTGGGAAAGATGGGGAATGAAAGTGGCTAAAAGCTGTTGATGTCCGTGTCAGCCCAAATCGTCCCGCGTAGTGTTCATTTTTGAAAGGTCGATTCCACCGCGACCTCCTCCCTTGGCCTTGCATCCTCGTCAGGCTGCCCCGAGAGGCAAACTCGATCGTGGGACGATGACGACTGAGGAAAACTGTGGACAGGCCCGAGCTGGAATACGGACGGCCAGCAAGTGGCAATTTGTGCCCGCTTTCAATGGTCCTACTTCTGCCAAGCGGGCTGCCTCGTACGGGCGTCAAGCACAGAGGCACCCCACCACCCACGTCGTCGGCAGTCGCGGCCGTTCGCAAAGCAGATCGCTGGCATGACCAAAAGTCCCCTCTTCGTCCCTCAGCATGGCCTCTGCCCCCCGACCACCGTTCGCCAGCCCTCCCAACCATCCATCCACAGTGACACGCACTTTCCATCCGTTCAATCCCGGGCCCGACGACGCGCCGCAACATCAAGAGAGATCGATGACTCACAACCTAGAGTCCCTTACAGCAAATCTTTGCGGTCGAGTAGTTTTTCCTGATTGGTGTGCTTTACACGAGGAGGTGTAAGCACGATATTGGGATAGGGATGTTTAGGCAATGAAGGATGTTCTCGATCAGGAGCGACACGGGGGGGTGACGTCGAAAGTCGGATGGGGATGTGGAGTCGTTTGAAATCACGTCTGGTGGGGGTGCGAGGGGGGTCCAGAGAGACGGGGGCGGGCACGGTGGGGATGGGATTGGAGATGGGTTGGAGGAGAGATGCAGTCAGCATGTGTGGGTTGGAGTGATGGAGGGGAGGGTTGTTTGGGTGTATGTATGGCTCGAGGGGGGTACTCACGGGGCGGGTGGGGGCGGGTGGTGCGGTGGCGGTGTCCGCTGGTGGGTGGGTGTGCTTGCGGGAGGGCGAGCAGCAGAGACGGAGGGTGGAGGGAGGAGCAGCGATGGGGCGAAGCGAAGGACTGCAAGAGCCAGCATAGAGCCCATTTTGCCACGTGAGTGCCACCCACGAAAAAATGCCGTGTATCCCCGACCCTTATATACCCCTCGACTGCACTCGATGGCTCGGATGGATTCTTGTGCATGCATCTTCACAGCGATACAATCACGACACATAGGGCAAAGCAATTGCATACATCTTTTTGGCATAAATCCTTCTGAAAAAAAAAGCGAAAAACGAAAGATGATCACAAACGATTGCGTCTACCGCGACGCGTCCAGAGCCCAAGACGACCCTTCTACACCAGAAGAAGAAAACACATGAAAAAGCGTATTACTCGTTTACTTATCCAAATCTATGTGGCACAGATAGCTCTAGGCGGTCGAAGTATGGGGAACAGTGTTGGTAGTGGTAGAGACAACCGGTTCTGAGGCAACGGGTTCTGAGGCGACGACTGGGATAGCGGCAACTGGGATGGCAGGTGTGGCGCCAGTAGCAGGGACGCCGGCAGCGGCAGCCACAGCAGCAGATCCTGATGTAGGAGCAGCATTCTGGGAAGCCAGAGAAACGTCGGTGGGCTACGATACTTGTCAGCGATGAACCGAGGACGGAAAGATCAACATACTTCATTCAGATAGCCCTCAACACGGTCGATACCCTTGTTGACGGCGTTGGTCACCTGAGTGATGAAACCGGGATGAGACTCGGTGGTCGTCTTCTGCTCAATGGTGTTGGTGAGTTGAGAAAAAGTGCTCTGGCAGGGCGTCAGCTTGGAGAAACATGATAGTCAGGAGCAGAACGCACCTGGACAGCGCTCAGTCCCTGGGCAAGGTACTGCTTGGCCTTGTCCCCAGTGTCGGCGGCAACAGCAGCGGTATTTTCAGCGGCTCCGGTAGTGGTAGCAGCGGCATTGTCAATAGACTTGTCCAAGGTACCGGCAGAAGTGGGTGTAGAAGTCGTTGACGGATCGTTACCCTGTATATCTGTATCAATACCTGTTCACAGTACTGCTTCAGGGCAGGCCTACCTCAATCTTGTCGAGAATCTTTTCGAGCCTGGCCTGCGCCTTGTCGGCATAAGGCTTTGCGGTCTCCGAGACCTTGTTCACATACGGCTCCGCCTTTTCGAGGTACTGATCATACGCCTGCCTTATCAGTCACTGCTCTCTTGAGTAGATAGATAAGAAGAGCACGTACGGGCTTGGCGACATCACGAGCCTTGTCAAGCAGACTGGACTCGGCGATGGAGTCGAGGGCCTTGGATGGGGGCTGGCTGACCTCCTCGGCGGGAGTGACAGGCTTGGGGATGTCACTGGCGATAGTGGTGGGGACAACGGACTCGGGGGCGGACATGGCTGGGGGTGTTATCTGGGCTGAATTGTGTGTGTTGGAGGTGATAGATAGGAATGTTGATGCAAGATTGGCTCTCGTAAAGAAAGACACCCCTTATCGTGGAGATGACGACTGGGGACTATGACGTCACTCTCCCTTTCCTCTGCCTTTTGGCGCATTTGTTTAGAGGTGGGCACTATTAAGGCCGGCTGCTATCCTATCTAATCAGCAATGGCTGTCGCGATCCCTGGCTCGACGTCGCCATTCATCATCCTCTTGGCTCTCCTATGAAGTTGACAACACGCCAACAATCGGCCACAGCTGCACGAGCTAGCCGTCCGTGTATATCGGCACTGAGGGACAAAGCTAAGGTAGGGTGACCATATGTTGAGAGATTTCACGTCATCAAAGCTTCGTATCGTACATAAATCCATGGATGATAGGGCCGAGTCGCTTCAGCAACGCCCCCACTCCCCTATACACTCACCAATGCGCAGCTGATGGTGGCTGACGAGAGCAACCAGTAATCCCAGTGATCAGTGACATTAGCATTGTCGGCCCCGAACGCAAATCGCAATGATCCAACCATCACGGGGGTAGCAGAGCACAGGAACAAACAGGGCAGGTAGAATCTCGTTGTCATGGCTGACGGGAATGGGTCAAAGCTCTCGAGCCACGTTTCATAACGCAGCTGTGCGGATTGATCTGTGATAGGAACATGGGACTGTGGCAGCTTGCGAGGACAACCTGACACGAAAATGTTGAACATCGGGAACAGAGCTGTACTGTACTCTACTGTATGTTGGCCGATCGTTTGCCAAGTGTGAGCAAGATAGCTCAACTGCTGATCCTTAGTCCACGATAGGCATTAAGTCAGGCAGGCAAGTGTCGAGAGACCATGCTTATGCCACATGCCTCCACATGCAGATGATAGTTTGTTCTTTCTGATTCCATCCAGGGCCGGCAAGGCCGCTCTTTATTAATCCCACTAACGCCCCTCTAAAGCCACGCGCAGGACCTGCGCAGGCTGCAGTTTGCGTTCGAGATCTCAATCCGGCCTATGAAAACGCTGGAACCGGAAAAGGCGGACGGTGCCGCGGGAATTTTGGTGCAGGGTAAAGAAGGGTCCGGTTGTTCCGGTGCTGACTGCGTGGCCCATGTTTCAAACCGTTATGGGGCAGAACGCCCTGAAAGAGAGCTCTTTGGTGCTGTTCCTAGGCATCTGATTCCGTTCGGTCCCATTTGGGAGGAGCAGCCCAGAACCATCGGGTTGTTCTTCCAAGGGATGAGAATTTCATGATCGGGGGCAAGAGTCAAAAAGTGGAGGTTGGGGACATGTTTTGCCACAACTCTGACCCCTGGGAGAGAAGAAGGTGCAGCAGCTGGGTAGGGAGAGGGTGCGTGGTGAAGAGAGGGGCAGCAGGGGTGGGCGACGGAAGACGCTTGGGCTGTACGGGGCCATGGTTTCATGCAGAGGCGTGTTCAATTGATGGTTTGTCAATGTGTTCGGCCGGAAGGGTGACTACTAGCTCGTACGCCCCCGCAAGCACCGGTGATTGGATTTGGGGCTGGTTTTGCATGATTTGTCACAGTTGACCCGGCGAAGAAGACGGTTGATCGACCTGTTCGAAAAGTTCAGACGACGCCTGCTCGCTGGAAACCGCAACAATTTTCATTCCACAAGCATATCTCCCGATCTCACCATCTTTATCAACTGTACATACTCCCTCTTCGACCTTTTTCGTCCCCACAGCATACCTGACCGCCTCCACAGTCCCATCCGCCCCCACGCATACATATAGACCGACTTTCGGCTCAGCTGGCGTACGTACGTACTGTCAGCCGTCATCATCGTCTCCAGCGCGACTTTCCGGCATTTGACCCAGCGCCGCCCAACGCATCGCTATTGCCGTCCACCGTTCCCTGCTCCCCCACCCAGAGCACGCTCCGCCACTGTAACACAGACCGCCACGAGGCCTCAGAAGTTGCCGTCTTCGGCATAACTTTCCATTTCAAAGTCTATCGCCACTTGGCGTTGACACTTTTCACTCAGACCGGCATACTCGACCTTACATGACTACCGCCCAACGTCCTATACAGCCCCTATCCAACCCGTCTCCGTACGCTTCCGCCCCCGAATCATCCCCTGAGGTTTCAGCTTCGGCACCATCCGCATTTGTACCTTCAGTGTCCTACCCATCCCACCCCCAAGCGGCTCCAAAATTCTCCAGCATGGTCGACTATGATGATTTCACCTCCGACTTTGGGGGGCTCAATACACCCCCCGCTACGGTGGATGCTGCATCGAGCCTGGTCAACGGCGATGCATCCAGAGGCGGAGATAAAGGGGAAATAAACACAGGCTCGAGCACTGCTGGGTGAGTGACCGTTTCCCTTCTTTTCCGCAGTGCGTCGAGAGCCATTCAAGTTGCCGAGATCATTTCGATGGCTTCCTTTGTCGCCCAAATGTCTGCTCAAGTGCTGGAATACTGCGTGAAAGGTTGTTCTGGACGTGGGATTGCTGCGGAGTCTGTCCATGGCTGTGGGTTCGACGCGTCTCAAGGGAGTACACGGACATGGTTTGGTGGTCTCAAAGGGGGGCAGAATGTCTCCAACCGATGCGCAGGGTACAAGCATTTGAGCGCTCAAAAAGGCGTTCGTGCTTGCTTTCGGTAGCTTGGCACGAGGGGCACGGAGCTGATTTGAGGGCGTCTATCTCAGACGTATCGTGGATTACCTTCCATGATGACAGCTTGATGCGAGCGACTCTTGTCTTTGAAAGGTCCGGATCTTCTTTGCGGCATTGGGTCGGCGCTGGCTGTTGGTTTGAATGCCGGGATGAGCCCCGCTCGCTATGTCTATTGCTCTGGGTGTCTACGAAATTCGAGGACTATAGCTGACGATGCCGTTTCAATCTATCATCCCTTCACCCAAACCCCGCATCACCGTCATCCAATTCAACCTCGATACCAACTTTGAATCTACTGCTGCGCTCAACAGCCTCGACCTCGAAGGGGGAAACACTCTTGCCAGTGGTAGCCTGTTGAACCCCCATATCTCTACCGATCAGCAGTACCCTTATGCCAACCTGCTCGCTTCCGAACCGCCCAACCATACCCCTTCGCAGTATGGTTCCTCTCTCGGTGGCACGCCCACGTACCAGTCCTATCATCAGGACAAGGACTATATCAACAACTCTTTGGTCGGGGCTTCCCAGTCACTAGCCTCTCAGGACGCTGCTGGGCGAGCGCAAACTGCCCGGCAGCATCATCGCGTCCACCCGTACCAGACCTCTACTGCCGACGTCTTGAGCCGCCATACTTCTGCCAAAGCCCACTGGGACGATGTCTCTTCTCCCGACCAAGATGTCTCTAGCCATTTCCGATCCGCCAACTCTTCAGCTGCCAACACTCCCGCTGCTGGGCCTTCTACAACCACTACTGCGGCCAATACTCCCAACAGCATGGCCAAGCCATCTGGGAGGTCTGGCCAGAAACGTCGGCAAAAGTACACGCGTACACGAACGGGCTGCCTTTGTTGCCGATCCAGACGTATCAAATGTGATGAGACCAGGCCTATCTGCAAGCGATGTGTCATTGCGAAAAAGGAGTGTGTCTATCCCGAAGGCGTCCATGGAAGCGGAAACATTAGTTCTTCGAGAGAAGACAAGAAGGGGAAGGGAAGGAGTAGCGGTGAGGATAGCGAAAGCGAGGCTGATATGAGCAGGTCACGGCCTGGTACACGGCCCGGAAGTCCCAGTGGATCATTCTTCCCGCCTCAGACTGCTCTTGCTTATCCTTACGGAGGCTCGAGTCGTGCAGGCGGAAGCAACGCATTCGACGGCTCCGCGCTCAATGTGGCCCCAATATCGGGCGGTCTTGCAGGGAGCTCGATGGGTGGAGGGATGGGTCTCATGGAGATGGGCCTCAACATGAACCTGGGCATGGGGCAGCAGAGCCCTTCGGATGGCTCTGCGCTGAATGTGAGCCGAGAAGGCTTTGCGGCAGATGCTTCCAAACAGGCTTGGGGCGCTGATCAAGGTGGTGCTCCCATGTTGGCCACTCCCAACTGTGGGTATATCCGGCAAGATGCAAGTAATTCTACTGATCAACTTTAACAGTTCTACTTCCTTGGTTTCCCACCGCAGAGGAGAGGAGTCTGATCCTTCATTATTGTGCAAACGCCGCTTCACTCATGATGGCTATACCCAGCGGCCTCAACCCTTTGCTCGCCATCAATCTCCCTCTTGCTCTCGACTCTCCAAGAGGTATGTGTCTATAGCAAGACCAAATCACAAACAAGGCTGACAAATAAATCAGGGATGAATCCTTCAGCAGATGCCCTTCGTGTCGCCCTACTCGGCATCGGCGCCATCCACCAAGCTTTCCTCCTCGCCAGATCGGGCGTATCCAACTCGCAGACTGCTGCAATGTTCCAATACGCTTCCACTCTTCGAGAGACAGGCAAAGAGATGGTCCGCCGGGCTGCTAGAACGGGTGCTACCGACGCTGCCCTCGGTGCCAGTACTGCTTTTGCCACAATTGACATCTTTTTCGGTGGTGCCAACTGGCAAGACAACTTTGCTCTTGCCAAGGAGATGGTCAGCACTCGAGGCGGTCCCTCGCAAATGCTCAAGGACAGTACGCCCACAGCTCTCAGTGAGGGTGTCACCGTCAGCCCTGCTCGACTTATGCTTGAAATTCTCGCCATCTACGAGACTTTTGGCTGCCTGACTTCGGGTGACGAGCCCACCATGATCCCTGAACACGGTCAGAACTGGTGGCTTGAAGCAAACAGATCGATGTACGAGGAACACTCTGTTGAGAAGCAGTTTGGCATGTCTCGTGTCATGGTTCTGCTTTTGAACAGGCTTACTCGATTGATAAACCGAGTGGCCAAAGCGGGTACCATCATCACGGAGCAGGCTCCATCCACCAATGCTAGTTCCAACTCTTTCGTCCCTACCCCTAGTTCGACCCCTGGTATCAACTCGGCCACTGATGAAGTGCTCATCAAGGAGGCTCGTCAGTTGAACAAAGACGTCGATATTTGGATAGAGAGCTTGCAGATGAGTACCCTGGAGCACGAGAGGGTACAGGTTGGCAACAGAGCATATGCGCATGCTATGAAGGTGAGCCGAATATCCCGCTACTGTGCTTTATGCTGACTTGACTGTAGATCCTTCTCTTGCGCCGTATCTTTAAATACCCCCGAGAAGATGCGCGCGTTCAACGTGCTGCTCAACAAGTGCTCCAGCATTGCTCTTGGTCCACCGCGGCCCTCGGCATGTCCATCGAGTAAGCAGCTTTCTTGATCTCGTCCGTTATCGTGCTGACCTGTCACAAGCCTGACTTGGCCTGCTATCATCGGAGGCTGCTGCGTCGATGGCTCTTCTCGCCAATGGGTCACCACCCTACTCGAAGGGTTCAAGTCACAATGCTGCTTTGACATTGATTCGGCTGCCCGAATCATCAGTGAGGTCTGGAGAAGAGTAGATGCGGGGGAGAGAAGGACGGATTGGAAGGAGGTTTGCGATGACCTCGGTCTTCACGTCTTGTAAATCCGGTCTCACTGTCATTGAGGTTAGCGTGCTGACATCAAATTCAGGCTTTGTTAATACACCCGTACCAGTCTGACTGAAGAGGGTTGTAGCGAATAGAAGATAGTAAAATGTTAGAGAAGGAGCAGGGCGCTCATATATAAATGTTGCAATACCCATTTCCTCATTATGCATAGTGTCATCGCCTGCAAGATTCTTTGATGGATGTAGAAAGACTATAGTTCATGCGCTTGAGATAGTATGCATGTGGAGACCTAACAAAATTCACACCCTATCTTCCAGAATCTTCCTTCTCGTTGCCATGCCTGTAACAAATGATTGTCAGCGAGTGTTTCGAGTTTCGGTCTCAGGTCAAAAGTCAATTAAATAGGAGGGAAAGAGGGTTTCAGTATTGCAGAATGTGGTCGCCATGATGTCCCGAAGAAAGGGGTACGAAAATTTTGTAATGTATAAAGAGTATCATCCGAAGAAGTCACAGATGGGGTGAAGCAATAGGAGGCGGACTTACCATGCTGTATGCTTGCCTTGCCTGGATAGAGGCAGTATCATGGCACTTCTTAGGCAAAGTACTTGTCCATCACCGCCGTTCGCATCTTTCCCTCAGGCGCTCGCTTGCCCGTCCACTCTTCGAACTGCTTGAAGCCTTGCAAGCACAAGATCTCCACACCGGGAACAGCTTTCCAACCAACATTCTTCTCCGCCGCCTGCAAAAGAGCAGTCTTGTGGGGCTTGTAGGCCAAGTCGATGGCCACACCACTTTCGCGAGAGAGCACCTCCTGCGGGAAGTGGATACCGGTCGAAGCGGGATCAAGAGTCAAAGAGTCACCAGGGACAGTGGACACAACAACGCTAGGGGCAGTGGGCAAAGCAGCCAAGGAGGTGCTGATAACAATGTTGTAAGATTCGGGGAAAGAAGCTTTCACCTTCTCAGCGTTCTCGGGTGTACGGTTGAACAGGTAAATGATCCTGAAGCCAAGATTGTGAACCGCGTAAATGGCGGCTCGACAAGTTCCGCCAGCGCCAATGACAAGCGCGGCAGAGGACGAATCTCTCAGCACGGAAGGCGCCAAGTTTTGGGCAGCTGCTTGACGTATGGCTTGCCAGTCGGTGTTCCCACCATGGAGCTTGCCTTCTCGAGGAATGATGGTGTTGACGGCGCCAATGACCTTGACGTCTTCAGATACAGAGTCGAGATGGGGAATGACGTCCAGTTTCAATGGAATTGTCACACTGGCTCCACCAAACTCGGGGGATCTGATTACGTTAAGGACGCCCTGGTCAACGACCTCCGACTGGTGAAGGGTATAGTTGTGCGGCAGGCGAAGCGAAGCGAACCCCGTGTTGTGCAGGATAGGAGAAACAGAGTGGGTGATGGGGCTGCCAAAGAGGACAAACTTCTTGGGAGGCAAAAGCCCCACAAGAGAGCGGGCCTCGAATACCTCCCTTGCAGTGAGTTGCCCGGGAGCCGCACGAGAAGGTAGAGCAGCGTGGGTGATGGGGGTGAGGATGGGGTTCAAGACTCTAGAAAGCTGACCAGCCGCGCCCATGTTGATGGCCAACAAAGGCTTGGATCCGGGCTGCGTCCTGACTTCTTCGGCAAAGATGGCGAGCTTGGAATTGTCCAAAGCCGACTTGGCTGTACCCACGATCTTTGCTACGTCGCCATACTTGATACACAGCAGGTATTTTGACTTGACCATTTGTCCATCCCACTCCATCTTTCCTGTCCAGTCATGCCACGAAGCAAGAATGTGAGACTCTCGCTTAGACTCGGTGAGGTCCTTCAACACCTTGGTGGGCCAAGAGACTTCCACGTCCACGTACTCGCAAGCACTCCTCAAACCCAGTCGCACCATCTTCTCGTAGGCCTCGGGCTGGTCGGAAGGAGCGAAACCGCCCTGGTCCTTTGATCTGACAGAGTAGACGATCGGCAGTGACGTGGCGCATCGGAGGCTGGCAAGCTGTTTGGCTACGTAAGACGCGGGAGGAAGAGTTGGAGTCGTGGGCGTCTGACCAGAAGGACTCAACAAGTCAACACGGAGCTCGATGGCATCAGCGCCCTCGGTGAGCTCAGCCATGTGAGCAAGGGCAGGAGTGATGTCGGGGAAAGTCAAGGAGAGGAAAGAAGTGGGGTTCTCAGCACCAAGTCGAGGACGGTTAGAGTCTCGTCCAGTGATGAACCGGAAGAACCTGTGGCACTCGGCTCGCATAGCCTGATGATGTTGCTCCTCTGTCTGTCCGCCAACAGCTTCCAGCATGTTGTAAAGTTCGTGACTTGATGACTCAACATACCACGGTTCTCTTCTCTTGAACACGTCGGCGAAGTCCTCGCCCCAGTCAGGCCTGGAGGCAGTGTTGCCGATAGAATCGAGGTAGGACTGGATGTCTTCCAGCGCTCGTGTAACGTGTACAACGTGCCCGCCCTTGGCAACATGGGCTTGCAGGATCTGTCGAGCAACTTCAGTCTCCACGATGCCACCGCCAAGAGCGATGACATGGTTGCCCTTCTTCTCCTGGATAAACTTGCCCAAGATTTCGGTCTCGAGCTTCCTGAACGCGTCCCAGCCATTCGCGGCGACAAAGTCTTGCACAGACAGCTTGGACTCCTCAAAGAAGGCGTCGTCGGCGTCGGTGAACTCACCACCGAGAACATCCGCGGCGAGACGACCGAGATAAGTCTTGCCGGCGCCTCGCATACCAATGAGGAAGATGGGGCGGTCAGACTGGGAGTGGTCGAGAGTCTTTGCAGAGGTGGAGGCGTGGTTGTGGACCTCGAGTTCATGGCCTTCAACGGCAACACCGATCTACCGGACGTCAACGACTGATTGAGCTTGGGATCAATTTCGGGGCTCACCTTGTTCTGAAGATCATCCCAGAAGTTGGGCCAGGTCTTTTCGACACATCGCTTCTCCTCAATGATGGTCTTGTCGATGATACACGCCAAGACAGCGAACGCCATCGCGACTCGGTGATCATCGTAACAGTGGATGGAAGCACCTCGGAGGAGAGACGACTGGGACTTGCCGAAGACGATGATGCCGTCCTCAAACTCGTCAGTCTCGACACCAAACTTGGCTAGCAGGTTGGTCAGCTCGGTCCTCAAGGGATTGTTATGTGAATGAGGTGCTCACCAAGCTGGTCTCGCATGGCCTTGATACGGTTGCACTCCTTCACTCTCTGGTTGGCAATTCCGTAGATCCTGGAAGCAGTCTCAGGCAGGCCCTCAACTCTTCGCTCGGGCAAACAAGGCTTGTTGGCCACGGCAGCCAAGACAGAAGCAGTCAAGAATGCATCTGTCATCGGCTCCATATCCACATTGCCCAAAGCTCTCAGCTCGCCCACGGGTGGGCCGGTGACCTTGGTGCTAGTAGCAGTTTGTACCACCACACAGCCCATGGGCTCGAGCACTTCCTTGGCAAATCGGGCGTCTCCTTGAAGGGAGGAGGAACCGATGTTGTCGATAGTGCAGGTGGTACCGGTGATGGCGGCAATGGCCAAGGGGTAGGTGGCACTGGAAGCATCGGACTCGACGCTGTAGTGGGGAGGGTTGACATAGGTCGCCTTGGGGATGACATAGATGTCAAGCAAGTTGCCTTGAGCGTCCTTCTGTCGCTGGACATTGACGCCAAACTGGATCATCATGGCAATAGTCATGTCGATGTACGGCTGGGAGATGACTTGACCGCCGGTAAGCTCAAGGGTCACCTGCTCGGCAGCGTAGGGAGCGCAGAGAAGGATGGACGAAACGTATTGGGAGGATACGGAGGCGGCGAGCTTGATGTGGCCACCTCGGAAGCCGTCAGTGTCAATGTCAAGAGGAAGACATCCGACAGTCTCGAGATACTTGATCTGAGCGCCGTTGGCGGACAGGGCGTCGACGAGAGGGCCGATGGGTCGCTGCTTCATACGCGCGTTACCAGTGATGACGGTGGATTTTTCGCTAGAGGCGGCGCCTGAAACCATGGCGCAGACAGTGGTGAGGAATCGACTGGCGGTACCAGCGTTACCGAGGTAGAGCTCCTTGCCCTTAGCGGGGGCAGAAAGAATGCCACCACCACCTTCGACGACGATGGTGTCGCCTCCATCTTCCCAGGAGAAGACTGCACCCTATATCATTGTCAGTCGAGTTCTGAAAGACTGTCAAGTGACCCACCTTGAGCTCGACGAGGGCGTTCATCATGACAGCAGTGTCGTCAGAGTGCAAAAGATTTCTAACTCGGCAGGTGCCCGTACCGAGAGCTGCAAGCACCAAAGCTCGGTTGGAGATACTCTTACTTCCGGGGGTGGCCATAGTGATGGGCGACCTGGTGGGGATGCCAGCCTTGACGATGGCAGCCTCGCAGAGGACCTTTCGGATGACATCGTCAGCGACGACGGAAGCCTTCTCTTCATAGGTCTTTCCAATGCGAGAAAGGAGAACGATTTTCTTGGCAGCACCAGAGTTCTTCTTGTCGATCTTCATGATGTCGAGGAGACGGTCGACAGAGAGCTGGCTGGATGCGGGGAGAGAGGTAATTCGCCTGTCGGACAAGGAGACGGGGAGCCCGTATGCCTGGAGACACCTGGTCAATCGACCAACAGCAACTTGGCTGAGAACACCAAGCTGCCTAGCCACCTCTGCTTCAAGTATGATACCGACCGAGACACACTCGCCGTGAAGCATAGCGGGAGTCAAGACAGCTTCGATCGCGTGACCAATAGTGTGGCCAAAGTTGACGAGGTTTCGAAGGCCGGTCTCACGTTCGTCAATGGTGACGATGTGGGCCTTGACGTAGATGGAGCCAGTCACAACACGGAGCAGAAGAGACTGGGCGTGCGAACGGTCGGCTTCAAAGCGGCCGGCAGTAGCAGGGCCAGTGGGACGGGCAGAAGCAGCCAGAGATATTTCGGCTGACCGAGACTCGAGAAGAGCAAAGTCGTCGTCTTTCCAGATGGCAGCAGTCTGAAACGATTCAGCTCATGTATGTGGCGGGAGATACGATTACTCACCTTGATGACTTCGGCCATACCGTTAGACACCTCACGAGGGGGAAGGGTGGTCAAAAAGGCCAGATCAACAAAGATATAGCTGGGCTGCCAGAAGGCGCCGACGAGATTCTTGCCGTGGGGAGTGTCAATGGCAGTCTTGCCACCAACGGAAGAGTCGACCATGGCCAGAAGAGTGGTAGGGATTTGGACGACCTTGACACCTCGCATGCTACAGATGGTCAGCGCGCGCGGTCATAGCGATAGATACGACTTGCAAAGTAGCAGCAACAAAGCCAGTAAGGTCACCAATAACACCGCCACCGAAAGCAAGCACGACGGTGTCCCTGGTACACTTGTTGTCGAGCATCCAGTCTTCAATGTCGGCCTTCACCTTTCGGCTCTTCGCGCCCTCTCCAGGAGCGACCTCATAGACGAGGAACCTGGCGTTGCTGCCGTTTTTGGCGGAAGCATCGGCAAAGGCTTTCTGAATGTCATTCAGGTAGATAGAAGAAAGGTTGGTGTCTGTGACCAGGACGTAAGCGGAGGAGGGGAGGGTGGTGGTGATTGTCTCGAAAATGTAGGGGAAGAGATGGAAACCAGCGTGAATGGACTCGTTTCCAAGGATTGAGATCTTGAGCACGTCGGCGGAGGAAGAGGCCATGGTGAACGTCTCTCTGCCGGCCGTTTTGGGAAAAGTGGTTGTTTTCTCGGTGGTGGATTGTTATACGATACTTTTTTTGACTGGGATCTCGCGCGGGCCACGACTCGGGTGCGGCGGTGACCGCCGTCCATGGAAGACGGCGTTGAACGAAGGATGACCGCTCACAAAAGCCAAACAAAAGCACAAGCAGAGGCATTGCTGCAGGCATGCATGTAGCATATCTGGGAGTGAGCATATCATGGGTCTTGGAGTAGGTTCTACAAAGAAGCGAGTCGCCTTGCATCGCGAAGGATCTTCGTTTGCTCGGTCCATTACTAGATGATGGGGTTGGTTGCACATGCACTGGTGACGGTGACAGCTTTATCAAAGTGTGGTGGCAGTTCTTCTGTCTGTCTATGGATGAGTGTGCTCCAGTCTCAGTACGGGCACTGCAATTTACCATCCGGCTTCATCGATTGTTGATTTGATGACCAACGTTGACCGACGGACTGATCTGCGTGCAGACCTCCTTTGACCGCCAGACCTTCCTCTATTTCACTGTATTTCATGTCACCAACATCCTGATCCTTCTCTCATCCTTCTCTAGGCATCCTGCAGACACCTACCATATCACGACCCTCGGAACGCCGCTCCCGAGCACCTCTCCAACCCTCACACAGACGACGCCAAGCCTGATCGCAACATGCCCACCACGGGTCTCTCCAGATCCGCCATCACTCGGTCTACTCAGACCCCCTCAAAAAAGCCCTCCAAGTCTCCACGCAAAAATCGCAATCCACCCTCTCAGAAAAAGGCGAGCAACAGAGGCCCATACGCCGAGAAAGCTTGTTATCCGTGTCGGAAAGGGCACCGCAAGGTAAGTCTCACCGGGCCCATAATCTAAGCACAAGTACTGACCTTCTCTCCATAGTGCAGGGATATCAGGACCATAACTGGAAAGCCAGTCTGTGGCCTTTGTGCGGATCAACAGCTGGAATGCACTTGGCCAGACGACGGCCCTCCCACCGGCCATGGAAGGACTTTCGACCGCTGGAACAACACCTACACCAGTAGAGATCCCCCCCATCCTAGCTGGGACTATACGAGCTCTGAAGATGATGCCGAAGGTGGTGATGGCGATAGCAACTCGATTATCACCGGTCAAGACGAGGAGGGCTGGGGTAGTGAGCATGCTAGCGGCAGAAACCAGGGTGTAGATGCTCACGAAACAGTGAGCACATCTGGACTACTCTGTTTGTATCACTTTGACAAGGTCATAGCACCACAACAGCATCGCCCAGCAGATTGACAGTCAAGCCTCGCCTGCTCGCACTCATCATCATTCCCCTCAAACTGTTCGCCCTCGGCCTCGCACCCAGCAAACCCCACGCGTCCCCACCAATGGCTTACAGCTGCCGCGCTTCGGCCAACAGCAGCCCCCAGTACCAGCTGCCACTGCTTCCGCTACAGGCGACACTTCAGTCTCCGATAGGTACCGTCAGCCCTCCAATAGTCACCAAGCTCCCCCTCCTCAACCTAGATATCCTGATCCTCTAGAGCTTTTGGTGACCGCTGCTGCCGCTGTAGAAGGAAAGCGCTCGGCCTTGGGTAGGAGTCTGAACAATGGAGCATATGGGAGATTAAGGATCAATGATGAGGGCGAGGGGGATGATGATGAGAAATACGAGTATGAGCGATAAGGAGGACGTGTTTTGCAAGAGGGCGGAGACTGTGGGACAGTTGTTAGTCGATCGTCTTATCCTTCGGCATGACTCACATGCATATTTGTCCCTTAGTGATGCCTTTGTACACCTCTATCCTCCTATCGTGCGTTTTACTTTGCCGATAATGCCAGAGAAGAGATAAGTTGGGTGGGGGTAGTCGTGAACGCACAGAGATCGGAACACCCAAGTGGGGACAAACTGTGCGGACTGTGGTCGGCCATATTTCGAAAGCGTGGGCCCTGAATTTCTGATTAGATAACAAAAACGCTCTGTCTTGTTTTCATATGTCGTCTCCATTTTCAGAGCCCAAGACTCTTCTTCGCATCCGACCCCTATCAATCCCCTTCAAATCGATCGAGTGGACTTTCAAGTGACAAGAAACAGCAAGCAATGAAGGCTGTTCTGCAACGCGTCGTAAACGCGTCCGTCGCCGGCAAGTGCTACAATTCATATCATTGAACAAGGAGACTGACGCATCAACCTGAATAGTCGATGGCAAGACGATATCCTCTATAGGAAAAGGACTCTTGGTACTTGTTGGCATTGATCGATGTAGGTGCTTTATCTGACTTCATTTTCCTCCGGCAGAACGCTGACACGGTGTAATTGTTTCAAGACGACGAACCTGCAGATGCTACCCTCATTATCAAGAAGATCCTCACCGCCAAGCTATGGGATGATGACAATGGCGGAGGCTGGAAGAAGAATGTGAAGGACATCGATGGAGAGGTACTTTGTGGTACGTTAGGCCTTATCATCTATCTCCCTGTCTTTCCGATACTCGATGCTGATGGATGGAATAGTCTCACAGTTTACGCTCCTTGCCAGTTTGAAGAAGGGTGCGAAACCTGATTTCCATGATTCTATGGCAAGTTTCCGGCGCGACAATGTCTTACACGGCACTGACAACGACACAGTCCACCATCCCCAGCAAAGCCTACTACACTTCTTTCCTGGAAGAGATCAAAGCGGCTTACGACCCCTCAAAGATACAAGGTCAGCTCGTCATGGACTGAGTCTGCCCTGTCCCAAACTGATGTGACGGTAGATGGCGAATTTGGTGCTATGATGCAGGTCTCGCTGTGCAACGACGTGGGCTGACCTTCTCTCTGTGCACCCAGCAGAAGTATTGACATACTCGCGTAGGGACCTGTCACCATCTTGCTTTCTTCTCGAGACAAACCCGCCACCAAGAGCGGAACACCCACCCCGGCTACCTCTGGCATCAATACACCCTTGCCAGAAGCCGGTCAGAAGAAGGTAAAGAAGCCGAAAGACAAAGGGACTGGACATCCTAAATTCGCGGCGGGGGCAGACAAGGAGGCGGCGAACCCGCTAGGTACTGCGGTGGGCGAGGTGATAGATGAGGGCAGCAGGGAGGCTGGAGCAACAATTTCGGGTGTCAATCAAGAAGAGGCCAACAGGGAATGATTTTGTAGTGTGAGAATAGGCCTTCTCCTGAGGTATACATGATCTACGCGTAGTACGCCTGTGGAAGTGGTGGGCACAACAGGTCTATACAGACCATAATGTATTCCAAATTATACTTGCTAATTGGCACAAAGGCTGTTTACAATTATAGACAGTTGTAAAGAAAGTGAACGAATGAACCAAGCTCTCCTATCATGACCTTGAGAACCCCCTTGGCAGACTCCCTTACAGCCCAGCATCTTTACCGCTTTCCGCGATCCTCTTCCTAGTAGCTTCATGCGCCTCCTCGGGGGACGTCGGTTTTCTGAAAAAGACGACGAATTGTATACAAAGCACAGCCGTCCACGCGATCTGAAAGTAGAATGAACGGCGAGCGGCCATGTTCCAGTCTTGCACGCCTTGGCCTTCAAAAGATGCTTGTACGGCGAGAGTGATGGCGGATGCTATCTGAGCCTGTGGTTTGGCATGTCAGATACGTATCCAAGAAGGTGCGGGTGCAACTCACGACGACTTGAACAAGAGCTCCTGCTACTCCAGCCATCTCGGGTGGACAGTACGTGATGAGATTAATTCTGTACTCTTGTCAGATACGTTAGAGGAGAAAAGGTCGAGGATGTGGCTTACGATGTGCAAAGGTATGACAAGATCGCACCGGCACTGCCGAGAATGTATGCTGGGAAACAAAACCTCCAGTAGTCTTTACCATGCCCACCATTGGAAAATATCTGAAGTATCTCGGCAGCAATAATCACTACACCGGCCAACTTCAGCAGTTACTCCAAGTAGCAGCGAAGTATAGCTTACAAATACCGCCGAGGGGAAGAGTGAACTTGGGCTTGGTGATGATCTGAGGAATGTACTGGGCTGAGCCACCAATGATGAGACCCGTGATGCCTTGCGGCAGCATCGCCGCTGAGACTTTTACTATAAGAGGCAGGTATGAGCGGGAGAGCAGAAGGGAAAAATGTCTATACTCACTCGGAGTCCATTGCAAAACTTCCTGAAAGTAGGTCGAGTACATGAGTTGCGATGTTGACCAGAACGGGACTGTGAGGGCTGTCAGCTCGCTTCGACAGTTGTCACTAGGACTACTTGCATGCTATTCCGATAGCCAAGCTCATGATGATGATGTTGGAGATCTTCCAGACCGAGCTCGGCAGTACCGCCGTCTTCTGGGGAATCCAGGACTCTTTGAGCGTGTCAATAAGGGATTACACGTTAAGAGAAAGGTACTCACCCCAGAAGAAGAATGCTATACCAGCAGCAAAGCTGATGATAAACGGAGCAATGAAAGCAGCCGACCCCCAACCATCGATGGGACCTTGAGTAAGGGACAAGATGAAACAGACAAGAGCCGCTGCCAAGAGCCCGACCCCGATCAAGTCGAGTTTCTTCCATTTGGGTATGCCATCGACCTGGCCTTCGTGGCCGGTCATGGGGAGTATTAGTACGCAGATGATGGTGAAGATAAAGCCTGTAGAGAATCAGCGGTGTAGGGGTGCACTTAAAAGTGACATACAGATAATGGCGAGCACTCGAAAGAACCATTTGTAGCTGGCCAGCATGCAGATTCCAGCCAGGACCCTGCTCACTCAAGTCAGTATATACCTCTGGCGCACTACTGGGGTCATGACTTGCAGTCCTAGTACATTGCCTATCGCTCCAGACAGGGAGAGCAGAGCCAACTTTGCCTGCTGCTCCTTGTGATCAGGAAACATGTGCACGGTAAGGTGGCTATTGATAGTAAGTAGAAGATCAGCGAGCCCAACGGGCAAGGCTTACTAAGAAGATGGTATAGCTAAGATCCTCGTCAATATGGTCGTCATGGACGGTGGACAGCAGTACTCACTCATACTTCCAGCGATACCGGCGAGTCCTCGCAGGATCAAGAAACCATATCTGATGATAGAGGCTCTGATCAGCAGATGCCATTGAGACAGGCAAAAGTGACTCACTTGTTGGATGTTACAAATGACACGACCAGGCTGAATATTCCTAGGACGAAGAAGCCGCCTTCAAACACGATCGAGGCGGGAAAGATGTCACTGAGACGGCCAGCAAAGAGCAAGAAGGCAGCAAAACAAATACTGTAGCTGGTGATAATCCAGACGACCTGAGAGGCACCGAGCTGAATGTCTTGACTGATCTGAGCCACAGCTACTGCTGCCCCCGAAACGCTATGCCTTGTCAGTACGAGTACGACGCAAAGATATCAGTACTCACTTGCAGACATCGACAAAGGTAGCAATCGAGAAGATGAGGAGCAGCAGGTTCTTTCGTCCTTGGCTTAAAGATGCGAGGCGGTCAGAGCCGGACTCTTTGTCTGCCTTCGAGTCCTTGACCACGCCCTTCTCCTGATCCTCGACGGAGAGCTGGGGAGTACGGTCAGCGAGAGTGGAGTCCTCAGACATGGCGGAGCTGACGAGAGCGTTGTGCAGTGGGGGGTGGGAGAGGGGGTGTGGGGATAAATTGATCTCTGTCCCGCTTTATGTATCCACGATCGGAAACTCACCCAGAGATGATGATTTAAGTCTAGTCAACTTTGAAATATGACTGGCGATCGCCGCCTCTTTCACCAAGGGCTCGGCACACTACTCGGTCATCGGCGTTGTTGGTGGTGGTTCCTGCCGAAAGCCGATCGTCGCGCTCCCGTTCCAGTCTCGTCATCGCTTCGCGGGGAGCGAATCCTAAATCTCTCGTCTTTCTTGATAGGCATTATCCCATAGTTGTACACACCCATAATGACGCTCGGCAGCTCATCTAACGTGGTGCGATACTCGCGAAAAGCACTGAATGAAACAGGCCCATTCATTCATACGTGAGAGGTGGTGCATGGTGGTACACATATTCGCCTCTATGTATATCGCACGATATTAAATATGGGTCGTTCGCTAGCAGCCTTCTGTCAAGTCGAGGAGGGCCCTCGTTAGCAGGACGCCTACACACCGACATCCTTGCCACTCTCGGCGATCCTCCTCCTCGTAGCTTCATGGGCCTCTTGCGGCGAAGTCGGCTTTCTGAAGAAGACCACAAACTGGATACAAAGCACGGCAGTCCAGGCAATCTGGAAATAAAAGGATCTGCGGGCGGCCTTGTTCCAGTCCTGGACGCCATCGCCTTCAAAGGATGCTTGGACGGCGAGCGTGACAGCGGCGGCTACCTGGGCCTAGTAGTAGGAGAGAACAAAGTAGTGTCAGATTTGTGCAGTGAGAAGAAGATGTGGACTTACGACGACTTGAACCAAAGCGCCCGCTACGCCGGCCATCTCAGGTGGGCAGTACGTGATGAGATTGACGCTATACGGGTCGTCAGCGGCAAGAAGAGCGAGAGTCGAGAACTACTTGCGATGTGCAGATGTAGCACAGGATAGCCCCAGCACTACCTAGGATGAAAGCCGGAAAACAAAACTTCCAGTAGTCTAGCCCATGTCCACCGTTGGAGAATATCTGGAGTATCTCGGCGCCGATGATGACTGAAGACAGGCGTCAGCACGCTTTCACATTAGAGGTACAAAGAGACGCAATACTCACGCAGACTGCCCAGAGGCAGAGTGATCCTGGGTTTGGTGATAATCTGAGGGATGGCTTGCGATGCGCCGCCCACAATAAGGCCTGTGATACCCTGAGGTAGCATAGAAGCCGCAACTTTTACTAACATTCTGATGTGAGCGGAAGAGCTGCAGGGACTGATGTCAGAACTAACTCGGAGTCCAATGGGTGACTTCTTGGAAGTAGGTCGAGTACATGATTTGCGATGTTGACCAGAAAGGAACTATTGATCTTGTAAGACGAGCCTGCTGTCATCCGAGGTGCAATGCTTACATGCAATTCCGAGAGCCAGACTCATGATGACAATGTTGGAAATCTTCCAAACAGAGCTCGGAAGCACTGCCGTCTTCTGAGGGATGTGCGACTCTTCGAACCTTATCAGCCCAAGCATACTCCCCCGACGAGGACACTCACCCCAAAAGAAGAACGCGATAGCAATCGGAAAGCTGAGGACGAAAGGGGCAATGAACGAAGCCGACCCCCACCCGTCGATTGGGCCTTGGGTCAGCGACAATATGAAACAGATGAGGGCAGCGGCCAAGAGTCCGACGCCGACAAGGTCGAGTTTCTTCCATGTCGAGATGCCGTAGCTGTGATGCTTGACAGTATCGGTCAGGGGCAGCAAGAGGAAACAAATGGCAGTAAAGACCAAGCCTGTTTGCGAGGGTCAACTTGACGGGACACGGAATGGGAAATAAGGCTTACAAATGATGGCAAGCACTCGGAAGAACCATTTATAGTTGGCTAGCATACAGATACCTGCAAGGACACTGTGGGCCCAAGTTAGCATCATCATGAGGGATCAATCAACACACAGAACTCACAGACCAAGCACATTGCCTATAGCCCCAGTCATGGCAAGTAAGGCGAGCTTTGCCTGTTGCTCTTTGTGGTCAGGAAACAAGCGGACAGTAAGATGACTGTGAAGACAGGTCAGTATATTTTGACTCAACAACTAAAGTTGGACGTACTACGCCGATGGTATGGCTGAATGAAGATCTCGTGAGCATCGCATGGTTATCAGAGTGGTCTAAGCAAGCACTTACTCATGCTCCCAGCTATACCACCGAGACCTCGAAGGATCAGGAAGCCATATCTGGTACAAGATTGAGTCAGAGGGTGCTGATGGAAGCGCACATGGTCTACTCACTTGTTGGACGTGACAAACGACACCACCAAACTCAATACGCCGAGCACAAAGAATCCGCCTTCGAACACGATAGAGGCCGGGAAGATATCACTGATGCGACCAGCAAACAGCAGGAAAGCGGCAAAGCAGATACTGTAGCTTGTGATAATCCAGACAACCTGCGATGACCCGAGATGTATGTCGGATGCGATCTGTGCGACAGCTATCGCCGTTCCCGCCACGCTATATCGGTGAGACATGATATCACATGAAGAGATTGGATATAAAGACTCACTTGCAGACGTCAACAAAAGTGGCGATGGAAAAGGTGAAGAGTAGCATGTTCTTTCGAGCTTGGCTGAGGCTAGCAAGACGGTCGCCAGAGCCTGCTTCCTCATGAGGTTCAGGTTGCTGCTGCTCATCGCTCCCAATCTCTTGGTTTTTGGAGGAGACCTGAGAGACTCCTGAGGGGGCTTTGTCTCCAGACATTGGTGCGGCGGTCGTTCGGTCTCTGAGGGGGGTAGAGTTTGGGGCAAAGAGAGGCGACGCGATGTGGTGATGGTGGTCGGTGTGGGATAATCCATCCATGCTTGAGAACTGTTCCCCTTAAGTACATCTGCCCTCCAAAAGCTCGGAGGCGATGAGGGCTCCGGTCGCTCGCTTGAAAGAGAATATTTTCAACGGGAAGAGCAGCAACAGCTCGGGCGCGCCTAGTCATCGAGGCTCGGTACCGGGCATTTCAGCAAAAGCGTTTGTTTGGTTCCATAAATCCCTTTACGTAAACATTTCGCTTCCCACCACCGCTTACTTGCATGTTGTTGCAATTGTTTGCAGCCAGCAGTACATAGCACAACTACCATAAGCTTCACTTGAACAAACGCAATTGTCCGCAAGGAAGTGCGATCATTACAAGAGCAATACCAGCAGCTGGACAGCCATTCAACTCCTGCCCCCGACCTGCTAGACCTACGACACAGCGGATCTGATTGCGTGCACTGTAATCGTGAACGAGAGTGCAACCGACGCTTGCATTGCATTCATAACGGTTCAAAGTTGAAAAACAGGCGGGAACGATCAAAGGTCAAGACAATGGTCATGCAGGCTCTCCCGTCTCCTGTCGACCTGTCCTCGCGTGCAGTTTGCAGCCTACATATGATCACACATACTCACATGCAAGCGACATGCATCATCTATCTTCCCAACGGCCCATCTTCGTCGTCTCCAATGTCAAAGATAGCACGACCACCCGAGCTCATCTCGGCACCCGAATCACTCCCACTTTCATCGTCATCACTGGCTTCAACAGCACCGCCCTGCGCTCGTCCTCGCTGAGACCGTCGCATGCCCTTTACACCGCCAGACTTTGGCTTCCTGGTAGATGCACCAGTGATGAACGGATTAAGCGCTCCAGAACCTGACTTGGGGGTTGAGAATCTGGTCATGGGCATGCCAGGAGCAGCTGATTCCAGTGGATGGTCGACATAAGCATCACCGGAGGCAGAGGATGATTCGGAAGAATGTAGCTGCTGGGGCTGATCTCGATACTGGTCTCTGGATTTTGGGAGCTCGGGAAGATCAGAGAGAGCGTGCGAGGGAAGAGAATCGGAAGAGAGATTGTTGGTGATGAATGTGTGAGTTGGAGGCTACCGTAAAGGAAGATTAGCTGGACATGTCAGATCCACATGACTGGTCTTACGCCGTCTTCCGACAATCTGATACCAGGACGCTCGCCGGATATACTGTGTGAAAGTTAGTCCAAATCGTAAGCTTGCTTCATGGATGACTCACTTCAAAGGTATTCCCGGGGCTGAAGGCCGTGTAGACCGTCTCCAGAACATGTAGGCTGCACATGCGAGGATAATAAGGACTAGGGGAAAGAAGTACGAGGATATTGAAGAAGGCCGAGCCGCCTCCGCATCAGAGTCGGAATCTCGAAGGCGTATCGAGGGCATAGTAGGTAGTCGAAGGTGGGCGAGTTGAAGCTGGTATTGTGATAAAGAAATACTGGAAAGATGTCAAAGCGGCTGCGACGCGTACGTATGGGTTAGCACTGCCCAGGCGCGTGCAGATGCAAAGTCCGGTCACAATGGCCCGTCCGGACGCCCCCATGGGTGTTATCTTTGCGAGCGGTCCAGCTATGCGATGCTGAGCGCCCATCCCCAACAGTGAAAGGATGACACCATCTGCATACAAAAAAGTGCAAGGCGTCATTGCCTGAAAATATGCACCAGCCTGCATAAGAGAAGGGACTGAGCGAAACTCTCGACATCCTGCGCTGTCAGGTGCCTGGGTAGATTATTGCCGTCAGCAGACGACCCGATCAACGGTTTTTTGTTGCTCTTCTTTCTCACGTTTCTCTCATAACCATCTCTCATCGGCTTTCGACGGTTTCAGGCTACGCCTTTGACACTTTCCAGCACCTCGACGCGAAACAAGCGCGCAGCACCACGTCCTCCGACCTCTTGTCAAGACTCAATTTCTGGACGCGCCTCTCCCCACTCCTTGTCATTCAGCAAAAATGCTTTTTCAAAGTATAACAAACATTGCGTTTCTTGCCATAGGCGTGCAAGCGTCAGCTGCCTTTGCCAAAGCCACGCCACAGAAGGAAAAGCCAGTAACGTCGTCACCCATCAACTCTGAATTCATCGGCTGTCTAGATGGAGGATTCAAGCCTGTGGGGGGCAAGTCAATCAAAGACATGGAAGCTAGAAAGTCGTATTATGAGTGCTCAGTGGGTGTATACTTATGCGACGCTTACTGGACCCACTGACGCTGCCTTGAGAATGTTTGCCAGAGCAATGGCAACTATCCTTACGCCTACTTTACCAATATGGGCAAGGGCGTCCAGAGGTGTGTCTGCTCATTGATGGGTCCCACGCCTGCAGACTACGTAACTCAGCCTTTGGGATCGTTTGGGTGCAGATTGGGTCAGACTCGGGTCAGTGTCGACCAAAGCCATCGGATGTATTGCTGACCTTCCTCGCTAGGCTGCCATCACCCAGACTGACCACCACTTTATCGTCTGCTCCTCTGGATTCATCGGCGAATTTGAGAATGCCGGCACCTACTACTCTCCCTCGGATTGTCTGGAAGTGTGCGAGGGGCAAGGAGGTGCGCTCGTCATGCCAGTGTCCAACGGCTTCCGATGTCGATGCGGCGATGTCAGCTCGGTCAAGAGCGTCTCGGCATGTGGTGACCCGGGCGTCGAATTCTCATATGTGTACAAGCCCAAGAACAAGAAGCCCAAAGGAAAGGTCGCAACCAGCGCGCAGGGGAAGAAGAAGCTGGGTAAGGGCAAGAAGGTGTATGACGATCCTGTAAGCTTCGGTTCATTAGTGTTGCGATTCTCGGGCTGATATAATGGTAGTGCGACGATCCGGACTCAATCTTGGGCTATTGTGGGTTTGGGGACGACGACACTCCTGTCTTCCATGAGCATGGCTCCTTGTAAGAGTAGCGGGTGACGTTCTGCTTTCCTTTTCGGTATCTTCAGAAATATATGGTATGTATGTATTATTGCATCTTATAGAACTATGTATTGGGCTATGCTACAGTGTTACGACATATACTAGAACAACGCTACAGTGAATTGATTGACTATTTCAACATCCAGGATCCTACAACTTCCAACGCCCTCTTGTCCCCACGGCTGACTACCTCTCCTTCATGGCCACCAATAACATCACCCACCATCTCCCACGGATCCTTCCCCCCACCCCATTTTAGCACCCTATCTTTAAGTACTTCTCCTCCATCCCGGTTCAAAATCCCTCCTGCGTCCGCATCGCCAAAGATGCCTCTCGGGCTTGGTCCTGTAAAGAGCGTTGACCAGACTTTACCAGCAATGGCTCGATCGAACAGGTACGAATAGTACATGGCTCCGTAACCATAGAGATGACCGAATTGCGTCTGCCAGGCCGTACCAGGTACAGGATCTATGACGCCCACATCAGTCTGCAGCTGATGCCAGATGGCGGTAGAGTCGAAAGAGTCTTTGCCATGGTGAAGGGAGTGGTATCTTTGGTCTAGCAGCGCCATACTAATCTGACCGTGCACTTCAAGCGCCGAAAGTGACTGGTTCAGGCGGAGGTGGGACTCGATAAGGTCGATGGGAAGAGCCTCGCCCGTGATATAATGGCGACCAAAGGTGCTTAGGACTTCGGGGGAGGATACGAAATGCTCCATCAGGATGGAAGGCAGCTCGACAAAGTCGGTGGGGCATCGAGTTCCAGAAACATTATGATACTCTGTCCGACCGATCATGGCTGCAAGTGGTCAGCAAAGCGTCATACTGTTGCACGCCAAACTGACAATGGATTGCGTGCCCCATTTCATGGAACAGCGTCTCCAGCTCGTTCCAATCGAGCAAAGCCGGGCTGCCCTCTGCGACTCTTCCAAAGTCGGTCGTTAACACCACTATCGGCAGCTGAAATCGCCCTTCCTTCCCTTGAAGCACTTCACCCCGCGTTTCCAAGCCACCGCCATAGCTCTTATCCCACCCCGGGCTCATCCGGTCGCCGTCGACATCATCGTCATCAATCCGCCGGGAGCAGCGCACAGTATAGTGTGCAGCCCCAGTCGGCTTGCCCGGGCGGGAGAAAAAGTCGCAGTAGATATATCCAATCACACCTTCCTTCTCGTCCAATACATTCAACCGGCGGACGGAAGAGTGCCAGACTTCGCCTTGAGCGACCGATGACGGTCTGAAGGATATGCCATGCAGTTTGGAAAAAATGTTGGACAGACCTGCCAAGACAGTGCCGGTAGAAAAGTATGGTGCAATGGAAGGGAGTTCGCCAGAGGGTGATAACGACGATGTGTACTTGCGAGAGTAGTATTCTTTATCCCAGGCGTACAACGGAGCCAGGTGTCGCACCCTGGTACTTGATTCCGAGGGGTTGCCGGTCAATGCAGTCCACTTGAGCCCCTGGAGCCTCGCTACATCCGCCTGTGCTGCCAAGTGGTTGTGTTTCCAAAGCGACTCGAGAAAGCCCATGACATTGTGTGGTGTCTTGGCCATCTTGTCGTCAAGTACGATATGGGCCCAGCTTTCCTTGCCGAGCACATCAGCCAACTTGGCCCGTTCGGTGAGCATTTCTTCCAGGACTCGCACTCTGTCCTTGTCTTCTCGCATACTGCCCATGTAGACAAGCCGTCTGGCCTCACCATCCCTTGCGTAGTGAGAGATCATTGATGCCTCCCAGCTTCCGGGCACCACTAGTGCGGGGCCTTGCCGGCCGTTTCGAGGGAGCTGGTGGACAAACTCGGCATCCAGATTGCCCCCGAGTAGACTCTCAGGCCTGGGGATCTCTATCGCTGGCGTGGGGCTAGGACCAGAGTGCGCGGAAGACAAAAAGGAACGTCCAAGAGATATAAGATTGTCCGAGTGCTTGACAAAGTTTGCGCGAGCGACCGGAGGAAGGTGTATACCTGAGCGCTCAAAGTCGGCAAGAAAAGTGTGGGCTACTTTGAGTTCGAGCGACGATAGAGGTACAGGATGTGGATGCGTGGTGGCTTTGACCAGCGACTAGGGGAACTTCAGCGAAAAGGTCATCAATGGAAAGACTACTCACCTCCCACAATTCTTGCTTGGCGTTGAGCTCATTCATGAAACCACATAGAACAGTATACGCCTGATCGCTCTCCCTCTTCCATGACTGATCAGGATGCGCATTTCGTACAAGCTCACACATGTCTATGACCCCGCAAAGAAGGTCACTCAGCCGGTCCAGGTTTTTAATGACGAGACGCAACTCCTTCCCCGTTGGATCAAACGGGGCTGATACAATGCGATCGACAATCGCTGTGGCATGCACCAGCGTCCTGTTTGTAAGTCGTTTGAGCGAGCAAGGCGACATGAGCGGCTCATGGAGAAACAGACCTCTCCGCGGTCCTGGGTCTGCATAGACGGAGGGACCGGAGATGGAGTAGGGGAGGTCGAAATGTGCCCTTAATGCTGCCGCATTGGGATCTGATAAGATAGGCTGTGATGTCGCGTGAGCGAAAGTGACACCAAAAGCGATAGGCGGTTGGTCGGCATCATGGCTACTAGCTGCCAGATCCGCTTGGGCTCCCGGGCGCTTGGGAGCACGGGACGTTTGCAGTCCCCGACTGCGCGACGAGAGGACCGGAGATGCGCGCCGCCTGAATTCCCTGTTCAAGGCGGAAAGCCGAGGGAGTTCTGATAGCGTTCTGTGGGAAAGTCGAGGGGTGGGGGTGGTTGCCGCATAGCTCGCAAGCCTCGTCGAACTCATAGAAATGGTACAGGTTCTCCCAGAAAGCAGTGAATAGTGATACAGAGTCGAGATCTGATTATGATGGAAGTCGTGTGCGCGCCGGCACAGATGAGATTGTAGAGATGTGCTGTTGCTCCAGCCGATATGTAAGCGTGGGCACAGTGGATAAGAGCAATGGCGACAAGAAGGTATGGGACAGAAGAATGGGCAGGGGGGGCGAGGAGAAAGGAAGATGGAAGAGAGAAGCAGATTAGAACGGAATCAGACTGAGATCGGCTACATACCCGCGACCACCGGGAGTGGAGGTGGCCCGCCTGTTCCCACAACCACATTTCGGAAACAGCATTATGCTACATGAGACCGGTAACAAGAACGCCACAGTGCTACAGTACCCGCAATACTACATTCTCGCAGAGAGGGGCGTATACACTGGCACACTCCAGCCCAGCCACTTTCCGAGTTCCTCTCGTAGCATTTCTCCGTAATCTCTCCGATACATGTGATCTGCCTCATCAATCTCCACCTTCTCCCAGGTCCCTATATCACTCGCTCCCTCTTTCTTCTTTATCACAGCAGGCAAGTCCTCTCCGAAACTTTGGAAGACTTTCGCCGAGGTGAATTCATCCTTTGTGCCATAGATGAGTCTCACATGCACTCCTTCGGTCAAAAGATCTCCGAGGGACCCTCGGAAGGACCTATTGGAAAAGTAGGTGATACCGCCGAATATCGTGCAGGGAGGGGATACTAGTAGAAGGCGACGAAGGAGCGTGTGAGGAGGAGCTAGCGTGACGAGGAGAGAACCCCAAGAGTAACCCTAGACAAGGAAGGTCAAGACGCTGCAGACCTGATCGAGTTACTTACGAATCTGAATATGTCCTTGATATCTCCAAGCAGATCCGCAGTAGCGCTTTCGACTTGGGCCATATCCGCCGGGTCGCTGCCTACTCCAAGCCATGGTTGCGACCCCTGAGAACATCCTACTCCTCGAACGTTGTACGTCAAAACGGCCGTCTTTGGGGGTTCACCATTCGGTGATGCTGTAAGCCCTGGATCTTTCTTTTCTGATGGACTAAACACGGCCGATACGAGATGTTGTAGGTTTCTGTGCTGGCCATGAGCTCTGGAGACTGGCCGAACAATAGAGACTCACGGATCGAGCATGTTACCGCCCAACCTCCCCCAGGGATGTGCAGCCACCACTAGTCTCTCCACCCCAAGACTTCTTATGCTTCCTACTGTCTCAATACTGAGTTCTTCTAGGCGCACTGGATTGCTGGTGAAAGAGGAGAGCTTGTCGGTGAGTGGCAGGGGCGGCTGAGTGCGGTTGGCTGTGAGCGGGAGGTATAGCCGGGCTTCGAGCGATATTGAAGCGTCTGAAGAGGGGAGAAAGAGGTGGATGTGGGGGTGTACTGGCATAGTGAGGTGGTGCTGGTCGTAGTCTTAAGTCATACATGCATGCAGCGTTACTTCGTCACTCCATTCACCAAAACGGCCACCCGAAAGACTATACGTAATGTATTTTGCTCCCGCTCAGACGCACCGGCTCGATAACAGCGCGCGGCGAGCTACGTTTTCAGCTATGCATTCATCTTTTTGCTTACTCAAGCCGCCAGCCTCACCCAGCATGGCTCCTCAGACCAAAGCTCCTCCTACCACTGCCCCAAAAAGCAAAGGTTTCACTCCAAAGCCCCCTCGTCCAGTCGAAGAAAGACTGCCTCGGCTCTATCGCTCTCTTTCCGATCAAATTAATGAAGGATACTTTGAGAATGCTGTCAAGACTTGCAAAAAGAGTAGGTTTCGAATGTATGGCATGATTTTGCACAAATCTAACCTTGAATCATAGTCTTGAACCTCGATGCGGCCAGCGAGACTGCCTTCCAGACGCTCCTCTTCCTCTACCTCCAGATCGACGAATACTCTGCCGCCTTGAAGCTCATCGAGGACTCCAAGAAACCTCATCCATTTGAGCGAGCATACTGCCTATACAGGCTGCACCGCGAGAGTGAGGCTTTGACAGCGTTGGAGGGCCTTGAGGAGGAAGGCAAGAAGGTGGAACACCTCCGAGCTCAGATTGTATGTGGGCCATAGTCGAGTGATCGACGGGTGCTGATACGCCGAATAGTACTACCGCATGGGAGAGTGGGAAAAGACCCAGGAGATCTACGAGAGCCTCCTTGACGAGGTCGACGCTGTGAGCATCATCGATGCCTTGCAAACACCTTCTGACTCTAGATAGCACTCTCCGGAACACCCCGACATACTCGCCAACATCGCTGCCACTTCCAAACGCCACGAATTTGACTCTCACGACTACCGATCTCACCTCGCCAACGTCGGCTCCTCTTCCCAGGTCCAAGTGCCCGCCGCCGAGATCGAGTCCTACGTCCCTTCCTTGCCTACTGGCTGGGCAACGGCCGGTGGTCTGGCGGCGACGGTGGAGAAAAAGACGGCCGCCGTGAAGGCACCCGGTGAAAAGCTTGAAAGGAGCAAGCCCAAGCACAAGCTGCCCAAGGGGGCCGTTGCAGGCAAGCCAGTGGCCGAAGATGTAAGTGTCCTGAATTGATGGATCGGGGTAGTGCTGATGCGGTCGGTCCCCCTGGTAACTGTGTCTCGTTCTAACTGTTTCCCCATCGAACATTTCTGCGCCCTTAGCCCGAACGTTGGATCCCCTTGCGACAGCGACTGTCCTACATCAACGCGCAAAGCAAGAAGAAGGGGGTCAAGGAGAGTATGGGGACGGGCTTTACGCAGGGCAGCACGGCGCAGAGCTCTGGAGGCGGAGGCGGAGCAAAGAACAAGAAGGGAAAGAAGAAGTAGGCGATGGTCGGCAAGTGGCGGTTGTTGCGATGTCTCACCAGCGACTGATCCGGTCACCTCCGCCAGCTAGTAACGCGTGCCTCGTATACATGCATCAACCCTCCGCTTACCTCCTTTCCCATACGCCCAAAGTTGAGCAAGTTGAGCATAGCACGCTCATTGCGGGCAGAATTCGTAATGTTTTTGTAATTGGCCCCATGGAACAGGTGGGCCCATTACAGTAGAAAACCGTGTGGCGTACTTTAGATACTGATGGGTGAAAGATCTGCGGCCGGTAACCGTTGTAGGCGACTGATTTCTTGCTCGGACCCCCTCACCGCCCCAAACACGCCCAAACACGCAAAACAGCAACCATCTCGGCCGTAATCGCCCCCAAGCATACGCCAAACATCCCTAGATACCCCTGCTGCCGGCCTGCTCCGTTCTGCGCCTCCTTGGCAGCGTGCTATGGACGGGGTGCCATGTCGCAGAATTCCACCCAAAGGACCTTCTGACGCTCCTCGCTCATGTCCGTTCAGCACGGCCCCTCCCATTCCACCAGGTATATAAATCTCGCCCCCCTCACATCCCATTTCTCTTCCCCGTCTCTCTCTCGTTTTCGTCTCTTCTCCCCTACCGCTGCCACTGCCCTTCTCTCACCCCTTTAACCTCGCCCCGCGCCTTACAAAGGCTGTTCTCGCCCGTACTCTTCATATTCAGTCGGCGACTCCTATATAAGATACCACCCAACCCCATAGCACCCCCTATAATGGCTTCTCCCGCCACCTCAACGGCTTCTCTTCCGAGGCAACCCGGCCCTCGCGCCATCCCCATCATGGATCCGGCTGATGCTCCCCAGATGTAAGCTTTTGTGCAGCCCTCCTGGACTACCTGTACCACTTTGGCTCTTCGCCGTGCTGATGACTCAACTTACAGGTCTTCGCCTACCAAAAGGGCTTACCAGGCCATGGAAACACCTACCACCGTAAGCCACTTCTTTCTCGCCATTTGTCCGACACTCACACCAGTGTCAGGGTCCCTCTTACCCTCCCAGCTCAGAGACCACCTCCAAGGCCTTCTCACCCGACATCTCTAAGCTCAAAATCGAGATGACCGAGGATGACGGACCTTCCCCCTTCTGGGGTATGGTAAGCAACTACATGTCATACCTGACACGTTTTACTCACTGTTTAAACCAGGGAGGGGCAACGATGGGCACACTGAACAAGAGGCAGGACGGTGAGCATATCACTACAGGCTCGAGGCGGTATGCTGATCTTTCAAGCAGGATGGGCATATCAAACTCCCCGGCGCTTCAGCATTCCCCGCTCTTCTTCCCCCACTCCAGGGCTGACCACCACCCCTTACACCCCTCAGACCCGGTACAGTGCCCGCTCTGCTGACATCGGCACTCCAGTCACCCCCCACACTCCCGACTACCCAAACTTCGACTATCGCCGTCACTCTGAAACCAGCGACGCCATGCACCGCGCTACACAGAAGCCGTTCAACAAGCCTGTGGAGGAAGAGTACACAGCTCAGACCCTTGGACGGTATCTACTTGTGAGTCATCTCGTTATACGCTTGAAAAGTATTTAACTAGTCTGCAGATTACCAACGTGCCCATGGACGTTCGCAATGATGACTTTCGGGATATGATCCAGGTATGGCATTCCGTCAGCTGCTGAGCGGGGCGCTGACCTTCGTATAGGACATTGCCGAGTTCAAAGCTCTCATTGTGAAACACCTTCAGACCAAGGGCTGTGTAGGCCATACTTGTTCTCTCCCTCGCAGCTAGCTGACCTCTTCCCTACCAGGTCATTGTCGCTTTCCACGACCCTCGAGAGAACCTCAAGGTCTTTCAACGCCTCCGGGCCGGCCCCATCAACATCGGATCGGCTTATCCTTCTCTCAATCTTTCGTGTATGCCGGTCACCAAAGACCTCGTCGAGTCTGTGAGTACAGCATCTTTACATAACCCAGCGCTAACAGAGTCTAGGTTACCGGCCATGGTCCAGCTTGGGAAGAGGTCTGGAAGACATCTGAGGCTGTCGTCAGGATCGATATCGACGGAGGCAACCCTGTGAATCCCGATGCTATGCACGTGAGTGATGTCCTTGGCCGCCATACTTCCACTGACCCCTTCCTCCCAGAGAGTGGTGTGTGCCATCGCGCCTTACCAGAGTATCGAGCCTATTGGCTACGACTGTCGCGTAAGTGTAATTCATGACCTTTGCCACTAGCTGACGTTGATTCAGTCTTATGTTGTCGACTTTTTCGACACTCGTGATGCCGCTACTTGTATCCGCACTCTCGATGGTCACGTATCTGGGCAGGCCTACGTTAGCGCCAACTACTACGACCCTACCCCTCGGTATGCGCCAACCCGCCCCACACTCGGCAGTCGAGCTTTCTCCCTCGGGTCTGCAGCCTTCATCCCCGGATCGCTTGGCTTACCCAAGACAGACTCCTACTCGGACGTCTTCAGTCTCGGTCAGTCTGCCGAAACTACTGGCGTGCACACCCCTTCCAGTGCCACCTTCAACCGACTCCGGTCGGATGATGATATCTTTCCTTCTCGTTCAGCCTCATTGAGTCCCACCAAAAGGGAAGTGTCTGCTTCGGGCCCTGCCTACAGCGCGGCCTCTCCATGGGCCAGGCGAGGGTCTACCCCAGCTGTATTCTCGGATACCGACACCCCTCCCCGTATGCTGTCTCTCTCCAGGCGACTCTCTGAGGCCGGCACGGTACAAGGTCTCGTCAACAAGGCCGATATCACTGCCCGAGCTCGGCAGAGGCAGGGGCTCGGTGGCCATTGGGATGCGAATGACCGAAAGAGTATTCCCGAGCAGAACAGGGTCTTCCTTGAACGGATCGTGGCTGGTGAGTCTATACACAGGCTTGAGAATGCTGCTGACTAGAAAATAGGCTTGGACCACCGAACGACCGTCATGATTAAGGATGTCCCCGTAAGTTTGTTTCCAGATTCAAAAGTAGTATTTGCTGATTCGGTTCTAGAACAAGTTGTCTCGTCAAGAGCTCGTTGAAATTCTCGACGAAGTTGTGCCCAGCGAGTTTGATTTTGTCTACCTGCGCTTCGACTTCAAGAACTGCTGCAACGTGAGTCCCGGCCTTCAGGAAATGACCCGAGCTCATCACGGGCACCAGGTTGGGTATGCCTTTGTCAACTTTTGCTCCGTCTCTGCCCTCGTGCGCTTCATTCAGGCTCGAGTGGGTAAGAAATGGAACATGTTCTCGAGCGAGAAGGTATTGCAAGTATCTTATGCCGATATACAGTAAGCTCGCGTCTTTCACATGGTCCACTGTGGCTGACGGGGCTTTTGCAGGGGCAAAGCAGCTTTGATCAACAAGTTCAAGTATATCTCCTAGGTGTGGGATCACTCTGACTCTGCTGATCCTCTTCGCAGAAACTCGGCAGTCATGTCTGTTGTGGAATCGTGGCGGCCTCAGATCTTCTACTCGAGCGGTTCCATGAAGGGACAGCCCGAGCCTTTCCCGGTCCCCGACAATCTCTCCTTGCGGGAAAGATCTGGTGCAGGCTTTGCCGGTGAGAATTTCAAAATGTCATGGCCGGATACAGTTAACAGAATCATCCAAGCCCGACACCCAGCCACCTTCTCTGAGAGTCACGAGCGCCCTTACGAATACGCCCAGACGTGCTTTGACCACGGCTTTTGAACTGAACCATCGACACGTTACCATTTGGGTCGCTCACTCTTGAGCCTTGTACTCTTTGTGCAAGCCCCACGATCTTTTAGGCTTTGATTATTCTTTTTCTCTTCAACTTTGCCTGTTTCAACGCTTCCTGTTCGCGTCTAAAAGTCCACAGTGACAATTTTTATTCCAGCACATCTTCTTCTCACTTTACATTCCATCATAGCATTCATCATCCACAACAACACAGCTGCGCTTCATTACATCCCAATTCTACCAGATACACGCAGGTTGTACTCTACCACCTTTTTCTCCAGCGCGCCCTTGCATTTCACATTCTTTGAGCCCAATTGTATACACTTCTTTGTATGACCCCAGCCCCAAGTGGCCACGTACAAGTATTCATGAATGCATGCATCTACCATGCACATCTAAAGAAGATCTTGGAGTTGCCACATTGAGATGATGTAAGCCACGAGAAATGAAAACACCGTCAACTGTTTGAACAACGCACAGACCATCTCCCAACCACTCACCTTTTGCCACTCCGCCCTTGAGTCCTCCTCCATCTTCCACTCCACAACTCACAGCCCCTAACGCCATGCCCAAAGCCCCCTCGTCCAAAGCACAAGCGAAGCCAGCTCTGACCCAGCGCAAGCTTCCGTCCAAAGCCGCAAAGAAGGGATCCGGTGATGCTTCACCCCCCGCCTCCACCCCTTCGTCGCCTTCTTCCTCTGGAGATCCCACTTCTTTCTCCCTCGACCTGGACAAGGAGCTGGTGCTGCGGATTATTCTTGCAAAGCTCGAGGCGAACAAGACTTGCGATTGGTACCAGATGAGCCAGAGGCTGAAGGCGGAAGGAGAAGTGGGACCCGATCAAGAGAATCTCGGAGATGGAGTCACTGGGAAGGGAAAGGGAAAAGGGCGAGGGAGGGGAAAAGGGAAAGAGAAAGGAAAAGGGAAAGAGAAGGGGAAAAGGGAGCTGTCGGGGACAGACTTGCATGATCTCTATCACAACGTAAGTTCAGTGGGACGGATGAGTAGGTCTCGGGATCGGGGCTGACAGATGATGCAGAAGATACTTCCTGCTCTCAAGAATGGTCGAGCACTCTGGGTTGAGGATGGAGAGGGATGTGATCGCCGGGCTTCAACTTCTTCAACCTCGACCTCTTCCACGGCAGGAGTGAGTAAGGCTATCTCGGGATTGGGTCTCAGGGTCAACACCAAGGACATAACCAAGCCCAAAACAAAGCAGAGATTGAGTCGGGGGGATGAAGAGGATGAGCTGGACTCAAGCGATGACGACTGAGGGAGGGATGGTCAGGCGTCTGAGAATGAGGTGAGCCGACGGCGGGAAAGAGTACTGGAGAAGAGAGCCGACATACGTCTACTATGTCTGGGATCTGGGCGAGTCATTTGAATTGTTTCACTCAATCATATATGCATGGGATCATATCTCCTCATCATCATCCGCGAAGAGGTCCTCTTCTGGAAAGTCGCCGACAGTGACCTTGGCCGGACGAACAAAGAGGGCGTATTTTGATGGACAGGTGAAATACCTCTTCCCTTCGACCCTGCGCCAATGTGAGCAGGTTGACCATGTGGGAGATAGTGTGACTTACTCGCCATCCCCTTTCCCGAAAGGCTCGTCCAACTGAACGCCAACCCATACACCGCCCTTGCCAAACTCTGTCTCGCCCACAAACTTGACCGTGCCCCGTTTTCCGAGTCCATCTTCCCCATGAGACACTTCGCATCTTGCCCCAGGTACAATACTCGGGTCGGCGCTGAAAGGTGGAGGCGGAGGGCAGGTAAGATTGTGGGGGACATCAGCGAAGCGTCCAAGCTTGTTCGCTTTGATATGGGCAAGGACGGTGTCGGGCCGAGCGGCGTACTCTTCTGGAGTAAGCTCAAAGCGATCCAGGTTGGAATCGTCGGTGAACTCTCCAGGACGATAGGTGGGGTCGGTGTTATCTACCTGCGTAGATTGGTCAGCCTTGATGGAAAAGAATGAGGGAGGACTCGCCTTGATGCAGTTCCATTCTTGCAGACCATAACTGGCAAGAGTTCGGCTGTCATCGTCAAGAACAGCGAGAGGAGCTCCTGACGTCTGTTCAGCCGATCTGTAGATTTCGAGTATTTGGTAGTGAGGCGATATGCCAGTGATTGGGGTGAGTTTGTCCTGCGAGACTGTAAGCGTCGCGTCCATAGGACAAGACACGGGCGCACCTTGAGCTGCTGGATGGTGAGGTCGCTGTCGAGCTTCCTTTCTGAATGGGTGTCTGGAGAGGTGACAAAAATGCTGATGAAGGTCATCGTGGGGGTATTGAAGTGTTACCAGGAGTTGCAAGAGTAGACACCTCGAAGCAGCCTCGAAGACAACTCGAAGAGCCCGGCGCGAGAACATTGCGGACCCGGCCGCCGATCACTGTACTCGTATGTGAAGTGAAGTCAATAATGCACGAAGATACTGTACAAGTCTTCAAGATAGTTATTGATTCCTTCTAGATAGACTCCCGAGAACCTTAGAAAAAGGCCATGTCAAGAAGACCCCTTCGCACCATGCCGACAAACATCCAGCCTCGCGCAGCGTTGCGTGGCCGGAGAAAGCAAGTATCGTTCAGTGAGTCTTTAAAGTCATATTGTAGTGTTTTCGGGTTCATGACCAGATTCCATCCCGTCCCAGCCCGTCCAAATTTGATATACTTTACGCCTGTGTCAGACATATCAAACGTGGGACCGGCAGTGAGGTGTGAGCGCACAGCGCTCGGGACACCCCATAAAATATCTTAAACCGCCAACTTTCAAGGGGAAGTCAATTTGGGGTTTAAGACCGCGTTAAACCGTTTAGCTCGCCTAAGGTGGTCAGTCTGGCAGCGAGCGGGCAGACGAACCAACAACAGCCCGAATGCAGCGCCGCATGATGTGGAAGTAGCAGTGACGTGGACTTCTATGCATGTATCCATCCGTTATAAGTAGTAGCAATAGCAGCAGGCCAAACGGAAGTAGGCCACTGGGCCTACTCGCAGTTAACCCGTGCCCCTGGTACTGGTAGGCTTTTTAGTCTACTACTACTAAATATCTAAAACCGCCAACTTGCCTCGCTCTTTGGGGCATTCGGATCCACCATTCGCCGAAACGGCGCACCAGCTGTATCTTCATGGATATCGACCGTGTGTCATCGCCTGATCACCCAACGAAACCAGTTCAGGCATGTGAGACAAGCTGTGCGAGGCTGCCGATGAGATTAGTTCCAATTGCACAAGATTATCGATGCTATCCATGCTACATTCCAGGATAAGTTGCATGAAGATGCTGCATCTTTATGTTTGATGCCATAGGCCAGAGCATGCACATTCAGAACCACATATACCTGTCTTTCAACGCCCTGATACCTGTCGCCTCCCACTCATCTCTCCTAATCCACATGTCTTGCAGACTCTCAATATGACACATCACACTCCCTCCCTTCCAGCTCACAAACTTGGGATTCAACCCTCTTGGCGGAGGGACGATCGTTACTTCGCCGGGACCACCTTTTTGCCGGAGGAGGGACGGGAGGCGCTCGGCGATGAAGGCGGAAAGACCTTTGAGGTTGGAGGAGCCGCCGATGAGCAGGATAGATTGTGAGAGAGATTTCATCTTGTTTTCTGTACCTGCCATACCGATGGAAGCCGCAATAGCGGCATCGAGCGGGGAGTGGGCAGAGAACTCGAACACTTTTCTTGCACTAAGGGTAGGCAGGGGTGCCAAGCTCGCCATGGTTGGGATAGAGCCAAGGACTGGGGTGGGGGTGGAAGATGTGCCAGGTTTGACGTCTGGTGCTGGGGTACCGGATGTGGAAGACTTTTCAGGGCTGGGGTTCTCGGTGATGGGAGGAGGCGCTGGTGTGGATGATGCAGAGATGGACTCTGTGGCAGGTGGGGGAATGGGCACGGGAGCCGGAAGGAGATGAGAAGTGCAGGCTCTCATGGCACCGGTCTGTAATCATCATTAGGATTTTGCTTCCAAGCAGACATTTGTGAGGCTCACGGGTTCCTCGTAGTTTGACGAGATCTCATCAGACACCTTGTCATCCGAGGTATTCCAAAAGCGCATTGACCCTTGTCCCTTCTTTTCTTCAAAGTCGATCTGCACACTTTCAGCTGAGCCTACATACGTGTGGGGGCAACGTACCAATCTTGTGTCAAAGAAAACCAAAGGCGCCAAGATGTTTTCATCAAATGTCCTCAGCGCCCATTTTTGCGTCAGCCCCTCGGTCCTGGGGACGAAAAAGTCCCAGGGCGTGTTGGCTACAAGATGCTCTTCCAGAGTACAGATCTTCATTTTTAGATTGTCCATCATCAAAAAGTCTTGTGCCCGAGCAAGGTCGAGGTCGCGATATGGAAAGCTGGACTGCTCCAGCAGGTGTGCTAGTGAGGACGTAATGTCGTCTCCGCCATAGTGCAGTTTCATTCTGTGACATGGTGAGCATGACACAGACAAGCAATGTAACTAGACTAACCTCGTTTCGGGCTGGAGGACCGCTTCATCCACACAAGTCACACTCGTTTGTTGAGCTCCGATATCGACCACACAGGCACTGCTCATCCCAGCGCCAAAGATTGCACAATATGCTTCCTGCTGCACGGCAATGGCCTTGAAACCCAAGACTTTGAGTATGAGATGCGTCATCTCTTGGACGTAAATTCTGTCACCGTGGTCGGGGACGATGAACAGGACGCTGTATTCCGAATATTTTGATGGCGGTATTTCAAGCTCGGTGAGGAGAGCAGTGGTGAGGATAGCAGAGATGTCGTCTAGCAGGGATTGCGAGGAAGACCAATCGCGACGATTCAGCGTCCGGTGTAATATAGGGAAACGAGTCGTGTATCCGGCGTTCTCTGGTAACCTCAAAGCCTGTTTTTAATCAGAAACACTCGAGTAATTCAAAAGAACTCACATCGTTTCCAATGAAGAAAGGCTTGCCTTCGGGCTCGGTCCAGTCAACTCGGTACGGATCATTATGTTCTGGCAGCAGCTCGGGCTTGGTCTTTGCGTTGGCAGCCTTGACTCGTGTGGTATCTCTCCAATCTGTTGTGAGACGCTCCTGTACAAGTCGGTTGCGCAGATAATCTCGAAGGTACCCTATAGGCTCGATCACCTTTAGACGGTCAGCGTGGACCGAATTGACGCCTCAAGACATACAGGATCCACGGGAGCCTCCTCCCCGCCATCCATGGATACATCTTGCGACTGGACCTCCTCCCTCTTGCGCTTCTTATTGCCCTCACTCCTGATCTTCTTCACTCTACTCCCCAAAGCAGGTACCGGGTTGGCACCACTTGCGTTTACTGCAGTTGTTGGCCGGGCTATACAATTCGGAACTTCACGAGGATAGTAGCTTGAGGCCAGTCCTATTCGAAGGTTTCGAGAGCCGGGATGAATGATCAGGATATTGGACAGAGGGTTCTGCGTGGATATCAGCAGCTGCTCATCGCATGGACACGAGGTATTGACCTGTTGGGCAATCCCTGCCTCTTCCCTCTGAGCCTTTTCCTCTTCCTGCTCCCTCTTTGCCCTCTCGAGGCTAATATGTCTGGCTACATCAACGTTTCTCTCCTTCTGAAGATAGTCCCCGGCAGGGATCTTGACATTGTATGTTCCAGGGACGAATGATGTGGTATAGGCCAGCAGGCCATCAATCTTCTTTTGCTGCGCAAGTCAGTAGTGTACATATATGGCTTGGTAGTAGACCTACTTTGGGTTTCTTCTGGTACCTCTTTGGGGCAGGTGCTGAGGTGGACGCTGCTGGGGCAGGGGCAATGGGCAGGGGCGTGGGTGCTGATGTGGGAGGGGCGGGCGACGGGGCGAGCTGTGGCGCTGGAGAGGGCGTCGCTGGGGGCACTCCCGGTGGTGCTGCACTGTCCATGGCCGCTCTGCTCAACAAGTGAATGGTATTGTGTCGTTCGTTCATTGTCGTTGTCGCTCGGCTTCGGCCTGTCCTATTTACGTAAGCCACCGACATCCTCTGTTTGTGCGGCGTCAAGTCCGGCTGCGTCCCCTTTAAATCTCACCTCATCTCGCTCTCTTTCGTCTCCCAGCCCCCAGCCATGTCCTTTCTCAGGAGGGCGTCTCTCGCCCGCAATAAACAGGACGACGAAGCCTCCTCCAGCCCCCAGCGAGCACCCAGCATCTCGGGCGACAGCTCTGGCCGAGCTCATAACAGCAGCGAGGCAAGCAGCATCGCGGATGACTCGTCTATAACTCCCAGCAAGAACAGCCAAGGCAGCAAGCGCAAATCCATGTTTGGGTGAGATCACCCGTCTCTGGGATGCAGCCTGCCACAAGCTGACGGCCACTATAGAGGCAAAGGCCGAAAGAGGCTCTCTTCTTTGTTCTCATCATCATCGACTTTGTCGTCTTACGCGAACGATCGCGAAGGAACCTCCTCTCCTCAGCCTAAATCCAAACTCAACAATTCGACCACTTCCTCCTCCTCGACTTCTGTCCGCTCGAATGTTACCGGATCTGTCCGTCCGACAACAGCCGGCGCCCCCGCTGAAGGTGGGATTGAATTTCCCCAAAGGGGCTTGAGCAACTTGAGGATCGGGGCAGTCACTGGCGAAGTGACAGAGTCGCCTGAAGCCTCGCCGACAGTCGAGTCGGGTTCCGCGATCGGTGCCCGAGACGCGGCTACAAAACGTACGAGGCGAGATAGCATGTGGTCCCAATGGGAACTTGAAGGCGTAGGCGAGGATGATTCGTCTAGCGACGAGGATGGCGGATTCCTCACTCCTTCAGAGGGCCTCAGCGAAGTTGAGGAGGAGGACGAGGACGAAGTGGAACCAGACGCCTCGATCCAATCTGCCCACCCCGCTGCTATCGCGGCGGCAACGACTATCGTCCCAACAGCGTCTCCCTCCGACTTTAAGGTTGAACCTACTAATGTCGAGAAGGGCGCTCTGGTGACCGACACCAAAGACGTTAGCGGTACAGGCGCGTCAACCATTCACAGGAGTCTCCCTACTATGACAGAGACCCGGGTCAGACGACATGTGTCTCACAGACCTGATGCCGCCACGGTGGATCAATCGGCCGTGCTAGCAGAGGACATTGAGACTTGTAGGGGAGCTATAAAGCTATTCTTGACTAGTCATATGAAGGAAGCAGAAGAATTTTGTCAGGAGAAAGCGGGAGAAGGTCATCATTTGTACCTTCAGAGTGCTATGGGGATCATTGAAGCGTTAAAGGTGGGCCTGAATCCATATCAGGAGATTATTGCTAATGTCAGTATCAGGGGATGATGACTTTTGACTCTGTCGACCTCCACAACGCTCTCGACATTTGCAAATCCACATCCATCACCGCCTCTACCCTTCGTCGTGCCAACGACAGCGTGATGCACCGTCTGGGCGGTCTCGTGAAATCTGGCGGAGGTCTTGCTCGTATCAAAGCCATGACTCCATTGGAAAGACATGCTGAGCTTGTATATGCTGAGCAATCATTGTTGAAGGCCATGTTGGCTATCGTGGCTGGAGGTGATTGGATCGGTCTAGTGCGAGAAGCGTGAGTGATACCGTTTGCAATCTGCAAATCGACTGACATCATACAGTTTGAACATGCGTACAGCGCATGGGATCTATAGGAGTCTTCAGCAGTACTTGGAAGATGCAGACAAGCATGGGTATGACGACGATATTGATATGGACTTCCGCTCGGTACGTCTGATCCATCCCTATCTTACTCGACTGACGCATCTACAGGGTGTCCTCCTCGGTACCGGTACCTCCTCGCTCATGCTTTCACTTCTCCCCGGCAAAGTCCTCAAAATTGCGGAAGTCTTTGGTTACGCCGGTGACCGTACCGTCGCCCTCAATACATTGATGGCTGTCGGCGGGTGGACTTCTGGCGTCGCCGAGCCGAGTCTTAATGAGACGAATGAGGGATTGAGGCGACCTATTTGTGATATGATTCTCCTTGCCTATCATCTCGTCATCTCTGTGTTGATGTGAGTCAAAGACATCACAATGTGATGTTCGCTGACAAATCATAGACCCATTTCGGGGATCGATGTGCCATTGGCAAGGAATGTGCTGGCTTACAACATGAAGCGATACCCTGACGGTGTATTCTTCCTCTACTTCCAAGCTCGATTACACACCACGCAATGCCAGCCTGCCGAGGCCAACCAATCTTTGCAGAAAGCTTTGGATCTTCAGCTGGAGTATGTCCAGCTGCAACATATGTGTCTGGTGAGTTCCAGTGTTTTCGTGAGAGAAATCAATGCTGAAACCCTACCAGTGGGATTACGCTTGTAACCACATGATGATGGGCAACTTTAAGGGCGCTCTTGATTGTTTCTCCATCTTGAAGGACGAGTCGAATTGGAGTCGGGCGGTCTACACCTAGTATGTGACTCTCCGGGTCTGAAGAGTCCAGCTGATGATCATGTCTTAGCGCTGCTGCGGCCTGTATCGTCGAGATGGTCGAGGACGGCCACAAGGAGGCTAGTATTGAGGAGGCCGACAAGTTGATGAGGCAAATTCCCAAGTTGACAAAGAAGATTGCCGGGAAGTCTCTACCTATTGAGGTGGGTGTTGCAACGTTACATCGACTTAGACTTGTCTGATTATCGCTACAGAAATTCGGTTCACGTAAAGCCCGCAAATTCGAGTCTCAAGGTGGCCGCCTCTTCCTCCCCGCTCTCGAACTCGCCTACGTCTTTGGCTCTCTCGGCAACACACCCCGCCGCAGCCATCTCAATGTGCACATTCCTCGTCTCAACGCCATGCTCGGCAAGCTCGAAGTCGGCGAGGACGAGTACGGAAGCAAGAACGGGAAAGAATACTGGGACGATTATGTCCTGGGGCATTTCCTGCGTGGGATGTGTCATTTCATCGCTAGATGGCAGCCGAAAGATGCGGTGATCCCAGAGAAGGATGTGAGGCCTGAAGACCCCTCGGACGAGGAGCTTGACCAGGCGGCCGAGAAGGACTTCAAGGCGGTCATCAGGCATGGACCAGACGTACAACTTGATCACTGGATCTTGTTCCATTGTTACTACGAGCTCGGTCGACTTTACGCTCAGAGAGGGAATGATGAATTGGCCAAGCATCAATTCGAAATTGTCATGTCTGGTAAGTATTCCCTTTTGGTTTTGCAGCATAGCTGACACACGTATAGGTAAACTCCCTGACCACAATCCATACATGGCGAAGGCCGCGGGTAAATACTCGCTTGAGGGCGCTTTGTTGCTCAAGACCCATGCTGCTCTTTCTGCTGTGAAGGAGCGTGAGAAGGAAAGGAGCGGAAAGTAGAGAGGACGTAGTGTTGCGGCCCACTGTGAAAGGAGATACGAGTGTATAATGATCCTGTTTGGCATAGATTTCTATGATACCCACGATAAGCAAATCAATGCTGCACGAGACAGGTTGCAGATAGATGTCAAATGTGATTCAGTGAACAAGGTGAATGTAGAAGATCCTTTCTATCGACGAGCGATCTGTTTATTCAACGCACGACCTTATATGGTAGAGACCGAATGTCGATCTACTCTCTCACACCAATTCCCATCTATCTCCCACCACCAATACTCCAAACCACAAGCCGATTGTACAGTCTTCCCCAGTCTTCAACAACCAATGAAGAAGAAGAAAGAAGACAGAAGAAATGAACTCTGCCCCTGGACATCGCCCTGGCCATGGTCTTCCTCCACCCAACCCGCCACCGTATGTTCCACCGGGGTCTGTTTGAGTGCGATTAAACACCGAGGAAGAAAGAGGCTAAAGTGTGGGCATCGTTCAGGAGTGAAAAGTCGAGAGGTTGAATGATGATAGTGTCTCCATGCGAGGAGTCATACGGCGCCGTATCATCATCTTGTTCATGCACAATTGACATCCTCCCGTGAGCGCAGTGTAGCACGTCTTGCATCGATGACCAGCAATCCCGGGAAGATACGGTTTCAAATGATTCATGTTGATTGATAGTTGATTGCAAAGTACTGATTCTACAGCACAGAGATGGGTAGGAAAGATTATAGACACAAGATGATTTGAGACTCTGTTATAGGTTGAACATGATAGTGAGTGGGTATATAGCTTTGAACCAAGCAAAGCAAAGAATATAAATCAATTATAACCCTTCGGTATACATCACAAAGAGAAAAGCAAAGAGAACCATGGCGAGAAGAGCCTCCCCAAAAAAGAAAAGAAATGATGATACACTGTCCGTTCAGTTTCTTGTAAACGCACATTACTCTTGGGCGCCGACGACCAAGATGCGGCCGAGGTTGACCACAGCTTGATTGAGGGTGACCAAGTTGCCGAACGCAGCCAGTTCGCTCACTGAAGATTCAAGAGCGGCGGAGGCGGTAGCAGAGGCAGAGGCGGAACCAGATCGAGTGGAGCTGACGCTCGTGGAGGAGGCGACGGTAGCGTTGGTCTGAACGACGACAACATCGGCGAAGGAGGAGGTGGAGACGATAGACGAGGCAGCAGATGAAGCCGCGGATGAAGAGGCAGCAGCGCTGGAAGAGATGGTGCTGGGAACGGAGCTAGGAGAGGTAGAGGGTTCGACAGAGCTCGAAGACGACTGGGAGGAGGATGAAGAGGGCGCCACATATGTGGAAGTGGGGGGAGTGTAAGTGGAAGTTGAGGTAGGGGGAGTGTAGGTGGAAGTGGGAGGAGTGTATGTGGAAGTGGGAGGGGTGTAGGTAGAAGTGGGAGGGGTGTAGGTGGACGTAGAAGGGGTGTAGGTAGAAGTGGCAGGGGTGTAAGTCGAGGTAGGGGCAACATATGTCGAGGTCGTCTTGGAAGAAGTGGTGGTTTCCTCGCTAGAGTCGTCGTCGTCGTACCACCAAGTCATCTGGAAGACACCCTGCAAACGTATGTCAATCTACTGGTATATCTGGTATATCGATTGAAGATCTGCTTACATCATCCTCCGTGGCAAAGTTCAAGAACAAAGAGGTACTCATGTCCAAAGCGCCATAGGCACATGTCTAAAGCAGCTGTCAGCTTTGATACGGCTGAGCTTAATGGTATGACTTACGGGGCATTCATCTTCGATGGTCGCACCGACCTCCTTACCGCCGTATGAAATGGTAATGGCCTTGCCACAGTGGGGACCGGGGTAGCCGGAGCCGTACTGGGCAGTGTTCAAAGCGACGATGTAGTCGGTAGCGACGCTGATGCGTATCAGCAAACAGGGTCCGATATATCTGGAAAACGCTACTCACTTGGTCCCACCACAAGCACCGAGGCCGACGTCATAGAAGGTAGCTTGGCCACTGTAGGTGGTTCTCCTCTTCTCAAGGGCGACAGCCTTCTCTACAGGAGCAGAGAAGGCAGGAAGAGCGAGAGCGAGGGTGAAGAGGGCGGAGAAGAGCATTTTATAGATCTATTATGTGATGAAGGGTGGGTTGTCCGAAGGATCTGATCGTCTGAAATTCCAGCCGAAGGGTGGGCGAAAAGAGTGTGTGGTTTGTGTGTGGGGTACGTCTGGGATATGCGAGAGACGTCTTTTTGTGATAGACTGAAAGCCGAAGAGGTGCGGCACTTGTGTTGTCGAGATGTCAGTTACTGGGAAGCTGTTGAGGGAAGAAGGCGGGGGCGACGACGAAGAGGGGAGGTGAAAGGAAAATAATGAGCGAGGAAGGGCAATGGTCAGTGACGGTTAAAAGATGACGAGCTGGAACTGCTGACGAAAAAAGGAGCGCACTTACAATGAGACAGCGGCAAAGAACGTACTTGTGGTCGGTGAATCTAGCGAATGTCGTTGGTGTGAGCGATAAACGAGTGTGAGGTGCCGAAGCTGGGGGTGGTCGACTGGCGAGAAGTCGGCGAGAAGAAACTGTTGAAGGTAGTTGAGCAGAGAAGTTGAAGAAGAGAAAGAGAAAGATGAGGTGAGTGAATTGCGAGCGCTGAGTGGACGCGAGAAAACCTGAATAACTCATGTTGCAAAGGGTGCCTCGCGTTGGGACTGAAGAATCTCCGCAGAAGGCCAAGCCTGGGCCGGCAAGGAGAGAATGAAAAGACAAGCCACATGCCAGGATGGACGGTCTCTCTCACGCGGCACCCACGTGGAAAACCCTGCATCCCACTGTTTGGTTACCTGATCGGGACAGTCCACAGGGCAAATCAGGTACGGGGGTGCAGCGGCATTTTGGGGTCTTTGCCCTGCGGTCCAGGCCCGGACTTCGGATCTGCCAATCTAGCGCCGTTCGGCCCAGAAAATGTGGTTATCGCGGCAACCACGTCTGTCCAAACATTTCACTTATCAGCGTCATCAGCAAAGTCAGGCGCGGTATAATGCGGTCACCACCAAGATCAAACGCTGGTGACGAGTAGATGATCGATTGCAATGACCTTGTCTCTGCAATGACATCAGGCTCACAACGATCAGGTATCATTACCGGGAGCAGAGCGATGATGAGTACGACATGAAAGTCTATGAGACTGGTGCTGAGTTGTTGGTCCACCAGTGGCAGCAAATCGTGCTGGAGAAGGAAGACAAACACTGATACGCGCCAACTTCCTACACATATAGCCCATTACGTCTTGTTTTTTGACATCATACGTGTCATTGCAGCTAGTACGTGTCAGTCGCTGACGAGATAGCAAACAACCACCACGAGCATGGGGCTTTATCTTTGCGGGTCACCAGGTGTACATACTCATACATGATTACAAAATAGCCAGACAACATCGACGTCCCCCAATCTATCATGCCGTTCACCGAACTCCTCAGTCTCATGTCCTCAGGCGCACCAACACATCTGCTATCAGACCGGGTACGTCGTTGTTGCCAATGGCGACGGTGATCGCCTCAGCGACATCCAAGTCGCTTCCAATCATCTAGAAAGGTCAACAAGCAGCGCATGAGCGTACTTGCACAAGACTTACAGTAGCATCGGACAGACGTTTTGTCAGAGGGTCAAACGCCAAGGCCAAGGTGACTGGGCCGTTCGGGACGTCGTACTCGAGATGCAGCTCATTGTCGGTCGCGGCCTGGACGAATCGGATGCCAAGAAGAGAGCGGTAAAAGGACATTGATGACGATAGCCTGTGGACAGTCAGTCGATTGCCAGTGCAAGTCAGAACGCGTTCATACCATCGACAGATATCGTCCACTTTGGTGTCACCCGCCTCTCTTCCTTCTCGGACTTCCTTCGCCTTTGCCTCTTCTCTCTCACGATCTCTGCCGAGACGTTGAACCTGACAAGGGTTAGTGGCGGATATAACACCACGGCGCCAACTCACGTCCTTGGCGATCCTAGCAACTTCGCCCCTAGTCCGATCCGCTTCCGCCTGTACTGCCTCCTTATCGTCCATAAGCTGTCCCAACTCGACTGTCTGAGCGTCCAGAGTATCGGTCGCTTGGCTGATGGTCATTCGCTATGGCAATAGTGTCAGCTTGACATAGCGGCTGCAAGGTCGGACGTACGTTCTCCGGAGGGTAGGTAGCTTTGATTCTGGCAAGCTCGAGCTCCATACCTCTGATCTCCTTCTGGAGGGCTTGCGCCTCGGAGAGCTGTGAGGTCATCTCGGTGTGTTCTATCAGACAGTCAGCCTGGGCCATCGGCAGGGGGGTAGTTCGACTTGCGCTTGGCATTCTGTTCTGCAAGTACGACAGCCTCCGTCCTCATGTTTTCAATATCCGTCTTGACAGCTTTGAGTTCAGCCTTCTTCTGCGCGTTGGACGCCTCTAATTCTGGTGTCAGCCCTCTTCACCCAGCCGATATCTGAAACCTGCCGAGCTCTTCATTCTCCCCCGGCTCTACTCTTTGCGGTTCTTCACCCGTGATGGAAGCGAGAAAGTGCCTCTTGGCACCTTGTTCGAGGTATGTAAACTTCAATCTTCGAAAATAGTCCTGTCAAGGTGTCAGCATTTGTCCTGCATCTTACCGACTATATTTCACCTTTTGCGCATTCATCTCTTCTCTGACTAAGATGGGATTGTTTGGGTCGAGCATCAGTGCTGATTCGTTGCTTCCCACTGTGACATCTCGCAGAGCTCGTTCTTGAAAGAGGTCCCGGTTTTGGTAGACATTGTAGCCAGATTGGGCGGCGGCTGTGAGTCTTTGGGCAGGTTAGCGATGCCTCTCCAAGCTATGTTTACTCACTGATCAACTGCTTGGTGCAAGGCTGGTCCACTAGAGGTGATGGCAGCGTCAGTCATGGTGGTAATGGTTTACGAGGTGGAAAGTAGAGGTGTTGTTGTTGTTTGTTTTGACTTTGTTTTGACCAGCACACTCACGCGTAATTACGAAATCAAGTCATCTTAAGCGCGACTATCTTCGGCGTTTATATAGGGTGGCGGCTGCTTCCACTTCACACAACACGGACAGGTCAACAACTCGGACATCAATTCATATCCTAGTGAAGGTCTAGCTAACACCATGAGCAAATCTATAGCGTGTCATGTGAGAGTCAGGCCAGGGAAGGAGGCGGATGGCAAGATGAATGAAGAAGGGATCGTCATTGAGGGAAACAAGATCTCGGCGATGAATGGACAAGGAGACAAAAGGTACCATTTCGAGTGAGTGCTGTTCAGAAGACTTGGCATATAACATAGGAAGTACTGACTTGGGGTAAAGGTTTGAAAAGTGCCATGCAGCGAACAGCACTCAAGATGATGTATTTGATCATGTCAAGCCTTTGTGAGTTGTGTTTGTGTAGGCATGGGCGACCCACTGACTGGATGCAGGCTGGATCGGGCTTGGAAAGGAGTGGTATGTCGAGCACACCAGTGGATGAGTCCGAGTACTTACGGTCAAACAGAACACCACCATCTTTGCGTACGGAGTCACAGGAGCGGGAAAGACGCACGTGAGCTCCTGCCATCTTTCGCACCGGCCAAACTGACAGGTGCTGCAAGACTATGCAAGGGACCAAACAAGACCCAGGATTGATTCCAAGAGCCGTCAACGTGAATCCATCAGCTGTTTCTTGACGTGTGCTTACTCGACATAGGCTATACTAATCCGCCAAGCTGAACTTTCCACCTCGACTGTCAAAGTCTCCATGTCCTACGTCGTGCGTCATCAGCGCTCTTGGTGATTTGAGCTCATGAGGTGCCAGGAAATCCTCAAAGACGAAGTCTACGATCTCCTCGGCTCGGCCAACGAACCCCGAAAGCGTGACATCCGCGCGAGCACTGGCGGCCAGAACATCGTAGCGGATCTGATCTATCAGCCCATCACTTCATGGGAGCAGTTTGAAGTAGACTACGAGTGAGTGCATTCATTCTTAAAACTCAGGCCGAGTACTGATGCCTTGTAGTGTCGCGTCAAAATCTCGGAAGACGGCCTCTACCAAGCTCAACTCGAGCTCTTCCCGATCCCACGCCATTCTGACAATTTACTTGCATGTGGTCGATGAGGCTGGCAATGTCACTGACGGTAAGATTTGCGTGAGTATTGATCACAAAGAAGAGAAGGTCTGCTGACAACTTACAAGCTTACTGACTTGGCTGGGTCCGAAAACAACAACTTGACGGGCAACGACAAGGAGCGAATGAGGGAGGTGAGCCGAACGCAGTGTAGCACCTGCAGTGCTTTACTGATCATGGACAGAGCTCTGCCATCAACACTTCTCTGACGACTCTGGGAAAGGTTGTCGATGCGCTGAACGTTGTGCAACAAAAGGGTGGCGATGCTTCTGGGGTCTTTATCCCTTACCGCGAATCCAAGCTTACTCGTCTCCTACAAGGCGCGCATTACATCTGCCAGGCTTTGATTTCAGCTGATATCAGATAGATGCGCTCGGTGGAACGTCCCAAGGACTATTGATCTGCTGCCTTGCCCCCGGCGAGAAATTTGCGAGGGATACGATCAACACCCTGCAGTAAGTGTACCATTGGCGAATCTGTCCATGCGCTGACCCTTCATAGGTTTGGCAAAAAGTCCAAGGCAGTGGAGAACCGCCTCAACGACAACCGACGCGACTCTCGCAGACTCTCTGCCCTCCCCACCAGACCCCGAGCTTCCCTCCGAGTCCACACCGATGCGTCCACCGCCCCTACCATTGGTCGACCATCTTTGGGGCGTCCCGCTCTGGCGCCGATTGCAGCCAATACGAGGCAGGTGAAGGCCCACCCCAGAGCGAGTATGGCTGGAAGTGTTGGGAAAAAGGCGGCACTTGACTTGAAGGAGAATGTGGGGCTGAGTATGACTGAGGAGCAGCTGGAGAAACGAGTGAGTTCTCATTAGACCTTGTAGAAATTGCTAACAAGGTGTTAGATCCAAAAGATTGTTACTCAAGAGATGGCTAACGCTAGGGAGAAGGAGCGTCCTGTCGAAGCACCTCTAAAACCCGTTGTTGAGCATCCATTCGGAGAGGCCGTGGGCATGAGTGACGAAGAGAAAGATACAAGGGCAAAGGTTATCGTGAAGCATGCCAGGTCCTTGCAGCAGTCGTGAGTTTTGAGCAACTGTCAAGAATCATATTAATTTCGAGTAGCGGCAACCTGGAAGGCGCTCTAGACCTCTACAAGAAAGCCTACGACTATGTCCCGGGTAACCAGAAACTCGCCACGCGTATCGCGGAAATACAGCTTTCCCTCGAAGGCATCCTCCCTCCCCCCGAACTCTCTGGCCGCTCCCGGCACCACGACAAATCCACAACCTCTTCCAAAGCGCCTCTCAAACGCAGCCGTGCCCCGGCTGGATCTACATCGCTTGCAGAGCTTTCCTATGAGGCGGAGGACGAGAGCGATGTGGGGGTGTCGGTGAAGAAGATGAAGAATAATGACGTGAGTGGGGACTTGTATGGGATTGTTCTTGGGCTGACGATGCGACAGTTTACGGCAATTTTCATGACCTCGCCTCCTTTTTGATTAATGACTATTGCTAGCTCCGCCTACCCTGTATCCTTTCTATACATCCATCCTGTAGTATATCACCCCCTTGTTTCTTGTTTCGCCTGAGGACGCTCGTTGACGATTTTTGACTCGTCTCACCTTTGTGTATGGATACTTTGCTCTCTTTAAGCTTGCGGTGTGGCAAGAAGTCCTACTTTGACTCAAGATTCTTCCCGACGTCGAGTGGACAGATGGTCGCAATCATGTTTCGTAGATGACAAGAGATCTGGTCAGAAGCATGATGCTGTCTCGCGGCATCCTTTCTTCCACTGAGAGTGAGAAACTGGCGGAAGGAGCTGGCTCACCCAATCCTGATTATTGAAACGGCAACAGGCGACTCTTCCCCTCAACCTCACTCCACCCTCCCTACAACCCACCACAAGACGATAATCACGACTATGAACGAGTCTGACTCTGACCGCTACACGATCCAGCCTATTGGCCGCTGGGATACCCCGAGGAACGAGCACAACCCCACTTCACCTCCTTACATTGCGCCTGGTGAGATCCCTCAAGAGCCCGAGGTGGACCCGATTGCTTCAGGGGAATCTGGTAATTGGTAGAGCGTATCTATTGTAATGATGCTAGTGTTGATGCGAGATTACATGCCGTCCACTTGTCCTGTTGTACATGACGTCTACCGAGCAAATCTTACACGATAGCCTCCAACTGCTGCGCCAACTTTAACGCCGGCCCCACCATCGTCTCCATCGGTACACCCCTGACGACGCCCGACCCCCTCAGCTTGTCGATAGTCGAGCTCGACACGCCAGAGCTGCTCTCGGCGGCGACGAGCGCGATATCGGGCTTGGTCGAGCGGGGGAAGGTAAAGGTCTGGGTCTCGGGGGAGAGGGACCAGCCGCGGTTGGCGGCAAAGTCTGTGAGGGAGGAAGTCTCGGTGGGCTTGTAGAAGAGGAGGGTGGCGGCGTGTTGGAGGGGAAGGGAGGGGTACGAGGATTCGATGGTGGATGCGATTTGGCCGCTGCTTGGGTTTAGCGAGGGGTCGAGTGGAGTGATCAATACTTACCGGACGGTACCCATGAGACGTTCGAGGAGGAACTCAAACTCTGGTCTGGGGACTCGGTCTTTGGCACGGTACACCTTGTTGTAGGCGCCTTCCATCAGCCATCTCTCACTGCATTCGTCAGCATTGCACAAAACACGCGTGGAATCACTCACAGGTCCACCGGTAATCTCACAAACGAGTCATTCAGCTGCTCTGGCTGCAGAGTCTCCAGCACGGTGTGGAATTCTGTCAACAGATTCTCGCTCAGCAATCCCAGGAGATGCAGACCCAAGGTGACGGGTCGATTGGGCGACTCGGGAATGACTTGTCTGAGGTTGTCGTAGAACGGTTGGAGGGCAAAGTTGTAGCGGGCGTAGGATTTGAGATCGCCCTCACGAAGAGACTGAAATGCACCGATCTCGAGGATGGAGCGGGCTGCGAGGAGGTCCTGGGTGTTGGCGGTGGGCGGGGCAAAGTAGAGGCCGGACTGGGCAAGCTCGAGCTGGGCGGGGTCAGTAGGCGCTTGGAGTTGGAGGGGTGCGGACCTTGAGCTTTGCGAGACGCTGTTTGACGTCTGGTGCGGAGGTGTTGTAGGCGGCGTGGAGGTCAGTGAGGCTCTGCTGGAGGGACATGGTGCGCAGAGAACTCGAGTAGGAGTACAGATTCACAAAAGGCTCAAGGCGACGCGTAATGGCGGGCATGTCCGCTGGGGGTTGCCACGATGGATTGTTCCGGAATCGCCGTCACTGCTGTTCTCTCGTGTCCATCTCTATTCCTGCCCCCCCACGCACCATGTCCGCCCCCGCCCCCATCAAGCCCCAGGACGTCGGATGGCAGTTCGTCCCCCAGTACTAGTGCGTCCGGACAACCACCCCCGGCCACAGCTCACAGCCCACAGCAACTTTGTCAACTCCCAGCCGCACCGTCTCCACTGCTTCTACAACAAGCGATCCACCTTTATCCACGGCGAGGAGGGCGAGGATGTCACCCCCGCTTACGGCCAGCAGGTGCGTGGCACATGCACACCCAGGTAGTGGCTGACGGCAGCCGCAGGAAATCCACGACCGCATAAAACAGATCGGCTACAACCGATGTAAAGTCTACATTCACTCTATGGACTCGCAGTCCTCCGCCGAGGGTGGTATCGTCATCATGGTCCTCGGCGAACTCTGCAACAACAACCAGGCCTGGCGAAAGTTCTCCCAAACATTCTTCCTTGCGCCCCAGACTGGCGGTTACTTTGTGCTTAACGACATTTTCAGATATCTCAACGAGGAGGTTGACGAGCAAAAGTCAGAGGACGGTCACCAGGAGGAGGCTCAGCTCGAGCCAGAGGCCCCCAAAGCTGCTGTTGAGGAGCCCCCTGCCGCCGAGGAAAAGGTCACCCAGGAGCCCGCCGCCGAGCCTGTTCCTGAGCCGGAGCCTGTCACTGCCCCGGCTGCTGTTGTGCCCGACGCCGTGCCCGAGGAAGCCAAGGTCGCCGCTCTTCCAGACAAGGATGTCGCGCCTGCCGCGGAGCCTACTCCCGAGGAACCCGCTACTGCTGCCAACCCTGCTGTAGAGGACACCCCCGCCCCCGCCCCTGCCTCAGAGAAGGCTCCCTCTCCTGCCCCCAAGGCGCCTTCCCCTGCCCCCGCCCCCAATAAGGAGGCTGCTACCAACGGAACCGCTACCCCTGCCCCTGCCCCTGCCCCTGCTCCTACCGGTCCTCCCAAGCCCAGGACCTGGGCTACCTTGGCCGCTTCCAACATTCCGCCTACCAGCACCTGGGGTAAGCCCAGCCCTGCCGTTTCCGCCCAGGCGTCTCCTTCTGCTGCTGCCGCGCCTGTCCCTTCGGCCCCCAAGAAGGAGGAGCAGAAGGGTGCTCCCGCACCCGCTGCTGCTGCCGCTCCTGCTCCCAGGCGCGGTCCCCAGGGTGGTCTTGACGTTTCCAAGATCCAAAACCAGGTCTGCTTTGTCAAGGTGCGTCGTCTGCCTCTCTGTATCTTCTTTTACTGACTGGCTGTAGCTCCCCAACTGGGCTCTTGACAACCACAGCGCTTCCGAGCTCACCGAGCCTGAACTTTCCCGACTCGCTTCCAAGTTTGGCGAAGTCAAGTCTGTCGAGATTGTCGGCCAAAAGGCTTGCGCTTTCGTCGAGTTTGCCAAGGTCGAGTCTGCTCGAAAGGCCATTCAGCACTCGCTTCCCGTCGAGCAGGGCGGTGAGGGCGGTACCAAGTTCCCCAACGGGACCTTGTTCTTTGAGCCCAGGAAGGAGAAGGATGAGAGGGGCCAGAAGAAGAGGACTGGTGGTCAGCAGGGCGGTCAGCCCCAAGGTCAGGGCCAGCCGCGACAGCAGGTCAACGGCGGTGGTGCCGGCCGGGGCGGTAGACCCAACAGGGGACGAGGCGGCCAGGCCAACCAGGGCGACCGTGCTCCTCAAAAGCAATAGAAAAGAGCAGCAGAGGTTGAGCGGCGGGAGATGATCATTTCAAAAGCAAAACAAACCTTTCTTCGCATCTTTCTTATTACAAACCAACCATAATCAATATCGAATCATCATCGAGGTCATCATGTGTATTCCTTGTTTTATACCCCATTCTTTCTCCCAGGTTCCCTCTCTCTTTTCCTTCTTTCTTACAACGACAAGAACGACCCCTTTTCTCTGTACAAAAGACGTGGTGCGGGAGTGCGTGGACCGGGCGGAGATCGGGGGTGAAGACGAGCATACCAAAGGTTTTTGATCCTTCATGGTGTTTGGATAACGATTTTCTTTGCTTTTGGTACATGGTTGATGTGGGAGTGGGACGTTTTGGCGGATTGAAAGGAGTGCACTATAGTCGGCATGCGGATGGAAATGCATAGGTAGTTACAGTACAAGCACAACTTGAATTCTTGAACGCGTCGACGTCGCGCGCGTCATGGGTGGTGACGCAAGAACATGAATCGCACCAAATCTCACAAACTTCGTGACTTGTCATCCTGCATCTTCAGTACTGCAACTTGTCTACAGAAACACCATGGCTGCCAAAAAGACCGTCGTCATCACCGGTAAGGCATTCTCTCTTGCCTTCTTCACTCTTCTGACGATGCGCAGGTGCCAGCGGCTTGCTCGGCCGAGCTGTCGCCGACAAGTTTATCGGCGAAAAGGACGAAGTCATCTCTCTCGCCCATACCAGGGCTGACAGGGACCCGCACTACACCAAGCTTGACTTGATGGACAAGGAGGCTGTGGAAGGGTTCTTTGGAACGCACAAGGTGGACGGTGAGTTGGTTTTTGATTACACTTCAGAGTTTGGGCTGATGTTGAAATAGTCGTGGTGCATTGTAAGCCTCACAGGTATATACAGTATTCAGAGTTTGATGTGGATCTATAGGTGCTGCTGAACGACGTCCCGACGTTGCCCAAGCCGTGAGTGTACACAAGATACGTTGGTTGACTTTGACTGACGCTTCACAGGACCCCGAGAAGGCTGCCAAAGTGAGTCAGTCTTCTATGCGCTGCATCGTCAAGCTGATCGCCTACAGATCAATGTCGCTGTCCCCGCGCACCTCGCCGAGCTCGCCAGGCAGAAGGGCTTCCAGCTGATCTACATCTCCACCGACTACGTGTTCAACGGCCGCAAGTAAGCGATTTCAATTCATCAAACCCGTTTAGCGTGCTGATGGTATGACAGCGCTCCGTACGAAGTCGATGCCCAGCCCGACCCCCTCCAGTCTTACGGTCAGCAAAAGTACCAGGGCGAGCAAGCCGTCCTCGCCGTCCGTCCTTCTGGCGCCAAAATCACCGTCCTGCGGGTCCCCGTCCTCTACGGCAGGACCGAGTACAATGCTGAAAGCGCCATCAACATTTTGAGGGATGTGGTGGAGGACCAGAGTGGCAAAACGTACAAGATGGATGCGAGGCAGGTGAGGACGCCGACGAATGTCGAGGATATTGCGAGGGTGTTGTATGATGCGTCTCGTAAGTTGACTCTGTGAAAATGTGGACGTGGCTGACTCTGACTTTGGGTAGACTTTGAGCAACCCCTCCCTGCCATCTTGCACTATGCTTCCCCCGCCCCCATGCTTACCAAATGGGACATGACCCGTATCATTGCCAAGCACCTCAAACTTCCCATCGACCACATCACCAAGGATACCACCGAGCCTTCTGGTGCGACCCCCCGACCCGAAAACACCCAGTTGAGCAACAAAGCGCTTGAAGAGCTTGGCATTGAGACCCGTGAGGAAACTTCGTTCGAGGACTGGTGGGCTGCGTATCTCAAAGAGTAGTGGCGTAAAGACGACAAGTAGACAAACACTAGGATGATGATGCATATGTAGCCGATTAAAGCCCAGAAAGATGACACAAGTACAAGAATATATCCACAAGATCTCATCCTCAGGCCTTCACCTTCCTGCCCTTACCCTTGCTCTCCAGGCTCTTCTTGGGCTTGTCCTCGCTCTTCGGTGTGACCTTGATACCCTTCTTCTTCAAGGCCTTTCTCTTGCTTTCCTGGATCAACTTGGCATCCTCGGGACTGTCAAAGTTGGCAGGTTCCTCGGGCACAATCTCTCCCTCCTCGGTGATGATCATCTGGGGTCCTTCCTCCTCTTCCTCCTTGTCCTTCTTGGACTTGGTGAGCTTCTTGCGGGGCTCGACCTTGAACTTGGCAACGTAGAAACCGTCCATGTTGTGCTTGTGAGGGTAGAACTATTTTGATTGTCAGTAAAGTAATGACGAGAGAAGAAGATACGTACCCGTCTAGTAAGCTCAACACTCGGGTGGAAGTTCTTGCCCTCAAAGCTCTTGAAACCTGGCACACCAAACTCCAAGCCAGTGTCCACCAACCGCACATTTGGCCTCTTTCTCAGCGCATAGTCGACAACGCTCTCGTCCTCGTCAACAGTCACGGAACAAGTCGAGTAGACGACGTAACCGCCGGTAGAAGAGTTGGGGTTGACAGAGTCGATAGCACAAAGGATGAGTTGTTTTTGGAGGTGCGCGAGAAGCTGGAAGTCTCGTTCGGTCTGCGGAATGGTCAGTCAAGCGTCAAAACAATCAGTTGCAACCTACCTTGTTGACCTTGACACTAGCATCCTTGCTGATCACACCTGTACCACTACAGGGCGCATCCAACAACACCCTGTCAAATCCGCCAATGACCTTGGGGAACTCTCTAGCATCATAATTGCAGACAATCACGTTCTTGCACCCCATCCTGTGCACGTTGGCAGTCAAACTCTTGGTCCTAGCCTTGTTGCTGTCGTTGGCGAAAACGGTACCAGTATTCTGCAGCAAAGCAGATATGTAGGTGGTCTTTCCACCAGGAGCAGATGCCATGTCCAAGACACGCTCGTTGGGTTGGGGAGCAAGGGCGATGACGGGCAAGAAGGAGGAAGCAGCCTGAAGCATGTAGTGACCGGCCAAGTATTCCGGCGTAGCACCAACAGGTACAGGAGACTCAAAGACCTGCAATCCGACCTTGGACCACTTGCCAATAGGCTCAAGGGTGACACCTCGGTTGATGAGGGCCTGAGCGAGATCTCTCCGACGTGTACGGAGGGTGTTGGCTCGGATAGTGACGGGGCGAGGGGACTCGTTGGATTCAAAGAAGGCGAGAGCTTCGTCAGCGGGGAAAAGCTTCATGAGCTTGCCGACGAGGAAGGTGTTGTAACCAAAGTAGGTGGCAATGTCGTGCTGAAGTTGTAACAGGTGGTCGGATCGGGATCTGTGAAGGTGAGCACTGAGACGGGATATGAAGACATATTCACTCACTTTCCGGGGACACCCTTGGAAACCTTCTCGTCCTTGTTGATGACGACACCAACCAACCATCTCATTCGAGTCTCGACATCTCTCAGACTGACACCGTGCTCAATAGCTTCTTCCTCGCCGCCATTGTCGACTGCGGGGAGAGTGAAAGTCTCCTCAAGGTCATCCTCCAAATTAGTCTGGATATCGTCTCCCTCCTCGCTTCCAAATGCACCCTCTTCTTCGTCCATGTCCGCATCCTCGTCTCCAGAAGAGGCAAAGGCAGAGTCGGCCTCGTCCTCGTCACCCTCTGAGAGATCGTCCTCATCCATGTCAAATTCGTCGCCCATCTCCTCGTCGTCTTCGTCAGAAGGCGCAGCGTCGAGATCGAAAGCGTGCTGGCCCTTGGGAAGCTCCTCCTTGTCGTCGTTCAAGTTTTCATCGTCAGAAACCTCTTCCTCGTCGTCAGAGAAGATGAGCTCCTTGGCAGGGCCTCGCTGCACAACCTCGTCGTCGGACCTGCTGCAATTTAGCTTGAACCAGAGCTATGTATGGTTGGACTCACTCTGCTGTCTTGGACTTCTTGGATTTCTTAGCTTTGGGAAGCTCCTCCTCTTCCTCTTCGTCACTGGAGAACTCTCTGCAAGGTTGCGTCAGCTTTGAAGCTGCAGTGGAATCAAACATCATACCCAGTTTGCAAAGCCTCGTCCAAATCACTGTCCTCATCGACCTCATCAACCTTCTTTACTCTACGGCCTTGGATGACATTTCCAGTCTTGCCAACCTTGACACCCTTCTTGGTGGCAGGCCCACGGTGGGCCTTTGCTTGTCTGGCGTCTCCGGCCGCAACAGACGAGGGGGCACGCTTCTTGGCCTTCTGTCTCCTCGAAGGATCGCGCTCGGGCACGGATCCGGGGAGGGGGCGGGGGTCGGATTGCTTGTTCTTGGCGCGTCGTCCCATTTTGTACCGTTGTTGGAGGATAGTTGAGGTCGTTCAAGATGGTCGAGAACTATGGCGCCTCATTCAAAATTTCAGCGGCGGAGGCCGACCCAACAACAATGGTAATGCGGACGTCACCACTTTTCTAAGTGGTTGAAGCAGAGGTTGAGTGACCTGTTCGAACCACACTTGCATGCATCAAATAGTCCGGGTGGTCTGCTAGTAAGCACCAATAGTGTTATGCCATGTATCATCAAGATGGATTCTCTTCGATTACAGGTTTGGGTCTGATCTTTGGCTTCCTGTTGTGGAGTGGATAAGGCAACAACCATGAAATGACAGATGCCACGCAGCACGTGGCTCTGTCGCACCGTCAGATACTGTGTATTAGTCATGTATCCCGCAGCTCTGAAATATAGACGTTGATATCTCCAGGACGATACCGCACGTCCCCGGGACAGTACCAGTCTCGTTCGTTCATTATCTTCATCCGCGCGTGCAGTACTGCAGTCCTCGAGTCGGTAAAGGTGTTAGTCATACTTCACATTCCTCTCGGAAACGCAATCTCGTCTGAGGCAGATCCCATCGTTGACATAGAGACCTGAGCGCTGCATGCATCTACCAGTATAGCGGCTGATACAGGTTCCTGATTAATAGTCTTCATCCTCGTCATCAGACCAGTTTCTCTTCTTCATATAATTCTTGTCGTCTCGTAGCGTACTGAAGGTCACCTCGCCTATGAAGTAGTCACCAGCCCAAATCTCCATTTTCTGGTTGTTGAAGTCGATAAAGTATGCCCATTCACAGTCAAAGCCTTGCAAGAAACCAGCTACGTCATGACTCAACCCGGCTGCTTTGACAAATGCCACCATCAGCTCACTGTAGTCGACCAGGTGGCTAAGCCTCCCCTGTTGAATGAGTTGAAGTGCTTTCGCTCCCTGTACCCCCTTTAGAACAGCATCCCAATCTAAGTCTTCCAGGGGATCATCGAAGTCGTCGTTCATCAACAGCTCTGCCGCCTTTCTTTTCTTCTTCTCAATCAGACTTTGCTTTTCGTCTTCTGAGAGACCCTTAAAGTCAAATTCGTCGAACCAGTTCTGAGGGCCGCCGTGAGGGAAATTGTGTTGCCAGATACCGCCGTCGGCCAGGTAGCGCTTTTTGACATCCTCGGGGACAGGCGCCCCTTCGTCTTCGGATTCAACCCACTATGATTTTTGTGAGAGAAGCAATGGAAGGTCGACCTGCGTAGCTTGCCTCAATCTCCTTATCCGATTAGCCATCTCCTCACACTGCTCGGGAGATAGGCCAGCGATGAATTGGGCGATCCAATGGCCTTGGCCTTGGGGATATGAGTCCCAATGGTTGTACGCCGCCTTGCGTTGTTTATTGCGAAGAATGTAGCCGATCAGACCGCGGGTGCCCATTGTCACTTGATGGAGAGTGTATACAAGAGTCTATGGCAGATTTATGCCGCTTTCCGCTGATTGAAGGAGCACGTGGTGCTTCCGTGCGTGCGTGTGTGCTTTTGGTCCTGATGGACTTTTCGCGTTTTCTCTTGCTTTTCAGCCTTCTACCTGTATCCTACATCTCCTGGCCCACTTTTGTCGCTCCTTACATCCTCAATCATTTCCACGTGAGCCCTACCAATGCCAGGACTACGCCGTACTCATCAACCTGCTCAGCCTACCTCCCCCGCTCCTCCTGTACTGTACAGCTCCTCGTATCTTGCCATCAGGATGTGCTTCCCTCACCTAGACCAGCTCGCCTCTCAGAACAAGTGTGCGCCCCCCATACCACCCCCACTCATCTCCAACCCTCGCCTTCTGCGTCCTCTTCGGCCCAAGCGCCATGGCGTGCAGTATGCCCCTCGATCCCTGCTGTCGACGTACCTCCGACCCAAGCCATCCATCTATGAGCTCTGTCATTGTGTTATGAACAATGGGGGTCGGTATTCCAAGAAATCTTTCGTATCTCGCACCAAAAGCTACGGGCCTCTCAATAAGCCCGGCCATGACTTGATGCTGGCCAACGGTTCTGCGCATAAGCGAGTATCGCTCAAGAGCTTATCTAGCAATGGACACAGGGACAAGCAATACAGCTGCTTGGGTAGACCCATTACCCCCGCCGATACGTGGCCCGTGGAAGAGCTTCTTTGTGCGAGCTTGCTGGCTTCACGCGCCACCATCACACCGCCACTCGCTTGTCCTGCCTCTACTCCGCCAGTTATACGCGAGAGAGTCTTCACTCCTCCTCCCAAGATAGACCTATCCTCCGAAGAGCCCCTCGAGCGTGAGATATTCATGCAAGAGATACCAGGCTTTGCGACAGCCCAGCTGGAGAGGGAAATTGGGCTGGTTGCCCCAGACTGCGCATCACCGCATATCGTGACCGACAACGAGGTCCTTGAGGTCGAAGTAGTTACGGAGCTCTCGGAAGGTCCGGAGACATTCGACGAGGAGGATGTGATTGCACTATTCGAAAGCGAGAGCTGTGGATCTCATGATTTGGAGAGAAGTGGGTTGAAGAAGTCTGTTACTTTCAACGAGGAAACGGAAGTCTACTGGTTTGAGATCAGCGGCGGTACCAGCTCGGAGGTGTGTTGTTTCCCTGATTATCTTGTCAAGATAGCTGAAGTCTATTAGGCTCATCTCGACCTCTCTTTTGGCTACGAATCCGATATCGAAGACAATCATACTCTCACCCAACTTCTTCGCAAACAGTACAGGATCGTCCCTGCAAGCCCACCACCTGTGGAGCACCGAGATTTCTGGAATGTCGTGGCTTCTCTGGGTATCAGCAGCCCTCTCCAAGATCTGTCGGATACTGGCATCCAGTCGCCCACCCACAATTCTCTCGCTTCGAGCTTGGACGCCGAGCAACTCTCACCTCATCGACAATCTCTTTCGCGCGCAGAAGACGCCAGTCTCGACTCTGTCGATGAAATTGTATCCAGACCCGAAGATCAAGACATCTACCTCTCTTCTGATACCACACCTATTCCGACCCAACACATATCTCTCCATGCCTCAAGCATTCACCTCTCAGAATCCTTCGACGACACGCCCACCAAAATGGTCACTGCTCCCCGCATCCTGTCCCATACTGTACGCCCTCCGATCATGTCACCTTGCCCGACCCATCTCCAAGGCAAGAAGAACTCTCGACACCCTAGGCGTGACCGAAAACCTACTCTGACACCTGTATTGTACGCGAAATCGACCCGGAGAAGTTGAATGGAGGACGATAGCATTGCGTTATATTCGGACCGCAATTGGACTTTCAAAGCAGTGGTGCCTGAAAGATAGTATCATGTACATTATCTACATAGATAGACTTGGATTCAAATGGACAACTCCTCTGTTCAGGATCTGTTTCATGGGAAGTGAAAAACATAATCCCTTAATGATGGCCTGTGACCTTTCGGCACCTCGTGAATGCTGACTTTGCAAGCAAATCATTCGACATGGCATCTTGATCCAGCTGTTTGCAAGCGGTGGTACATCGGCCCAGAAAGTAATCTATAGAAGTACAAGCATGGCATATACGACATTGAATATAGAACATGTAACGATCATATTCGACAAGAGATGAAACCGACATTCTAAGAGGTTGGAACAGCAAGGTCTCTTCTCCTATTACATCACGCCCTTATCCTTCCCACTCGCTTCGATCCTCTTCCTCGTAGCCTCATGCTCTTCCTCCGTCGTTCCAGGCGTCTTGTAAAAGATGACGAACTGAAGGGCGAGTGCAGCCGTCCAAGCGATCTGGAAGTAAAATGATCGCCTGGCAGCCTTGTTCCAGTCCATCAGGCCGTCGCCTTCGAATGAAGCCTGGACAGCGAGGGTGATGGCGCCTGCTACTTGGGACTATCCTTCGTGTCAGCGCAGTTGTCCAGGAACGGGAAATGAGGTGACGGGCTCACCATGACTTGGGTCCAACCTCCGGCCACGCCAGAGTACTCGGGCGGGCAGTATTGAATAAGGTTGATCCTGACGTTTGATTCAGCTTTTCGCCCTACACTGTATTGAAAGTGTTTACTCACGCAGAGGCAAAGAATGACATGACGGCTCCGACACTGCCCAAGACGAAAGCCGGGAAGAGGTATCGCCAGTAGTCCATTCCATGTCCACCATCAGAGAAGATGAAGAGGATCTCGGCGATAATGATTACTAGACATCAATTAGTAATGATAGAGACGCAAAAAAAGAAAATTTACACGCCGCGCCCAAGGGCATGAAGATCCGCGCTTTGGTGATCATCTGCGGGAAGAATTGAGAGGCTGCTCCGGCCATAAGCGAAGCGATGCCTTGTGGTAGGATCGCCGCAGCGACATGTACTTATGAAAAGTTAGCACGAGAATTGAGCAGAATGGAGAGCAAAAACTCACTCGGCTTCCAGCCAAAGACCTGTTGGAAATAGGTGGCATAAAGCAACTGTGAGGTGGCCCAAAAGGGGACTACAAATGAGAAGTCAGCGACCTGAATCGTACCGAGGGGATGGTTCACTTACAAGGAATGCAGATGGCAAGACTGGAGATGACAATGTTGGTGATCTTCCAGATGGGACTGGGCAGGACGGCACTCTGAGGAGGAATTTTGGCCTCCCAGACGAAAAAGCCAATGGCCAAGGGGAAACTCAGTATGAACGGAGCAATGAAGGAAGCGGCTCCCCATCCATCAATTGGTCCCTGGAACGGATGTCAGCTTGATTGCACAACTTTTCTAGGACAGAACTGACTTGAGTGAGGGCAAGAATGAAGCAAATCAAAGAACCCATGAGAAGGCCGACACCAACAATGTCAAGTCGTTGCCAACGAGGATATTTCGGGTCGGGAACGTAGGAAGATTTGGTCATCGGAAGCAATGTAACACAAGCGATGGTAAACACGATGCCTGGAATATCAGCATGAGCGTTGAAAGTATACGCAATGTGTTGCTGCTTACAAAGGATGGCAATGACTCTGAAGAACCATTTGTAGCTAGCTAGCATACAGACACCGGCAAGGACACTGTTGCAAGTCAGACAGGAGAGCCATATCAATTGGTCAGATACTGACAGGCCAAGAACATTTCCAATTGCTCCCGATATACCAAGCAGAGCGAGTTTGGCTTGCTGTTCCGCAGGGTCCGGGAACATGTGAACGGTAAGGTGGCTGGGAAGGGTTAGTCTAAGTCGTGGTACGATACTCTATACATACTAAGATGACGGGATGGCTGAAAACGCTGCGTAAGTGGCATTCTGCAGCGACTCAACGGCACTCACTCATCGCTCCGGCAATTCCTCCCAGGCCACGGAGAATAAGGAAGCCGTATCTGGACGATGTCAGCAGCTGCGGATAGGTATTACGCAAGAGGACGCTCACTTGCTAGACGTGACAAACGAAGTGACAAGACTGAGAACACCAAGAGTAAGGAAGCCTCCCTCAAATATGATCTGAGCTGGCCAAAGGTAACTCAGACGTCCGGCCAGCAGCAACACAGCTGCGAAGCACAAGCTGTAGGATGTGATGATCCAGACAATTTGAGAAGTGTCGAGTTTGATATCGTTTGCGATCTGGACGACGGCCACTCCGGCGCCAGAGACACTGCAGGCAGAAGCGGTCAGACTGTGCGTGCAACAAGGCAGGGTGGCGACTCACTTGCAGACGTCAATGAATGTGGATACAGAGAAGATCAGTAGCAGGAAATTCTTTCGTACTTGGCTGAGGTCAGCGAGGGGACTCCGGTGGTGGCCATTGGTAGTGGCTGGGATGTCTGCCGGGACGACTGCCTTCTCATGGTCTGAGGCAGTGTCTTTGGGGAGGTTCCTGTTGCCTGAGCTGAGGGAGTCGCGGAGGGTGTGAGTGGACATGGCGGTGGGGGGGGGAGCGTGGTGGGACTGGCTGCATTATTATAAGTACTTGCCACACCGATTCAAGGGCATCGTCCTCATTGCTAAGATGTTTGGTGCCTCAGGGAAAAATCCCGATCGCGCCTACAACACACATACTTCGGCGATCCGGTCATTGACCAGATATACTCCCGAGCGGACTTTCCCTCCCATCTCCGCCCCGGGCATTAGCTCGGGCAGATGCCCGGGCAGTGGCCATGAACAAAACCGTACATTGGGATACAACAACACCACGGCACCAGAGACGCGCGTCTCTATCTAAAGCTCGGCAGCCACTCGTCAGCACTGCGTCTCCCTCTCCTGTCCAGCTCCAACACCTCTCCGACATCGTCCCCTACCCGGGCTGCCACCCGAGATCGATAATACCGCAGGAACGAAGGCGATATGTCGAGAGACTCGTTCAGTATCTCCTGGGTGAAGATCGGCAGCGGATGGTGGTTTTCTGTACACCATGAATTAGCCGCGTCTGCTGATGCCGATGATACCCACCAGAAGACCCGAATACACCGCTGACTTCGCTGATGAGCGCTTCTAGTCCAAGCAAGCACCACCCCGCGATAAAAGTGATAAACACCAATGGCCAGCCCTTGACCACGCAGAGGAGGGAGCAGGGGATGGCGGCCAAGTAGATGGTCAGTAGATGAGAGAGATGGAGGGTGAGAGGTAGAGGGGGCGGATCTAGAGCACTGGTCAGTGAACGGAACTTCACGTAGCGTGCACATACTAGATGAGAGTCTTTCGGCCTTGCCGAGGTGGTTGTTGAGCGATTTTATCAGAGCAAATCCTCTTTCGCGCTTTGGCACGTTCCAACCACCTCTCTCCTCTGGAAGGCCTCCAAGACCTTCCACATACGCATCCATGATCTTGAGTAGCGTAAGAGACAAGTTGGGTGGGTAGGGAGAGTGTAGATTCGACTTGGCCGGCTGCTTATCAGCCGACAGAGTGGGAACGGTGCCGTTATCGATGGCGGACGAAGACTCGGGAATGTTGAGCTGCTTGAGTTGCTGTTGCAGCTCCAGGCTCCGATGACTGTCCGCCTCATTTGACTGCGTGATGGCCTCTGCGAATTTCGACATGGCCTCCTCGGCATTCTCTTTGAGGTTCCCAATCTCCCAGTCATCTCCTTCCGACTCTTCTGAGCCTGGCAGTCCGGTTGGTTTGCGGCGCAAGGTGCCCGATGGTCCCGCGTGAGCTTCCGCAAATCGGACTCGGGCATCCGTTCTTTTGAGAGATGAAAGGTAGGATGGCGGAAGCAGGTCACATAACGGTGCTTGAGGCAGAGGTCTTGTACCGTGCAGGTGGTGTCTGTAGTCGTATGAGCTTTGGAGAACCAAATATGAGGTGGGACGTACTGGAGAGCGAACGCAAATCCGACAAGTAAACCGGACAGCTCGTCTGTCCGATTGTTGACCAGAGTGCAAATATCATCAGTGTTCCCCGATGAAGGATCATGTCTTCTATCGTTCTCAGAGACATTTACCCCCAAGCTAACATCTTCTCCGCCCGAGATAGATAGCTGTCCTTGACGTCAGATCTCCGGGTCATAGCTCGAACTTGATTGCACGTACCACTCGTATTCCATCTCTGATAGTGGTCCGGACTTCCGACCAGACCTTCTTTCCTTCGTCCCATTTTCCTATAGCCGTCGAAAATCTATACGATAATAGTAATCCCGTGACTATACTTCCTATCAGGGGGGCACCTAGACAGCTACAAGATTACTCACCCATACTCAGCACACCGACAATACTCCCTCCTGCCTTCCCCCAGACTTCGGGTGCGATCCACTGCCGATCTGATAGCTGGAATATGAGCCAAGCGTAGGTGAGGAGCGCGGCAAGCTTTCGGGGCGGGACGCGTGATCTATATATCAAAGAGGTCAGTAGTCTGGTATCATTACTAGGGAGTATTCCGAAACTTACAGAGTGTATGTCAAGAGCCCCCATCGGGTCTCCAGCAGAGGGGGCCTGCTTTCTTCGAGAGCTGAGTAGGAGACGGATACGCGTCGGCGCGGCATATCGGAGAGTCGAGGCGCGAAGTGGGAAGTGGGTGACAGCTGGTTGAGCAATTTGTGTTTGATTGCAACACGATTGCGGATGTTTGACAAGGTTTCCCAGCGATCGAAGTTGCGAAATTATAAAGAGTGTATTGGCCCAGCGAAAGGATGTAGAAGCAGAGGAAAAAGTCGGAAATCGGGTTTGTTGTTTTCGGCGCGTCGCGCTGGAAGTGGACAGAGGCACAGAGCCGCAAGTTGGAACCGCCGAGTTGTGCAGCAGACGTTACATTGGCAAGTCTCCAAAATAGTATATCGTGCCAGTACCGGAAGGCATGTGTTGATCATCAAAACGTCGCCACGGCTATACCATTCCACCTCTCCGCCCACCATCACCCTCCACCTCGCCAAGAGCTATCGAAATGTCAGACTCCAACCCTCTGCTCACCGCACGCTCCCTCATCCTCCTCCAGCTATTATCGAGGATCCTCACTTTCTCGTTAAACCAAACGCTGCTGCGTCTAGCATCTCCCGCGGTATTCGGTACGGCAGCCATCCAATTCGATCTGGTGTGCTCGAGCATCTTGTTTCTGTCGAGAGAGGGTATCCGCAATGCTCTCCTACGGCGAAATAATGAGGAGGGCGATAAACCACAAGGAAAGAACGGTGAACAGACACATACTCTATCAATAATTCCCCTGCGTCTAGGCGCACTCTTGGCCACCGCGATATCGGGAATCTACTTGTGGTCATCTTCATCAATCACCACCTCCCAACAGGGCTTCCACCTCTCCTTGGGACTCTATGTTCTCTCAGCTCTGCTGGAGCTCTCGATAGAGCCATACTATATCCGCGTGCACACTTTGACACCGCCTAGACTCAATGTACGGGTACAAGCAGAAGGAGGAATGGCCATCGTCAAAGCAGTCGTCACTGTTGCGAGCTTGCTTGGACTTGGAGAGAGACATGCACTGCTGAGCTTTGCGCTGGGGCAGGTCGCAGGTGCTCTCTGTCTGGCTGTGAGATATATCCAAGAGTACAACTGGAACGTCCAAAGTCTCCTTGTTGCCAAGCGCCGCACAGAGTGAGTTCATTCCATGTTGTGGAGATCAGTATTGAAACAACATTGTAGCCAACCGAGGTCTGATTCGGGGCTGTACTCCCTTGCAATGGCCAACACAGGACAAAGCTTTATCAAGCATGTCTTGACAGAAGCAGACAGGTTCGCTGTCGCCCGTTTGAGCCCTCTGGATGATCAGGGAGGATATGCAGTCGCCATGAACTATGGTACGTGGTCGGACCGTAACGTCGCAGCGGGCGCTGACCATCATCAGGATCACTGGTAGCGCGCATAGTTTTCCAACCGCTGGAAGAGTCCCTCCTCCTACACTATTCCAGTTCCCTCGAATCCCAAGCAACTCTACCCCTCTTCACCGAGACTATCCGGCTGTCTCTTTATCTTGGTACTCTCGTCCGTACCTTTGTCCCTCCTCTTTTCCCAGCCCTATCCCCCTTCCTCTTGCCCCGGCAATATCTAGACACCTCGGCGCCCTCAATCCTCAGGCTCTATTTGACAACATACATCCCTCTTTTGAGCTTGAATGGCGTGGCAGAGTCGTTCCACACCGCTAGCGCGGACCCTAGTGAGGTCAAACTTCAAGCAAGATGGATGGTGGCGAGCTCTGGCGTGTTTGCGGGTACTCTTGCTCTGTTAGCTTCTATCGGAGACATATATGCCACCAGCCATGGTGCTCCATCCAAGATCATCACCCCCAATCAGGAGCAAAGGCTTGTGCTAGCCTCTTCGGCGGCTATGCTCGTACGGGTAGTATATGCCCTCCGTCATGCGAGGCGGTTCTTTTCTCGACAGAAACCTTCTTTGAGGCTACTCAACCTTCTACCGAGTCTCAAGTTGCTCAGCTGGGCTGTTGTCGCAAGATCTTTTTTGGGATTTTGGTCAGCGACCGACAGATGGCAAAGCGGGTGGAAGGGTTGGGTCGAGTTGGTTGGCGCTGGCGGGGTGCTGGGAGTGGTTTCCCTTGTGTTCATGTAAGCCGAATCCTACCGCAACTTCACATTGCTGACAGTCGTTCTACAAAGCTACTTGGCCGAGAAAGACAGGCTTCAAGGACTGAGAATGAGAATGAAGGTGGGCAAGCAGGCTTGAGTAGGATCTATATGTGCAATTTGCATGAACAACGTTAATCTACTACTGTTTGCCTTGAGGCATCCATTATGTCACAACCTTTTGTTTATCTATCTCATCAACGCAACAACGCCTGGACCTCGGCGTCGTCCCCGAACCTCCCCTTCCTCATGAGGTCTCTACTCTCCCTTGCCGGCCTGGCAGCAGACGCGTTGTCTGCGCTGATACTAGCCATCACCCTCTTCACGACGTCTTCCACACAATCCAGCTCATAGAAAGCGTCTGGGGACTCCTCCAAAATAGTCACAATCATCGCGCTCACAAGCGCCGTTGGCGGGAGGGCAGGCGTGATGAATGTTTCGATGATTGGCCGGATAGCCTCGGAATCTGTCTTGGCGAGACCAGCGACAACACGAGAGATGGCCAAATTGTAGTTGTCGTGGTGTTTGTCCTCAAAGAACTCTTCAACCAGCTCAACGATGGCTGCCTTGGCGGCATCACCGATGTTCTTGCCGGCGCTAGTGCAGACAGCAGCAAGAGCATTCGCCATTGACGGAGCAATGTCGCTATCGCTAGATCGTACACCGCCAATAAGCTCGGTGATGAGAGGGTCAACACGAGGCTGCGAGGGGTTTTAGCTGACTGCCCCATCAAACTTTGTTCAAACGTACCTGATGCTTCATCAATTCACCAAGACCGACAGCAGCACGGTTTCGGACGGACAGGGCAGTGGGATCTTGCGCCGACTTGACGAAGGTTCGGGTAAGCTGGGGGTGGAAGGGCTTGACCAATTGAGGAACCTCTTGGAGAAGGACGGTGAGGGTCGAAAGACTAAGGCAATGTCAGCACTGATGGATAACAACTTGCAGAGGGAACGCACATGGCGGTTTTGATCTGGGGAGCAATGGCCTGACCAGAAATGACACGAATAAGAGGTCCAGCAAGCTGGATGATGTAAGGTTTGATAGCAGCCTCGGTAGTCCGCTGCACAAGCTCGCCAATACCCAAAGCCGCCTGCTCTCGTTGCTCTTGAGTGCCACTGAGGACACCGCCCAACAAAATGGGAACGACGGATTGGGCGCCCTTGGGCCTTGAGAAACCGGGTACGGGTCGACCAGGGGCACCGACAGATTCGATGCTGCGTCGAAGAGGAACGACGAGATCCTCGAGCTCGCTCTTGTCGACAGTCTTGACAAAGTGGTCCAGGGCTTCCCAGGCGGCAGCGACGACTTCCTCCGTGGTGTCATCGAACAACGAGATGAGGACTCGAATCCAATCGACTCGGTATTCCTCAGTGTCCGCCTCGCTGACTTGACACAAAGTGCCAAAGATCTTACAAGCAGTAGCTCGCCTTGTGGGGTTGACATCCCTGGCCCAGCCAATGAGCAGCATCTCAAGAACGTGGACACCCTCAGGGTCCTCAACCGACTCCAACAAGGACGAGACGGCCTCGTTGAGTTCTTCCAACACATCCTCGTCCTTCTCCTTCTCCAAAGAGAGTACCAAGGCATTTAGGACAGTGTCCAAACGCTTGTTGAGAGCCGAGCCTGCGACCTTGACGAGCTGGCCAAGAGCCCGAGCGTTGAAGGCAGTGATAGGCTGAGCAATCAGAGTGGGAATGAGTACGGGGAAGACGCTGTTGGCTCGAACCTGTGGATATAATCAGCACTTTTCTCAACTGTAATGAAATCTGACGTACACTCATGACCTCCTGCAAGGCTTGCAAGGCAGTTTCGGAAGACTCTCCAGGAGTTCGCATAGCTTCCAAGAGCGTTGGAATGGTTTGGTCGATGGCCTTGGCACCCATGTAGTGTTGAGCAGCATCGAAAGTCTTTGCAGCAGCGATTCGCACAGCCTGTTCCGGGTCGACAAGCGCGGCCCGGATAGAAGCAATGATGGCGTCTTCGTGCTGGGAAATGATTTCCTTGTTGGTGGATGCCATGACATCGGCGAATGCCAAACAAGCACCTTCCTTGACCCTGACGTCGGGCGACCCGACGGCCTTTTGCAGAATGGGAATGATTTCGCCAAAGATCCGCTCGCCATTCTTTCGACACAGTTCTCCAAGAGTACGAGAAGCAGTCTCCTGTTGCTCGACATGGGCGCTGCCCAAAAGGGACATGAGGGTCTCCATAAGAATACCCAAGATGTCTCTTGTGGTTCTGGGAGTGTTCTGCACAAGGGCCTTCCAGATGTGAATAGAAGCTTGTCTGACGACACCCACAGCATCCTGTCGGACAATGTAGAGCGTGGCCAAGACACGGTCTCTCTTTTCGGGGCCCAAAGCTTCCAAAAGCGCACGTCTGGCTTGGTCGGCGCTCTGGGTAGGAGCATCCTCCTCTTCCAACTCGACCTTGCCGCTGATACCAGTGACCTTGTAGAGCAGCTCTCCGGTAAGAGAGATGGAAGATTGTCGGATACGCCATGAAGGATCGAGCATGCCCTTCTCCAATTCGGGCAAGAGCAGGTCAACAGCCTTACCAGAGTAGTTGGCGATGACCATTTTACCAGCACGCATAGACGCTTCGCGCACATACTCGGACTCGTCTGCCAAACCATTGAGCACGGGAGGGATGACTCGGGCCAGATGAGGCGCGAATCGATGACCGAAAGTGGCTGGCAAGTAGACAAGAAGGGAAATGAAACCTTCCCGAATGTACGGCCTGGGGCTGGAAGTGCTGCTAATGATGTCTGGCATCAGGCCTTCAAGCCTCTCCATACCCAGACCGGAGAGCACTTCACTGAGACCCTGAGCAGCACCTTGCCTGTCAACTCCACTGGTATCGGACTTGAGGGTGTGGAGGAGCTCATTGACAAGGTTCGGGAAGTTGGTTTCACCGAGACGCTCGACAAGGGTACCGAGAGACTTGGCGGCAGTCGCTCGAGCTTCAGGCACGGGGTCAATCAAAACGTCGTGAACCAGAGGCATGAGCTGATCGAGGTACGGGACAAGATCACGCGTCTCTGTCAGAGAGGCCATGTTGCCGACAATCTGAGCAGACTTTCGTTTCGTCTCGGAACTTCGCTGACGAAGACCACGGTCGATAATGGGCATGACAAGGGCCAGTGAGGGGGCGTCCAAATAATGCTCGAAGGTGGTCTTGAGCAGGGAGCTGAGAGCAGTGTTGGTCTTGGCCGTGGGATCCGCAAGAGCCTTGATGAGGGTGTTTTGAAGAGATTTGATTTCAGGATTACTCAGGACCTCACCGAATCGCTTCAAACTCGTGTTGGCGGCGGATTTGACTTGAGCATGAGAGTCATTGATGACGCCGGTAAGGTGAGGAATAATGGTGGGAAGAGACAACGAGAGTTGTCGTGGGGCACAGAACGCCATCGCACTGGTAATCGAGTCAGCATGCAACAAAAGGACGTTCTCATAAACATACCCGAGAAGTTCGATAGCACCCTTCTTTGTCCGCCACTGTTTCTCCTCCAAGGCATCAAGCAATGTAGGCAACATCAATTTGACACAGTGACCAGATACCTTGGACATGATGACCTTGGCACAATCCTGAGTGGCCTCACGAACATCCGCATTGGTGTCACCGAACGAGGCCAAGAGATGAGGAATGATCTGGATGATGTAGGGCTCAAAGACCTTGCCAAGGGTGCCGGAGAGCGTTTCGTAGGCAAAGACGGCACCCTGACGGGGCTGGAACGCGCTCTTGTCTTCCACAGCATCTGTGAGTTTCTCCAGAAGCTCGTATTCCTTCAAGCTCGAGAGACCTCGGCCTTTGACAACACCTGCCAGTCCATAAGCAGCTCCTCGTCGAGCAGCGTACTTGGCTCCGGTAGTGAGGGTAGAGAAAAGACGGTCCACAAGATACTCGCACTCCTCGTCCATGTTTTGCACCAGAGGAGGGAGACAATCGGCAACAGCAGATTGCACCAACTCTGACGGAGTGTTGAGGGCATCGACCAATCGATTGACCACTTCGGGTACGCGAGGGTCAGAGTCGTCGAGGTGTCGAGCGAGGCGACCGAAAAGGATGACGACAGCCTCCTTGATGTAGTCTGCCGTCTCGCTAGAAGGCAGGTCGGCACCCAAATGGTCCTCAAAGGTCTTCATTAGACTGGTGACGGCGTCGCCGCCGTGCAGATCAATGATCTTGATGGCTGCGCTCAGCATAGCACTTCGAACAGCCTCAGATCGGTCACCAAGAGTTTCCTGCTTGATGAGGAAGTCAAATATGGGCGCAATCAAGGAAGTCGAAAGGAGGGGAGCGGTATTCTCGAGAGCGAGAGCGATGGCTACCCTGGCCTCCCAGGGATCGGGTCTGTTGACTGTCTCGGGAATGATCATACCCTACAACAGCATGAGCATCCTTATTAACTGGTGCAAGATACAACTTACGAATTGGTCGTATTCTGGCACAAGAGGCTTGGCCTTTTCGACATAGAGCTCTTCCAAGCCCTGAACAGTGGGTTCGATTTGAGATGGATATTGCTCCGCACTCTCAGCTACAGCTAAGGCGGTACCGAGTCTGACAGCCGCCGATTCGTGACCGAGATACGGCAAGAGACTGCTCAAGTAGGTCTCGGGCAAGTCGATACCGTTGTCTTCCCAAATATGAGTAGCAAGGTTGGCATTCTGCTCGTCTTCGTCGTGCATTGCGATCCAGAGTTCCTCGAGGTAGTCAAGGTCGGTGATGTCGACAGGTTGAAGAGCTTGGAGAGCGGCGTTTCGGACATATGACTCTTTGGAGAGAGTACCAGCCACGAGTGCACGAATTTCGTCGTGTGTGGCAACATCCTTGATAGCAGCACCCAAGTCAGACAAGGCCGACGCGGCGTCCTTGGAGAGCTTGGTGTAGGTGGTAAGGATATGAAGGAGAGCTCGAATGGTGTCGTAGCGAGGGTAAGCATCGTTGGCAACTGTTTGTGATCGAGTCAGCGCGAACCATTCTCAATGACAGTGGTCCTTACATTCCCCGACACACGTGCCGATAATGGCAACGACTAGAGTCAATTGCTCAAGGGCCTCGTCGCTCTGAGCCTCGACTCCGACCCCACCTTTCTCAACAACCGTTGAAAGCAACAGTGTCAAGATGGAGTAGGTCACGCTATCCAAGGACGTTTGAGCAGAGATGAAGTGAAGCTGGTGCATGATGCGAGTGGTGACCTCTACAAAGATGTCTGTCAGATCTTGTCTCTTTCGGCATGGAATGACTCACCACCAATCGCCTCCTCGAGATAATCGGCAGGCACCATTGGAGCTTCGGCAGCTCGGAGAATGGTGGCCATCAACATCCTACGATTCTCACCCAGCCTGTCTGATCCCAGGTTTCCGAGGTCCTGTTTCATGTCAGTTGTGTCACATGACATGGACGTGACTTACGATGAACACATCAAAGGCCCTCGAGTCGACCAAAAAGCTGCCGTGAGCGAAGACGCTGTCAAGGAGGCTCTTGGCCATAAAGCCAACCCATCGGCCGACCTCGGCACTACCAGCCTTGCTCAATGCACTGACAAGCTCGACACCTCGCTTCAACTTGGCCTGGACTTCTAGAATCCGGCTCCTTGTGTCGGCCTCCTTGACCAATTGCGCGTTTACGAGGGCTTGCTCGGCCTTGGAAAGCTTGACGGTAGCAGCAGCTCGCTTTTTGGCAAGCGACTCTCGAACTTCGCGCTCCCATTGGTCATCCGCATAGCCCTTTCTGTTCTTGTTCTCGGCTCCGGTATCTTTCTTCTGCGCGAGGACATCTACGTAAGTCTGGTCAGGCGGGGTAGCCCAGATACCACGCTCCTCCAGTCCAATGAAGTAGAGAGAAGTGGGGTCAAGGTCAGACTTGATCTGTTGTACAAACGCGTCAACGTAGATGGTCGGAGAAATAAAGGCGAGGGTGGTGACGGCACGGTAAGCTGCCTCAGCGAGTCTGAGATCGGCAGGGGGAGTAGCAGCCGCTTCCCACAGAACGTTCAAAATCCGGTCCTTTTCATCCCTCGCAACAGCAGCGGGGTCGAGACCCAGAGACTGCACGAGCCCGACCCAGCTGGTTTGAGCCTCGGAAGTGAGTTCAGGGTGATGGGCGAGCACGATAAAGTCGACCGCAAGGTCCTCGAGGACTCTTTTGCTGGCATCGGGGCCGGCGACAAAGATGGAAGAGAGGAGACGGCCAATCTCTCGCGACTTGCTGGAGACGGGGTCGTCATCCTCGGATGTTGGCTTGTAAGACGCACGACGCTCGTCGCGGGTCCTGAGCCAAGATTGAAGAGCCAGTCGAATGATACTGCTCAAGACCTGAGGCTGGACTTTGACCAGCTTGGTGAGAGCCTCAAAGGTACCTCGCCTGACCTCGCTGCTCTTCGCTTCGAAAGCTAGATGGATAAAAGCCAGTCCGATAGCAACCTTGGCAGCGTCGGTGTTGATCTTCGAGCCCTGAGTTGCGACGACGCCTTCCAGGGACCTCAAAAGCCACAACTCATCTTCAGCAGCGGGGAGTCGCAAGTGAATATTGCTGTTAAGCACAAAAGAGGGCTTGGGGGCAACGGCCAGGATGCCATCCATGACAGGGCTGCCGTTGAGCTTGTCGGCGGCAGGCATGCCCTTCAAGGCGCCAAGGGCGAGGGAAAGAGCGACGTAGCCTTCGAGGAACCCAGCGGGGTTGGCAGGCAGACATGCAGCAGCAGCCTTGAGATTGTTTTCGAGGGCGGGGACGAGAGCACTGATGGTCTTTTCACCCTCAACAGAGAATTGCTGGCCTGTCGAGCCGACAGTCCAAATAGCTTGACCGACAGCACTCGAAAGACCTCGACGGGTGGCAATCTTGGTGGCGCCGAGCTCCTTGACCAACGCCTGGCTGGAAGCAGCAGCAAGGGCCTTGTTGGAAGTGAACGTGTGTGCAAGGTGGTGGCCGAGAGCAGCACCAAGAGCTTGGAATGCAGCTTCGTTGGCTTCCTTCGCAACAAGTGTGGGAAGAACGTCAACGACGACGGATGAAGCTGCATCAGAGACAGGAATCTCGGAAAGCATGGCAAACAAGATGGCACGATGCTCGGGGCTAGCGGTCTTGCCGGCCTTGGGCAAAGCGATGATCTCGCTGGCGACCTTGGCCTGGGCAGCTTCGTCAGAGCATCGGGTGATAACGGCCTTCAAGAGGGTGAGAGATTTGCTTCGGGTCTCGGCGTTGGATGACTTGGAAGCAGAAAGGGTCGAGTTGACCAATTTGGCCGGCACGAGGGCAGAGACGTCGTGAGGGCAGGCCAAAAGAAGGTCGGCGGTGAGTTCAAGCGCAACTTCGGGTGACCGAAGAAGCATCTTCTCAGCCTGTGGGATGAGCTTCTCAGAGAGAGTTTGATACGAGACAAACTCTCCCAAGAACTCGTTGAAAGCCGTAGAGGAGTGACGGGTGACGTGAGTCTTGGCTCCGAGTATGTTGGTAGAGTAGTAGTTGACTATGGCGTCCTTTTCCTTTTCGACAATTTCCCTGCCGGAAGCGGCTCCACCCGCATCTCCATTCTTTAAAGGTTTAAGTCGCAGAGCAACCCCAATGACGTGTGTGATGAGCACCGCCAGTCGAGAGGGTTGCGAGTAGGTGCGAGTGACGAGGGAGTGCAATACTTGAGACAGAGTTGGTCGCAATTGCCTCAGTACTCTCCACACTTGTATTCCGGCCTTCTTTCTGATCCGCTTCACTCTCGATTCGCGGTGGATCTCCTTTTCTCCCAACCTCATGGCGTCCAAGACTAAGGCAAGGCTGAGGAACAAGTCCTGGCCTTGCTGGGACGAAACGAATTGGTCTACAGGTGCGCGGGTCGATGCTAATTTAGAGATAAGGGAGGTGGTGATGATGAGATAGGGGAAAAGGGTCACAGGAGAGACACTACACAGTCGTCAGAAACCGAGATCGACAATGACATGCACTTACGACTTTGAAGGGTTCGCGACCTTGTCAACTTCCATACTGGCCCACTTGACGAGCTTGTCTGCAAGTTTCTGCTTGCCCTCCTCCAGCTTCTCATCCCTATCCACGAGTTGTATCAGGGTGCTGACAATGTCCTCAGAGTGGTCGACATCTGTTATCGAAGAGAGCGTTGAAAGCAAAGCAGTCAAGACGAGTGGGACTTGTGGCAGTGGGGGTGCTATGAGATGTCAGCAGTTGCCAAGCCAGGTATGATATGACAAACATTGCTCAGAGACATAGAGGTATTGGGAAAGGAAAGCCCTTCTTCTCTTGCTGCTTGGATCCAAAAGAGATGTCCTCAGTCTCGGGCCAAGAGCTTCCCAATCAACGTCCGTCTCCCTTCTTCCAGTGACATCTTCTGTTGGTTCTATATCATCTTCATCATCGTTGTAGTCCTCCACCTCCTTCTTGACCTGCTCTTCTGATTCAGATTCAGACTCGTACGCCTCAGACTTAGGCTCGTCGCTCTTGTCTAGCCATGAGCCGACTTTGGCTTTTGATGACATGCCTCGCTGGGCCTGGAGTTTTTGGAGGGGTTTTTTGGTGGAAGATATGTTGGGTGGTCGGGCAGTGGGAGGGGCAAGGGAATAGGAAGAGGAGGTGCTGGAATGTTTCCTGACTTTGCTAGAATCTCTACTTGAGTGCAGCCAACAATTCATCGTAGAAAGGCTCAGCCGGATCCGTGGATTTGATCCCGCTTCTTTCTTCACCCCACCTAGCCCCCATCTACAACCCTCGCTAGTTCCGGCCAGTATTGACGACGGAGTATGTATGCCGTTCAGAACTTCAGTTTAACTTGGGTTGCTTGAGTTGCCCAGCTACCCACTACTCATAGCAGGATCAATCCTTGACGGCCGGTCATCTAGGATGATGTTCACCTGCGAAACCATGATAGACCACCTTCTTACGGTGGGAGGTAGCGTCTGTCTCCTGAGCCTTTTGCTGATTGGGTGGTGTTGAAGATGCAAACGATGGAACTAGCGCAGGCATTGTGTGACTTTGATTCTGTTCTTCGGGGGATATGCGACTATGCATAATGATCATTATCTTTCTGCTGGCTTCGGCGTGCGCCTCAGACCTACAGTAAAGGAACTGCAGCGCGGGCGGGCCCACGTTACCGCTTAGCGGATGAATCACGAGATGTCGTGCTGTATGAGCGTACGAAGGGGCTTTGACTTGCAAGGTCGAATAATTCTTCTCTGGACCAAGCAGATCGTGATACGAGTAGCAGCTCCTGCCTTTGTAACGGCGGCCACTGGTGGAAAAGCTGATAGCAACATCGAGTGACTACACACGGGACATCACTAGGGGTTTAGATAATGGCAATGAAAGAGATACTGTCATCACTCAAGCAAGGCCGTAGACTTGATTATGAAATTGACCTGCGAGACACATTACCTGTTGTAACGAAGAGAAGAACAGACAGAGAAGAAGGGCAAGGGGGGAAAAAGCTTTGAAGGGGCTGTCGGGCTCATGGTAGAGCACCTCGGAAGAAGATCAATGGCCAAGCGGCCATTTGCGAAAAGTGGACAAACTCTGTGCTACTTTATGACCCCTAGCATTAGGCAGAGCCATGCGGCAGAATCCGCCCCGCTATCTTATCAAAACCCTGAGCTGTTGCGGACACAAAAACAGGCCGCGACGTATATATCGGTCTTAAGCACGCGGCGAACGCCGCCACGTCCAAAAGCCACGTGCCGCCACATTCAGTCCATGGATGCATTCTCCGCGCTCACTCGTCGCGCACTTGGGTCATTTCATCGCCTATACGTGGTGTTTCCTTAACCCTCAAAAGCATCTAAAGTAAGCTTTCAAGCCGCCCCCGACAAACGCCCTGCCGCTCGCCCAAATCCCTGCCGCCCGCTGACAAGTTTTTCCTTCCAGATGCCTACCCGATTCTCCAACACCCGAAAGCACCGAGGTCACGTCTCTGCCGGTCACGGTCGTATCGGTAAACACAGGAAGCACCCGGGAGGTCGTGGTCTTGCCGGTGGTCAGCACCACCACCGAACCAACATGGACAGTGTGTCTTCTCCCTTTACTATTCTGCGTCGGAAGGAACGAAAACGGCTTGGAAGAAATTTTGGAGAGAGGTCGGACAGGAGGGAGGCCAGATATAAGGGATGGATGATATGTGGTTGGCAGGGCTGTAAAACGCCCGGTCGTGACGCACTGCCGTGCGGCCACGTGCGTGCCAGACGGGGTGTTGGCGTCGTGGTGTTCGGGGCCGGGGAATATCCTAGAGTGTGTATATGGGCTAGTACTGACTATATCACAGAGTACCACCCTGGTTACTTCGGTAAGGTCGGTATGCGTCACTACCACCTCCTCAAGAACCACTACTACCGCCCCACCATCAACATCGACAAGGTGTGTTTGAAATTCGGCTGAAGGAAGGATCAGGCGCTGATGTTTTGGTACAGCTCATCACTCTCCCCGAGTCTAAGGTTGAGGCCCCCGCCGGTACCGTCCCCGTGATTGACCTCACCCACCTCGGCAAGTTCAAGCTTGTACGTTTCTCGCCATGCTTGTCCATAATCAGAATGCTTATCATCTGTGCAGTTGGGCAAGGGCCGAATCAACACCCCCTTCATTGTCAAGACCCGATTCGTCTCCAAGCTCGCCGAGGAGAAGATCAAGGAGGCTGGTGGTGTCATCAAGCTCGTCGCCTAAGCGTGATGGAGACTTGTAGAGGAGTTCGTGTTGCGGCTACGGCATGCAATGTGTAACATGATATCCGGCTTTTATTATGATCTCGTGGCTATCGGAAATCAGAGGGCATGGCTGGGAGGGCGAAAAGCATGCGGATTTTGCTCATCACACGCAAGTTGACGGCAATCCCTTTTCGCGTGGGATCAAAGATGGCCGGGGCTAAAAAATGCAAAAGCTGATTCTCCCCACGCTAATCTCAAACACTCAATCGTAAACACTCAAACGGCGGTCGTATGTCAAGGACTGGGTCTTATTGATGATCCAAAGCCACCATTTGGCCGCCCGGGTGGCCTCTCGGTCAACCTGAACTGTTTACGGTAATCCAGCAAATCTTTATACAAATCGACCCTTTCGCCGTACGCTACCTTGCCACCTATGTACCGTCGACAACGCCTCGACAGAGTAGAGGTGATACATGCTGACCATTAACAACAATTCAAAATACAATTACTTGCCCACTTCACCAACCGAAAACTTGATTCGTCCCTTCATACACGCCACAGCTTCATACAATCCACATTCCACCATCTTCATCATTGTCCCGTATGTCTTGCCTTCCTTCTTTGTAAACCTCCCCACCCACAGGAACGCCCAAGTGGTCTTTTCTCTCTTTTCCCGGTCCTTTGCCGGCATATCTCTGACCACTTCATTGTCTGGGTCAAACACCTCTGGATGGGCGTACCGCAAGATCGACAGGAGGTAGTCTACCGTTTCGCTCACAGACCACGCGGGGTGGGACCATAGTTGACTGTACGATACCACATTGAGGGTGCCGTAGCAGACACTGGGAATGCAGGGGACTTTGTACGGTACGTGGATGACTTTTGTGGGCACGTGCCCCGCCGCAAACTCGAGCGCCTTGTACTCGCCCGGCTTTCCCTCCGTCTGCCCCTTTGCCCGTATAGCAGTCCCAGGCAACGGGGGCAGCTCGTCCAGCCCAAAGATGAATGGCCAGTACGCCACATCCCTCGGCTTTGAGACCCTGGCGAGAGAAAAGGCGCAGGCGCGGTTGGGTGGGGTGATGGACGACCAGCCTGTACAGTGCAGGTGCATCTCGGTGAGCGAGGGAAAGACGACGATGGACTGGGAGGCGAGGTGCTGAAAGATGGAGGTAATCCGAAGGAGGGTCTTTTCATCGCTGCAAAGTGTCAGTGATTGCAGGCGCGACGCGTGGTGGACTCACGAAGAAGACTCTCGGAAACAGATGTAGGTGCCGAAAGAATGCTGCAAGACTTTGGTATTCGCCAGGAATGCCAGCTTCAGCTCGCGTCCGAACGGCCTTTCTGCGAATGGCTCCGCATACTGCAGCCCTTCGACGACCTTGGCAAGGGGAGGCGTGTAGCCGTCAATCGAGTGACGTTCTTCCTCGCCGCTGGACAAAGAGTTGTAGATGGATTCGCTGGCCATGTAGCAGGTTTGCTAAGAGGTCGTCAATACGTGGCTTTCAGTCATACTAGAACTTACCCTGCTGATAGTCAACAAGGCATGCCTCTTGTCTATGTGTTCGACGATCTGGTAGACCAACTCGGGAGGAAGATCTTGTAGTCCTGTACCCATAATGCGATACCTCTGGTATGTCGGTAGGGTGTGTGGCGTGGCAAGGCTGGTGATGTGGATGTTATCTGGGCATTGCACGAAGCCCGTGGAAGGGATGTGGGATGCAGGACGGGAGAGTTGAGCGATTGCGGCGGCAATGTATTATGACCGGCCGAGGGAATAGTGGAGCTACGGAGTCTATTGGATAGCTGTTGATGATGCACGAGTCGATGGAAAGCTCCTGGTGACAGGTCCAGGGTCCACCTCCAGTTTATCTGATAAGCTGAGGCTTCGGTCCGATATTTCCCGTTCGGCCGTCTCACCCGTCGCTCATCAATGTTATTGTTGGCTGATATATATGGTGGCCTTCAGCGTCGTCATGCTCCTCGGGGATAATCGGGTCGAGGCAGACAGAAGAGGTGCTCTTGATTTTGAATACAACAAAAATGGACAGCGACACGCATACGAATACAGTACTCGTACATTCTATGCAAATGAACGATTACGGCCAATCACCGGTCCCCCTGCCCAGTCCCTCTTTCGGCAATCCAACTCCTCACTCCAGTACTTCCCATCTTCATCTTTTTCAATTTCGCCTCGTCTACCTCCTGTTTCAGATCTACCTCTTCCCTCTCCGCAATCACATCTACCACAAACAATTCGAGCTCCTCCAGCCCTGAACTCTTGCGCGAGCTATTGACATACTCGCCCCCGGAAAGCGTTTCGCGAGAACACACAAGAGCTTGAATATCTGGGTCGGTACGCGTGGGTCCCAAGGCGTCATCTATCCGAAGGACGTCCAGCTGAAGAGTCTCGGGAGCGCCTAACCGCGCCAAGAACGCATTGGCATTGTCCAAACGCTCTGCTAGTGGTTGCACAAGCTCGGCGTGTGTCTTGGAGGCAAGCAGATCGTCGGCCATAAGACCCACAATAAGCTTTTGGGTAGAGAGAAAGACGCCCAGGTGCAAGAGGAGTTTGTGGGCGGCATGCAGACGGTCGAATGTGCCTCCCAGGGCTACGACGGGGAAGCCTGACGAAGGTGGGAGAGAGAATTGCTCGGGAGAGATTCTGGCCAGAGAGGGGGATGGGATGAAAATCTCGGTGAACGGGGCGGGAACAACCTTGTCAATGGACGACACGACGTCTGTCTCTCGGACTGTGTATCGTCAGCCTATAATCTTGTCTGAGACTGGATATCTCACCTCCATCAATCTTGACAATGTGGTATTCCTCCGCCTCTGCAACGCCACGACAAAGCTTTGACTCTAGACTCCCGCCTTCACCTTCGAAATGCACTTCCACATCCAACAGCACTTTGCCGCACTTCCACTGTGCAGTCCAAAGCGCCGTGTAGATCGCACCAAGGAACGATTGGAGTCCCGCGAATGACTCCTTTGATGATCTTTGAAGCAGACTATATAGTTGCTCCTGGTCGGAACCCTTGCCAGGGATCAGAGACTGTGCATTGGCGAGGGCGCCCTTGGGGGTGGAGAAGAAGACGGTGAACGATTTGGAGGCGGACGGTGGGAGGATGTCGAGGATGAGGGCGACGAGGGGCTGGGGGGCTGTGAAGAGGGTGGGAGTGAGGGGGAGACAGAGAATGACGTGGTCTGCAGTGTCTACCTGGGTCATCCTAAATGCATAGATACAGAGAACAGTGCAAGCAGAATGGCCGTCGAATCGCGTCATAGGGTAATTGCGGAGGTCGCCGCCGCCACATTGTCGGCGTTTTTTTCCCGCGGCAATTTCGATGTTTCGAGGGAGACCATCGCAAAGCGTTTACTCAGCTCGAGACCGCTTCTCCAACCCACAAGAAACAGTGAGTCGCCCTCAAAACCACCAGCACAGCACGCCAGGAGAGAGCGGGAGGCAGGAGGGAAGAAAGGGGACGGGAGTCGTGGCCAATTCGCGTGATTGATCAGCAGGGTGGAGGCGTGCTGGGCTCTCGAAACTATATAAAGCGACGCCGCCGCAATCCTCTTACTAACGCATCTCGTCCTAGTCAATCAAAATGGGTCGCCGTCCCGCTCGTTGCTACCGTTACTGCAAGAACAAGCCGTGAGTGGGCTCGTCACAGCCCTGCAACTGCTGCTGATAAAGCACCAGTTACCCCAAGTCGAGGTACAACCGTGGTGTTCCCGACCCCAAGATCAGGATCTTCGATCTCGGTCGAAAGAAGGCTTCCGTCGACGACTTCCCCTTCTGTTGCCACCTTGTCTCCGACGAGTACGAGCAGCTCTCTTCTGAGGCTCTCGAAGCTGCCCGAATCTGTGCCAACAAGTACATTGTCAAGACCGCCGGTAAGGAGGCCTTCCACATGCGTGTGAGGGTCCACCCCTTCCACGTCGTCAGGATCAACAAGATGTTGTCCTGTGCCGGTGCCGATAGGTTGCAGCAGGGTATGCGAGGTGCCTGGGGTAAGCCTTACGGTTCCGTCGCCCGAGTCAACATGTACGTGCTTTTTATTTCTCATCAGTGGCCAATGCTTACCCTATCATCAGTGGTCAGGTCATCATGTCCATCCGATGCAAGGACTCCAACAGGGCCGTCATCATGGAGGCTCTCCGACGAGCTCGATACAAGTTCCCCGGACGACAAAAGATCATTGTCTCCAAGAAGTGGGGTTTCACTCCCCTCGCCCGAGCCGACTACGAGGCCCTCAAGGCCAACAAGCAGGTCATCAACGACGGTGCTTACGTCCAGGTGCGTACTCTGATCACTGCGACAGGAACATTTCTGATTCCTTTACCAGTTCCTCAAGCCCAAGGGTGCTCTTCTCCAGAACCTCAGGACTGCCGAGCGTGCTTAAGCGTTTGTCGGTTTTTTGTAGGCCAGTTCTCAGGCGCGGGATGTATCGTCTTTGAGCACTTCAGATTGTCCAGCAGAGTCGAGCTATCTGCCTTTGACTGATGTGAGGTGCAGTGACAACGTTCATACAAGCAACGAAGTGATATGGAAACAGCTGATTAATCTCTATACCCGTGTTCCACCTGCTGACGCGACAAGAGGCTCGTCTCTTGGATGAGTGGCCGTGCCAGAGTAGAGGCAGAATCGGTACCTCTTTTTGATACACACTCGACAGGGAATCTGGCCGTCGCACTATGAGGCCGTGAGCGGGTCGTTTGTCATGGCGGGATAACATACTTTGCGATGGTTTGCCCTGCAAGTGTCACAAACTTCCGTCGTTTTTGGTCCCCGCAGAGACTTCTTGCCCTTCTTACTCAACCCAGCCTCCGCTTCTTCTTTGGTCCTGTCCCTCGGCGCCGCTACCTGTGGAAAATCACCGTCAAACTGACGCCCAAGAGTCACGGTCATCGGTTGGCTAAGAGTAGGCGTAGGCGTCTGCTCTCGTGTGCCCTCCGGCATGTCCCACATCCCAGGCGAGATGGCTCTCAGCGTCTGAGACTTGGCTGCCCTCACCACTTGAACGCTTTCCGGGAACTCCATCATCGAGCCGCTCTTTCTCAATACCTGGCCAGTCTTCTCCCTTCCCTCTAGGCCTCTGTCGATGAAGGGGCTGTCGAACGAGGCTGCGTAGTCACGCTGCTCGCGCTTCTCGATACGCCTGGTGGTAGGAGGGGGAGAAGGGAGCTGGTCGCGGAGCCTAATCTCATCGCCAGGGCGCGCTGGATGGTGCGCCGTCTCGGGAGTGAGGGGGAAGAAGAGAGGGGGCTGAGCGCGCCTGGTCGATATGGGTGTAGCTGCGTTCGGAGGTGGCTTCTTTCCATTCGCATTCTTCAGCGCGACGTAGGGCACATCGCTGTAGGCTTCCCTGAGACGCGCCCGAGACCTCCGATGGGGCATCTCCACCTCAGCGGGTGCACAGGTACTTTGTTGGTGGCTGGCATAGGCGTCACTCTCGACACGAGAGGGTATCGCATCCTGAGACGGCTTGAAAGGAGGGTAGAGTTGGTCCAGCCGGGGCATCAGCGGATGCAGAGGCGGCATCAATGTCAAGGTGCAGGCAGCTATATGAGGTGTGGCAGGGGCAGGCCAGGGATCTACTCCGTTCTCTGGCTTGAATTGGCTTGATGTCGTAGGCGCTGCGGCTACGAGAGAGGTTGGTGGCAACGATCCAATGTCCGAGAGGGTCCGTCTATGGGCAACCGGGTGACTGGGAGGCGCAATCTTGTCAAGAGTACTCAGAATCGTCGGGGATGGTGAGCGGTGGAACTCTGTCTGCCACGGAGGAGAGCACGGTGTGAGAAAGAGTGTAGAAGCCGCCGGTCCGACTTGGTATGCGGTCGGTGGGAGGAGAGGAGGACTATTGAGCGCTTCCAGGCGAGTAGCGGGGATGTCAGGTGCTTCCAGGCGAATGGTGGAAGGAGCTGCGGCCCACATCACAGAAGGTTTTTGAAGTACGCGTGTAGCGCCAATGGCTTGAGGTTGGTGTGTAGAAAAGTCGACTGACTGTGAGCGAGTAATCACACGGCGGCGAGCGGTAGAGAGAGACAAGAGGTTCGAGTGCGATGGACGATTAGCAAAGCGGCGGTTGTGATGAACGGCGAGCAGAGCTGCAATGAATGTCAGACGAGAGTGGGTGCGAGTGGAAAGAAGAGGGCATACCTGGAGAGTGGTTTCCGCTGGGAGGGCGGGCCTGTGCCCTGAGCTTGGGGGTGTCTGGCAGGCATGGGTCGCTGGTGATGGCCATCTCGGGGGTCTGACGGGTAGAGGAGGATAAGTGCGGATACATACAGAAGAGAGTGGGGGTCTGTGCGTATAAACAAGCCAGAGGTGGCCGGCATCCCCCGCTGGCTGACGTCAACTAAAGTGCCCGTTTTCTCACCATGCATCCAACACCGCTTACTGCCCCGTACGCGGCGTAATCATTGCACGCACTGTAGGCGGAATAGTGAGAGGCAAGCATGAGATCATGTAGAATCAGTAACCGCTTGCGCTGGCCAAATCCTCGTCGAAAGTGGTCATCCAACAGATCATGTGACTAGAATGTTCATGTCAATCATTATTATTCAGAATACCCATGTCCAAGCGTTAATAAAGATACCAAGTAATGTTCAATCGTCGAATTGGCTACAAGGTCTCAATGGAGATGACACAACACAAACTAAGCTCCACCCCCTTCAAACATCCATTTACCCTCTATCAATCACTGTCCGTTCTCCTCTTCGCAGGACTGTAGATCATCTCCTCCCCCTCCTCCTCCCCCTCCTCCTCCCCCGCATCATACCGGCCGGGCGGGCTTGGAAACTCATCCACAAAGCTCACCGCCGCCGAGTTCCGGTACCAGCTCATCGCGGGCGACACGGCCAAGCCATCGCCCCTCGACCGCGACCTTCCTGATTGAAGGGGTGTGTGTAAACTTTGATTAGATGGAAAGTTGTGCGGGTGGGCAAAGGGATGATGCGAGTGCGAGACGATAGGTTGTTTAGGAGCAAGTGAGAAGGTGACTGGGGAGGGCAGGACAGTCGGGTTTTGGGGAGGCATGGTGCCCGACTCGGGACGGGAAGGGGATTGGTAATCTTGAGACTGATCTAGTAAGCCTGTGAGTCGGTCAGTCATGAACATGTTTGGCGATGCTCTGCTCACTCTCGAACGAATCGTCCTGCCTCTCTGTCTCACCGATAGGTCTCTCGATGGAGATAGGCGCAAGGAGTTTCCTCCTTGGCGGCGTCACCGGCCTCGGTTCAACATCCAAACCTTGCGTCAAGATTTCTTCAAGCATCGTATCCGGTGTGTTGATCTCCGACATCGTACCGTCACTCCCAGCTGAAGTTCGACGCAGCTGGCTGTCTGAGGTAGAGTGCGCTAGGCCTTGACCGTTCCCTCGGGAGATGGTGTCGACTCCAAAGGACAGTCTGGAGCCACGCGATGACATTGGTGGTAGAGGCGGTAGAGGAGGGAACAGATTGCCGGATGGCAGGCTGGGGGTAGATTGAGCGTCGTGCGGTGTTCTGAAGAACAATCCCTGTTCCATATAAGTATGCGCTCTGGTAAAAGCTCGTATGACCTACATGGAAATCCTCCTCATCCTGGACCGTCGATATCCCACTCGATCTCGTACGATGTTCGTCCGTACTAGGCCTCGATCCATTCTTGCTCTTCCGCTCCAAATCTGATCCCGACCACGGTCTCTCAGGCGTCAGCGCTTGTGGGTCTTTGCCCTGCCCTTCGATCACCCCGACACTCGTAGACCGGTTGTGGCCCCTCTCTTCTATCGTCGGCTGGCGGATCTGAATCTTTGCAGAAGAAACGGGAGAAGGCGCACTGGGCAAAAGGCCAGAAGAGTCATTTGCTGCCCCGGACGAGTCACCATTCGTGGTTGTCGAAGCATACAGCGGACTGAGCACGTGAGGGCTGATGGGCCCCGGTCTTCGATAGCCTGCTGGGCTTTGCACGGGAGCTTTGAAAGCCTTGCGCATCCGAGCAAGTTTTTGTTGCTTGGCGAGAAAGTCGCGGACTTTGGGTGAGCCGTCTGAAAAGCGTAGGTCTTCTGGCCGTTGTGGCCGCTCCACCTCCGCTTCCGGATAATGACCCAGACCGGGAGAGACAGCCACGCCGATTTCCTCTTGTCTTCGCTGCCACTCATCTTGAGCTGCCTCAAACTCGCCAGAGCCCCGGAATGCCGGAGACATGCCAAACATCAACGAGTCTCCCGTAGGCGATACAGGCATATCACTCGGGGCACTGGATAGTCGCTGCTCATTGGGCAGGCTGGGTAGCGGTTTCTCCGTTTCCAGAAAAGGTACAGATCTGTTTGCTCTGGATGACGCCCAGCGTGAGGAAGCGTTCCGACTGATGACTACAACACCTCCTCTGTCAGCGACTGAAGGCTGCTTAAAGTGCAGCGTCCGGCCTAGAGGTACGGAAGCAGCAGGATTGCGAGGTTCGTGATAAGAATGTAGAGTGTCGTGAAGATCTGGATGGCTTTGTGTATAGCCTCGGGAGTGGGCGAGGCTGGGGGTAGGGTTGTTTCTCTGGTAGCTCCCAATGAGATTGGGATCTGATACGCCAAGACTCCTGGGAGGCATTCCATCTCTCCTGAAGGTATTAGTCGACCTCGTAAAGCCAAAGCTGTTCGGTATGGCCGGGCTGCCATTTTCCTTTCCGAAATTGTTGACGCTGTCGCCCCTCTCGCCTCTGTCAGAAACAGAAGAGCTCTTGGAACGCCTTCCCCAGCGGCTACCCAGAGACGCTGATCGCTTTCGCCCTTGCACACCCCCAAGCGAGATATTCAACATCGATCCGTTCCTTCCTCTCTCCCGACTCCGACTCCTCTCCCTCTCCCGAGCTTTGGCGTTACCAACAATTGGAGCGTCCGGCGGGGGCTCGGCGCGTCCGCCCAAGCTCAGACTCCTCCCTCTCCGCTGCACTAACGTAGCCCAGTTGTTACGCTCCTTTGCCCGAGCTTGCGTCTGTTCCAGGACGAGGGCACCGTCATCGGAGGACGAGGTGGAGAAGCTCTCGATACTGTTTCGTCGAACTCTAGTTTGAGCGTGCTGACTAGGTCTGGGATAGAGATGAGGCCGAGGGAAGAGGAATAGCTCGCGAGTTGAGGGAACCAGCCATTGTCTTGGTTCATCTTTCTGTTGGTAAGTCTCAAGATTGTGACGGGACCGATTCGGCAGGGAGACTGTGCGTCTCCGGATATCGGCACTAGACTCTTCGAGTGTAGGCTGGTCTCGTAGAGGAACGCTTTCTCCCGATGATTCCGCCTTGGCTCGCAGCTCTCTGTTCAGGGGCGAGAAGAGGATGTGTGGCTCTTCCAAGCCAGTGGGGACGGAGGTGTATGACGGGAAGCGCGTAGCCGGCGCAGGGTTGTGGTCCAGCGACTCCTGGGATGAAGGAAAAGAGGAGGATGGCGACAAGCCCTTATGGCTCCGAGATAAGAACCTCTGGACACTAGCAGCAGCAGGATTATACCGCACATCTCTTCGATCATGACCATCGTCCTCCATCTCTGTGCCGCACATTGCGCTCCTTAAATTCCCCCCGAGCGATGATGCTTTGCGGTGGTGTGTCGCCTTCTTTTGCGGCCGCTGGGGGTCTTGTGGAGGGAGTGTGGGGTTGCCAGTATACGGGATATACCACTCATCGGCGGAGGGCTGGGGCAGGGTGTCGGCGGAGGAGTAGGCGCGGGTCCGCAAGTTGGTGAAGGCGTTTTGAAGGCGGTCCATTCTGTGGTAGTCGGCGGTCATGTTGAATAGGGGTCGGGAATGGAAAATTGCAAGATCAGAATGATGAAGATTGTCAACATCTACCCCGCGTCGCGTCCCAGAAAGGTGACGTCTGGAACCTTAACTCACCTGGAGACGGGGTCTCGCTTGCAGCACGACGGAGAGTGTGGAGTAGCAGGGTATGACCGCCAGGCCGAATGAGGGGGATGTTGACAAGCAGAGAGATGGTCGGCGGGGACAGACGTGTCGTGAAACGAGGGGGCTTCGAAGGATGGTGCACAGACTGGAGTCCCGGTGTGCTCCCTACTTGGTCCAGGTCGCTGAAGGGTCGGGGCGAGAGGAGAGGGCCATGCTGCGAGGAGATTTGGGTCGCTGTTGACAAGATCTGGATCAGGTGAGAAGCCAAATGCAATATTAGAGATTGGTATGTTCGAGAGTATGTTCTCGTCCCGTCGGGTCCCGCCCGCCGCTCCTTCGGCTTTGCCCTTCAGTTCTCTTGCGGTTCTGTACAGCGCGCTCTTGTCCAGCAGCTCGTGCATGGTACCTCAGAGGCGATGGGCGATGAACGAGTAGGTCCAGGCTCCATATGTCAAAGGCTGAAATCACCCAAGAGTACCGGTGTGAACTACGTCATACCGCAGCCTGGCACCAGCACCGTACGAACTGCTGCACCCACACCTTTGACCACCTTGTGCGGCTTTGATGCTTATTGGGCGTATGGTCATGCGTCGTCGCGATGAATTGACAAGCTCAAACTTTTAATATTATAACATTGACAATGTCCAAGGCATGCGCCTGTATTAAAATGTAATAGATATTCCGTCTAAGCCATTCCACCTCTTTCAGCATCTCTTTAGTATACGCAAGACTGGCTACGGTAAGATGGAGGCGGTGAAAAGAAGCTAACAGAAGAAAGACAGGATTCAAAAGACGATTCCTGAATCCAGCGAGCCGTTCTCCCGTCCTCCAACAAATCCATGTCCAACTTCCTCTTCTTCTCCGCAAACAGCATCCTTCTCTGCTTCTGCTCGGACCACTCTCTCTCCAAAGCTTGCCTAGTGGACTTCAAGCCATTCATCACCTGCTGGCATGCCTGCTCCAGGTTCACGCTCGCGCCCTGCCCCTGGGTGATGTAGGGTTTGGTGGCCATTCTGGCCTCTTTGAGCTTGTCAAAGGACCTGAAGTGGACATGGGCAAAGCGAAAGTATCCAGCCTTGCCGTGAATGCCATGGAGGTCTTTGATGGCTTGGTGGACGGCCTGCTTGGCCTGGCGGGCGGTGCGGTAGATGCCCTTGCCCTCCTCGGTGGCGGACGCAAGAGCGTTCTTGGCCACAAGGTTCAGGATTCGTTGAATGACGAGGGCGTCGTGGCGATCTTTGTAGGATTGGTGAGAGGCACGAGGGGAGCAGACCTCGATGAAGATATCGGGAATGTCACCTTCCGCCCCATAGACGACAGACGTGAGGATGAACCCGTCGGGTTTGGTTTCGTAGATGGTCTCGGCTTTGGCGAGAATGGGGTGGAGGGTGCGGGAACTCGTGGGTGTGACGCCGAATTCTGTTCGATCTTGTCAGTATATGCAGTGTGGCAGGACGTATGTCGCCGGCTTACTGAGACTCTCTTTGCTAAGAGGGGAGAAGAAACCAGAGATGGCTTGGGGAACCATGGTGGGCAGTATGCGGGATGTTGGTTGTGGTGTGTGAGGGTTTTCGCCAGAGCTGGTGTTTGTTTGTGAATGACAGCAAGATGGCTTTGTCAATCTGGGATGGGGGATGGAAAGAAGAGAAATGCTTCATGGATCCTTGCTTATATGCCCAGTGATGCATTTCCGCTGTCTGGCACTTTCCCGCAATCGCGTCAGCGGAGTCGAGAAAATGTAATACGTCACGGGCGGAACTGCATTGTCGTTCGCAGGCAGAGAGACAGGCAGCCACTAGCAATCCAAAAAGAGCCTGAGACATCTATGGACCGCTCTTGAGACTCGGATGCATGCTGGCGAACGCCGCAGCTTGCTAGCGCCCGTAGGCAACTACGGGGGCGGCGGAGACTGCATTTTACCAGGTCAGCAATGGTCGTGCAAGGTAGACACAGTCATTTCTCTACGACTTTTGTGTATGTCGTGATATTGCGACGCTGTGTTCGAGATCACAGACCGAGAAATATCGCTGGTGGGAGACAGGACAGACCGTCAACCATAGAACCCGCCGCCTCGCTCACCCGAGAGACAATTGACCGTGTTACGTAACCGTTCAGGAAAGCTCACGTGGAGGACTACAAGCGCGTCGAGTGGCGCCACGACGACAAACTCGCTCTCGACGCTTTCGCAGGAGCATTCTTACCCATTCAGGAATCAGGTCAGAGAATGTCCAACAGAGCTGTAAGTGGCCATCCCCACAACCTCTATCTGGAGTGACGCTCACCATACTTGTCTGGCGTTCAGATTGTAAAATGTAAGCTGGCAGATCCCGGACGATGCTGAACAATGGGCTGACGCATGCATAGACGTCCTCTCCGGAGACACGGTAGCCGTGCGCCCTAAAGAGGCTCCCGAAAAGGGCAAAGTGCCCAAAGAACGGTTGGTTTAGACGCTGCCGATTTGTCTCACTGTTGACGTCTTGTAGAATCCTGCACATTGCGGGTGTGCAAACTCCTCGTTTGGGTAGCATGTCACGCGAAGACGAGGTGAGTCCATGATGAAGCAACCGGGCGAGTGGTGTATTGACTATTCGAACTAGCCCCACGCCTTCCAGGCTCGAGAATATCTTTGCCAATTACTCCTAGGTAAAGAAGTCGCTTTCAACATTACGCACACTCTCGAGTCCAATCATGCTGGTCCTGTAAGTCCTCCTCGATTCATCAATCCCATTTCTGATCCTGGCAGGGCCGAGAATTTGTATCCCTCTTCATCGCCCCCGCTGCCCCCGGCCAGCCTCCCCAAGATGTCGCGGCACTTATCCTCGCTGAAGGTTGGGCCAGAATGAGGGATGGCGTTGGAGAAGGCGACGAAGCTATCAGGCGTCTTGGTGCTGAGGAAGCAAAGAAGAGGGACGCCCTTCGTGCCATTGAAGCCCAAGCTAAGGCTGAAGGCAAAGGAGTATGGGACGAGCAGCCGGAATCTCAGAGGACTGTCTCTTTCCAGATGCCTACCGATCCTCAAGCTTTCATTGCCGAACACAAGGGCGAAGAAATTGAAGCTATCGTCGAGCAAGTTCGGGATGGAACGCAGCTCCGCTGCCGACTTCTCCTCGAGGACGGTAACCACCAATTCGTCAATCTCGTTCTCGCCGGGGCCAAGTCACCCCGTGCTTCTACATCCAGAGACTCCGAGGTCTCCAATGGAGAGCCTTGGGGAGACGAGGCCAAGTACTTTACCGAAGTGCGAGTACTTCAGCGACACATCAAAGTTCGTTTGTTGTCCGCCCCTGCCTCTCTCGGTGCGAACCCTCTTCAATCCCAAGCCCCCAACAAGCCTACTGGATTTGGACTCCCCGGCCCTAACGGTTTGCCAGCACCATCACAAGGATCCACTGTCATCATTGGTACTGCCATGCACCCGAAGGGCAACATCGCCGAGTTCCTCCTCGGTGCCGGTCTCGCCAAGGTCGTCGACTGGCACGTCGGTCTTCTCGCGCCCTACGGTGGTCTGGACAAGTTCCGAGCTGTTGAGAAAGCTTCCAGGGAGAAGAAGCTTGGTATCTGGGAGAATTTTGCGCCCGTTCGTGCTACGGCTAACGGTGCTCCTGGTGCCGTCGCCGCTCAAGGACCCCCTTCGACCAAGGGAACCGACTTTGAGGCGACCGTGACTAGGATCTGGGGGTCTGATCAGCTGAGCATCGTGGAGAGGACCGAGGGCGGCAAGGAGAGGAGAGTCCAGTTGTCGTCAGTCCGTGGACCTAGAGGTGTTGACGCCAAGCAGACCTACTGGGCCAATGAAGCCAAGGAGTGTGTACTTTTCTCTGCAGATGGATGTCGCTAACAAAGGTCAAGGTTCCTGCGAAAGCGTTTGATTGGCAAGCATGTCCATGTCCACGTGGACTATGTCAAGCCCAAGGAAGGTGAATTCGAAGAGAGAGAATGCGTGACTATCCGATACGGCAACCAGAACCAGTGAGTCTACATCGTCATGGGCAACGCTGTGACTAAAGCAATCCGCAAAGCAACATTTCCGAGCAGTTGATCGAAAAAGGTCTCGCCACTGTCTTGCGTCATAAGCGCGACGACGAAGACCGTTCTGTGGAGCTTGACAAACTCATCCTCGCCGAGCAGACCGCGCAAACCGGTGAGAAGGGTCTCCACTCCACCAAGGAGGTGGTCATGCCCAGGATCGTCGATGCTTCTGAGAAGGGTAGTATGGCTTCTAGCTATCTGCCGCAATGGAAGAGGGCCGGCAAGCACGCCGCTGTCGTGAGTCTAAACGTTGCGCAAAGTGAATCATGCTGATGGCGAGGCAGGTGGATTTCGTCAGTGCTGGCTCTAGATTCAAGCTTTTCATGCCCAAAGAACACACCAAGATCACGCTGGTACTCGCTGGCATACGCGCCCCGCGCACAGCCCGAAATGCTTCCGAAAAGTCAGAGCCCTTTGGCGCTGAGGCTCTGAAGTTTGCGTCCAAGTACCTGCAGCGGGATGTCGAAGTTGGCAAGTCTAGCCCTGACTATGGTTCAGCAACGATGACTAACATTCCCTGTAGCCTTTGACTCCACTGACCGATCAGGAGGTTTCATTGGAATTATGTATGCCGGAGGTGCCAATGTTGCCGTGGAGCTTGTTCAGGAAGGGTGAGCTCCTATTTGGCTGTATGCGCTCTATGCTGAAACTCTGCAGTCTTGCATCCGTCCACGAACGTGCTGCCGAGACGTTGCCATTCGGACGTGAGCTCGTTGCTGCCGAGGAGAAAGCCAAAAAGGAGAAGAAGGGTGTAGGTAGACAGCTCGACTATGACGTGACAGAGCTTACCTTCTCTCACAGATCTGGTCCACATACTCTGAGGAGGAAGCTTCCGCCAAGGTCGTGTCCGATCCTACCTCTGCTCTCCCCACCGAGTACAAAGATGTGTACATTACCGCCGTCAAGGATACCGAGCCTTTCACTTTTTCTGTCCAGGTCCTCGAGCCGGCCAGCGTCGCTTCCCTGACCAAGCTCATGTCGGATTTCGGTCTTCACCACAAGCAGAGCAGCTCTGCCTCTCCTGCTGGATTCTCTCCCAAAGCTGGTGAACTCATCTCTGCCAAGTTTAGCGAGGACAACCAGTGGTACCGAGCTAGGGTCAAGAGGGCTAGTGCGATCAAGAAGGAAGCTCAAGTAATCTTGATTGATTATGGAAATGAGGAGACACTTCCATTCTCACGACTGAGGCCTTTGGACTCCAAGTTCAAAAATCTGCCGGGCCAGGCTCAGGAGGCTCGTCTGAGGTAAGACCCAATTGCCGTCCATGTTTCGATCCTGACGCGTGAATAGTTTTGTCAAACTTGCTGCTAAATCCAGCGAGTATGGGCCTGAGGCTCGGCGACGCTTTGAAGACCTCACTGGCGGCCTCAAGCTCATTGCCAACATTGACCAACGCGAAGGCAACCTCTTGCACCTCCGTCTGATTGACCCCACCGACCCTCAGATCAAGGAAGACCCATTGGCCTGTGTCAACGCAGACTTGATTAGGGACGGATTGGCGACTATTGACAAGAGCTGCCCTTACCTTGCTAGCTATCCTCAGGTTGTCAAGAAGCTGCAGCAGTCTACAGAGGATGCGAAGGCGGACCGATACGGTATCTTTGAGTATGTGATTGATTCGTCCCAGAGGGTGCGATTGCTGATAATCTTTCCAGGTTTGGAGATGTCAGTGAAGACTAGGCGTCAGTGTCTGCAGCAAGATCAAAAAATAATAAACAAAGTCTCGATTACAAAGCATGAGCATTCTTTTCGCATCTTTCCATTCGGCATAGCACTTGCATAGGTATGGGATGCATAGAATCAAATTACATCTGTTGAATCAGATGAAATGTGCGTGTACGAGACCAATCAAAGTCTTATGCTCGGGGGCCCGTCCTTTTGCTTCAGTCAAACGTCATCGTCCCGTTTCTTGGGGGGCCTTCCCCTCTTCCTCTTGGGAGGCGCCGTATCTTGCTGTTGCGTACTGTTTTCGCTGGCAGGCAAAGGGCGATTGGGGGAGGGAGAAGACGCGGGTCGTCCAGAATTGTGTAACGGTACACTGGTGGTGAGGGGTCTGTCCCCTTCCTGGTCAGCGATCACGCAAGTAATCCTTCTGGCTTCGCAACGTCGGCAGGGTGGATCGCCTTCGCACTGTTCAGGGTGCGTGAGCCGAAAGTCGGAAAAAAAGGCTGATTGAGACTTACTCGGACATGTCGTCGCTGGCAATTCGTACAAGCTACCGGATTTCTGGTCCAGCCGCCTTTACCACCCTGACTCTTGGGCTCCAAACGCCCACCCCTTGAGCCCCTTCCGCCGCCACCTCTGCTTCCCCTTCCACCTCTGCTCCCTGGACCACCTCTAAATCTTGTGAGGGAACCAGGAGGGCGGCCTCGACCTCGACCCCTTCCACGACCACGTCCCCGGGTGGAGGAGCTTGAGCCTCGACGTCCAAATTCGAAATCACTCCCTTCAGAATCATGCTCGTGCGCGCGTTCCTCTGGGATGATATCTCTATCAGTCGTCTCCGCGTTCCGCTCACTCTGAAAGGAGCGATCATGGATATTCGAGATGTAAAGCAGACTCTCGTCATCATCATAAATTGGACTGTCCTCGTCCCTTCCAGTGTGGTAAAGGGAAGTGAAAGCGGAAGAAGCAGCGGAAGAAGATCCTGGTCCGAGGTCTCTTGCGTCTTGCAAAGCTGGATCGATTTGGACACTTCCTCGCCTGAGATCGTAAGTAGGTCCTCTCATATCAGGCATGTGAGCCGCCCATGCACCATGCAAAGCCGTGGGAGACACGGTGTGATTTCCAGGATAGCCGTAAGAGTGGTGCAAGGCGGCCGCAGCGGCAGGATCGAGCATGCTGGTGGTGTTGATGGTTAGGCCGTGGGTCATGCTGGTTGTGCTGAAGGAAGTGGAGGCAAAGGGGGTGGGTACGGAGGGGATTGGCTGGGTGGGGAAGGAGGGGAAGGAGGGGAGGGGGCCGGGCATGGCTGCGCTTTCCGCCGGGACAGAAGAAGGACCGCCGAAATTCCAGGTGTTTCCATTCAAGCGTGGTGGCTCCGGCTGGCTGGGTCCGGGTGGTGCATAGTGTCCGGTTCCAGGGCTGGGGACGAACCTGTAAGGGGAACCCGAAGGGAGACCTGGGAAGGAAGGGGTTGATTTTTTTTCTTCCGACATGCTGGGCCAGGTTGTTCCGTCACCGCCAAACAGATACGGAATGGGTGAAAAAGGAGGACAATGAATGATGGGGTAGTGTTGAGATAGATAGAGAGATGGAACTGTTTTCTAAAAACCTTGAGCTGGAGGAGATGGCAAGAAGAAAAGGAAAAATATCAAGCCGCAGATAAAAAGTGGGCGGGATCCTATCATTTATCAGAATCGTCGTCGCACCAGGGAGTCGTATTCTTATGACGTTAGCTGAGGATAGGCCGAAAGGCTAACCTTCCGTGAGAGCAACAGCTCTGGCCGTAATATGGCTAATCTTGATCTAATCAATTGAGCCATGGGCCACAGGGAGCGGCAAGAAGACCATGTCGGACTTAGCTTCCCGGGTCGAGTGCAGTAACTTGACCATACGTGGATTCCTAGTGCCAACATTGGTGCATTGGGGCGTTTCTGGCTACATACATGGCATGGAGTATTCGTCCATGTCGACTTTCAGTCGACTCCATGGTGCTGATGACGTTGACGGCGCGGGCCAGACGTAGTCTTCCTCTGCCCTACCCCGTAAATCAGATAATAGACCACATAGAATTGCATACCTCACTATGCTCCACTACAAGACAATGCACGACGAAACAAAGAAGGCATACACTTAGCTCACCCCGTCAGTCAACGCTGTGGTGCCACTCGGCGGACATGACCGTGAAACGCGTGTGCCTGTCAGGGACTGTTGTTGTTGTTTCGCTTCGTCGGTCGTCTGCCTTATTGTTCTGGGAAGGGGTCCGAGCACTTTTCACGATGGCGGCAGGCACGGCTGTTGCCACCTTGGCGACGGTTGATGTGGGCCGTCCTTTCGCATCTCTTTCTCTGTCCACGTCAACCACCCGCCATGTCCAGTGCGTATCACCCAACATCCCCCCTGCCCGCTGACCCCCCCAGTCCCCCCGCAGCCCACCCAATTCCTCTCCCCCGCCTCCGCCAACGCCCTCATCTCAGACCACAGGCCCACCACCCTCTCCTCCCCCGCCCTCACATCCCTCAACTCCCTCCTCGATGAAGTCCTCGTCCACCTCATCTCGGCTGCCCAGTCCATCAACCCAATTGATCTGAGGAAGGAAGCCATCCCTTCGTTCTTCCATGCCGAGAAAGGTGCGGGGGATAGCACGGCTATACGGTCGCTAGGGCGAAGCGCAGTATCCGAGGCAGAGGTCGAGCTGAGGAGCTGGATGGAAGACCGTGGACCGACTAGAGGATTTCCTCCAGGTGGCAAAGGTTCCGGGACAAGGAGCGAACGGGCGTTCCCAGTGCTACAGGCAGTGGAGTTGATGCGCACCAAATGCGTAACATTCAGCGTGAGTGATTTCTGAGCGACAAAGATGATCGTTCTCATGTTCGGACAGACGCTCGCGCCACCAGAAGCTGCAGACGCAAGTAAAGAGGAGCAGGCCATCGACGAGTGGAAGACCGTCAGGGGAGACGCATCAGACGACACTGTCGAGCCGGCTGCACTTTGGCTAACAGCGATCATTGAGTGCGTCCTTCTGTCATCGTTGTGACCACCTGCTCATTCATGATATTCAGACACCTATGCGAACATATCCTCGCACAACTAGCAAGGGTGGTTGCGCGTGACTCTGGCAGCTCTGTTGCGTCGCCTCAAGACCTCTATACTGCTCTCTGCGAAGACGAGTCCATCTGGGGCGTCTTTCAGCGTATGAAAGGTACGCTATCCTATCGACCTCTTGTCATATACTGATCCCGCTCGTAGCCAAGGAACAGATCGAATTCACTATTCGCGCCTCAACCCGCTCCAAGCGATCCAACACCAGCCGGTCGTCTCCAGACAACCGTTCCATCGGACGCGCCTCGCCCGCCCTCTCCTCCGCTTCTCCCGGCCGGGATGTATCCATCGACATTACCCGCAACGTCAAAATGACATCGCCTGGTAGCGCTACAGAGACGAATGCGATGGGAGGTATATCGGGTGGGCTCACTCGCAAGGGATCTACTCTCAGTCGTCGAGGACACACCGGATCACCTGTCAGTAAGGTACTCCCTTACGGGCAGCACCATGAGCGCAACGGCAGTGTTCTCAGCGCAAACACTAGGTCAATGTTGAGTCAGTTCCATGATACGTTCGAGGACGACCAGAATGCGGAAGATATACAGGAAGCGCAACAAGAGTTTGACAAGCTTGTCAAGAGTGGCGATACGATGAAAGTCAGTCTGACACCGAATCGCTTGAAGCATTTCGAGGCAAGTAACCTTGTGTATGAAAAGGTGACGTTTCTGACATTCCCTGTAGCTCGCAAATGGGAAAGGCAAGAGGCCACAGACGTCCTCATCCCCTGGCACGCCCAGCACACCCCCTGTACCTCCTCTCGCCCATATCGACAAGTCTCGTCGTTCTCATTCCATCAGTCGCGTACCTCCTCCGATAGATACCAGTCCACTGCCTACAGATCAACTCCCCGCGACGCGACCCTACGACGTTTCCTCGCCTCCCAGACCACCTCTCTCCTCCAAGCGGTCCCAATCTGACAAAAGGCTCGTTGCGAGGACAGCAAAGGTCATCGACGAGGAAGAGGAAGAAGAGGAAGACCTTGCCGGTGTTTCGGGCTTCCTCAAGTCCAAATCCAAAAAGGAGAGCTTGATGGATATCCTCGCTGGCGATCCCCTCCCAGAGTCCAGCGGCCCTCCAGCGAAGAGGACTGTCCCTGCTGTGGTACTCGGCACGCCTCCACCGGCTGCTCCTCCTGTCCGAAAGGCAAGCCCGGAGAGCAGGCGGAAAGCCGCTCCTTCCCCTATCGTAGTCGCGCCCCATGTGCAAAGACCGGGGCGAGTCAAGGAAGTCACGCAAGTCGTGCCCGAAAAGGCTGTTGAAAAGGCCCAGCCTCCCAAGCCTGCCGAGCCCGCCGGAAGGCCGCGACGAAAGACTGACGCCCAAGAGCTAGCCGACATTTTCAATATCGGGCCTCCCTCCGGTACAAGCAGCGCTGCGCCCACCCTCGGGACCGTAGCTTCACCGCAACGGAATGGTGGAAAGAAGCGTACAGAAGCTCAAGACCTTGCAGACTTTTTCAACTCTGAACCTCCTCCTGCTGCTCCTTCCCCGACGTCGGGCGAACAACTGCCTACGACTGCAAAGTCAAACAGGTTCAGGGGGTTCATGTCGAAAGTGACTGGTAGCGGAAAGAAGCGCGATGCTGCCGAGGCAGAAAGGCACTTTAGGCAGGGTTCCACTGCACAACCAGCCGCGCATGGTCCCCTAGCATCCTTGAGCCTGTCGAGACTCAACTCGGAGACTCCTTCTGCGCCTCCCGCTGTCAATTCAAACACTTTTCCTCGACACGAAATGAGGCGACAGAAGAGTCTGGGGAATATGGACTCGGCGCCATCATCATACAAGCATGATGCGCCTGCTCTCCCGGCCGTCTACACGCAAACGCAGACTGGTGTTCCCAGAATACCTACTCCTCCAAGGGTCGAGCCTATACCAACCCCTGAGCCCATCGATGTGCCCCAACCTGTTGTCGCTCCATCTCTTCCCCAGAAAGACTCCGCGAGGGGAAAGAAGGCTCTCCGTAAACCTTCTCTCAGCAAGCTTCGCAAAATCAGCCCCAATCAGTCGTCTGCAGGCACGCCTTTAAGCGGACAAAGTGATGGGCCCCCCCGTGCCGCCAGCGCTGGCGCGAGTTCGCATGTGACGGTAGACCAAGCGGCTGCTGCTACAGCTGCACTGGCCGGACTGGGGCTGGATGTGGATGACGAAAGGCGGAGTGAAGAGCCAGAAGTACCTGTGACTAGCGTGACAACCTCTGTGACCAGCACGCCGAATGGGAGTGAGAAGACCCCTAGGGGTAAAAGTAGGAGTCGAGCGGGGACCGTCAGCCAAACGAGGCCGATCATCATACAGAAGACTACATCTACAACTGCCATGACCACAGCTGCTCCACCAAGCGATCCTGCGAGTGATGTTGGTGCCTCGAAAGAACCAACAATGGCCACAGGGGCGTCCATTGACAAGGCGGCAAGCACCTCACCAGTGAACGAGAAGGCAGACGAGGCGGCTGAGCCAGTAGCGGCAGAAGATGCTTCACCGGATCTGGTTTCGTCTGTAAAAGTGCCAACCATCAAGGAGCCCTCTATACCCCTCACCGACCTCCTCCCTCTCCGCTCGCTCCTCGCCCATGCCACATCAGCCACCGAATGCCGTCTTCTACTGAACGCTATCCTTACTCAATTCGGTGTGCCCCAAGCTGCGCCGGCGTCTGCAAACCAAGACACGAGCGACGAAGGAGCGGAAGAACGGGTCATGGCGTGGCTCTTGGCGGGACGCGAGGGGCCTGTAGGGGATTACGGCTATCGTCAACCTCTTCCTGCTTCCTCCTGTATCTCTGAACAAGCGGGGGGCGAAGAAAAAGAAGACCATGAGAAGGCAGAGTCTTGCGAGTCGACAAAGGAGGATAGGATTGTAACTCCGGCCCTCGGGTCGGAAGAGTTTTCCCCTGGAAGGAAGATCGAGAGTGGGCAAAAGGGGTTTGATGAGGAGGATGTTGAGTACTTGGATGCAGAAGATAACCACAGGGTGGAGAATACAGTGTGAATAGTCCGAGTCTTACTGTAGATATATAATGTGCTTCTAGAGGGGCCTCATTCGGATATACCTTGCTTGCTTTTTGGATACCTTGATTTCGCTTTTTGGGTTTATGCATTTTGTGATCAACATTTTTGAGCCGACAGAGGCATGCATAAAGTAGTATAGTATGGGATGCAATAAAGTATGTGTATGCGCAAGTATATCATGAAGATAATGTACAAAAATGTGAGAGTCAATCAAGCGTAGTGGTTCTAAGCTGCAGCCGCAATCTCATTCCTAGCCGCATCGCTCGCAAACCCGAGACCGAACCCTCTCTTGATGGCAAAGTCGCGTGATCTAGCGAGAGCGGCTGGGTCTTGTGGCGGGACCCAGTACTCATCAATGATTGGTATTTGGAGAAGGTTCATCTGCCACTCATAAGCATTATTCCGTCATGGCAGTGCGACTTACCTTGGGTGTAATGACGACCATGGTGTTTGTCTTGACCTCCATCCAATCGCTCCTCTCAAATGTTAACGGCTCACTGGCAATCATGATGATGTTTTCCCTCTTGTCTGCCTTTGTCATTCGATACAGTCCGCGGCCTGAGCCTTGGTACTCGTCAAACGAAGTGCCAGAGGAGAAGAAGAGAGAGGAGGCTTCAGAGGTACGGGATGAGATGTAGCGGGTAGCCACCACTGTAGATCCGTCGGTGACTACAAAGTTCATCAAAGAAGGGCCGGTCTGGGAGAGCTTTAGCAGGGCACTCAGAGAGGGGAATGTAACTTACGCAGCCAGCTTCTTTGGAGAGCTTGTTGATAAAGTGAACAGTCTCCATCATGGCGTCTCTGAGTTCCACGTGGGTGAACGAGCGCGCATGAGGGTCTTTGAGCTACAAAGAATCAGCTTGATTTCCTCTGAATAGTCAGACTCACCTTGCTCAAAAACACCATGAACGCCCACTCCGAATCCGTATATCCCGAAGGATACAAGAATAGCTCCTCGGGCAAGCTCGCCTGTAATGCCCGCTTGATCTTGGGGAACTCGTTGATTTCGCCATTGTGCATCCACATGAGCTTGTCAAACATCCACGGGTGGCAATTGTCCTCGCTGGGTGCGCCGGCCATGGTAGATGCTCGGACGTGGGCAAATACTAGCGAGGAGCGGATCTTTTCGGCGAGTCGAGTGAGGTTGGCATTACTCCAGGCCTACGTACGTGAGCATTGCACGTCAAGAGTTGAGGGGAACGTACAGGCGAAATGGACTTGAATAGACACGGCTTTTCGTTCTCTAGCTCCCTCTCCCTCTCGCGCTCCTTCATGACCTCTACAGCCTTCTCATCGATCTGGCCGTCCGCACCGACGGGATAGTTGTTCCCCTGGACATCATACGCCTGGGAGTGGGAAGCTTGGGCGGTGACGATGTTGGGGCAGGTGCAGGAGGTGGGGGTCGCATCGAGAGAGTCGACGGGGGCGGGGGTGGTAGCAGCGCGAGGGACGGCGTTGGCAGGGAGGGCGGGGAGAGAGTCGTACCAGCCGAGACCAAAACCGTCCGCCTATCGCGTGTCAGCTGGGCCAGCGAGGGAGGCGCGGGACTTACATTGAGGGGACGGCTACTGGGCATACGGAGCCTGGACTCGAAGGCTTGATTGATGATACTGTGTCTTGGACGGGTCACGAGATGGGAGATCTGGATGGGCTCTGTGCCCTTATACACGAGCTGGACGGGTCAGTGGAGAAGACAGCATACGACGCATACTCACAAGACGACACATTTTGGGTTGAGGTCGAAAAAGTCGATGGGATGCGGTCGGTATTTATGCAAACTGTCGTGATAAAAGGACGTGCGGATCCTTTGGGCTTCCTGATGGCGTGCGGTATCCGGGCAGTAGATGTGCGATGTCGTGCTGGTCGGCGGCTGAAAAAAACGGATTTTGCGCAGAGGATCACTGGGAATCCACACCTCTCTGTTTGCCACCCAAATGAAAGAGCTCATGAGCGGATACGTAATCATCCATCACACTCTTTATTTGGTTCTGCATAGATACGCAAGACAGAAAGCAGCGCGAGATCCCAAACGAGTCTCCAGACCCAGAAACCTTTGAGTGATGCCTGGCAGCATTCTCCACAATCCCTCATATAATTCTTTTTCCATTTCTCGTTCACAAAGTCGAGAGCGTGTTGGGCGATGATCTCAGCTTGATCGTCGTTGCCATAGATCTCGCATGATGGGGATTCCAGAGAGTAGGAGATTATGTCGCTGCAGCTCGTTGGAAGGGCAGGTGGGGAAGAGATGGTGACGCGTACAAGGGATCCGAATAATCCATTTTCACCGGAACCTAAGTGATATTAGGAAGAGATCAGCATGGTATGTCATATCATCAGCTGCAGCCTACCCGATGTGCTCAAAATAGCGATCATATACATTTCATATTCTTTCGGCTATAGCGGGTCAGCAGTCACACATCATGAGAAATGGTCCCATCTTGCGCGGGAGGCCAAAGAGAATTTGCCTTCGAGTTTTGATGTCTGCCATATGAGTACGCATACACATATACCTGGCTATGTCACATCTCCGCCCTTACCACCAATTCGCCCAAGGTCATCAAGCCCATGACTGTATCGGGAACACACATTGAACCATGAATACTTGTCTTGTTCTGCGATGAATCGATACATGTAGAAAGCACCACGGAATCCCAAAAGAGTATCCAGACTACATCAACCCTTGAATGAAGCCTCTTCTCTGTTGTCTGACAGCATTCTCCACCATTCGAGCACAAGCAAGAACCCAAAACTCCTCATATCTTCCTCTCTCCATTTCTCATTCACAAAGTCGAGAGCGTGTTGGGCGATGACTTTGGCTTGATCGTCGTTACCATAGATATCACCTGATGGGGATCCTTCAAAGTACGAGATGATGTCACTGCAGCTCGTTAAAAGGGCAGGTGGGAGAAAAGATGGTAGCACGTACAAGAAATCAGAATAGTCCATTTTCACCGGAACGTAGTGATACCATGGGATCAGCAGTGTCTGTCACATCATCAGTAAACCCAGTGCGCGAAATGACCGATCATACGCACATCAAACCATTCCGGCTATGTCGGATCAGCACACAGCAATAGAGATGGTAGATCAACTCACGTAGAGCGTGCTCTTGAATACGACGTTGTTTCCTTGTAACAACCTCCTAAACCTGGAACTCCACCCGTTCCCATCAACATCCACGACATACCTGTACTTTGCCCCATCCTCCTTTTTCACCCGCCCCTTGAACTCGATCTCACGCGCCATGTCGGCGCAGCTCCCATCTTCCTCGCTGCACTGCACCGGCCCGCCGCTGAGCCCCACATCGAACCACGCGTCGAGCACATCCTGCCGAGGCACGGAGCGGGATGCGAGGTTTGGGAGGAGGAGATCGACAGAGCCGGAAGTGTTGGTGGAGAAGAAATGGAGGCGCTCGCGCTGGGAAGAACGCCAGGGGTCGCGTTTGGAGTGGAAAGAGCCGGTGGCGGTGCCGCGCCAGAACACCTTGTGGTTGGGTTTGTCGTTCCAGGAGATGAATGGTACCGTTTCTGTACATGATCAGGCTGTGAACGATGGTATCTTTTCGACTTACCGCGGACACCGTCCAGAGGGACGCCGAGAATGTCAGAGTTCCACATCGTCCGACATGTTGTGATGGCAGGTTGCAGTTCAACCGCTGCTCGATGTTCGTCTCCGAGGAGAATGTGGTGCTGTATTGTATTAGCACATGCTGCAGATTCAGGGGGCGACTCACAAGACCCATCAGATGGGGGTTGCGGCAGTAATCCATATAGCTCATCGGGTCGGCCACAAACGCCTTGCCTTCTGTGCTCTGTCAGCTTGCTCCAATAGGAAGCGGAGTGGATCTCACCATGTTGAGCAGCTTCAAGCTCCTCGATGTCATTCAGCACCATATCCGACCCCATCGTTTTGAGCGGCGTGTCTTCGGGACACGCCCAACTCCACCCATACGTCCATCGCATGGACTGCTCGGCCTGATGTAATTGACTATCCGGCCACACTTTCACGGTCTTAGCGGTAATTTCCAATGGCTCGCAGAAACTCACCTCGCCCAGCTCTAGCAAGCGCCTCGCTCTTCTCGCGGAAAGAGTTGTGGACCATCCCACGGGGACCGTCATCCGTAGAGAATGCAATCTCCAATGGAGGATTCAGGGTCATTATTTCTGGAGGCAGAAGGGGCAGGATGGGGAGGATGTATGAGAGTGTATTGCTACGCACTCTCAGCAGGGATACGAGATGGGCGCAGTAATGACGTACTTGCACCTCCAAGACCACGCCATCTCACCCCTCACAACCACTCTTCCTTTGCCCCTCACATCCCAGTCTTCGGGAGTCCACTCTTCATCACTCTCGCAAGCTGTGCCGTCATCGCCTTTCCCATCCGGCACAAACGTCAGCGTAAAGATAGACTTGTCTTTATTGCGCAGGTTGGTGACTCTGTCGCGGAGGAGGAAAGCAGGGTGGGAGAGGAAGGCGTCGAAGGGTTTGTGGACGAGGGGTATCAAGGAGGGGAGTGCAGGGATGTGAGGTAGAGGAACAGACTGGGTATATGCGTACCTGCTTTTCGTTAATACTGACCCCGATCTTCAAGAGGATACTTGCCAGTGTTCGAACCCTTTGGGCGGTCTCATGCCGAATGCCTCGGTATAGTCTCGAGCGGCATCCTTGACACTCTTTACACTCGCGATCTTGGCTTCCATAGCCTTTGCCTTTTGCTCTGCTTGCTCGATAAGGAGTGCAATGGGGTGCTTCTTGCCCGCACTCCAATGGAAGAGGCCCTTGTCGTCATACGTTGTCTCACCTTCTGGCACTCTTTCCAGCCCTGTATGCTTCTGCGGTGACGTTCTGAAAGGCTTTGAACGAGTCGGCTTCTGCTCGGTATATCGTGGACTGGGCTGCTCGAGATCGGGCTTTTGGAGAGCGAATGGCTGGAGGTAGTAGTGGATGGCAAAGAGAACGGCGAGGACGAGGAAGAGGGAGTAGGCGCGGGAATGGCGGAGCATTGTGTGTAGTGGCTGCCGTGGTCCAGCAGAGGCAGCCTCTGGGGCAAGAGTGCAGCTTTCAAAGTGTCGATGAAAGAACGAATAGAGGCCTTGGAGGGTTGTAACCCAAGGGCGTAGCGGGTGCCTGGAGATCACGTGTCCGTCGGCGAATCTTGGCTGTGTTCTTTCTGTCAACAGTGAAGCCGGAATGTGTGTATGCATAGGGGAAAGGAGAGGCAGGGCAGTCACCGATACTGGAGCCAAGCACACAGGGTGGGGGCCGGGGCTGGCCGCCTGGTGCAGGGCCTGCGGGTGGGCTGCAGCGCACGGATCGCCCTTCCTCCTGGGCGTGTTTCGGTCTAAAAGCCATTGCAGATCCGAATCCCAACGCCTCCCGCCACGCCTCTGCCACACGCACACACGGTCCTCAGGCCCAGCTCTGGAACGGCGCGTGAGTGAATTCTGGCTGAATGGCAAGTCCAGTCAACCACCATCCTCCCTATATATACCCTCCCTCCCCCTCTTCCTCTTCCTCTCCCGCCTCCTCGCCCGCCATGGACATCCCCTTCCCCTCTATCAGAGACCGCCCGCCCTCTCCCCAGCTGCCACACCCACCAGTTGGCCCGAGACCGCATCCCTTTCTCGTAAGTCTCCAGCTCACTGTATCCTCGCTGACTTTTGCAGCTCGAGCCCACAGTCTACGTCAACTCGTACCCCGCAGACCTCCCCGACAGCGTCATCTATGAATGCCTTGGCAGATGTCCAGTCAAAATTCATCTCCCTCCCGCCGTGCCCCTCACCCACAGGCTCATGCCGGACGCCTACTATGACTGGATGACCCGCTCCGGAACGCTGCAGTTTGAAACCCTTGCAGATGGTACGCCAACTATCAAAGACGACTCGAGCTGATAGGGCTTAGCCGAGAAAGCGCTTGCGATATTGCATCTTCACCCATTCCTCGTCCAGCGCGGCGTCTGGGTATCACCTCTCCCTCCCGCTCAACGCCTTCCGATCTCGCCCGCTCCTGCAGCACGCATCTTCAGGCCATCCCAGCGCATGACCGATGCACCTTCCGATGACACCATCCCAACCCTGTCCGACGTTTACGACGCTCTCCGGCCATGGGGCTCGCTCAAAGCCGTATCCTTTTGGATTAGAGATACGACGTCGTCTGATGCCGCAAGCTGGTTTGCCAAGGCGGAATTCTGGTATCGCAACGAGGCAGAAGTCTTTGAGCGCGACTTCGGTCTGAAGGGATGGCAGATCAAGGGCTGGCAAATGTATGTCGATGACGAGAGACACGCGCACACAAGCTGATCAGCTTGCAGTCAGATATTCACCCCCGGCGAGCCTTATCAAGAACCCAGCTCTTTCCCCACCTTGCTGCCCTCGCCCCCCACAGAGCTCTTCTCCTCCTTCCCTCTATCACCCCAGACTTACCATCCCGGCCCGCTGCCCCCAGCGTCATCTCATCACCCATCTGTGGCCCCAGTCCAAGTCCCGCCCCCGCTCCCGGCTTACTTCATGCCCCCAACCCCACCAGGCGGCCCGGCTCACCTGCCCGATCCCACACCGCCTTGGGCATCCCACAACCCTTACGCCTACAGACCTTCTCCGCCGATCACGCCAAACAGCAAATCATCTGCCATGTCGAGGAGTGCAAGTCTCGGTAGCCCGAGTGGTTCAAAATCGAGGCGGTGGAGTTTGACGGTGGGAGAGACGGCGGATGGAAGTGTCCAGCCCACTGGATTGATTTCGGATGACGGGACGTTCATTCAACATGGCAAGTATTATTCTTGTGCATTGGTTCGTGCTTATGATATACAGGTCCCGGCCAGCATATACGCCCAGCGCCGGCCTTTGGACCCGGATCGCAGAGTGCATCGGGCTTGGTCGATTATAGCAATGTGTTTATCAAAAATATCGATGCTGACGTCAACTCGTACTATTTGAATAAAGTCTTTAGCGAGGTGAGTGTCTCTGATCCTTCCAAGACGGGGTGCTGATTAGAGGTACAGTTTGGGGTGGTAGTCAGTGCCAAGATCATGAGGGACGAGGCTCAGAGAAGCAGGGGGTATGGATTCGTGAGCTTTGAAAGCCCCGAGCAAGGCAAGTCTCTATCCAATCCCCCGCCGCCACCGCTAACACTCGTCAAGCTGCACGAGCTATCAGCGCGATGAACAACAAACCTTTCGGCAGACAGACGCTTTCCGTGACACTACACGAGCCAAGGAAATTACGACCAGACAAGATTGCGGAGCGAGCAGCTCTCGGGCAGTCAACTCGGTCATTCTCGAACCCTACTACAGCTCCCTCTAGCGTCTCGCCCACCCGCGCAGGCGAACGCCGATCAAATTCCACACCATACCTCATCCAATCTACGTCTTCCCCTCCCCCGGGTGCATACCCAGCACCGACAGATGATATCCGCCTGCTCTCCCCTGCCGACCGGGCGACGGCCCTTCACCGCCGTCTCTCTGCCCGCATCCGGCAATACACCAAGAAACGTCAAGTCGAAGACAAGTGGGTGGAAAGCGTGGTGGAGAGGTTGATGCCGATGGATTTGGCGCTGGTGCCGTTGTTGTATAACCGGTGGGAGATGGATGAAAAGATTAAAGAAGCGCTTGCCGCTGTGCAGGAGGAAGCGGGCAGCGAACGGGACGAGGGAAAGCGCCCGACGGAGAAGGATGTGGTCAAGTTTAGAGAAGAGCTCGGCAAGATTGATCCGGAGCATGCAGAGGAGCTGGCCAAGATCATCTTGGAGAAGGAGATGGTGACAAAGGACGAATGGGAGAAGGGGTGGGTGGAGAGCAAGGCGGGGGTGGCAATCAAGTATGGAGAGGCAAAACGATTTTTGGTGACAGAGCGGGAAACAGAGATTCTTGAAGAGCATGCTGAGGAAGATGGGGAGAAGAAAGTGGAACCCGAGCCTATGCCGCTTGAACAGCTCACCATTGGCGAGCTCGCCTGCCTCCCTTGCTCCCAGATATCGGCCTACCTCGCATCTCCTCCACACCTCGCACATCTCTCCCTCTCCCCTCCTTCACTCGAACAAGAAACCTCCCTCCGCGCTTGGTATGCCAAGGTAGCCCAGCGCGGCAGTCTCGCGGCGCGGGGTGAAGTGGTAGGATACTTGAGCAGGCAGTGCGTCTACGGGCAGGTGTCGGGATTTGTGGGGAGCAAGAGCCAGAAGCTGAAGATGCTGGGAGAGCTTGCGAATGCAGAGGCGGATGATGAGGGGCTGGTCAAGCTGTGAGTCATACAAAATCCCGAATAGTAGGCTGACGATAACATAGGACATTGTACCCCACTGTACTTTTCGCCAAACTCGAGACCTTTATCAAGGCTCGGTCTGCCGCGGCCTCTCCGACATGAGCGACGATACACGACAATTGGGACGACCACGGCAACGAAGAATTACGTAGATACACACCCACAAGGACAATTTCTCTCGTTTACTATACCAAAAACGCGTGCAAGGTGCACGCTTATCTGGCTTCTGACCAGCTTTATATTCGCGCGGTTTCTTTGTATTGATGGGGCTTTTGTTGCTTTCAGAGTAGTGGTGCTGCTGTATACAGACGCATATCTGCACAACACGCACAGGAAAAGCTCTTGTAGAGAGATTGATCAATGCAATGCTCATGGCTGCAAGAGACTTGGATGAAGGGTATTTACATGACATGTCGGGGAGTATTGGTTGCTACTTTACAAACATGGATTACAATCGCTTTGCGACGTTGTGACAGTCACGGAACAGCGTGACACCCAGAGAAACTCTTCTTCTCAAGCCCCCTACATTCCTTCTATCGCATCCCCCGTCTCCGTGCTCCATACCGTCTTGGCCTCTTCTAGCAACACCAGACTGCTCTTCTCATTCGCTTCTACCCCAATCTCTTTGCCAGCCACCGCGTCAAAGTCCGCTATAAGCTTCTTGTCGTGCGGAGCCAGGTTGTCTCGCACTTCCCACGAACAATCTTTCAGCTCGTAGCCGTCCCAAAACACGAGCCATTCGGTCTCGACAGAGGAGTTTGCGCGGGAAAAGGCAGAGGATTTGCGGACAGTCCGTCTGCCAATGAGGCGTTGAACGACAAAGACTTCTTCTTGGTACGCCTCTTCCGGTATATCGTCCCTATACGACTCATCAGCCACAGCCGGGAAGACTATCCGGTAAACTCACAGAAGAATACAATTGAACCTGATACAACGTTCTTCCTGAGACCTATCTACATATTCTTTTCTGGTCACACCTTTGACCTTTTGCAAATGTTTGCAGTCTGCACAGAACCAATCGCGTTCGGACATGTCGACGTGTTCGGAAAGACCGGCGCAAGCCCAGTGGCAGCGTCCATGACACCAATCGCAAACAATTTCTTGCTAACCCAGGGCGTCAGCATTGCAAAGTAAACTGAGAAGCGACAACTCACCATCGTACCGACAATGCTGAACGGCTTCTTGTTCGGCCACTTTCCCTTTGACTTCCTCGAGCCATCGCTGGCCGGTAGAGTAACTCCCGGAGGCAGCTCGGGCGGCTCAGACAACACGTCTGCCTTAGATTTGACCTTCTTCCTGATACTGGCTTTTGAAAGTTTGGACGTCTTTTTCTTTTTACCGCTCGGCGAGTATGCAGAGATATAGGAAGAAGCATCGTCGAAATAGGTTTCCAGGCCATCGCTCTCGTCGAATTCTTCCCCGGAAAAGAAAGAACGGCTTTCGTGGCTTCCACGAAGATAAGTATCTGATGGAGTGGTGTTGAGCGTTGTGATGGTACCAACTGGTTCAAAGTCTGTCCGTAAGGCCACCCGAGAGACTGAACTCATATCCCGAGGATTATCCCATGTCCCGCGCACCCTATCCTTCTCCTTTGGCTTCTTGACCGGACTTGTCTTGGTTTTGACCTTTGACTGTGGTCTGTTGTGCTTTCCAGGTGACTCGTCGAATAACGAGTCCAAGGAGCTCATTGCATGGGGTGCAGCCTTGTGGTTGGGTGATCTCGGAGGGAAAGGTTTTCGCGGGGGTGGCCGTGGTGGAGGGGATTCTTCGAACAATGACTCGGCGGGCTCGACCTCATACTCCCCATCCTGATCCGAGTCATCAATTTGTTCAAGACCGTCGTGACTATAGCGACCGAACGTGGACAGATGAGCGCCAGTCATGGGTTGAGAAAGATTTGGGGCGTACGGGGGTTGATTGGGGTCGATTTCGCGAGGGGAGATGGCCGGGACGTGGGTTGGTTCGGTGGAATGTCTATGAATATGGTAAGTCAAAGAATCAAAGAACACACACACACAACGAAACGTACTTTAAGAAAGATGCAGAGGGCTGCCCCTGGTCCATCTGAATTAGACCAGCTGCCATGGAATGCACAACCACCTCCTTCTCTTCATCTCTCGCCGGTTCGACTGGTAGACCAGCAAGATCCAACATGGCATCTTCCCTTGTCCAATCGACAGACAAGGTCTGTTCCAGATTCCCCACCATTGCGGATTGTTCATCGACCCGCATAGTCCATGCCGCATTCATACCAACTGATCTGATCATCGCCGTAACGCCCGAGAGCTGTGACTCGTGCTGTCTTTGCAGCTCTTGATAATGCCGCTGTTGCTCTTGGCTATGCCGTTGCTGTTCTTGACTCTGCCTCATCAACACTGCCACCGCCCCTTCCAGTCTTCCCAGCTTTTCCTTCATTTCCCCCGCCGCCTCCCTGGCCTTGACCATCTCTCGCTCCACCTCCAGCTGAGCAAGGGCAAGCTTTCCAGCCCATTCAGACTCTAGCTTTCCCAGACGCGACTGCCATTGATCGTCTAGCGCCGAGAACTGAGATTGAAAGGACGTTTCGACATCGGCTATTGATTTTTGAAGATCGTGAACTGGAGAAGGTTGGTTCAATCTGGAGGGAAGGATCCTACCCAACATATTTGATCCCATGATTCCGAGGTTATAATGATCGGACGATTGCGATATAGGTGTGGATTGCGAGGGATTGGGAGGTGCGGGAGGTTTTTCGAGCCTGCGAGGACTGGCAACGCTACCTGAAATATTGTTGGCGGTTGAAGGGCTTGTGCTGGCATCGTCCTGGGACGACTCTGCGTTGCCAGAAAGCCGCCCCACCGTCACCACACTCGTTCCATCAACCGCCGCCAATTCCTCAGCGGGTCGATTCCGCTTCGTCTTTGTGGTCCTTTGTCTTTTCTGCGGAGTTTCCTCTAGTACAGCAGACGTAGGAGATGCGATAGCTACACGGCGCTTGTGTGGCTCTTTGCTGGCTGTAGCGGTGTTGACGGGTTTGCTCGCACTGGAAAGTGGTTTGGAAGCCGTCCTCAGCTTCTGCTTTGGGACGGAGGGCACCTCTTGGGATGCCTCGCTGAGGGGTGTTCCGGAATTGGGAGATGTGTGTGACTGGGGCATGGAGGCATGGCTGTAAGGGACGAATGGAAGGCTAGAGGAAGACGACGAGCCCGGGGCGGAACCCACCATCGGCGGCCGAGACGTGACTGGCAAGGGCCATGGTCGGGAAGGGCCCGGAATGTCACCGAGAGGGCGGCTCTTGACTTTGGTATTGACGACTGGGCGGGGATAGTTGGCGGCAAAGGGAGAGCCGGGGAAGGAGGTGGAGGGGGCAAAGTAGTCGAAGGGGTCCATGGTCGTCGGAGGTACAAGTAGGGGTTACTGGCACGCTCTCACTTCCATCGCCCTGGGGCACAGACGGCGGGCAGGGAGATGCAGGGGGTGGCTGGGAGGGAGAATCGAGGGACCAAGTGCAGATGCAGGTGACAATTACTCGTCGTTCCTCTGTTCTTTGTTCTCGTTCAAACCGGCGCGGCGCGGTGGAGGCTTTTCCAGGAACGTGCCGTGATGTTCACTTTGCTTGTCCGCCGTACAGTGGACGATCACAAGAGGTACAACAAGAACGGGTATACTCGCATGCTGCTACAAGGTACTCATAAGGGTATACAAATCAAAGGTATATTTCTTTTGTCGTAATCATATCCAATGTCGTTATCATGCCCCCTCTACTTGGTCTTCTTGCTCCCGCCCAGTCCCAACCTGCTTCGAAAGTTCTTGATCCGCCTGCGAGCCGGGGAGATGGCAGCTACAGGAGGCAAACCAGCACCATCGATCCCGCCACTGACACCCAGCATGTTTCGGACATCGGCGTCTCCTCTTCCGTACCAACTCTGCTCTACCGTGGGCTCGTCGTGCGTCAACGATGTCGATCCAACCCTGCTCTTCTTGGTGGGACTCTCAGGTCTCCACTCGGTCGCGGCATCGTCGTTACCCACGAGGACAGCGGATTTGCGCTTCGACAGTCCGGGCAATCGAAGGGTAGTGTCAAGCTGGGGCTGCTTGATGGGAGGAGGCAAGTAGGTCATCGGAGGAGTGGGCGCTACATCAGGCATAGGGTCATGATCCGGATCGACCGTCTGCTGGTACTCGTCGAGCTCCATAGACTCGTATTCCATATCAGAGAGGCGAGGATAGGCAACCTCATCGGGTGTCCCAGGGGCTGCAGGCTCTGGGACACGAGGGAAAGCTGGCGCAGCAGTGAGGTTCGTCAAAGTAGGTGGTGCCGAGGTGTACGTGAAGATTCGGATGACAGATGTCCCTTTCTCGTCATCAGAGTCGTCTTGGGTAGAGGACACGTCAGACTTGGTAGCCACCCTCGCAGCAGAAGGAACTGCAGCCATGGTCGCTTGGAAAGTATGCTCGAAAGGCGAGCTGACAGAGACTGGGGCAGACTCGGAGACGGACTGGTGCTCGTCGAAGGGTCCTACCTCTCGGCTGAAGCGAAGGCTAGGTCTGAAAGACACCTTTCGAGCAAGAGCAGGGGCGCCAATGGAGCTCTGGGAGGCGCGACTCATATCCCGAAGCGCCGTACTGAGGGAATCGTCCTTGAAAGACTTTTGCGATGCTTTGGAGCGAGGGGCACTACAGTCGTGATGAGCTCTGAAACAAAACAGGCCTCACGAGATACCCACAAAGGTGAGCCCCGTGTACCATCTTCCAAGCTCAGCCCCGTCATGTTGAGCCAAGTCAAGCTTGCCCTGTTCATCGTCTCTCTCAGCTTGCGAATTTCCCTCCCAGTCACCGGAGGAGCGTTATCGGAAGGAGACTTTTGAGCCAAGAAGCACTGAACGACACTGTCGACATTGTTGATCATCTCCAAGACGTCCTCGACGGTGAAGGCGTTGGGAGTCTCGTCGTCGCTGGGCGGAGTGGTAGGGCGGCCAAACGGGCGAGGAGAGCGGCTGGAGAGGGAAGCCCATGCAGCAATCTCGGCGTCATTGTCGTCGTCCAACATATTTCGCTGTTGTTCCTGGATAGCCTCGATAGTCATTCGCACATCCATCAGCTGCGCAAGCAGCTTCTTCTCCGACTTTTGAATCCTCCTGTAGATGTGCTCGCTGTCGATAAAGTTTCCTTCCATGTGATCATTGACCATATACTTGACCTGTCCGATTTTCTCTCCAAGAGCAGTCTCCAAGTCACTCAACCTTCGGGATTGTTGATCAGAGGCACGCACTTCGTCGGTGAGACATGCCTGGCCGAAGCGCACTTCTTGGAGCTGGTAGTTGATGTCGCGAAGGAGCTCGGCTACTTCAAGGCCTTCCATACTGTAGGAGTCACGGCATGCCCCGTTGCCCTCTTCAGAGCTGGGATGGGGCGGCGGAGGAGGTGGCGGGGAGGGCGAAAGGGTGGTGGTCTTGGCAGGATCAGGAGGAGGGAACTCGGGCTCGATGAGGATGTGGGTGGTATGAACAGGAGAAGAGCTGGGCGAGGTGTGGACGGACGAGTTTGGCGAGGATAGTGGGGAGAATGGAAGAGGGATGGAGGGATAGAGTTGGTGGAGCTTGGGGTGTGAACGTACCCGGCGTGAGAGATTGCTGCGGGAGGGGCGGTGGTAGGAGTGGACGGGGCGGACGGAGTCTGGGAATGTCATGGCAGGGGAGATGAATGCGGTGCGCTGTGGAGAGAAGGATGAGAGGAGAAAGAGAAAGAGATGCAACAATCCACACCGTCTTTGCACCGTCTTCGGTGTTCCGTCTGTGCGGGGCGCGCCGCTACTCAACGCGTTTTCCTCTTGGTATGGTGTACTCATACACCAGTATCCTGGTACAGCATATTCTTGTTGGTCATATGCTACTACACCTGGTTCCCGTAAGCCGGTCCACTGAAGACATTCTTATACATCGTATCTTCCCCATTCTGATTCATTTGCATCGATGTTCCAGGGGTGGATGATCGGCGATTCTTGTAAAGGTCAAATGCAGTAACCTCTCCTGAGCGTGAAATGGCCATGCACAACATCTCCAAGACAAAAGTTGAGAAGCGGGCTTGAAGACGAGTTCTGTCGCTGATTCCATATCATCCAACGTTGGATGGTTCGATGGCGGCTGGTTCCGCTCGGGTAGACGGTTGCCGATGAAAGCCGCCGAACGCGTTCTCTCTGCCTCAGTCATCCGCATCTTCTCTTCCACAGCAGCATGTCCGCCTTCCTCTCTGGTGCTGGCGCGGATTGTGGGCCCACCTCCGTCCTCAAACATGTCTCCCAGAGGGTCGACGTCGACCGCTCACTGCACCAGGTGCGCCATCGCCGTCGAATGCGTGTGCCCCAGCTGATCTTTCCATTAGGACCGGTTCGCAGCTGGCCCCAGTAGTGCTCCCTCCAAGGTGAGATACCAAGCTTCTGCTCAGTCCCTAGCTAACATGTTCGATAGCCCTTTGGAGGCTATACGCCATCTACCGCAGGTGCGGAACAGCTTGGTGGCCCATCGCGCCCATCACCGTTCGACCTCTCTTCTCTTCGACAACACCTCTCGCCGCCTGTCCCAAACAGCCAAGCTTTCCAAAGCCAACCCTCTAATTGGGCGATGGACTTTGTGCCCAAGCAACAAACAGGTCCGTCGCCACAGCGCGTACAGAGTCCCCCGGCAAGCTCTCCGTGGCAGACTGAATTTTCATCTTCCCCTTCCCTCTATCAGAGACAAGGTCACACACCGCCTTCTATCGATGCAGGTCCTGCACCCTGGGAAATACCCCCTCATCAGTATCGCCCAATCGCTGCGACACATGGGCATGTCCTCCCACGTCATTTCAGTCCCGGAGAAGCTCCACATGAGCAATTCTCTCCCGCCAACCCGTATCAGCCACCAATAGAAGGGCACGCGGCCCAATCTTCTGTCTCGCAAGAACAAACAGCATACCGAGATCCGCTCAATAAAGAGCAAGGTCTCTTGGCTGCGACAGCCCGCAACTTTGTCAACTCTTCCTCTTCGACAATGTTTCAAAACCCAAAGTTGGCGCAAAGCAACTTTATGGCACTGGTCCGCAGCATCGCCGACGAGTCGACCGTCGTGAAAGAAGATGAAATCTCGAGCCAGACGCTAAGGGGAGACATGGTAGGGGAAGGCGCAAAGTTTGTCCAGCGGGGTGAAAATGGTTGGGCGTCGAGTTTTGTGCAGGACAAGGGCAAAGCGAGGGAAGCCTCTATAGAGGATGATGCCCAAAGACGTTCACCTTACCCAGAGGGCGACAAGTCGTACCCCGCACTTGGGTCTTGGCTCCCAGCGCTCCCGGGGCATGCTGCCGCACCCCCGGCTTTTGCAAATGTCGGGGCTCAAGCTAGTCATTTAAGCAACAAACAAGACGGTGCATGGGAACAGCAATTCCGAGATCAAGAAGCCCTACTCCAATCCACCGAAACCCGCCGCAAAAGCGTACATTTCGACTCTGAAGCCAGCCCAGCCCCAGAATCCAGCGGTGTACCAAACACCCTCGAGGAAGCCCTAGCCTCTAGAGTGGGCAACATCCCCGGGTCGGGCTGGGGGTGGCACGAGTCGGGGCTCACTACGCCAGAGGAATTTGATGAAGAGACCTTTAATCATTTTGCTGGGGCTTTACGTTGGCAAAAGGAGGCTGCACCGGGGCAATCGATAAGCGAGCAAGAGAGTTGGGATAGCTTGGCAGACGAGTGGGACGGCCTCGTTGAGGAGGAGAATGTGAGAGAGAAGGTGGTGCAAGGTATGGGCGTTGGCGATAGGGAGGAGAGATATCTCTTTATGAGAAAGAATCCCTATGCCGAAGGCGTACTCGAGGAGCATGACTATGGAATGGACGCCGAACAAGCCCGAGATTCACCTACAATCAAGGTACGTCAATACCATCCGCTATCAGCACGCAAGCTGACATATAATAGAATATACTGGAACTGGAAGCCGCCGTTCAAGCCAACCCAACCTCTGCCAACGCATGGTTCGCTCTGGGCCTCAAACAACAAGAAAACGAGCACGAAGCACAAGCTATACTCGCCCTTTCCAAGACGATCCAGCTCGACCCTTCTCTCCGAGACGCGTACCTCGCTTTGGCTGTGAGCTATACGAACGAGAGCGAAAGTGAAGCTGGGTGTACGATGCTGGAGAGATGGGTGGCGATGGGGGAGGAGGCGATGGGATTGGCGGCAAAACCAGCCAGTGGGGGTCGGGGAGTTCTGATCGAGCGGTTGATCGATATGGCGAGGAGCAGTCCGGAAGAAGTTGATCCGGATGTCCAAGTCGCGCTGGGTGTAATGTTCAACATGGTGGGAGGGGAAGATTACCTCAAGGCTGAGGACTGTTTCCTGGCTGCACTGGCGGCCCGTCCAAATGTAAGTTGCCATCGCCACTGTGCTCATTGCTGACAGGGAGAACAGGACTGGCTACTATATAACAGACTGGGAGCAACTCTGGCAAACAGCGGGAGGTCCAACGAAGCTATCAGCTACTATCACAAAGCTCTACTCCTCCACCCCAGCTTTGTTCGGGCTCTGTATATCTGCTTCCCTCCTAAACTGTTCGACGCTGACCACGTGCAGGTTCAATCTCGGTATAGCATACCTGAACTTGGGCCAATACAAACCCGCCGCCCAATCAATAGTGGACGCTCTGAGGTTGCAGCACGCCGACGCGAGCGAGGGGTATAGTTTTGCGCAGAGGGAAGGGGGTATGGGCGGTGGGAGCAAGGGCGTGGGGAGTGATGCTTTGTGGATCAATCTGAAGGGAGCCTGTATACAGCAAGTTCTTTTTGGCGATATGTGTGGTTGATGCTGATGATTATGCAGTATGAATCGACATGATCTGATAGAGATCATAGAACGCAAAGATCTGGCTGGTAGGTGCTGACCATAATGGAAGGCTCAAAACTGACATGATCTGTAGCTTTGCCCATGGATTTTGTAGATCAAAAATAGGATGTTGTACATATTGTATCCTTTACTATGCATGCGCTTTGAGCGTCGCTACTACTTTACAACATGAGACAACCGGCCCTCCATACCACAGTGCACGCCATCTAGAAGTCATAGACATCCTGGCCCTGTTCCCTGGCCTGGCCTCCGACCACCACATTTCCTTCTCTCCCAAAGCCATCGCCATACGGGTCGTATGCCTGCCCGCCAGGGCCAGCAGCGCCCCCAGCCACGGGAGCCTGCTCTGGACCCATACCCATCTCGATATTCTTCGCCTGCTGCTGGAACTGCGTCTTGACCTGCATAGTTTGGCGGATGAGCAGGTGGCAGGCGCGTTTCAGAGCATCGGCGGGATTGGAGCGCTCGTCGGTTTGGATTTTAAGGGTAATGTCGTTCTCGAGGGGATGAGGGACTTTGTAGCCGGCGAAGAGGACAGTGGGGTCTAGGAGTAGTTGGCTGCAGAGTCTGTCAGAACGGCAGAGGAGAGCACGGTGATACACGAACGCTCGAATCATGTTGCCCAGAGTGTGATCCTGTCTCCGCAGCGTCACAGTGGAAGCGTTCGGCAGTTTGGGGTCTTCCGTGATGGTCAACCTAGTCGTGACAAGTTAGCATATTGAGCAGTGCGGCGATTGTATGGCGATGGCTAGAGACGGAGAGCAACTCACGGCTTCTCATCGTCTTGCAACAACCAAGAGTCTATTCTATTGGGCTGATTCATGCTGAATGATTTGGGGGATTCTCTATGAAACTATTGACTGTCGAGAGTATAGGTGTTGAGGATGTGAAGGGACGATGCTGTAGCGGCGTTAGCCTCGTACACGAGAGATCCATGATTTTTTGAGAGAAAGATGGATAAGAAGATCATAGAAGGTCAAACGTTGTCGGCAGAGGCTGTCGACCCTCCGAGGAGGGAAGCGTCTTTTCCGTGGATTGACAGATTATTATTTGTTTGGATATTAATCATTTCGAGAGGAGAGATGACTCGCGAAAGAGACAAATACTCACGTATAGTTTGGGGATGCTGGATGACTTGGAGAAAGAAGATGGACGAAGAAAAAGCAACGGACCGTCGTTCTGAGCGAGATGGCCAAAGTGGGGGGGAAAGGTTCAAGACAGGGCGGCTTATGTAAAATGACCAGAAGTGCACTAATGCAACTCTGAAAAAGGTGAGACCCTCCATGCATGGGTTTTCTGCAGACAGCGATAAACAGGGTCATACCTGGGCCTACGTGGAGTGTCCCTAGGGGCTCCCATGGACTTTCATGAATTGAACGACCATGAATGACGGCGAACACGAACATTAGCTGCCAAACGCGACAGAACGCGTCGCGAGGCGCCAAAAGTTGGCTTCCCGCTTCCAACTCGATTTCTCAACCCGTCTCCGATGGAATCCCTCATAGCCCTCGGCGACATGGCCTACAGTCAACCCACCCCGACATCCCCTCCCACCTCCGTCTTTTTCTCCTCTTCTTCCGCTCTCGGCGAGGAGGACTTCGACGGCCAGGGCGACGTGACTATGACACAAGAACTGTTGTATCCAGCCCCTACCTTGGAAAGCCCCATCTTGTCCAGAACCGGCCACATATCTTCATCTCTGGAAGAGGGCGATGGAGAGAATGATCAAAATGCGTCCTCACAGAGTCGTCTAGGAAAGAGGGCTCGAGCACTCGCCAAGAGCAACTCAACCGCCAAACGACCACGAGCTCCAGACCCGCACTTGGCGCCTCCATGCGATGGCAACCCCGACAATGTATCGGAGCAATCAGCTATTCTAGCGGCTTTTGCTGCCCTCCAGGGAACCTTGAAATCCCACCAAGCCATCTCCGAACAATCTTTGCGGAGTTTCACCAAGCGGCTCGATCGTCTCCAAATCGGGTTTGAGAGAGAGATGCGCGAGGTGAAGCACGAGCTGCACAATAACAATGAGGAGCTGCGCCAGGTAAGGGGGATCTTGAAAAGTCTGGGTCTGGCTTCTCTTGTGACAGTGCCCGAGACGGTTGCTCCTGTACCGACGACCCCTCTTACGCAGCATGTCACAGACTCTGCCGCTCGCCAGGTCACCCCCGCAGAGTCAGCCTTCTCGGGCGACAAGTATATTGGTAATGCTATGCGTGAGGCTGGTATACATACTCTGGTAGTAGGCGGTCAGGGGCGGACCGTCAACTTTCCCTTTCTGCCAAGGCCACGGACAAAGAAGGACAGGGGCGTAAACTTCTCAGACACTGAAGAAGATACCATGACAGAGTGGGTCCACATGGAATGCTTGTGATGACGTTATGCTGACCAGCTTGCAGTCATCCTTCAACTCACGGCGACACCAACTTTGGCAGTGAAAACGACGATTCGGATCTGCCGAGCAACAGCCAACCGTCCCCCTCACCAGCTTCTGACGTCTCGGACGCAACCTGCCGCCCAGCTGAACGTCCTACCATGACAAGGATGCGCTCGCCTGATAATGCCCCGGATTCTCCGACTCCCACCGCCAACCAAGTCTCCTCGCCCCTCGTGGTTGAACGGGAGGAGGAAGGTGAAAGCGAGATCGGGTCGGATGATCCGCTGGACAGTGTATCAAATTCCGTAGGGATAGGGAATGGGGAACTGGAAGCGACAAAGGTGAATCGCTCAGTGAGGGGTCCCTCTTTGAATTCAGAGCAGGGCCTTCTGCCCAGTGATACGGCGCAGAGGAAAGATTGGGCGTGGAAGTGTCTAGGAGATAATACTGCCAAAGGCAGGAACGTGAGTCTACTCTTACTCGGTTGGACGACATTGCTGAGACGTTCAAAGTGGGTCTTGGAATGCCGTGGTGTATGTCAAAGATTGCCCAGGTGAAATGATGATGCTAACACAAATCACTGTCATTTCAGTGCACTGGTCGGTGAGTTACGAGAACCTGCAGAGACGCAAGGAGGGTGCTGACAAGTTTCAAGGGTTCATTGGGCCTGCGCGGGTTTCGAGACCACGAGTAAATGGAACAAAAGCCACAACTATTTCTGTCCCGGTTGCTGGTCTTTGCTTGGAAAAGGCATCAAATCCAAACAAGCTACCGTCGAGAAGGCCCAGCAAGAGACGTGTCTACGGGCAGATTGTATTCTCCAGTGAGCAGATCTCGCGCGACGGGAGCGATTGGCTGATGGCGGTCTGTAGCCATGACCCGGTGGAGGATGATGATGACCAATTTGCTTTTGAGTCGGTGAAGGGGAGAAGATATAGAAAAAAGGGAGATCCGAAATCAGTCGAGTTTCTCATCAAGTGGGAACAATGGGCACTCTGGGATAGTACTTGGTGAGTCGGAACGTCTATCGGTGTTTCCCCCGAGATCCCCTTGCCGGCTGCTCTTTGCTGATTGACGACTTAGGGAACCGCCAAGTGCCCTTGACGATTTCCCCTATGCAAAGAGGAGATTTGAAAAGCAGGCCAGGGCCGAGGGTAACAACGTTGGTGCGGGAGCCTTGGGAGAGCGTGTCATTTTGTTGAAAGAAGCCCAGGAGTATTTCCTGCCGAAAACGGGCAAGTACAACATTAGTCACCTGAAAGAGAAGAAGCTGGCGCACAGAGAATGGTGGGATGTGGAGAAGAAGCGGGCAATGAGTTGAACGAGTGTGTGACAAGCAGTTGCCTATCTTGTTGTATTCCTAGGGTACTGGAATGTTGTATTGTCGTGCAGAGATGCATGTGTCTTGCTGGCTACTGCTGAGATAGGCATGATGGAGTAAATACATACATTGATTGTGGCTCGGAGGTGGTGGAGGAAGAGGGCAGTGACCTGAAAATAGACCAGGAACGGTGGACGACTAGGGATTGCAGTGAGGCGGATGACGTCGGGCAGTGGATGAAAAAACCGGCGAAGGAAGGATTATGGAATGGGCGAATGCATCTCCCTCTCTCTTCCCGTCCACCCCCCACCCCGCATCCCTCCCCCGGCCATCCCCCCCGCCCTCGCTGAGCACCCCACGGACGGCCGCTCTCTGCACCCACGGCTTTCCCCGAGACATCCATATTAGACTCAGACTACCCAGCTATTTCAGACGCCCCCTCTCCACCCGCATCTATCCTTGCACTATCCCCCCGCCGCTCTCTGGCATACCCCGACGACGCTCTTGCCCACTTTGGACTTGCATACAAACCAGTTCACAGCCGCGGGCCAAGACTCAAGGAACAAGTCTCAGCCGCCATCGCTTTCGACTTGTCCGCTGCACCGGCCAAGGATACCAAGGGGACACGTAGTCAACCGCACTGCAGGCGCCAGTAAGAGTGAGTTCTTGCGTCTTGAACGATCTTGTGCGCGGAGCCAGAGGAGGATTCTGTAGTCCGGCTATCAAGGTGAGTCGACGATCTGATCAAGTGAGCCGGAGTGTCCGAGATCCACAGTATTCCCCTGAGCGGCGTCATCTCAGAGCGTAGAAGGGGTCTCTGTCATTCTGTGACCCCTCAGCAATTGTAGAGACTAACTTCAATATCTAGGCCATACACCCTTATCGCGCTACACAATGCCCTTGTTCTCTAGAAATCGCCGGGCCTCTGATGCCCCACCCCACCTATCCGACGTCCACACTAGCCCCAGTAAACGTCTATCGGTAGATTCACCCACTGCTCCCTCAAATGGCGACCCTCCCACCACTCCATCGAGACTGAAAGCTCTTTTACAAAAGGGACGGAGTACTGTCAATCTCGGCAACACCGATGAGCCGGTGCCGAAACGAAAGCCTTCTGGGCCCAATTTCTTCAGACGGCGTAGCTCTAATGCATCGTCCGACCCATCCAGGCGTGGGTCTGCTCAATCAACCGAGCCTGTAACGCCCCCACGGACACCTCGTACCGGATCACCGGGCGCTGCCATGGCTCGCTATGCTGATCCCGCTCCCCGTCACTCGTCCCAATTCACCTCCCCCACTCTCTTTCCCGAAAACTTTACCCTTTCCAGCACCATCTCCCCTGAAGCCCATCCTGTCGACTCTATTGATTCTTCCCCTGGGCTAGGCGCCTCGTCGCCGCCCAACAGGAGCGCCAGACAGAGCTGGCAACCATCGTATCCTCTCGTCGTTCCTGATGACAGCTATGCGGATGTCCCACCTGATGGGCATGGAACGCCTGTGGCCGATCCCAGTGTGATCGCAGACGCTGCCGGGAATGAGAATGCGAAGAGAAGGTCGGTGGATGCGCAAAAGTTGGAGGGGTGGAGACCTCTGGAACCGGAAAAGAAAGAGCCTGCCCCTCAGGCGGAAAGCGTGCCGTCTACTGGGCAGAACGAGGTTCCGGCATACGCACCATCCAGCGAGCTCGTCACTCCACCATCGTCAGAGCCTCTGCTGTCGGGGTCTACCCCGGCACCTTTGACGAGCCTGGCGTCCATCGGTGAGCCGCAAGGGTCTCGTCCTTCAACAGCGAGCACACAGAAAACAGCCACCAGCATGGCGACAACAATCCATGCAGACGGACAATATCAATTTGTGCCTTCTACGACTTCATCACCTCGGATAAGCACACAAAACATCTATTCTTCGCCCGCTGCGACGCCCTCTGCTCCATCATCACCCTCTTCAGCTTTCAGAGCGAGACCCGGTCCGCCGCCTCGCAAAATCACCATCCATTCTCCCCCTATGCCCCAGCCCATCAAGAATCTGCCTACCCTCACCAACCTCTCTTCGGTTGCAAACGGGTCAGCCGCCCCAGAGGCGACCGTGCCGACCCCTGTGCAAACGCCTGGGTGGGGTGAACTGGCAAAGGAGGGAGGTCCCAAGACCCCTGGAAGTGGATTGAGGTCACCAGGGTGGACTGGTGCGTGGAATATGCCAAAGACTCCGGGGCTGGGTGCGTTCAGTTTGAACCTCCCGCCTCCTGGCAAGGGTAAAAGGTCAGAGAGGCAGGAATTGTCCGAGCAAGAGCTCAGAAAGGCCAGGAGAGCGATGGTAAGTTCATCATTCCCCAACCATTCACTCGCTCATATCGCTGCAGCCTGTTATGTTGAGACAGCCATCAAGCGCTCCTTCGGCTGAGGATGATGAAGGTGGTGAGGCGGGAGACGACGATGAAGAGGAAGATGACGGCTCGGACGAGGAAGCGGACGTGGATGAAGGTGATTCGGACAACGACAGTGATGACGAGACGGATCGACCTTCCGGCTCGGCCATGGCCCTCGGACGGTTTGTTGGGAAGGGCAAGGGCAAGGAGAAAGGAAAAGCCAGTAGGAAAATGTCGCATACCCAGGTCGGGGATGTTGCCAAAAGTGTAACGAGGGAGGAAGACGGTTAGTGATTGTCTGGTTCATTAGTCAATTTACTGACGCTTTTTAGATCGCGGTGCAGCCAATGTTCCTCTGGCCGATCGTCGACAAGTCAATTTCCCTCGCCTCACATCCATTCCAACATCTCCCTCTATCGTGCCCAAGCCAAATGGCAAATCAGTATGGTCTTTAGCGACGCCTGCAAAAGAAAAGGATCAGTCCACAGCATGGGCTTCGTTCGGCGGAGAAACACCCAAAGGAGCGCCTGCCACCCCCGGATGGGGCTGGAAACCGAGTAGCGCTCAATCGCCTGCCATCGCAAAGCAAACTCCTACCCCTGTCCTCTCTGAGCCTCGCCCGTCTGCACCCGAGCCGACTCCAGCGCCTGCCCCGACAGAGCCCCATACTCCCGAAGGGCGCTCGTTAGCCGAACTCGAGGAGGGCTCTCCAATCACACGTACCGGTAGCGCGCAGCCTACAGCGACAGCGACAGCTGCTGCTCGTGCTGCTCTCACACGCAACGTCTCTTCGTATGCCAACAGCATCTCTACATCCGTCACTTCGAGTGGCTATTTCGATTCGCAACCTTCATCGAGTGGCCCTAGTCAAATGTCATCGCCAAGTGCCGCAGAGCGGCAGCAGGATCCATTACCCATTCTTGGCAAGGGAAAGGGCAAGGCATTACTTCCAAGCGATTCAGGTCTTGCATCGGGGCTGCCGTTAGGTCTCGGAGTCCCTGTTGGCACTACCGCGACCGTTGATGACCCTCCTGTGGTCAACCGGGAACCATCTGCTGATGATGAAGACGATGAAGTCAGAAGTGTCATCGAGGAAGAGAGCGACGAGGAAGATGGAAGAGGTACAACAAGTGAAGGAACGAATGAGGTCGACACACCTTCTGTCGAGGCGGAGGAGGTACCCTCAACAGGTCTGGCGGCTCGACCATCCATCCCATCAAGACCCTCTCTCTACACCCAGGGATCCATCTCCATGATTGATCTCCCTTCAAGGCCAAAGGACACTGCGACTACAAGTGCACCACAGGTGTCTGTAAAGCCCAGCCTTCGCACTGTACAGTCGGGTGAAGCTGTTCCCCTGCATATCGACCTGCCTCCTCCCAATGCTGGACCGAGTGGGTTGATGAGCCCAGCCGAATGGGCGAAACCCCCTCCCACACCCGCCCTTGGACTTGACGGCTTCAATCTCGGGGTCAAGCCCGGCAAACCCCTCGCTGCCAAGCGACGTAGGTCTGCGGATGACCTTTCAGCACCTCCGCCAAAGTACGAGCCGCCCTTCCCTGGGACTTTTATCCCCAAACCGAGGGAGGAAGAAGGTCAGGAACGTTTGCCCAAATACTGGTGCTCGGTGCATATTGAGGGTATGCTGCAACGCAAGATGGAGTTTGTGGGTGAGCGCGACCTAGGCACTGAAGGAACAGACGGCAAGCGTAAAGTGGAAAAGATTCAAGCTCGAGACCGAAGCTGGAAGAAGCTCTACTTTATTCTCCATGGTACAGCGCTTCTCGTCTACAAATTTGATCCTCATCGCTTCCCACTCAGAGCGAATGACCAGTCGCCGGTACCCACCATCGACGACGAAGAAATGGACGAGCACTTGCATGTGCATCCTACGCCCGAGAGAAGGAGGCGAGCGTCGAGCGTTGGTGGTTCTTCGGTGGGAGGCCGGCGGTCGTCGAATGCGACCATTGGCGGAGATGGTGGACGACGAGGATCTGCCGATAGCACCAATGGGTCCATCATCCCCAGACGTGGCTCGGGCGAATCCAATTCGGCTTCTTCCATTGGACTTCCTATACCAGGTCGACGTGGGTCTGAATCCAATAACCTGGGATCAGGGAGCTATCGTCGAAGCTCGCTCAGTATCGTCACGAATGCCAACGGTTCGAGCAGCAATGTGAGCGAGGAAAAGGATGCCAACATGTTTACTGGCGGCACTCGACGAGGTTCAATGTCGCAAGGCAATGCGCCGAACCTGTCTAGCAGCCAGTCTTCTATCGGCACTGGCAATCCGCTGTCTAGCCATTTCCAGCACAATGTCCTTGTCAAGCAGTACTCGCTCAACAAGACGGAAAGTGGTTTGGCGGCCGACTATCACAAGAGGAAGAATGTGGTCAGAGTGAGGGCGGACGGAGAACAATTCTTGCTGCAGACAGAAAGCGCGAGGGACATGGTTGATTGGGTCGAGGTGAGATTATATCAAGCGTATCAAGTCTGTGCTGATAATCCATGACAGGCATTCCAAGCGGCCACAAACGTAGCCAAGGACTTGGATCAGCGTCCAATGCCAAAGATTATTACCCTGCCCCGTCGTCGAAGAAGACGCAACCAGCAAGCCCAAGCTGCTGCTGCTGCCGCTGCGGCTGCCGTCCAGGCCAACGGTGTGCAGGGTGAGGGTCAGGCTGTAGACGCAGCGTTGAGAGTGAGCCGACAGGTGGCAGCGGCGGACCAGGCGGATAGAGAGCGAGAGAGAATGTTGATTGAAGACCAGGAAGCTGCGGTGTCTTGATTAAATGCTCGGTTTTGGACTGTGGAAAAAGTGTCGTCCTTGTGAAAGTCAATTGTATTACGTTCATAACTAACATACGGATTTCTTTAACGAATGATCGAGTTTGTAGCATCTTGATTTTGGTCACAGTCTTGTTGGATTTGATTATTGTCAGAGTAATGAACAATGCATACAAAATCGAGGCAGCCATCACAACTTTTTCAGTCTCTTTGGGGTCTTGTGCTTGTGCCCTCGCATCATTTCCGACCTGCCCTCTCCAAATATAAGCACCCACCACCCCCAGAGCGCTACGAACCAATTCCCGCCACCCAAGAGCGTTCCCAGTGCGCCCAGTCCTCGTGCATTCCATAGCACCCACCCAAGTATTGTCATCAGCCCCGTGAGAATACCTACCAGCACGCCTCTACCGGGCGTGACGACTTCGGGGTCATACGTAGGCACGAGGAGGAACACGGAGATGAGAGCGACCGCGAGAAGGCCGAAAGAGAGCGTGAGGCACAGGGTAGATTCAAGAGATGTGAGGGTGTCGTAATGGTTCTCCCGAGCTGCTGCGGCAGCAGCGTGGTTTGCCACAGACGATGACGAGAATGGTGTATTGGGAGGTGCTACCTGGGAGAAGAACAGGAGGATGCGAGGGAACAAGAGAAGAGGGATGGCCAGAATGGCAAACCTGCGAATTCTCAGCAATACTCTACTTTGGCTGAGCAGTTCACTCACCAAGCAGCAATGACCAGCCCCCAGACAGAGATGGCGTCCATGCCGCCCTCCTGGAGATGTATCATGGCTTTGGCCTTGTCCTCGGCGGATTTGTAGGCAGCATGGAGAGAGCCTTCTGCTGCCGGGTGACGCGGAGGTGGCTGGGGCTTGGATGCGCCGAGGGGCTCGAGTTCAATGTCGTCCTTCATCGCGACAAGAGGGGTGTCGATGCAGAAAGAGAGAGCAAGACTCATCAAGGCGTGGTGGAACGGTGGAAGAGGGCTGCGCGTTACGTCATCACTACGGCCTCCACTCTCGGCGACCACCTACCCAAACCCTACGTTGAGTGATCCCACAGCCATTCTCACATCTTTATCCTGCACACCACCATGTCGTATGTCCCACAAGATCTCGACCTCTCTGAATCCAGATATACTCCCATCGACCCTTCCCTCCTAGGGCCGTCTCTCTCTCCTCCTCCGGCCGCACCATCTACAAGCTTCACTACCAACCCACAAACTCACACCGACGCCAAACCCGGACGACGCCGTGCATCTCCCTTCTCCCCGTGGTACACCTCTTCCGAGGGATCATGCGAGCCTCCATCGGAGCACTCAAGCGACTGGACAGGCGCAAAACCGGTATACAACTGGCAAGGGGGCAAGTTGGTGGCATTGCCTCTGTCGCCTTCCCCCCCGCCTCCGTCCTTATCAGGCTTTGAGTCTCTCGCCCCCAAAAGTGGTGGAGAGTACCAAGAGACTTTTGCTCCCAACTTCCGCTTTACGCGCAGCCAGGTGAACAAAAAGCGCTCTTCTGCGCATATCGGCAAGACAACATCCTCGCCCACCAAGCCCAAATCCAAGCCCAAATCCAACCCAAAGCTGAGACCCAAGGCTAGCGGTGGGGGATGGAAAAACGTCGGACAGGCGTGTGACATCTGCAAGAGCAGAAAGTCTCGGGTATGTTTGCTGTTCGTTTCCGCTTTAAAGTATGGCTGATTGGCGTGCAGTGTCTAGGAGGAAAGCCAGTGTGTGAGAGGTGCCAAAAGAATGGCTTGGTATGCGAATGGACAGTCAACCCTCGGTCTCGCAATAGCCGTAGTGCACTCAATGCTCAAGCTGAGGCTGCAGCTGCAGCACACACATCACAGCAAGAGTCCACGGGCGCCGGGTACAAGAGTGATGAGTCGGAGATGGAAGTGGATGATGATGATCTGTATGTCTGAAATGGGTGTTGGCTACTGTTCTGCACCTGGTGTCTCCTGCACGATTTCTGTTAATGCATATGATATATTATGACAAGACATGTCTTCCCTTCTCGGCACCGACGGTACGCACCCAGAAACGTCCGTCCAGCCCTCAAGACTCAAAGATACAACACTGCGCCCCACTCATCCCACGCCCATTCTTAGAACTCAATCTCTTCTCCATCCCCCGCTCAACATGGGCCCCTGCGCTCCTTGTCCACCACCCCCCTGCCCCACCATCCCACTCAGCCCCGGCATCCCCGACATACTCGGCGGTAACCGTCCTTGTGCTTGTAGCGCTTGAGCGGCTTGCATCCCCTGCATAGCCCCCATGTTGTTCAGGCCAAGGAAAGAGGGTATGCCTTGGGCAGATCCTGGAATGGCAGGCGGGTTGGGGGAAGTATGCGGGGCACCGCCGGTATGTGGACCGAGAGAGTCCATTCCCCGCATCGCGAGACCATTCACTCCCTGCGGATAGCCATCTGGTCTCGCACCTATCTGCGACGGATTCATGCCCGCCATCAGAGACGGGTTGATGCCTCCCGGAGGCGCAGTGTGTCCGCTGAAACCGGGAGGCAAGGATAGCGAGTTGGATCTCGCCGAGCTGGGCTGGCCGGGATGAGACCCTGGAGTGGTACCACGCTGTAGGGGGGTATAGGAGGAGGTGGGAGTAGCGGATGGGTGACTGCCAGAACCCTGCATGTGGTTTGATGCAGACCCGGGAGCGTTGGAAGCGCCCCCCTCGTTTGATAGACTGCGTTCGATGCTCGTACCGTTGGGTAGAGCGCGTTCGGCGTCTGTGGAAGAGAGTTTGCGCTTTTTGTGAAGAGGTGTAGGAGGGGGGCTGAGGCCATGTGTATAGTAGTCTTGAGAGTGCCGTTCGAAATGCTGCTGTTGGGTGGAATAGTCCCATTGTGGAATGCGCTGCCGCCGAGCTTGCATCAAGAGATTATTCCTGCACACAAAGTCAGCAAAGATTATGTGCCAGCCGAAGGGTACCTACCAGTAGCTCGCACTATCCCGTATAGCCTCCTTCTCTGTATTTGTCAAGAGCTTCTCCTTGGTTCGTGTTTTCGGCTGGGGCACGCCGTCCTCTGTAAAGATGCTCATCTCGGTGATCTGCCCCCTGGCCAGCAGCTCTTGCTCGCGTGCAATGTGCGCCAGCCGTTTCTGCCGTTGCTTCCAATGGAGATGCGAGAGATCCGGCACCTTGAATGGTTTGCGTGCCGCCGGGGCAGGGGATGCTGTGGCCGACGCTGGATCTGTCGGTGCCGGCGTGTCTGTGGCCATTGCCTCATGCCCAACCACGTGCTCTGCCTCCTTCCCATTCTCCGCTTTCTTTTCCTTTTCTATTTCCTCTTCTTTTTCGTCTTCCTCGTCCTCGTCTCTGTCCTTCCCCGGCAGGCCTATGCTTGCCCTGTAGTCTTCGCGTTGGGCGGGGGACATGAGGGCCTGGATGTCGAGTATCTGGCCGCGGCTGCGGGCTATGCGCTGAGCCTCGAGGAGGACGGGGAGGGGAGTGAGGTGTGGGGCGGGGTTCTGGCGTGGGAGGAGGATGGTTGTGGGCATGGTTTGTATGGGGGATGAGGTGAAAGAGAGCGATGGATGAGCGCGATGTTGTTGTTTGAGCATTAATTGGCCCAGTTTCGGGAATCGGGGAGATAACCTTGTTTGATTTCTGCCCACCTCGTTTGCACTTTTGCCCAAAATAATCCGGGTAAATCAGCCTAATATGATACGGGGAGCCCAATCCTCGACCTCACATAGTATCCTCGACAACAACTTTGAATTCTTCTACATCTCGCAAATAATTACACAAAGCTGCAGGTCAGCCCTATCGCAAAAAACAGTTCTGCCGACTCTTCCCCAGCGCAACTCACGGAGCATCCACTGCATGCCATTATAGCAACCACCGCACCGGGCGACAGACCTCCCGACAGCCATGCCGGCCGGGTGTACAGCTGGCCTACTGCAGCGCGACCCACAAATCATAAAATCATGTCCAGAGCGCAGGAAGCAGAGGTCTCCCACCCAGTCTTACCAAGGACGACCGAATCTCGAAAAACGCCCAGTCAGCCGGCCTACACAGCCGCAGTGCCGTCGTCAATTTCGCTTCAGCCGAGCACCCTCTCTCAACAACTGCACCATGCTCTTTCTTGTTCCCTTTCTGCTGTTACTGCTTTCAGTGGTATCAGCTCAAGATACCTCGGCAACCCTGAGCGACCCGCCGTCCGTGTCCTTTTCTTCCCTCCCCACATCAGTATCCCTACCCCCGCTCAACTCTTCAAGCCCTGGCCTGCGGCTCAATTTCACAGATGTCCAATCGCTCTACCTCACACTATCCATATGCTCCCTCACATCAAACACCTCCCTCCTACCCAGAGCCCTGATATCGGCCTCCATGCCGCTCTCTTTTGACCTGGGGTCGAAAGCGGTTCGAGACCAATCATCTGGAGGCCTCACGGCCAGCGTAGGCGGGAATGGTGTCAACAAGAGGAGTTCCAAAGATGGGACTACGTGGGAAATGGAGTGGAGCTATGGTTTTGGAAACTGGAGCTGGTCAAGCAACGGAGGAGGTTACAAGGACGTCGGGGTATTGTTCGGACTCGGGCTGGACAAGGATGGGCAGACGTTGAACACGTCGATGATAGGAAGCGGGAATGTCGTTATGCAGCTCGATGCGTCTACGAGATGTGAGTATGGTCTATTCAAAAGCGGTGTGACTGACGTTCATCTCAGCGCAACAATCGGGTTTGACAGCGGCATACCCCAAGCTTGGTGATACCACTGCGTCCCAAGTACTATTGTTCTCTCCGCTACTATACTCTTCTATCCAAGAACAACCTACCTATCCAAACTATACTCTGCCAGGCCCACAACTTGCCTTTCCCGACGTTGCAGATTTGACAGCCGCCCCTGTCAATTCGTCGCTCTCAAAAAACATGACGCTCATGGTCGTCCCTACCACATCGTCCCCCTCAGAAATAGGTCTCGACTTGTCCCAATGCGCCGTCAATGCGGCTTTCGCCAATGCCAGCGTGTCGGGAGATAACAATACGGTTGTGAAAAGCGCTCGCCCAGAATGGATGGCGATTGGAAACCAGGAAGGTTTCCGGACGTACTGGGTTTTGGGAGGCTTGGAGGCCGGTACCAACTATACAGCGTGGATTAAAGATGATAAAGATATCATGAGTAGACCCGCGTGGTTTGGCACAAAGAATGGTACGCTGCCCGAACGCTCTACCGTTTCCACTACTGACTGTCTACGCAGCGTCGTTCCCGTGCCAACTGACCTTGCCAAACGATATTTGCCCCAACATTGGCTACTCTGCCCCTCTTTCTCCCAACGCCACCACAATAAACTCACCAACCGGGGAGCTGATATCCAACACGACCCCGATCACATCCTTTCCCGATGAGATTGCCGACGTCCTGGCAGACAACCTGCAAGCCTTTTCCACCAGCCTTCTGACTCGGGCGTGCGGGCGAGATCTGTTTAGCCACGTTTCGACGTGTGCCGATTGTTACTCGTCCTACCGCGATTGGCTTTGCCGCATGGTCGTCCCCCAATGCGGGCCCGACTATGTCAATACGACAAGCACGTCGACGTCTTCGTCTTCTGCCTCGTCCACCATATTCCCCCTCCCTTCTACCACCCCTCGCACCGTCGATAACCCGCGTAACGAAGACCTTCCCGACGCACCGTATGATTACAACGAACTCCTGCCTTGTTTGAGCGTGTGTAACAAGGCAGATAGGCAGTGTCCCGTCTGGCTGGGGATCAGATGCCCAAAGAGAAAAGTGAATGCGGCAAAGAGTTATGCGTTTGTGGGTGAGCATAGCTCTTTCGGGGACGGAAGTGCAGAGCTGGGGATGGCTAGCGAGGATAGGTGGGGAAACAAGTGGTGCAATGGGTAGTCCAGACGTCATGAGCATAACGACAGTTTTGAGAAACGACATAGAGATGTAGCTACCGGAATGTTCTTGGGTATTTCTGGGTTGTATTAGTTTGTCCTCATTTGCATATATTCATGCATCAATCGATCGGTTCCTTGATCGCCTCAAGTGGATCTGATCAAGACCATGCTATCACCCTTCACCCGCACCTCCTCCCTATCTTCCCCGTCCCCATCCCAAACTATTATGTTTGGCACCTTCACCCATCCACTACCTCCTAATGCTACACATTCCAGCTTCACCTCTGTCTCTCTCCCTGGGGCAATCTCGGTCAACCTGATTTGTCTGTTGCCTACCCAAGCAAAGCTATCGGAAGTCTCGGCCACGATGCTGACTTCAGACGCCGCATGTGTAGGGTGTGTATTAAGAATTGAAACAGAGAGAGGAAAAGCGGTGTGGGGAGAGACGATTGCAGGCGCAGGTAAGTGAAGTGTGGGTATCAAGAAGGAATCCGTTGGGGGCGGTATCAAGAGAGGGGGCAGTGGGTGTGTCGTCTTTACCAGCGAGCCATCCGAGTCACTGCAAACGTTTCATGAGCTTGTCTTCATCGAATTCTGAAGCATAGCGGACCTTTTCCAAGATATAACCAGCTCAGCAGGGACAAGTATGGGATTGCCAACGGCTCCACGGTGACCTTGAGCAAGGTCGAATACTGCCCATACGGCATAGGACGTGTGTTCATCCCATTCTATAGGGTGGTCAGTCGCGTCTGCTCGCTGACGAAGAAAGCTCTCACCTTCAGAAAAGGTCACTCCGTCGAGTGATGTAGATCTCATTTTCACTTCTCTATCATCCTTGTTTGCTACCAGCTCCAATCCTTCAACTATCACCCGCCGCGGCCCTCCGACACGGATGTTCAACCCCACCGCACCTTCACCCCCTTTCTTGCCTTGATTCGTGAGCTTTACGCTTGTCTCGATGGCGAACGCTTTGAGGACGGGAACAACGACCGTGCGGTTGACTTCCTCCGGGTGCTCCTCGGTCATATGCGTCTCTGCTGAAGCCGATAGTGATTCGGGTGAACCATTGACGGTGGTATGGAGAGCGAAATCTATTATTTTAGTAGACTCTGCCGGTGCCCAAAGGTGGACCGGTAGTGATATCGAGGCTCCAGGGGCAAGAGTACCCAAGGCGATGTCCCTCAACAAGGTCGTGGTCTCTTGTGCAGATACGCTGATCCTGGAGCCTAGACAAAAGTCAATCATATTTCAAAGCTGGACTAGACCGACTCACCGTCCTCTTCACCGTCCTCCGCAGGCTGCGTGAAGATCGACAACGTCGCCTCCATGGTCCTTTCGTCGTTGTTGATCACTTTGACCTGAATCGGCAGGTCTTCACCCACAAATGCGAATGGTTGATGGGTGATCTCGACATCTACTTTATGGGGTTCAGGAGAGAAGCTGCGGAGCATTTATCAGCGGCAGACAACATCTATTGAGCAAGGTCCAGCTTACAAAACGGATGATGACAGAGTTGCCCCGTGGTTGACGATGCCCTTTTTCGTCATCCAGCCAGTAATCTCGCCAGGAACAAATGCCAGCTCGAACGCCCAGGAGCCTTGCTTCAACCTCAGTTTGACATTGGCAAGCTGCACTTCGTTCGCGTGGGTGCTGGTGAGAGTTCCATTGAGGACAAGTACCTGGTTTGGTGCCCAATTCAATGGTGCCACTGTCGTGGTATTTAGGTCCACTACTGAAACATGTCCCCCAGAAATTGACGGCTCGTTCGATATCTTGATGGGGAGACGATCGTCGGTAAAGTTGAGCTCAGTTTCTGAGAACTCAAGATCTCCGATGATGACATTGGAGGGGCATCGGACGGTGACTTGGTAGGGAACTTCTTGGGAAGCCGCGGCATCGGGTTGCCAAAATCCAGCTCTCACGTCCACTACGACTGGTCAGTGTTGTAAAGACATGGGTATCACACGTACACAGCTCCTTGTCAGAGGGACCATCCATCTCTATCAAGATCTTGTCGGAGCTAGTTGAAGGCGCTGTGGTCTATACCCGTGTCAGAAACAGAGGCCAGAAACTCGTCAAAGCTTACCTTTAGCAGAGAAACGAGCTCCTCCTGCAAGTCCTCCCTCTCTTCCTGCCCTATACTGTTCCCCGCACACATCATCTCCAGAATGAGCCTACCCACACCTTCCACCCCACCAGTGGCCTTTGCACAGTCGTACCAGACCTTTCGAATATCCCTGACAATCTCATCCCACCTCTCCTTCTTGAAGTTACTGGCAATTCTGTCAAAGAAACGTATCGCCATCTCGTACTGTCCCGTCTTGTGATATGTGTCGGCGATTCGATATGCAATGTATAGCGCCGTGCGGTTCGAAGGGGTGGGGAGGTCTTTGAGAAGAGAATAGGCTTTGGAGAAGAGTTCGATCACCAGAGCGGAATGGTCGACCTTCTTTTCGTTGGCGAAGCCCGGAGCAGCCGAAACATAGCCTGAAGCTTTGCCGGCTTCCGAGCTGAGAGCGTCGTTCTACACGGACATCAGTGTCGCTTTCGAGTCTGAACGTAAAAGCTGACCTCAATTTCCAATATCTCCTTGAACCTTTCTTGCCTTTTCAGTGTACAGCAGGCGGCAGTGTAATAGTAGATTGCAGGATGTTGTATAGTTTGACTGGGGTTACCTTGAGAGATGGGGGTGGCATAGTACATGACATTTTGAGGAGTGCTTGCGGCCCCCGGCGGCGGGAATGTCGGCAAGGGAGTTGTAATTCTGAGTCCATGCTGTTGAGCCATTTCCAAGAGCTCTGCAAATATCCGATACCTAAGCAACATCAGCTGTTATTCAAAGGGTCATTTCCCAAAGTACGCACTGCCTCGCAATCCAGCTCCAAAATTCGAATGTTTCCTCTCCAATACCCCAGCCTCGCGAGAGATCGCCGAATCGTTTCAGGTGGACCGAGAACGAGCCCAATGCTCTTGGCCCTTCAGCATCGTACAGAGAGAGCTTGCAGATCTGTGAATCGGTTAGTGAGCGCCTTACCAACATGGTCACGACTCACTCTTGTCGCCACACAGTCGGCCAAGACTTTGGCCTCGGCCCACCTCTTGGTCCTAGGCGGCAGAGTCGTGGTTGAGGCAAACATCTTTGCCAACTCATTCCAACAATCCTCATAGTGTCTACGCGCCATCTCTACCTCTCCACGTATCTCTGCAAACCATCCCAGCTTCCAGTCGTACCTCACAGCCCACCCTTGTGGACTTAGTATCTTTTGACCAGATGATGTCGTAACAGGCGAGTTTATTGGAGGGTGGGAAGGCAGGCGGCTGCGCTTTCGACGGACGCGTTTGGTGTGGAGCGAGTAATATTCGAACGCCGATTCGTACAGCGCTTCTTGAAGAGATGCGACGAATTCAGGCAGCTGGTCGGCCGGTACTGGGGAAAGCACGAATAGAGACGCCTTGGACGAGATCTGAGACTGCCGGCGGATGTGGGATAGTCGAGGATCAAGAGCTGGCGAGTCCAAAGTCTGTGAGCTCGCCATGAGAACAACAGTGAGTTTGATGCCCCTCTCTACAAGCCGTCTCCTTCTATCACTAATCTCTTTGATCAACAGCTCATCCATCTCCTTCTCCCTCTGCCTATCTTCCGACTCTCTGCTTTGTGTCTCTTCGATCGTTTCCAATCCAGTCGGGGGTGGTGGTGACTCGTACAATCTCAAAAAGAGGACAAAGACGGAAGGGACGAGCTCTGAATGTTTGCGCACCCATACCGGGGCTATGAGGCCATCAGGATAGAGGGGCGATGAGGGGATCAACGGCGAAAGCGGCGAATGGGGATTGGTAGGGGCATCAGAGTTGGAAGCGCCGACAGCTGGCGGAACCTTTCGCATAGGTAATTTGACGCCCTTGTCGACGATGACTACCCGAAAGTCTTTCCTGGCTTTGGGGTCGACCCATATGCGGCCCTTGCCGGTTGATCTCTGGAATGCACCACGCAAGTTAACCAGAAGTTCCTCAAAGACCTGGTCTCGCTCGTTAGGAGGTGGTTTGGCGCCATCTGTTGGTTCGAGGGGCTCGGGTGATTTGGGCAGCGTCTCTTGGCCGGCAGGGGATAGCGGAGCAAGTTCTGGGCTTGTCAAGGGTAGTTGCGAAGCTCCGGTCGACTCTAGAAGAGATGCGCCAGAGGGCCGTCTGGTGGTCCCTGTGGTGGCAGTCGATACGACAGATTCGCTGCGAGTCCTTGTGGCGGCAGGAGGGGGATTGACGGCGAGGCCAGCCACAAACATGAGTGGCTGGGGACTTGTAAGGAACTGGGGAATATTAGTCGAGTTCCGGGGCAGTGTTGCTTACCTCCAGGGGGTACGAGTTCATGGCGGCTGTACTTGGAGGGCAGTCTCAATCCGAATCCATAAATCACTGCTGCTCTCGTTGTCGTCGTCGCGGATCGCGTTCGCGCACTATGGTCCTATTACGTAATTTTTACGGGGCATGACGCCAGGAACAAGGCACGCAACAACAACTCGAGATAGATATCATTCTGCACAACTCGAAATATACAGACAGAAGACACCGCGAGTACAGCAATGCCTGGGCTACTTGTCCTGCTCACAGCCCTTGCGAGTCTGCCCATACTCTCTGCCCTCCGCGTCTATCTCCTCCTCCCTTCACGCGCTACAAAGGCCCAATCTAGAGCCGGTGACTCGAAATGCTCTCTGGCAGTATTTCTCGGATCTGGCACGTATTCCTTCTTGTTCAACTGCATAGATAGGGCTGACAATGAGGGCCAGGAGGTCACACGAGCGAGATGAAAGCTCTTCTCTCGTCCCTGGATTTTGAGCGCTACCAACCTCGGACATACATCTACTGCCATGGTGACAACATGTCCTTGAACGCTGTCGCGGAGATAGAGTCCCAAAAGGGCAGCTTGACACACGCAAAGGTATGAACACAGAGCGTTTCTATCTTGGCTGACATTTGACAGGCGTACGGCCTCTTGCCCCTTCCCCGAGCCCGCCACGTTGGCCAGCCTGTTCTTACGACGTCGATATCCGTCATCAAGACGCTTATAGTCACAATCCACCATTTGCTCGTTGTCCCACTCTTTACGCGCCCTACCGAGCCGTTTGCAGACTTGCTCATCGTGAATGGTCCGGGAACGTGTGTGGTACTGGTCGTTGTTGCATGGATCAGAAGAGTACGTTTCTCTCGTCAACGAGAACCCTCACTGACCGACTACAGATTTTGGGACTCTCCTATACCAAAATCATCTACGTTGAATCATTCGCGCGGGTCAAATCACTCTCCATGAGCGGCAAGCTCGTGCGCCCCTTTGTCGACCGCTTCCTCGTTCAGTGGCCGCAAGCTTCAGACCACAAAGCAGAGTGCAAAGGCTGGCTTGTCTGATTAGATAGTATGCATTTTTGGGTTACTTGTACAACACGTATTTGACTAGACTATATCGTCCTTATAATCTCATCCAGTAAATCATCTATGCTCCCACCAGGAGCTGATCTCCGTCCCCCATGCGCCGGGCCTTTGACCAACCACATCACCTCCTCCCGCTCTCTCCTCTTTTTCACTCTATGCGCCATCAACACATTCCACACCCCTTGCACATTTGCAGGCATCACATGCCACCCATCAAAATCCTCTTCATCCCCCTCTTGCCTCAGACCATTCACATCAGGTTCTTCCCCTGCAATGATGTTCCAACTATCCACCCCGCCTGTGCCCCCGCCCAAACCCTTCTTGTTTTGCGATCCTACTCCTTCAGAATCCTGTTGGTGCAATTTGACTTCGAACAGATGGGGGAGGGTGAAATCGCCAACGAGCAAGCGGTGGGCGCGAACGTAGATGGGAAAAGCGCGCACGGCGCGGGATGTGATGGCAGAGTGCAGGCTGGGGTGGGTGGTGATGGCGGAAAGGAGGTTGGAGATGTGCATCGAGATGGATGCGTGTATGTGGGTGTAGGGGAGTAGCAGAGATAGTGTTTTTAAATACTGCGTTGCTTGTCAACCCCGGGACAATGATGCGAAGAGACGACTGACGGGCTGGGGAATGATGGCTCCTGGAAGGAGACCGCGAGGCGGCTTGTCCATGGCAAAAGGGTCGACAGTCGTCCCGCACATGAAATGATCCGTCTAATACCCAAGTCAGAAAGTTCCGAGAAGCAAAAGACCACTCACCACCCACCAGGGCACTTCTGCCCCCTCCCTCCTGACCCAGACCACAACAGGCTCAAACTCCCATACCCTATCCTCATTCCCTACACGGGCTTCGACGCGCTTCTTTGTCAGATAGTCGCATATTTTCATCTGTACCGGTCCGCTTGCATTCTCAAGACCCGTCACGATGAGGACTTCTGGTAGATCGAGGTGGTCTTTGTCGAGGTGGTGGTGTAGGTGGCCGTTCACTTCAAGATCGGTGCTTTTGCGACTGCCAATTCTCGGCCGTACGTCTGACAATTGAGATTCTTGCGAGGGTACATGGCGAGGCGTGTGGTTTCTGAACAGGGACCATGGCAGTTCGTCTGTCCGAGACACCGCGCTCAGAGACAATGTGCGCACAGTCATGCCGAAGATGGATTCCATCATCTACTCCATAAGTATTCTGCCTATCCATTCAACGAAACTGCTCACAGCATAGAGAATATTGACGAGCTTTTCCCTGCCGTCATCTTCCACATCGACGACGAGCCCGCCCTGGCGGACTATAAGGACGAGCAAGAGGATGGAGAGGAGGGGCGGGGAGAGGGCCCATGAGCGGAGGGCTGGGTGGGCTGCGATGTAGTGGAGGAGGCGGCGGGGGAATTGCTGTTCACCGGGGGCGGGGAGGGAGGGGATGGTGGACATGGCAGCTCATCCCGGGGCTCGGTGGAAGGGACTCGTGTGAAGGAGAGTAGATTAACAGTACGAGTATAGAGACTGAATGGAAGGCGCCGAGGTCGCGGGGGACTTGAGCTACCCACGCACCAGTCCGGCCATGACCGTCGGCGAGTTCTGTCAGACTGTCACTCAACCCTGCCACATCCCTCGTCTCGATATCGCTTCCGAATAGCCTCATGGGATCTCTCTATGCTCTGGGGTATAAAAGCAGGGGCACTCTCGCCCCTTGTGCCCAGCAACACATCTATTCCAGAGATCCATCTTAGTAACCGACCTCTAGCCATACACCATCATGTGTAAGTCGCTCTGTTGCTGCCTACAACCCAAGCTCACATCTTCCTCTAGCTTGCTGCAGCGATCTCCCCCCCGTCCAGGCCGAGTACACCCCGAAAGGTACCTACACCACCTCGAATGGTCTCAAGACCTATGTCACCGGTCCTGAAGACGCAAAGGCTGCCGTCCTCTACATCTACGACATCTTTGGCTTCTCTCCCCAGATTCTTCAGGGTACGCCCGATGGTCCACCTCTACCATAAATTCAGCTGACAGTGCACAGGCGCCGACCTTATTGCCTCCCAAGGCTATCGCGTCGTCATGCCCGACTTTCTCGTCGGCAACTACGCCACCCCCGCTTTCTTTGGCCCCGGCACAGAGGAAAAGAGGAAGCAGTACTTTTCCCAGTTCCCCGCTGCATTCGCCACGCAGTCCAAGCCTCTGGCCGACTCTATCGCTGGTCTTAAGGCTGCGGGCTACAGCAGGGTCGCCGTCCTCGGTGCTTGCTGGGGTTACAAGGCTGCTTTGACGAGCGAGGGTGTCTCTAATATCGACGTGTTCCTTGCTACCAGCCCCGCGTGAGTGATGGTTGCGACAGCAGCGAGCGGCGTTGACATTCAACATAGATTCCCTGTCCCCGAAGACGCGGAAAAGATCAATGTTCCCGCCCTCGTCCTCTCGACTTCTGGCGAGGACAAGTCTATTGTAAGTAGAGTCATCCCATGTACTCGTCTCATCCCCTCACGCGTGTCATTCAGATCAATGCTATTGAGAAGGGCGTTGAGGCTAAGAACCCCGGAAAGAACGTCTTTAAGCGGTACGATGACCAGGCACACGGTTTCACCTCTGCCCGTGCCGATGTGAGTACTCTACTTGTCCCCTCTAGAGTGACTACTAACGTACTGCACCCAGCTGTCTGGTGGTGCTACCCTTGCGGGTTACGTCGAGGCTTACCAGCTCATTGTCAAGTTCTTGAAGGAGCATCTCTAGGAGGATGGTGACTTGTCTGAAGCATTAGATGGTGTCATTCATGCACTGCCATAGAGTTTGCCGTCCATTGGCTATATGCGATCGGTTGAATCACACCCGGCGGAATTTGGCGACATAGCTGATGAAGTGTGGATACGTTTGCGACGCGCCTTGGCCTGAACGACTGTCGGATATCCCTATGCAGCATAGAAGGGAAGGGGAGCAAGAATAGACCCTGCCTGACTCTGCAGTGGCCCAATGAGACTATGCACTGGAAGCGATGACGAGAACACCCGAACATCCTCCCGGCCGCCGAGAGTCCGCCTATCAACTGACTTTCGGACGAGTCGACCATTTATTTCTTTTTGTCAACAACCCTCGTCCAGGTTACTTCCACCATGCGCATCCTCGCCCCCTCCCGCCACCGTCTCCCTCGCCACATCCTACCGGCTTCCCGTGCACTCAGCTACACCCCCGCAGCGCGTACCCAGGCCACCACAGACAAGAACGATTGGCTCGATTTCCTCAAGACCGAAACACCCCATACCCCAGAATCATCCGGCAAAGCCCTCCTGTTTGCTGGTCTCGTAAGCCGCTTGCTATATACAGAGTACAGGGCTGATATCAACAAGGGGTCATACCCCCATACTCCTCACGCGCCGACGCCGTCGTCATTGCACCTCTGGGAAGAAGCATCCGAGGCCTTATCGAGCCCGGATGCTACTATCGGCTACCAGCCTCTACGGTCTGCCGACCAGGTCAAGGGGGGCCTGCGTAGCTGGGTCGAAGGGAGAAGCCTCGTACGACTCTCTCCCCGCCTCCCATTTGTCGAGCTGACCGGTGCGCAGGACGACTTGATGAAACGACCAGATATCACCACTTCCTTCATCCTCGCGTCGTCCCTTGCCATCCTCAAAAGTGAACAGGAGAGGAATGGGTACGATACGCTCCTGCCGCCCGAGATCACGCACCTGGCCGGGCATGGGTTTATAGGAACGTTGACGGCGCTGGTGGCTGCTGGCAAGCTCGACCTCGCTACCGGCGTCCGACTCGCTGTGCGTACTTGCCGAGTTTCTTTGTATGATACTGACAAGTCTACAGCGGATCTACGCGACCCTCCCTCCTTCGCCTCCAGGCCGCAACAGACCCCACCTCACCACCGTCCTCTCTGCCCGACACTTCCACTCCCTCTCCTCGCCCTCCTTTTCCGTCCCTCCCCCGACGCACTATGCCACCTCGGACGACGACCCGCTCCCGCCCCTAGATGCTGACGATCCTGCTTCCGAGGAAGTCAAAGTCGGCGAGAGACAGGGCAGACGGCGGGCGATGCAGTTGATTTTGGACGAGATTCATGGGCTGGAACCCCAGTGGGCAGAGCATTCACAGGAAGGGCATGAAGAGTGGGCCGAAGCTGGTATTATCAACAGCAGCAAAGTGGTCGTCGTATCTGTACGCCCTTTCCATATTGAAAAAGCATAAAGGCTGACAGAGATAGGGCACGCACGATGCGGTACTGCAAGTGATTGAAAGACTGCAGCAACTCAACCTCGCCAACCCCGTGATGGATATCCACATGCCATGCCCGTACCACACCAAACTCATGTCGCACGCCGTGCCCAACTTTAGAGACGTGCTCGACCGGTGCTACTTTACCAAAAAGCCAGACGGGCCTGTCATCCTGGATACCGTCACTACCAAACCTGTACGTTTCTCTGTCGAGGCTAACGGACTGGGAGCTGATAAGGGTAGATTGGCAATTCTGCCTCTGCACTCTTGCCGCACCTGACTGATCAGCTGCGCTGGCACAAGACGCTCGTTCGGCTTTACTCGTCCCCCACGCCCGAGGTAGGCACATTCTACACGGTCGGCCGGGGCGCCAAAGGTCTCGGCATCATGCTCCGGGGAGAGCTCAAGAGGCGGTTGAACGGCAGTGCGCCGATCCATATCGAAGAGATGGGCGTGGGACCGAGGGATGAGAGATTGGCGCGGGCTTTGAGGGGCTGAGATGTTTAGATTTGGGTTTCATTGTAGATATTCTTCATCATGGCGTTGTACTTGCTAGTTTACCCACGACCGAAATGGTAAAAGTTGTACAGAACCATGACCACCACCTTTCCAACCAAGTAGAATAGCGTTCAGAATGCATTCTTCTATACTACTTGTCCAGCCATCTTGCCAATCATCGTAAAACATTATCAAAGGAAATCTATGTACAGTAACATAATCAGACATCTACAACGAGGGTATAGTAGCAAGCGATATCGATCAAGCAGTCTTGTTCTCGACGGTACCGTTGGCTTTGTCGGCTTTTTCGGCAGTCTTTTGCGCACCGCTCTGCACCTTGTCGTTGGTCTTACTGCTGGCCTCCTTGGCAGCGCCATTAGCCTTCTTGCTCGCATCGTCCTTAGCGACCTCGGCCTTCTTGTTAGCCTCGTCAACCTTCTTGCTAGCATCCTCCTTGACGCCTTCCGCCGCCTTGGCAGCATCGGCCTTGGCTCCGTCAACCTTGGTGTTGACATCCTCCGCGACACTTTGCGCCTCGGCGGCGAGGTGGTCGCCCTCTTCGCCAGCCTTCACCTTGGCGGCGTGGAGGAGGGTGTAGATTTCATCGATGAGGGGCTTGGCTTGGTCCTGCTCTTCGTCAGATTGACCCCTGCAAGGCTTGATGCACTTACAATAGCATAGGCAGTAAACTTTTGACCCTTCTCCTGCACCGTCCCCTCCTTGGCAAAGATGATATCCCTCACCTCTCCCGAAACCTTGACCGCCCTCTCACTCAACGCATGCGGCAACGCCGCCCCACTCTCCGCCAACCCCCTCAACTGCTCAAACAACCCCTGCGCCAGATCCTGCGAGCCGGCCACAGTCCCGTGGACCCGCGCGCCGAGGGCAGAGTTGACTTCGGCAGTCTTCTTGAACAGGTCGGTGAGCTTTTGGACACCGGGGAGGTCGGAGGTGGGGGTGGTGAAGGGGTAGGGGAAGGTGGATGCGGCGCGGTCGAATGTGGCGACTGCGAGGCCGTCGACGGATTCGAGGAGGGGTTTGGTGCGGGTGAGAACGGGAGTGGCGGCGTCGTAGCCCTCTACAAGGCGCGTTAGTTGTGTCAGTAAAAGATGAAAGGGGCGTACTGGAAGCGACTCCGACGGCGGTCTCGTAGAGCCTGGCACCGAGGGGGTAAGAGTTGATCAAGCCGTGGGCATAGGTGACAGAGTCGTGCACGACGGGGATGCTGTCGATTTTGTTGACGATTTGGAACTCTGCAGAGGGTTAGTCGGCGAGATGTGAGGTCGGGTGGGACGTACGAGGAGGGTCAGAAACGGGGGCGGTGGTTGTGGCCATCTTGTCGTGTTCTTGATAGGCAATTGGACTGTGGAATGTCAGTGAGAAAGAAGAGGGGGTTTTATAGGTGAAAAAGAGAAGGGTATAGAATATGCGGTATGGCGCCACTGGAAAGTGTGGGAAGGCGCACGAGGGAAGGTACGGAACGTGGGAAGCACCGCCAAGAAGCGGGATATTCCAGGGACGGGGGTCAGGGATACTCACGGATGAGATTGTAGAAAGGCAACGATGAAAGAGATGGAAGATTCACTCCCAGTTCTCACGGACTAGAGGTGCGTCATCAGTGGCAAATGTGCCTGGACATCATCTTCGCGGTGCTCCGGCCAGCCTCAGCGCAGCCATTAAATCGCCATCCATTCTATGCTGCACCGGGCCATCTCTGCAATACAATTCGAGACATCCCTCACAAGCTTCCCCCAGAGCCCAGGCCTGCATGTCCACAGCAGGGTTCCGCAGTCACCACCCGGCAACTCTCTACCGGGCCCATGTACGACGCGTCCGTAAAAGGCGCATCCCTCGACGCGACACGGCCATCTCTTGATGTTGTGGCTCTCTACTCCCTGCAGGGAGGAGGCTGACCCCGAGTCTGGGACTTTGCAGCGACTCGAGCTGTACCCCATCTCATTGGCTGTTTTTAGTGTGGATCCTTATCTTATCTCTGCGTGACACCAGAGTGGCATCAACTGGATATGTGCATTCAAAGATCTCTCTGACACCATAGCCCATCCTATTACTGTATATATACCTGGCAAATTCGCGTGACTTGAGTTGTTTCTCTTGCACACCGCTCCCTTACACTGCACAAACAAACAGGCCGGCCAATCACACGAGGTCAATATCGGCTGCACTGTGTACGCTATCATACGTTGCCTTTGCATCGTTACAGAGCGAAAAGAGATAAACAGAGACCAATGGAACGCTGCAGACAGCAAGCGACGGACGTCGGAATGGCCGACGTGTGCGCGGGCCAATGAGAGGGGGAGGATTACTGGCAGGGGGATACCTCCTTCTGCGTGTTGCTCGCCCCCTGGGCTACAAGTGGCTGCGAGCCATCATCGGATTGGCTATGCATGCGAGAGAGACCCCCTGGTCCAACGTTGGATGAGATGAGACACGCTGGACGGTCCCGGGAAGTGTTCAGAGCGGGATCCGGTGATAACCCGACCATTTCCGACAGTGCGGCAGTGAGGTCACGTGCGCGGTACTGCTCCGCTCTTTCTATGCTCTCCCATTGGATTTGCGCCATTCTCCTCTTTCTTTTCTTTCCTTTCCACCACAACACCATGCTCAGGACTCTCCCCAGAAACGTCCGCCTGCCGTCAAGGGCCACCCTCCGACCCAAACACTTCTCCCCGGCCCTCGCCGCGAGAAAACACTACGCCACAGAGGCCGTCGCGCCCAGCAAGAATGACTTGTTTGCCAACGGCGGCAATGCCTACTACACTGAGGAGTGAGTCTATACCCTGCTCGAAGCGTTCGCGCCTTTCTTTCAACACCCCCGGAACCTTCCAATATCACCAAGGATGCAGCCTGACCATGCACAGGATGTACCGTCTCTGGAAACAAGACCCCAAGTCTGTCCACGTATCCTGGCAAACATATTTCGCCGGTCTCGACAAGGGTCTCCCTTCCTCCCAGGCCTTCACCCCTCCCCCCGGCATGCTCGGTGCTGTCCCCACACCTGCTGGCGGCAGCCCCAAGCTGTCAGTAGAGGGCAGCGGTGATGTCACCGACTATCTCAAAGTACGCCCCCCTCCCTTCACGACAATCGCAAACGCGCCGCTGACGATCTGAATAAGGTGCAACTCCTCATCAGGGCCTACCAAGTCCGAGGCCACCACATTGCCAACCTCGATCCCCTCCGTATCTCCGATGCCGACCTGTCGTCCCGCGTACCTCCCGAGCTGAAACTCGAGTACTATGGTTGGACAGAGGAAAGCCTGAGTAAAGAGTTCAAGCTTGGTGACGGTATCTTGCCCAGATTTTCTGGACACGTCAAGAGCGACACGATGACTTTGGGACAGATCGTTGATGAGCTCAAACGGATGTACTGTAAGTCGCCCATCAGTCCCTCCGAAACAAGCTGATGTCACCCAGGCACCCACATCGGAAGTCAGTACGTCCACATTGTCGACCGTGGACAGTGCGACTGGATCCGTGAACGTGTCGAAATCCCCACCCAATGGCAATACTCTACCGAAGAAAAACGCATGATTCTCGACCGACTCATGTGGTCCGAGCTCTTCGAAAAGTTTATCGCCTCCAAATACCCCAACGAGAAGCGTTTCGGTCTCGAGGGTTGTGAATCCCTCATTCCCGGTATGAAGGCCCTCATCGACCGATCCGTCGATGCCGGCGTCAAGTCGATCGTCATGGGTATGCCCCACCGAGGACGTCTCAACGTCTTGGGTAATGTCATCCGAAAGCCCATCGAGGCCATCTTGAACGAGTTCAAGGGTAACGACGATGCCGACGACACTGGTGGTGGTGATGTCAAGTACCACCTCGGTGCCAACTATGTCCGTCCCACCCCCAGCGGAAAGAAGGTCTCTCTGTCCCTCGTTGCCAACCCCTCGCATCTTGAAGCCGAGGACCCCGTGGTGCTTGGTAAGACGCGTGCTATCCAGCACTTTGAAAGCGATGATGGGGATGGATCGTCCGCGATGGGTGTCTTGCTGCATGGTGATGCCGCGTTTGCCGGTCAGGGTGTCGTCTACGAGACCATGGGTATGGCCAACTTGCCCAACTATGGTACCGGCGGTACCATCCACTTGATTGTCAACAACCAGATCGGTTTCACCACCGACCCCCGATTCGCGCGATCCACCCCTTACCCCTCTGATATCGCCAAGTCTATCGACGCTCCCATCTTCCACGTGAACGGTGACGATGTCGAGGCTGTCAACTATGTCTGTACCCTTGCTGCCGACTGGCGAGCGACGTTCAAGAAGGATGTCGTCATTGACATTGTGTGCTACCGACGATACGGTCACAACGAGACTGACCAGCCGTCCTTTACCCAGCCCAAGATGTACAAGGCTATCCAGAAGCAGCCTACCGTCTTGTCCATCTACACCGACAAGTTGATCCAGGAGGGTACCTTCACCGAGAAGGAGATTGATGAGCACAGGCAGTGGGTCTGGGGAATGCTTGAAAAGGCGTTTGACGGGTCGAAAGAGTACAAGCCTTCGCCCAGAGAATGGCTTTCGTCCTCATGGGAGGGTTTCCCCTCGCCCAAGGAGCTTGCCGAGGAGGTCCTCCCCCACCACCCCACCGGTACTTCCGAGGACACCCTCAAGCACATTGGAGAGGTCATCTCTTCCTTCCCCGACGGTTTCACCCCTCACAAGAACCTTGCCCGAATCATCGGCAACAGGGGCAAGACTGTCAAGGAGGGCAAAAACATTGACTGGTCGACTGCCGAGGCGCTTGCTTTCGGTGCCTTGTGTCTTGAAGGCACCCACGTCCGAGTTTCCGGTCAGGATGTCGAGCGAGGTACCTTCTCCCAGCGACACGCCGTCGTGCATGACCAGGAGACCGAGCAGGCCTACATTCCCCTCAAGCACCTCGGTGCCGACCAGGGTTCCTTCACCGTGACCAACTCGCACTTGTCTGAATTCGGTACCCTTGGTTTCGAGCTTGGTTACTCGCTCGTCTCGCCCAACAGTTTGACCATGTGGGAAGCGCAGTTTGGTGATTTCGCCAACAATGCGCAATGTATCATTGACCAGTTCCTCGCTGCTGGTGAGCGAAAGTGGCTCCAGCGAACCGGTTTGGTACTCTCCCTCCCCCACGGTTACGATGGACAGGGTCCTGAACACTCTTCTGGTCGAATCGAGCGATTCCTCCAGTTGTGTGATGACGACCCCCGAGTCTACCCTTCCCCTGAAAAGTTGGACAGGCAACATCAGGACTGCAACATGCAGGTCGTTTACCCCACCACCCCTGCCAACTACTTCCACGTCCTTCGACGACAGAACAAGAGGGACTTTAGAAAACCTGTATGTGTACTTTAACTATGATTGATTGGTTACTGACTATTCGCAGTTGATCGCCTTCTTCTCAAAGGCCCTCCTCCGACACCCCGCTGCCCGATCTACCCTCGAAGATATCTCTGGCGAAACAATGTTCCAGCGATACATTCCCGACTCCCACCCCGAAAGCCTCGTTGCGCCCGAAAAGATCCGCAGACATATCCTCTGTACTGGTCAGGTCTACTACCAGCTCTTGAAGGAGCGTGAAGAGCGAGGTGTGAACGACGTCGCGATTTCGAGGATTGAGCAGTTGAGCCCGTTGCCTTATGACCTTTTGACCCCTCATCTGGATACGTATCCTAACGCCGAGATCACCTGGGCCCAGGAGGAGGTGAGTCTTTTGTATCATTGTACAGATTGGTGCTGACGATAAGCAGCCTTTGAACAACGGTCCTTGGACATATGTCCAGCCCCGATTGATCACTGCCCTCAAGCAGACCGAGCACCACAAGGACAAGGTCCCCACCTACGTCGGCAGGAAGCCCAGTAGTTCCGTCGCCACCGGTTCCAAGGGTGCGCACAAGAAGGAGATTGAGGCCATCAACGAGGGTGCTTTCGGCACCGAGTCTCAAGAGTAGACAGCATATAATGGAGGGAAGGAGAGAGAGAGAGCGAGGACAGTTCAGCATGTGGATGGAGGAATGATTACTTGTTTTGCTTGACATATCTGTACAATTTTTCGCATGCACTTCATCATGGTTCACAATACGCAATGCAGGCATGCATAGTACAACAAGTTTGAGACGACAAAACCATCTACGTACTTTCTTCTCCCTTTTTCAGCAGCGCATACAGCCGTCTCTTTGCCTTGTCTCCCGCAGGGTCCATATGCATTACCTGCATAGACTCTTCTGCTTGTCCCAGAGCAAGATCACGCAGAGGATCGTCCGGGTACTGCATAGACTCTTCCTCCCAGGCAGGGCGGGAGAGAGGTGAGGGGTTTGCACCCGCGGTGCTGTTGGAAGCCGGTGAGTTGACAGCTGGAGACCTGGATGCGGTCGTCTGCATTCACGTCAGTCGATATACATCATATCCAAGCGGGTTACTAACCTTTAACCTTGCAGAAGGACGCGCTCTTCTGGGAGGATTCTTTGTGGCGGACCCACTAGGGCGCTCTGCTAAACGTCTCATGACCTCCGTCATGCTCTCCTTCTGCCCCAGCACTCGGTTCTCGCCAACGACATCTGCGATATCCAGGTCGGACGGCTTGACTGGGGATTTACTCGCGGCTCGGGAGGATGCAGACTTGGCTGGGGAGGGATTGTGGATGGATATTGAGGGTGAAGCGGCGGTGGGAACTTTGGGAGAGGACTCGGCGGCTTTGAGGGGTAAAGCTTCGGCTCTCAGAAGCGTCGACTGCTTCTCGGGAGATAGTGAATGAATGCCTGTTGGTAATTTGCGAGCAGAGCCACCGGCTGAAGGGACAGGATGGGCGGGGGCCTTCATCTTGTCCTTCTTTTCGGGTGACGCTCTATCGATATGCGTCGGATGCGCACGAAGAGCTCGAGTGGTCTCAGCACCGGAAGATGAAGCACCATTCGATGGTCCAGCAGCGGACGCCGCTTGTTCGCGAGCAGTCTTGGAGACAATCTTTAGACGGTCCAGATCACCATTGGAGGCGATCGACATGTTTGAAGTCATGTCCGCATTGTTGCTCATTCGCGGCTCTGCTCATATCATCAGCTTCGTTCCATAGTCGTCGGAAAGCCGGCTCACTCAAGGCATTCATTGGAAGCCTTAACTGGTAGTCTTCCCAGGGTTCCAATTTCCCCGTCTCTGCCATTTTCTGAATCCATTCTATCGACACAATCTTGGCGCCTATCCGACTAGCTCTTCGCATCTTGTGTGTGTTTGATTGGTTGGTGACGAGATGGGTCATTTCTTGTGAAGCAGCGGATTCTGACAGACTGAATCCGAGCGCTCGGGCGAGGCGGCGGGCCCATTGGCCATAGCCGTTGCCTATAGAGCCAGAGATGTGCAAACGCATAGTCTCGGGCCCTTCGAACCAGTCAGTGGACTCTGATTGAAAGAGGGGGAAAGGCTTACCAGGAATACCAGGAAGGGGGGTGGGGAAAGTCAGCGGGCGATAGAATATATCGATGTTCGGATCCACGATAGCTTCCTCGGTCACACAGCACTCCACCCAGTTCTCCGTGACCCATTTAGTTTGGCCTGATTGTTGCTGTTCCGGCACTCCCTTGAAATCCCTGTCCAAATTACCATCAGCTTGATCGACCGCACAGAGTCAGGACACTTACATCCTGACAATGACATAGTCCACTTCTAGCCCTGCATTGAACTCTGACCAACTGACCAAGATGGCGCCTCTCATACCAAGATGTGTGTTTACTTGGTCAAAGATGCCATCTGCGCGATTGACCATCTTGAGTCCTTCAAACACCTGGACTAGACTAGGGTCTGCACTGGTGTCCAGCAAGGGATCAGTCTTGACATCTGGTTTGATACCAGGCTTGACGTCCGGCTCGACCTTGGGTTTCACATCGCCGACTACGTCCTCAATCACGGCAGTTGATGAAAACTTTGATCGGGCTGGCGGTTTGCGTTCAGCTTCGGCAGCAAACGAAGTAGTCCGCGAAAGATGCGCCATTGAGGACTTGACAGTCTTTGGCCTTTTAGCCAATGGCTCCTCTTCAACATCCGGAGAAGCTCTTTTAGGAGTGCTTCTGCCACTTCCCCCTCCATTGCTGATCCCCGGTATGATTTGTCCCACAAGAGAATCGAGGCCTTTCTCTTTGCGACGTTTGATGGCAGCGGGCTCGGAGGCGTCAAAGTTGTCGGGAAGGTTGACAGCGGTTTCAAGTACGACCCGACGTTCGGGTTCAGGTAGGTTGACCGTGTCGTTAATCACATCCGCTGTGACAGCTCAGCATTGCCTCGTACGACGATGACATGCACCTACTTGGATCTACCCTTCCCCCTCTTCTTGGCTTCCTCGCGTCGTACATTGTCTCCTTCCATCTTCCCTTGTACGCCACACAATCCCAAACCCACTCCTCGTAGACGATTTTGATGTCTGCGTCCTCACTAATCTTATTGCCTCTTCTTCTGGCGGCTTCGTTGTCGGCAATGTTGCGAAGGGCCCATTTGATCTTTTCGGATGGACGCTTCTCCATGGCGGGTTTCGACGAGACGAGGTGGGTGCACTCCTTGTCGAGATCTTTAGAGTATATCCCGCCGTTGTAATTGATCAGGTCGACAATCTGGCGCCGCCTATCAACTGAGACATACGTCAGCATGCTGCCATCAGTACTCTATGATACTCACGGTGCTCAATGCCCGACATGGCTATCCGCAACCCTTCAAACGGTAAAAGCCTGTGCGCCTCCTGCATCTCCCAAAAGTCAAAGTCGTCGCCCTCCAGCCATACAGCATGAGCATCTTCTATCCACATGGGGGTCATCACCGGGATCCTATGCTCGACGGCATACTGCGATTGATCATCAGATTGGAGAACTCTCGGGAGTCGGTGCGACTGACATGGTATTTGGCGGATTGACAGGCAACAGCCACAACATGGGTCACGGATTTAGTCAGTGCTGATTCTGTATTGGCTCCCAGCTCTCTTGCAAGACCCATCAAGTGTGCCTGTGATCTGGTATCAGTACAAGCAAGTCACAAGCTAGGCCATTGCGCACCTTGTTCTCCACACCGGTGAAGGTGAGGTGTACGCCTTTCCAAGGTTTAGCATTCTTTCTAGATTGACGTTGCAGTTGAGCCTCTGAATTCATGAGTCAGTCAGTGTATGCTTGGTATGGGGGCTTGATGTGACTTACCTTGAGCGATATCAATCTCCTCCCGCTCTTCATCCCAGCCACTCCCGGGTGACGCCTGGCGGTTATCTCCCGAGCGTGCAGGGGCAGGCCGAATCTTGACCTGTGGGATCTTCTTGGACAGATGCCCCCTTCTGTTCATGGCGAGGAATGGGGGTGAGATGGAGATGGAAGAGGGAAATGGATGATGAGATGGACGCGTTCTGTCGGTTGACGCGACTTGCTGATTTTCGGTAATTACGCGTAGTTACACATTCTTACTTGACGACGCCGAAGGGGACAAAAGTCATCTGAGCTGCATCATTCGACCGTCAAGGCATCTCTTGTCACATTTACAATGTCTTTCTATCGCACCTCCATCACTTGTACTCGCACCCCCAGAGCCGCCCCCCGCTGGCTCCACACCTCCGCCTCTCGTCTCCAGCAGAAACAGGCCCAGCCGCAGACCTCGGCTACTGACCGTATCGAGCTCACAGCTGTTCGTCATCAGACGCTTTGGCTGAGGGACATGACTGACCAACATTGAAGCCAGCAACATACATTTCGGAAAGTCATGATCCTTGGTTCAATTTGTCATACGAAGACTGGCAAGTCGATATGTTCGGCTTGCACTCATGCTGATGGCGACACGCAGGCTATTGAGAAATACTCCAGTCGACCAACCAGTGCTATTCCTGTATCGCAACTTTCCTTGCGTCGTCATAGGGCGCAACCAAGTGAGCACATCTGCCTCTACTACTTGGCTATTGCTGACCCGCCTCAGAACCCATGGAAAGAATCAACACCACGAAAGCTTCGGGATGAAGGTCTACCACTGGTCCGACGCCGGTCTGGAGGAGGTACTGTCTATCATGTAAGTGCAACTCAGGCAGGCTCAATACTTCTTGACTGACAAAGCACCCACAGGACATGGGAAACACAAACTTCTCCATCATGCTACCACGACTAATGTTCACCCGATCACACGGCGCTCTCCTCGTGTCGCGAGCTATCAGGGAGAGACTGGGAATTGAGGAATGCGGGGTGAACGAGAGAAATGATGTGATTATCAAAGATGGAGGAAGGGAATTAAAGATGAGTCGTTACCAGAGGTACGGGACTTGCACCTACTGACATGTCCCAGTACGTTTCTGGATCTGCATACAAGATCATCCAACATCGAGCCTATCATCACGGTACAATGCTCATATCATCGTCCCTCGCTGAATTGGGAAAGTCTCTGAAATCCAGCGCTGTATGTACTGCCCCCTTAACTCCCGAGACGACTTCTGATCGAGATATAGCCCAATATGGAGACCAAAGGGATCGCCTCACATCGCTCGCCCGTTACCACCCTCAATCACTTTATCCGCGATGTGACAAAACCCATCCACCACGACTCCTTCACTTCCGCTCTCACCTCCGAATTCGCTCAGGTGTATGCCACTCCATCGAAACCCATGTCGACACATCTGGTGAACAAGAGTGGGGTGAAGGAGGAGAAGGTATGGAAGGGGTATGAAGAATTGAAGAGCTGGGGGTGGCAGTATGGCCAGACGCCAGAGTTCACCAATACGCTAGAACAGAGCTTTTCTTGGGGTGATCTGGTGCGTCATTCGTAGCTTATTAGATCGCTTTGCTGATATCGCCCAGTCGGTATCTTTGACATCCCGTCACGCACTGATCACTGCCCTCACCTTCCACCTCTCCCCACCTGCCTCTCATCCCTCAAGCCCTTCAGCTCCAGAAGCCGCCAAGACACAAGCATTCCTCGATGCTCTCGCCCTCGATCTGATTGGCAAGAGGTATGAAAGTCTTGAAGGTGCTGAGGGCGCAATGGGGCACGAATGGGAAGGAGAGGCGTGGCGGAATTTCGGTTGGGAAGTCATGAACTGGCTTCGCCGGACCATGTAATCTTTTGTATACTTGGGCTTGAGTACTGGCATCTGGTTCCATGATCAGAACCTTTATATGTATTCCCTATGCCTGTCACAAAATCTTGAAATTTGCATTGGCAATGCGAACATGTCATGTCGAGCGATCCCAAAGGTCATCAGGCCAAATACATATCAAACGATCATGTAAGCCCCGTATCTGTCACAGCGACCACGGATCTTCGGTACGCAGTGTCAACATAAGGCTATCGTATCGTTATAGGTCTGGTAGACAGCTAGACACCAGTATCCAGCCCAAAGGCGGTTACGATTGTGTCATAGCGGAAGAGCAGGAGCCAGTGGGGATAGCTGAAAGCTGTGGCTACTGCCATTGTCTTTGACCGAGAGATGGCGGGTCTAGGGTGGGGCGCTGCATGTCAACTTGCAGGTACTGATATCACACATGCATGGTATACGATTACAACAGTGTAGCCTACGCACCCATGTTAGCGCGCGATCCGTCGCATATTCCGGCCAACTTACAAAGATCTCTCAGCCTAGCGGCCTCCACTCAGCAATTCTCCAATAGCCTTGATCCCATCATTAAACCTCTTGCTATCCCTGAACCACTCTGCTTTGATGTCCTCCGGGCTGGTAGCAAACATCTTTGACGCTGGTATTTGCGGGTTGATGATACTTTCTGAGGATGGGGGTTTGGTATCTGTTTCAGCGGGAATGGCAGGTTTGGCGTGGAATGTAGGAGGGAGGGAGAGGAAGGGGTTGTTGGTGGTTGATAGGACGAGCTGGTGGACGGCTCGGAAGATCTGTTTTCACAATCGTCAGCATGAGGCAAGGGCGAATGGATGTCCGGACGCACAGCGACAATATCGGCGTCTTTGATCATGGCGTCTACCAGAGCTACAGACAGGACCATCCTGAGTTTCGTTGGTGTTTGGAATCCATAGCTGGAGCAAGGCTCAGTTGATGAGGGCATGATAGTAAGGCGAGACGTACAAGGCCATGTCTTCCATACAGAAGAGTAATCCGAGATACGAATCAGCTGGTTTCGTGGGTGTTGAGGTCATTACGACTAAGTTCTATAAGTCACTCGGTATCAATCTCGTGAAGGTTTCACGCACTGCGTTCTTCGATAACGTCTACAGCGGCATGTCCGAGATGGTAGTGAGAGAGCTGGTCCTGTTCGCCAGTGAAGGAGTGGACATAGAGGGGCGCATTGTTGGGCGAGAGGATGGTCAAGGAGGTGAGGTGGAGGGGGACCTGTTGTATTGAGCTGCGAGAGTCCATCGTGAGCAAAAGATGTCTAAAATCAAGAGAGTTGGTGATTGCGGTCATGGCGCTTGCGGGCGGGACCAAATCGCGAGCAGTGACGATTGACGATTGCTGTGACTTGTTGGTGACTTGGATCATGGAATCTACCACATTTCCACTCTTGACATACTAAAAATTCTCAACCAGCATCACCTACCCACGCATTCCCCACCCCACTGCGAATACCCACCATGACATCACTCGACCCCTCCCACAACCCCCTCAGCCAAAAAGCCCAAGCAGTCTACGATCCTGCCCACTCCTCGCCATTCCCCGACAACCTCCCCCAGCCATCAAGACATGGTCACGATAAGGCCAAGCGAGAGGGGAAGAGAAGAGTGACTAGACAGATGCCTCCCCTGCCGGATCTGAGGTTTGAGCAGGTCCGTATAAAACGTGCCCATCGGCCGATGGGGATATCCCTGATGCCTTCTTGTACAGTCTTACTTGCTCTCGATCAGGCCTTTCCTCAAACCCTCCCCTCGGACGGAATCAGGGAGAGAAGACAAGAAGTCTGAGAAGCCTTCGGGGGCTGCGGCAGCTCAGAGTACTGATCGTGATGAGGTCTTCCACTGGGGCAGGGAGGTGGACGTGGATTGGCAGAAAGTTGCTTGGGTCACTATTCGAGACCAGGTAAGACTCACCTTATTCGAATCTTGAAAGTATGCATATTAACATACGCAATAGCTTTTCGCGCCTCTGATCCAGGGCGCCGTCTGGGGCTGGGCTTCGGTACTTCTTGCCGCCACAGGAGTTGCTCTGCGCGCTTCCTTGTACCCTGCAAGCCATGTTCGACAAGGAAGAGTCACCGGTGGACCCGGGGGATCTATAAAGAGTGCTGGCGGAGGGGACGCTATCGCTGGTAGCTGGTGGAAGAACTGGGTAGGCAGTTTCTTTGGTGGAGCCGAGACGAATGCTGTCATCTAGATGGATGATGAAAATAATTCATTGCGACTCGAGAAGGCTATATTTACAGGATTGAAGAGCAATAACTGTATACGAAAAATCATCTGTGGCATCTCCAGTCATGATCTGATCAGTAGAAGACACTGTCAACTGGGCTTTGGAGATGGCATGTTCGCTCACCAGTCAAGATAAATTAGCAATCAATTCGGCGTTGTACCGATGATAAGAGCAGTCTGCATGAGACATGCCTATGAGCTGCTGAGAAATCGTATAGGTTTGTCATTCTCGAGTAAGGGAGTGCGATGCCTGAACATGGCGTGGAATTGAGGCCGCTCGTATGCTCACTGATGCAGGCGCGATGAAGACGTCTATAGCGCTTGGTTACATTCGAGATGGACATCTACCTACAGCTTCTGAATGACATGCTGCAGACAAGACGACTTTGCAGTCGCTCGGAAGGACGAGGCTGACTTGCGGGGTTTGCGTGATAGGCTGAGGCTCGGCTAATTAATGCGCCGGAGATGCCCGGCCCGATGTCCACCACCATCTATCCGGCCCATCTATAAAAAGTCGTCTACTTTCGACAATACCTGCTACTCTCAAGATACCCCGTCTCAGCAGCATGGCTCCATTGGTATCCTTCATCCAGCTACTCAGAGCAACTCGCTCGAGAGCGCCCGTGTTCAGCCGCCGGGGAGTGTCCACTTTCAGAAGGCATCCTGCTATTCGCACTCTGTCTCCGGGGCTTGCCGTCGGTGCTGGTGTGGCCCTCATTGTCCCAGTGAGTACACAGCTTTTTCATGGTGATACGTCGAGCTGATAACATAATTAGACGTATATCTACTACAACACCGCTCTTCTTGAGTCCCACACCCACGTCGTTGGCGCAGCTGTGCCAGACAAGCCCCATGGTCTTGAGGCAGAACAGGGAAAAGTGAAAAAGATCAGCATCAAGGATGTGCTGGAGCACAAGGAGGGCGAGAGAATATGGGTTGTGATCCGTGGAGAGGTCTACGAGTGCGTCCTTCAATCGTGATGTGCACGCAAGAAGCTGAGACTACGTAGCATGACAGAGTTCCTGGAAGATCATCCGGGTGGAGACGAGATCATAAGCTCAAATCGCTCCAAAGATGTCACCCCATTGTTCAACCCCCGTCATCCCACAAACCAACTGGAACCGGAGAATCTTCCTCCAACCGTCCAGCATCTCGGCACTCTGGATACCGCTTCTGCTTCGGATGAGGAGAAGGAAGAGCTGAGGCTGAAGGTGTCGAAGGATGAAGAAGATGAGAAAGAAAGGATAGAGAGACTGAGAGAGGAGATTGAAGAAAATGGGCTTGGAAGGATTGTCAACATGAGAGACTTTGAGAAGCTGGCAGAACAGATGGTGTCCAAGGTTGGATGGGCCTACTATTCTTCAGCCGGTGACGACGAACTCAGTCAGTCGACCTAGTTTCCAAATGAAACTGCGCTGATGTCTGGCAGCTATGCGCAATAACAACGATGTCTACAAGAACATCCGTTTCCGACCCAGAGTCCTCAGAAATGTCGCAGAGTGTGATGCGTCCACCACCATCTTGGGCTACGACAGTGCTCTGCCTATCATGATCTCCCCTGCGTAAGATCCTAGCCATTAGAACTCAGCGTGTGATTGCAAGCTGATATGGTATAGCGCAATGGCGAAGCTCGGACACCCGTTAGGCGAAGTCAACATGACCAGGGGCGCTGGTAATACCGGCCTCATTCAATGTGTACGTCTGATCTTCATCCAGGATATGTCCATACTGATACTTTCCAGATCTCATCATTCGCCTCTTGCTCTATTGAAGAGATCACGGATGCCCGTAAACAGGGCCAGCCGCTCTTCTTCCAGCTCTACGTTAACGCCAAACGCGACCTCGCTGCGGCAGTCATTGAAAAAGTCAACCGCCTCGGACTCAATGCTATCCTCCTGACTGTCGATGCTGCCGTGGGTGGGAAGCGAGAAAGAGATATCCGGTTGAAGGGCGCATTCGAGCCGCCCAAGACTGGCGCCTATGAAGAGCACAAGGATACGAAGGGCGTCAGTGAGGCAATGTTTGCGGGAGTGGATCCGAGGTTGAATTGGGACGATATCAAGTGGATCCGGTCGCAGACAAAACTGCCATTGTTGATCAAGGGTATCCAAACTGTCGAGGTTGGTGCTGTCTTCTTTGAAGGGGATGATACTGATATCTGGTAGGACGCAGTGCTTGCTTACAACCATGGGTGTGACGGGGTCGTCTTGTCCAACCATGGTGGTCGCCAACTCGACACGACCTCAACAGGCCTCGAAACCCTCCTTGAAATCCGCAAATACGCCCCCCAACTTCTCCGCCCGCAATTCCGAGGTCCCACTGGTGTTCAACAAGCCGCCCTGGAACATCCCGAAAACTTGACGCCCCCGGATCCCATAGAGAAGGAAGAGCGCAAATTCGAGATCTGGGTGGATGGTGGTATATGGAGAGGGAGTGATGCTGTGAAAGCGCTCTGTTTGGGGGCGAATGCGGTGGGTTCGGGTAGAGGGTTCTTGTATGCCAATGCCGTTGGCGGGCAGCAGGGTGTCGAACATGCTGTGAACAGTGAGCTCGTCTTTCTCTTCTTTTCGGCGTCGCTAATAGCTACTACTAGTCTTCTCTGCCGAGATCTTGTTGACTATGAGGCTTCTGGGAGCAACAAAAGTGTCCGATCTGAGACCCAGTATGGTCCACATCAAGGAATAGATGGCTCAGACATGCATATAATATCGTTACATATCCTCACAAATTTCATACCGATGGCTTCCTCTACAGAATGAATATCAGCCAAGAGCACAAAAGGAGGAGAGTTGACAGTCAATATTTGTACCTGGGGCTCCTTTTGAGACCCAGGAGTGTTTAATACAGCTGTGGACTTTACTGTAGCAGCAGCAGCATGGCAACACAGTGACAACGCCGTTCGACACCGACACAACACCGACAGTCATTCAACATTTGAGCGCGTCGACGCGACACTAAATGGGGGGCCACCACGAAAATGCCTCCACCGTTCCTGCCTCAAGATTTCAGAATCCAAGTTGGTTCTTGAGCGGTTTGCGAAAGCTTTGTTTATTCAAAAACAACAAATCCCAAAAATGGCCCCCAAACCTGCCTTCAACAAGAAGCGAGCCGCCCCAGATGCTGGTGCCGCCCCAAAAAAGGCCAAGGTCACCAACGACAAGTCCGCCAAGAAGCAGTCAAAGCCTCGATCCGCCCCCCGAGAGCGTGAGGAGGAGATCAAGAAGCGCAAGAAGCCAATCACTCAAGGCGGTGGCGACAAAGATGATGATGCCAGTATGGGAGAAGAGTCGTTCTCGGACGAGGAGGAGGATTTCGCTGAGGGCGAAGATGTCGAGATGGGAGAGGACGGTGCTGCCGAGGGTGTTGAAGGCGCTCAGGAGAAGAAGCCCCGTATGACCAAGGCTGAGAAGCTGGCTCTCCACGCTGCTCAACCCCATCGAACCTCCCTTCTGCCCTCCCACCCTCTTTTGCAAGATACCCTCTTGCCTTTGTGGGAGACTGCTAGAAGAGCGGACCTCAGTAAGGAGGACAGGAAGAAGGCCATCGTCGAGCTTTGGGAGGCTGTCAAGGGACGTGTTGGTGAGGTATCGAGGGGTCACAAGGGTGGTCGAGTGTTGCAGACTGTACGTACATCTGGATCATCTTGGACGAGACTAATACAGCTGTAGATTGTCAAATATGGTGGGAAGGAGGAACGTTTAGGTGTGGCTATGGAGTTGGAACCTCAGTGGAAAGCCATGATGGAGTCCAAGTACTCTAAGGTGAGTTGCACCTGTGAATGCTCACTGCACTTCTGACATCTTCCCAGTTCTTGATGTCCAAACTCATCCGTTACTGCCCCTCAATAAGACCCCTCCTCATCCCTCACCTCGCTCCTCAACTCCTCGCTCTCTTGAACCACGCCCATGCCGTTGCTCCCCTTTCCGACTTTTACGATCTTTACGCTTCCGCGAAGGAGCGAAGATTGCTCGTCAGGGGATTCTACCCTCGTGAAGTCAAGGTCTTTGACGGTGCCAAGCAGGGTGCGGAGGTGAAGGGTCTGGAAGCGAGTCTGGAAGACATGGGAGATGGTAAGGGTAGGGAGCGAGTGTTGGATGCCATTGAGAAGACTGTGACCGATGTGTAAGCATATCTTCGTTTCATATCGATTCATAGCTGACTGGCCATTTAGCTTCAACGCCACCCAAAAGAATGCCCTCACACAATCCATCTTCCACCGTCTTGTCCTCGAATACGTCCAGTGTATCTTCAAATTCCTCGACGCCGAGACTGCGGCCACAAAATACCGCGAACTTCTTGCTGTCGGTGCTGAGAGCTTGCCCGAGATTGTCCACTCCAAGGATGGATCAGCCGCGGTCCGTGAGTTGATCGTGCGGGGTAACGCCAAGGACCGAAAGACTATCTTGCAACCCATGAGAAAGCACGTCGAGGCTTTGTGCAAGGACGGAGACGCCCAAATGGTCCTCTTCACCGCTTTTGACTGTGTAGAGTATGTTGCATCTTTTACTATCGATATCTCGTGCTGATGACTTTTAGTGACACCAAGCTGATGGGTAAAGCCTTTGTTGGCGACATCGTTGCTCTCGGCCCTTCGCTTGCTTTCGACAAGCAAGGCCGTCGTGCCCTTCTTTACCTCCTTGCCCCCACATCAACTCGACACTTCATGCCTACCACCATCTCTTCCCTCGCCGCCAACCAAAAGCTGGCCAAGGAGCTCGGTACCAGCAAGAAGGACGCCGATGCCAGGAGAAAGGAGCTCATGTCGCAAGCCAACGAAGGCTTGCTGAAACTCGTCGAAGAGAAGGGTGACGAGATGGTCCGCGACCCTGGAGCGGGCCTTCTCGTGCAGGAGATACTCCTCAACACCACTGGTGACAAGACTGCTGCCATCCAGACTCTTGCTTCCGGTCTCGATGCCCCTTACCCCGACCCCGCGCCGCTCGATGCCAACCCTGACCCTGCCACCTCTCACCCTCTCGACCTTTCCCACGCCATCAGGACTTACAAGATCCTGCTGTCTGGTGGTCACTTTGACACCAAGGCGCAGACGCTTGTGGTCCCCGATGCCACTCTTTCACCAGCCTTCTCTCGGGCTGTGTGGGACGTTCTGTCGAGTGAGCACGCGGGTGGTGAAGCGAACCTTGTCAGAGTCTGCAAGGGCAATGCGCCATTTGTCGTCGTTGAGCTTATCGAGGCGCTGAAGAAGGCTGGATATGCCGCGGAAGTCAAGAAGGTGTTGGGCGGAAAGGAGTTGAGGCAGGAGGTTGGGCAGAGTGTAAGGAAGGGTGCTTCTCTCTTGGCTGAAAAGTTGGCTGAACTTTGAGAACCTGTGTAATACATCTAGGGCCTATATGCATTGTTTTCGTATAGATATACTCTCCCATGCGATTATAGGATAAATTTGTAGGGATTCATGATGCCCTTCGGATCGAATGTCTTTTTGAGCCTCTTCATCAACTCGATCGAAGCGGGCGACTGGGAGTATGAAATGTAAGGAGCCTTCATCGCTCCCAGCCCATGCTCAGCCGAGATGGACCCGTTGTATTCCGCTACTTTGGGGTCAGATATGAGGGATCGCTATGCACAGGAGCATTTACCAGTCAACTGGTAAACAAAAGGTTCGATTGCACTTTGCACCTCCTCGCTGAACTCGGTGGCTACAACATTCAGATGCAAGTTGCCTGATACATGGTCAGCATGGTTGACCCTTTGACATAGAGGCTCACCATCTCCCATATGGCCAAACCCGGCAACATCCTTGACCTTTCCTCCTACCCATGCCAGCGATTCCATCCTTTCTTTCATGCGCTCAACGACTTCATACATCTTATCGACGGGCACGGACAAGTCGTACTTGTACGCTTTGCCCGCTGCGCTTAACGCGGATGGGCACTCTTCGCGTATCTGCCAGAGGTTGTGGGCTTGTGAGGCATCTTGGGCCAAGACACCGTCAAGTATCAGGGAGTCTGATAGGAGAGTTTCGAATAGGGAAGACAATTTCTGAGCTCGATGTGAGTGGGGGTCACAAGGCGAACGATGATACACACCTCAGAATCGTGCTCGGTGTTGCTCCCTCCTGTCTCCACAAGGCAGTAGAACGGCCCCTCGCTTTCATTTTCAAACACATTTCTCCCAGTCCCACCCCCACCATACTTCTTCACCGCTTCATACGAAGTGGCATCAAACATCTCGAAAGCAGAGAGAATTTCGCCCAAGTGTGCTTTAGCTTGGGAAAAGACTTTGAGGCAAGCGGCGTAGGAGGGGACGGAGAATACGGCCACATTCGTAGACGTAGGTCGTCGAGGGCATAATATGGAGATGGCAGTAATGATACCTATTGATCCCTCTGAGCCAATGAATAGCTGTTTGAGGTCATACCCTGTTCTTCTATCAGCATTGAGTATCCCTGATGCGTATCAGAACCCACCGGTGTTATCTTTCCGTAGGCCGCTAAAACCACTCCATATTCTCCCATCTGGAAGCACCACCTCTAACCCAAGCACACTTCCCCTCAGACTTCCATATCTCAGCAGCCTCAGCCCTCCTGCATTTGTAGCCACATTGCCTCCTATCTGACAGGATCCTTTTGCGCCCAGGTCGAGGGGAAATATGAAGCCTTTGGATGCGAGGAACGAGTCGGCTTGTTCGAGTATGATGCCGGCTTCTGCTGTGAGTATTCCACTGACGGGGTCGAAGGAGCGAACAGCATTCAGGTTGGAGAGGCAGAGCATCAGCTCATCATGTATCGGAGTCGACCCGCCTACGTCGTACGATCAGCTGTCCAGAGCGTTATATGACGATGCGGTCTCACCAACAAGACCAGTGTTTCCTCCCTGGGGCACTATGGCAACGTTGTGGTCGTGACACCATTTGACGACTGTACTAAGCTCCTTCGTGGTCTTTGGCTTCACCAACACCTGGCTCTTCCCCGCGTACTTTCCCATCCAGTCGACATTGAAGGCTGTGAGGTCATCGTTGGTAGCGGACCCGTCTAGTGAAGACAACAGGGACGTGGGCGAGGATAGGAGAGCTCGCAAGTGCGACACATGGGCCGTTGTAAGGCTTGTGAATGCAGGAGAGCGAGGAGGAAGCCGTAGTATTCCCATCGAGCGGGGTCAAAACAAGCCTTGTTGATAAGGTCTAAGGAGATCTAATCAGGAAGATCACCGGGGTCAATCTAAGCAAGGCAGCGGTAAGCGACGGCAATCGAAACCGGCCCGGGATGCTGTACTCTGCAGCTCCTCCGTCCAACTCCTCCGGCATCAGATCATGCTTCTTCAACTAACGGTTCATTTTGAATCCCCATAATCCATTCTGAATATCCATACTGAATCAGTCACGTCACATCTATCACCTTTCATCCTTGATCTCTCCACATTCACACCACAATGCCTGCTCAGCGCGTCATCCTAGTAACCGGTGCCTCCGGTGGTATCGGTAGAGCCTCTTCCATCGCCTTGTCGAACGCCTTCCCTCCACCATCTCATCATGAAGAGCTTGTCCTAGTTCTGGTGGGGCGTAGGCACGCAGAACTCGAAGTGACAGCCAAACAGGTCAGAGAAGGTACGACAACGGAGATTGCGGTTGGTGATGCGAGTAACGAAGAGGACGTCAAGAGGATTCTCGAGACAGTCAGTGAGAAGTATGGGAGACTCGACCTCTTATTCAACGTAAGCCAGGGGCCATCCATCCTGTTGTGTTGTAATATCGGCTAAACTTCCTTGGCAGAACGCGGGCATCAACGAGAAATCTGACGGGGGCTTCGAAGATCAAGACATGGAAGTCTTCAGGAAGGTGCTGGATATCAACATCATGTCTGCAGTCCTCGTCAGTAGCTACCTGCTTCTCGCCCGCATACACTTATCCTGCAATAGTTTACAAAATACGCTTTCCATGTCATGAAGGCCCAAGAGCCGCAAGGAGGACGCATCATCAATAATGGAAGCATCTCAGCCTCCTCTCCCCGACCAAGTAAGTACACTTTCCTATGTTGTCAAGGAATGATAGACATATGCTGACCTTCGCTTAACTAGACAACACTGCCTACACTCTCTCGAAACACGCCATCCACGGTCTCACCCGCTCAACATCTCTCGACGGACGCAAGTACCACATCACTTGTACTGAGCTTGACATCGGTAATGCTGCCACCTCTCTTGGGTCGCATGTGACGGCGGGGTCTCTTCAGGCCGATGGCAGCAAGAAAGTCGAGCCCACAATGCATGTTGACAACGTGGCCAACACGGTCGCTTTCATCGCTGGACTGCCCCGAGAGGCTGATATCCTGAGCCTTGAGATCATGTAAGACTCCTAAGCTCACAAGGCGAAATGAGTCAGCTGACAATGAACCCAGTGCTTCCGGTATGCCCTACGTTGGGCGAGGATAGCTGGTGAAGCGCATACCTGGGTTTCATTTATCTGTTCGCGGTATCAGGGATTGAATCCTTCGAAGTCATTCTTATTCGTAAAGTACTGGCTCTATCCTCTATGTATACTATCCATACACTCCCTGCTCAGTAGCATTTCCTATCAATCCAGTACTCGTACTGTACAATGTGGCAGTTATGCTCGGTCATCACCATTTCTGAGGTCTCAGGTACGACGCGAACCTAGCCCCTTATGTACCTTCTTACGTGACCCGAGCTCGGACCACCGTTTCAACAACAATACCAGAAAACCCTCGGGCCTTACTGTTTGTTGCCCCGCATGGGAGAACAATGGAGAAGTGGCGAAACATTGACAGATCAAGTATCATCTCGTGAGCCTTCCCTGTGGCGTGTCTTGAATCCAGTACGGGCCCACTAACGTCCTCTTCTCCAGACTCTTCGTATGCCGCCCCTATGCAGATTGGCACGGTCCATTCAGGGAATCCCATATCCAGTAGGACAATAGCCTTGCCATTGGGCCCGGCGGTCCAAGCGTACTGGGTTGCCGGGATCAAGGGTGGTCTGCTTTCACTACCGCCAGCCTCGGGCAGTTTACTTATACCGGTCACAGAGTCCAGCACCCTCCAGATCCACATCTCCACAGCAATTGCCACCGCCCGTCGTGGCTCAGTATTATACAGCTATCAGGGAATAGCCAGCACGAATGCCCTTGCCACACACGATGATTCCTTTACTCGCCATCGTCGCCTTGATGGTAACGAAGACCGCCAGCCTTCTCGGTACTGCTTTGTTGTCAGACTCTGACCCCGCCGACACCTCGTTCTTGCTCGACACCTCGACAGCCCACAGCTCGGCTTTCGAATCCATCTTGCCTTGTCTTGCGATGGGAATGTTGTAAGTGATGGTTTCTGACGTCCCTCTTGGAGCTGTTGATGGGAAGCTGATGTGCATGAGTAGTCTTGCTTTCATCCTGTCCTATCACTATAGATGTGATTGCGCGCCGGCCATGGTACGTACAGCGCTCCATCAGTCTGTACATCACGACGACTTACCAAGCGTCTCGTCAGTCATCCATCCCAAGTAATGGAGACGTTGTGCCACACACGGGCGAACAGAGCTCTCCTGACTCTTTGGTATGTTGCTCGTACATCGTAACGCAGCATGTGCTGACTCCATCGTCCAGGTGTCAATTAGTTCTAGGGGCGCTTCTACCAGATTGTCCCCGCCTTCTACCGCCCCTCCACAAGTCAGATCACCATCTGCCAGAAGACACATGGCGCAGTCCTCTAGTAGCCCGGCGATGTCCCCAAAGGTTTATGGGTGCCCGGAAGAATGCAGAGAAGTCGGACAGGCTCCGGAGAGGAGACCCGCCCCCCGCCGCCTCAGTCGTCCTCTGGAATCTTGCGCCCTCCCAGACTTCTTCGTCACGCTTGGGAAACTCTTTCACCGAGGCCCCTGTGTATCTACCACCGTGAGCCGCCATCGCGACAAACGACATCCCGTCAACTATCCCTGTCAACATTGCTGGCAATATGCGCAAGTACCCAGGCCAGCTACAGTCACCGCCTTCCCCGTGCATTGGGATGGCGGGAGGGGACTCTGGGAAAGACAGGCTTATGATCCGCTGGCAAGTCCGCAACAGTGGCCAAGAAGGGTTGGGCCTTCTGCGGCTGCAATGGATCTACCGGGGGTCCGTGCAGCTTGGGGTTTACCGGTGGATGGCGTACCTGCCTCTGCAAGTGCCGAATCAAGGCATCTAGCCTCCTCCAGCTCTCTCGAAAGAGGCGTACGACCGGCCGCGCCCGAGATGATGGCTGAAACCCAAAGGAGGGCTAGAATGCTTGCAAATGATGTGTTCGTTGGTACCAGGGGCAATGATCTGTCGAGTGATCTTAACGCCGCTGCGGATACTTCCCACTACCCTGATCACCCAAGTGTCGAAGCGCAGGGGTATGACGGGGACGACGACCAAGAGGTGGTCGGTGCCGACGACTCTGGATACGCCGAACGAGACTCGACAGGATCTGGGTCTCAGGAAGGCTCAACAGACAGGGACAGTGAAGCCTCGCCAGAGTCAAAGCCTCGGCGAAAGACAGCGAGGGGCTGTAGGTCCGGGAAGAAGGTGAAAGAGAAGCGAGAACAGCGTCGGCAAGAAGAGGATCGTCGAAGGCTTTTGGCGAGGAGAGCTTTACTCGAGCGTCAACTTGTTGGTACTCACGATCATGCTGCTGTCGGGGGTGCAATGCCTCATCCAGGTGCTGGACATGGTCTACCCCAGCGCCCCCCTCCATTGTATCCTTTCCCACGTCAGATCTCACCTCACCGGCCAGGTGCCTCGCATCAACCGTCTCAGCCGACCCATCAGTCACCCCAGCTAAGATAGAGAGCGCGATCGTCATAGCTACCCGTGTTTGTATTCGTGTACCAATTAGCCTTAATTTGTACGACTATACATAGATGCAGTAATCGGTGCACTTCTATACTTGTTGACCCGATCGCAGCTGTTCAAACATCTCGTCGATGTCTTCCTTGCTGACGCTCCTTCCGTCGGCTGCTCGCTCCGCGAGCATCTCAGAGAGCCTGTTTCTGTAAGGGTATAAGCAGTGTGCAAGGGTCCATTGCAAGCACCTACTTCAGTCTTTGATATCCGTGTAAAGCCTCAATGGTTTGTACCCTGGGTAGATTCGACAGTGCTCGAGTCATGACTTCCTCTGTGGTTTGATCTGCAGAAATGGGTGTCAACAATGACTATCTTCACCCTACATTCCACGCACCTTCCTGCTCGTCTCTGGCAGGTTCGTAGATATCGCCGTCCTCCAAAGGGAATGGCAGACTGGCAATAGTAGACTCCTATGTCGATCAGATATGCACAGCGTCGCAAGAGGGGCTCACATCGAGTTGGGTTTTCAGTTTCTCGCGGATACCATGAGACAGAAAGACGTCGCCTTTGCCCTGCCACTTCCAATCTGAAGTCTCCTCTCCCGAACTAGCTTGTACCGTTGCGTCGTCCAGCTTGATTTTCTTGGCGTGAGCATCCGCTTCATTCTCTTGAAGAGCCCGTTTGCCATTCTTCATCTCATCCACTATTTGGCTATCGCTCCCGGTAGCGCTCTTCCCGATGACTTCCCATGACCCGCTTGACGACGGCTCAATCATCATCCACCCGCCCTTGCCTGCTTGGCTCTTCATGAAGGGGTTCGATCGTACGCAGGCCGAGCAGATGAGGGAGTCATATGTGTCGGAAGGGATAAGGACTCTTTCGTCGTCGTCGTCCTCCTCCTCGGCAGCTTGCGCATCAACAGAGGGCGCGGAAAATGCAGGGACGGGCTCCCCTAAAGGTTGAGAGGATGCAGTCACAGGAGTGGGTAGCTGTTCTGTATTCGCCTCAGATGTTATGGAAGCAGGAAGCCGGAGATTCAGACAGCTCTCATGGAACCAATCCTACCAGCACGATCAGCACAAGGCGAGCATCTGTTCGACATCCGTACTTACCTCACAACCAAGACAAGACAGCATCGCCTCTTCTTCAGTCTCTGCATCATAATCCCTCCCACACCTGCAGAACTCTCCTTTGAAGTTATGGGTATACTTGTTCTTGTGATTTGGAGATTGGGGTTGTATCTCGGGAGGATTAAGAGTGCATCGACGCCTCTTGACCTGGTTGCCGGCTAGTGGCTCAGGCTGCATGCTCGTCGTCGGACAATCGCATCTGAAGAAGCGCTTCGTCCAAAGCTCCACAAGTTTATGATCTTCCTCATAGATCAGCGCGTCGCCCCGTACCACATCAAGTGTACTCACCGCCGTGGCACGAGATAGAACAGCCATAACATACACCCTTCCCGCCACAGTCTACCGCGTATATCAGCAATCGACTCTCCTGACCTGACAGATATTTTTACCTATACATGACCACACAGACTGCCTGAGGTACCCCTTACTATATGAACACTCGTCGAATTTGAAGGGCAGAGTTTCTCTGGCATCGTCTTGAATGCGATCCGAGACATCGATGAGACTCTGGAGGGTGACGGTTGATGTGGGGTCCCTCGATGGAAGATAGGTGGAAGGAAGAAGAATGAAGCGGTCTGAGGGAGCTGGGGGCATGGTGCACTCTCTGACTTTTTGATGAGGAAAAGGGCAAGTATAGAGATAGAGCGTGTCATCGTTATGTCTGGCCCCGTCGGCGCGTAATTGGGCCTGTAATTACGAATAGTTTGAAGCAGTGCGTAACTACAGAGATAAGGCTCAGGCACGCAGCAAACATAGTATGCAAAACTCCCACACCACGCTAGATTTCGTCTCCTGGCCTGTACTCTATCCTGTTTATATTCCGAACACTTCGCCTCTCTCTTTGTGTATAGTCTCGTGGCCCCCCAAAAAGACACCATGTCCGCTCCCCCCCTCCTCCCTTCTTACATGCCCCACTCCCCCGGCAATCCTCGCGTTGGTTCACCATCCTCTCCATCGCGCTCCTCCCCTAGTTCAAGGTCCCCTGCTCGACCCAAGGGTGGGCGAGCTCGCTCTTCTTCCCGACCCAGAAGCAGTTCGTATCCCCAGAGGCCTGGATGGCGGGAAGCTGGCGATGAAGAAGGACAATCCGTGAGCGTACTGCGCTCCACGCTCGTGTGACGGATTTGCTGACATGCTGCCATCGCAGTTGGCCGATGCCAGCAAGAATGTTGATATATCTGCCAACGTCCCGGAGAAGAAAAAGGCAGGCATTACATCCAACCCGGTCGTGATCAGTTAGTGCCCGTGTGGACCTGTTGTTGATCACTAACTCAAAGCCAGTTCCTATATGGATCGCCCTTTCGTCCACTGTGATCTTGTACAACAGTAGGTAGCCCCTGAGAGATACAGGATCCACTCTGATGACTTTCCAGAATACTTGTACTCTAATTTGCATTATCCATACGTGAGTCACTGCAAGACTTGTTTGTCCAAATCTGACCTTGTGACGGATAGCCTGTATTCATGTGAGCTCCTGAAGTGAATGAGGGACCTATTCTAACCGCGTACATGTGTTCGATAGTACTTCATACCACCTTGGATGTGCCGTGAGTGGGATCTGAGTCTTACCTGCACCCCCGACTGACGCAATATCAGGCTATCGGTACCAGGATTTTGAAAGCGACCACACATCTTCTCGATGGATTGGACAATATTGAGATGACAGTGGGTCTCACCATGCATGTCTACAGGTAAATGCTGACTCTATTCAAGAGGGATCTGTATATCAAGTCAATCCTGCCTATCGGAGTGCTCTTCTCGGGCTCTCTCATCCTAAGTAACACGGCATATCTATCGTGCGTATATCCTGGGTAAAGTTCATTTGAAGTTTGTTGACCTGCCCATAGTCTCAGCGTGTCGTTCATCCAGATGCTGAAGGTATGCCTCTATCGATACGGATCGGAATAGATCATACTCACATTCTATCGTAGGCCTTTACGCCCGTGGCCATCCTCCTTATATCGGCCGTTTTCAGATTGCAGACCCTCAACTCAAAACTAGTCGGCATCGTGTTCCTGATCTCTGTCGGGTGTGCGCTTGGTAAGTGATCTTGGTCATGATACGAATCAAGCTGACTGCTTGCACAAGCCGCCTATGGAGAGTTGCACTTTGAGATGTTCGGTTTCTTATGCCAGGCGAGCGCAGTCGCTTTTGAATCATCGTGAGCTCCTTGCCAATGGTATCAAATATGCGGCTGACCTAGCATAGCCGCTTGGTGATGATCCAAATACTACTGCAAGGCCTCAAAATGGATCCCCTCTGCTCCCTCTACTACTACGCACCAGTCTGCGCGACTATCAACGCCCTCTTCCTACCTTTCACGGAAGGTCTCGCCCCACTCCAGGAGTTTTGGCGAGTGGGCCCGCTGATCATGCTGTCCAATGCGGGAGTTGCTTTCGGCTTGAACGTAGCAGCGGTGTTCTTGATTGGTGCTGCGGGAGGGTTGGTGCTCACACTGGCCGGAGTTTTCAAGGTGCGCGGCTTGGGTGCTTGACAACCGCAGACTTACGGGTGCTGATTATTCCGCTAGGATATCTTGTTGATCTCGTCGAGTGTCATATTCTTTGGCAGTACCATCACGCCGGTTCAGGTCTTTGGTGAGTGATTATCCAGCCTTTGTATCAGTGGATCATCCTGATGAGTAATAGGTTATGTGTTGGCATTGGCGGGTTTGATGGCCTACAAGTCTGCTAGCAAGTAAAGAATGAAATATCTGCGTATAACACTCTCTGGCAACCGCTGTCACCCACATGCTTTCCCCTCAAACCCGGCCCGATCGATACGCCAAAGGCATCGCATAACCATCCGATCTAGGTAACGGCCGAAGAGGTCCCTTTCAAGGAGGCACTTCATCTTCTTTGCGCTCCTTTCACGTCCCCTTTCCACCTTTTGAACACTCAATTTCTGTAGGTTGTCAAGCTCTGGACGAAGCGAGCGTTGAAACGCGATCCGCCAAGTAGGCGGTCTGAGCACCGCAGCTTTCAATCTGCGGCAATCTTCCTTTGACCATGGGAAGTTTGCCTTCCGTTCCCTGAGCGGTACACTTTGACCCGAGGACAAAGAGAGCACCGTATTTTCGAGTATGATGTGCATGTCTTCTTTCTCTCTACCATCCACCTACAGTCTCAAAACCCGTTTTCACCCTTCTTACATCAGCAGAAGGTCGGCTTCTACCCGTTCCTGTTGAGGCCCCGAGGCGCAGTTATGGCTTGTCAACAAACGGCGGAGGCGACTCTCTACTCTACCTCCACGTACGTTCCATATCTCGTAACCATCACCATCGTCTTCAATCATTGACAATGGCTCTGCGCAGATCCCTCATTCTACAGACCGCCACTTCCTCGTCCGCAGTGATCTACACACCGTCTCCTTCCACTTCCACATGGGTGAACACAGCTTGTCCGACCGCCTCAGCCGTTCGGGATGACTTGGGCAACATGATTGTATCTGCCAGCTCTCAAAGCGACGGCGCGTCGACGTCCAACAGCGATGTCACTCTGGAAATGACCGACAGTAGCTCCTCCGGACCGACATGGTCTACTTCTATGACTGCCCAGAGCAGTGTGACTGGCTCACAGACTGAAGCTACTACTCAGACATCCCCGGTGGATTTGTTCAGTAGTGCCAGTCAACAACTGGACCCTACCCAAAGCTCGGAAAGTTCCGGGCAAGCGCCTATATCCTCAGAGAGCTCGTCCGCCTCGCAGATCCGCAGCCAATCTTCTATGACCACGACCCCCTTATCCTCCCCCACGACTTCCACGTTCTCTACAACGGCTTCCGCATCCTTGGCTGCCACGTCATCTATAGCCCCCCCCCTTTCTCTGAGACCATCTCAGACGATCTGGGGAGAATGCGAGAGTACTTCGAGTACTGAATGGGCTGAACCAACATCATCAAGCTGGGCGGACGGGAGTGCTTGGACGTACTCTAGCTCGGAGGAAGGCTACTGGGCGGAATATCCCAGCTCTTCGGAATCAGATGAGTGGTGGAGCAGCTCGTCATCTTGGACAGAGGCGTGGTCTGGTGAGTAGGGTTCGATCTGGAGGCTCCGATGCTGACTCTGAATCAGATAGCGCTTCATCCATAGCCTCTACCACAGACGGCAACTCGTTTAATGCTGCTATCAGCTCGACTACGAGTACCACAGCAACGTTAACTTCCCATGGGCCTACAACAATTTCCCTGTCTACTCAGTCGCCTACCTCTACGTCCAGCACCACACCTACTCCTACCAATTCCTCTTCCGCGGCAGCGGTAGCAGCAGCCAGCGATGCTGCAACCTCGTCCACCACCACAGCTTCCGCATCCACCGCAGAGGGCAACTCTCCTCATATCAACAAATCTGTCTCAATCGGCGCGACCGTAGGCGGAGTCTTTGGGCTCTTCACCTTCCTTGCAATGTGTCTTTACGCGGTGCGCTGGTGGAAGATGCGAGGACGTGTGAAGAGGACAGCGGAACTCAGGAGCAGCTGGTTCTATGGTGGGGATGTTCGAGAGTCAAAGATGTATGGGACCAACGAAAAGGGATTCGTACATGGTGACGCCGAATCTCAGCTTGAGCGAGAAGCACAGTTGCCCCAGTCTCGCTTCTCGGCGCCTTCCCTCATCTCGCATTCTGCTATACCCGCACTGTTGCAACAGCCGATATCTCACATACGTCAGGGATCCGGCCGTTTCCCACCCATTCTTTCGCTCAAGCACCTCCGCCTGGGCTGGAACGCGGACCAGCCTGCTCGGAATGAGAATGGTAATGGGACAGGGACCTGGGTGGACAAGTATACCACCCACTCGCCTCTAGAATCTACCCCCACGAGACCGAGACGGCCAGATGAGACGGTCTCACGCCATGCTCCAGATACGGGCATCACGTGGGGAGCGTCCTATACTTCGCCCACTGTTGCTCAACTGCACCATCAGCAACGGGAACATGGCCAAGGACTCGAAGCGGAATTCGACCAGGCTGCGCTCAGCGAGGCTTCCCATTCCGTCTACTCTCGCACATCCACTTATACGCAGCACGGCAATGCTCTCAGCAGAGGCAGCACGCTCAAGTCGATGCGGGCTGGAGGTGCAGGCGGGGCCAATGAGGCTGCGGCAACCTTCCCGATGCCTCCTGTCGACCATCCCATTCTCCATAGTCGATCTTCGAGCAACATCGCCCCTCCTCCTCTGACAGAGACTCCCGCCATCACCTTCTCGCCCAACTCTTCTCATACTGTTTCTCAAGATTACTCTATCACACGTCCTACCCAGCACTCTTCCGGGGTCTGGGAGTACTCTGGATATGACGACTCTAGCAGACATACTTCATTATCGGGGACTTTGCAGCTTTCTCGTGAAGCTCCCTTGATCCAGGGAGGTGGTGTTGATGACGAATACAGAGCCACGCGAGACTGGTACGAGAAACCCATATGGGATGGAGGCATCACGGAATCTAGTACTGTACCACATCGTCCGGAGGCTCTAGGTCACTCAAGTCGGAAGAGTGTCAAGAGTGTGAGATGGGGAGACGAGCACAGAACCTGCAGGACGGTGTTCCTCGAGCAATTTAGATGGAGAGTACGAAGGGGCAAGCTCATGACATATGTACGCTCTCTATGGTTATACAAGGACAATATGAATTTGGACACTCGGGTTTTATGCAGTGGCAGTATGCAAATGGACGTTGAATGATTCGCCTCGGTGCTCCGGTTATGAGGGGCGGTGATTGCCGGACTGGGCACTCGCTCCCGCCGCCTTGGCTTGCATGTTTGTGCATGTATTTTGGTCCCGCCCTGTACATCTCCATACATCTCCATCCCCCACCACTCCCCGCAAGCAAGGGCCTTACAGGCAGACAACAGAACAGACCCTGCAGCGTCAGGTACAGCGTAACGTCAACTCAAGGCGCGTCGTACACGTCCTTCTTACGGCCGCCTTTCGTCTCTCACCAAGCTACCTATTATGCTGTCGCTTTGAATCACCACCTATAGTCACACCAGAGAATGATAGACCAAATCCTCGGCCGCCCATCCCCCACCCTGCGGCGGAGTCAGATATGGCTCATCCTCTTCTTCTGGGTATGGCGCCTGTACAAGGGCGATGGCGCTCCACGTCCTTTGGGAAAGAAGCCTGCCTCGGCATTCGTACCAGGGTCCAGTAGAGTCAGTGGAGGGATAGGAGAAAGAGTCAGAGATAGAGCTGCCAAGTCGTGGTTATGGAAGCTCTGGGTCGAGTTGCTCGGACGGCGTCTGGTGACATGGATGGGAAAAGTCAATGACAGGCTCAGGAAGTTTCATGATACCGGGAGGGGAGGACTATATGCTGACAGACTTCGACAGGGATATTTACGCCGTATCAGCTGATCCTGGCCACTCTGACAGTAGTCTATGCGGTGCGGCATATGGACGACCTTCTTGGCATCAGTGGTAAGTCTCGTCTACAGAAAGCCTACACCCAACTGACGATGTGAATAAAGCACCCGAACCTCTCGCAAAGCTGGTGCGTCCACTGTTTGATTGAGTCACCTCATACTCACACACTTGCAGTATTCAAGGTCGTACTATCGCGCAACATACGTCAACACAGCACTAGATGCAGGATTCTCAATGGCTATGAATATCAAGCCCCAGTGGCTCAAGGATATCTCCAGCATGGTATTCTCGGGATACTATCTGCTGTATGCCAGAGAAGGTGATGAAGTGGTATGTTCTTGTCGCCCTTTACCGCGTACCGTGCTGATTGGGGTGCAGTTACGACGCTTCAGGGCTGTCTGCTCTGTTGAGATGCTGAGAACGACATGGGACAAGACCAACAACCCATATGTGAGTGAGAGTGTACACTTCACGCAGGGGGTAGCTAAGTAGACGTTAGATCCGTCTTTTGACCGCTCGCCATCGCCCCAAACTCCCTATAGTCCGCACCATCTTCATTCCCAGGCCCCCGCAATCATCGCGTGCCTCTCTCCCACCGGTGAAGACTATGCTCTTCTTCTCCGGATCGGAAGCAGAGCTCGCTCAAGCCACCGAACTTATCGTCGATTTCCCAGGCGGCGGGTTCATTGCTATGAGCCCGGAATGCCACGAGGAGCGACTTCGAACATGGGCGCGACGCACGGGGAAGCCTGTGCTAGGTGTCAACTATGGGAAAGCACCAGAATGTAGGTTCAAGTACCATCTTTGTGTCACTGCTAATCGACTTGGTCTAGATCCGTATCCCTGGTCAATTGAAGAAGGTTTCGACGCGTACCGCACGTTGATAGAGACCAAGGGCAACGTTATTGGTATAGCAAGCGGTCGTCTGGATATTGTCCTCAGTGGTGACTCTGCGTAAGACAGCCTTTGCAGAAGGTCTTTCAAGTGCTGATGAGTGACGCAGAGGTGGCAACATATGTGCCACCATCATGCTCCGCATCATCGAATATCCCACCCACATTCCCCGCCCGATCTCCCTCGTTCTTGCTTATCCGGCTCTGGACTTCAACTTTACATCTTGGATGTCTCCACAGAATCTCCGCGTATTGCGCACGGAGCAAAGCGAGACTCAAATTCCTGGCATGATCCACGGGAAAGACCACATGCGCCATAAAGCACCTCTGAGTGTAGTTGACGATGTGGAGAAGAAGAGGAGGAGACAGAGGACCTGGGCGGCGATGATTTCGGACAAGATACCCATGATGAGTCCAAGGACTGAAGGATGGAGGAGCAACCCCCAAAGTCCCAAGAGCCCCAGTAAAAGGCTCGCAGACTTGCCTAGGAGCGTGTCGGCAAAGGTCATGGCTTGGGCTACTGCGGATGCGGAGGAGGAGGGGAGATACTCGACAGAGGAGGAGGATGAAGGGGATGAGAAGACTGACAGCAAGGTCGTTTGGGGAGCTGATAAGAGGAAGGATGCCGAAAAGTCTCTCGCAGACAGGGTGAAGACCCCTAGGGAGGAGAAGAGATTCGAGTTGACGAGAACAGAGTCTCCTGCGCCCATGGCGGAAGCAGAGACAGACAAGGAAGCTTTTGATGCCAAGGTCGAGAAGAAGAGGAAGAAGAAGGGGGCGATTGGTACGAGGTTGACCATGACGAGTCGGGTCGGCTACTTTCAAGATAGGATCATTTCGCCTACTATGGTGCGTTTCAACTCCTCTGTCTGGCGCCCTGATTACTTACCAATTGATAGATGCGAGCCATGGCCATATTGTATATCGGCCCGCAACGTAATCCCGACTTTGAAACCGACTACTACATCTCCCCTATCCTTGCACCTCCCCATCTACTCACCCACTTCCCACCCGTCTATCTGATTTGCGGCGAGCGAGACCCCTTCGTCGACGACACGGTGATCTTCTCCGGCAAGATTCGTTCCGCCAAGCGAGCAAGAAAGGCTGAAGCGGAGACCGCTGCGCTGGGCAAGTCTGCCAAACATGGCGAAGGACTTAGGATGTCAACAAGCAAGTCCAAAGCCCGCAGAGAGGATACTGTGGATCCAATTTTGCAAGAAACGGATGAAGACTGGGTTCAAACGAGGATCATCGAAGGCTGGGGTCACGGCTTCATGCAGATGTCCAGCCTGATGAAGGAAGTGGACCCTGTCCTGCTCGAGATGGCAGATTGGATCGACGAGTCTTTCTTGCGAGAGAAGGATAGGAAACGTGAGGCGGAGGAGCTTTCTGCTGCTGCTCGTCTTTCTGCATCAACCTATCCAACGGTCCAGGCAGGGGTCACTGCTCATGCTGGCACCTCTCTGCATCTGAAACCTACTCAAGACTATCCGAGTGTGCCCAAAAAGACTGGCACGGCCGACCTAGGCTCAGCATACTTTGGTGCCATTGAAGCTCCAGAGGACGCCAACGACAATCTGGTCACGTTCACGCCAAAGAACAAGAAGAGGACCCCTCCTCCGTCTGGCTTCCTCCCTGTTCCTCGTCGTGCCTCCAAAGAGTCTTTGGCATCTCTGAGAAGGTCACCCTCTGCTCCCAAATTTGATGCAGACGAAACAGGGTCCTCTGGAGAAGCCATGAGCATCGTCACTCCTCCTCTCAGTCTAAAGAGTCTCCCCTTCAGAGAAGGGGCTACGAGGGGTAAAGCCACATTTGGGCTTTTCGGTGGAACAACTACACCAGTCAAGCCGCAGGAGAGGTCTGGGAGGGTATCACCTACCCTCTTTGGGCGCCCACGTGAGAGGCCTGGGAGCAGTAATGCTTCTAAGCCTATCCCCAGCCCATCAGCAGGAGCTAGGACGTCATCTGCGCCGCCTCATTCAAGCCTCAACTCGAGCACGCCGACCTCGCCGCCTGAGAAACCCAAAGGCGGTTTGGTGGCTGCTGCCTTGTCTTCTGCTCGTGCAGCAAGTCCTGCATTGGCAGCGGCAGCTGGGTTTGTCCCTCAGAGCGTGGGTCATGTCAGTGAAGCAGAGCTCATGAGGCGAAGGAGAATGGAGGCTGTCTACGGGATTGGAGGAACTGCCAGTGGCGCTAGTAGCGAAGGGGAGGATGAGTAGAGGCTTCAATGCCAGTAGCAAAGAGGAGAAGTGCACCTTTGTATTTTCGTAGCATTTGTGATTGTACATGTCTTTTGTTGATTTTCATACCTGTTTTCGTACATTTCCCATGCAAGGTCGTCATTGGCGTTGCGCTACTATAAACGATTCTAACTTCTAGCACTCTTTACTCTATAAACTTGTTCAAGGGACGCTTCATACATATACCGCACCAGCAAATATAGCCGGACGGTGGTCTGATCTTCCTTCCAGTAAGCGCATCCTGTGCAATTCGTCAGTACACGTAGTATAGAAAAGCGGATTGACTCACCCAGAATCGTCAATGGTTCCATAATGTAGACACCTGACCTCGCCCTTCTGCCACCTCTTCTCCTGTTCGACGATCTGAGGCACCATCTCCTCCTTATCCTCGACAGGTTTGTCTTTAGTCACATGCAGCCACCCCGGGAACTCTTTCATCCACCGTCTTAGCGAGCTGAACTCCTCCTTTCTAGTATTGGCACTTGATCTGAGGTTGGGCACAGGGGCGGTGGGCGCATGGGTGAGGGGCGACATTCCAATGGGTTCTTTCGTTAAAGGAGCGTAAGATTTGGAATGATGTGGGGCATCGGGATGACTCCATGCCACAGATTGCGGAGGACGGCCAGTGTTGACCGTCGGGTCCGCGTTCGGAGCAACAAAGTAGTCGCCAGTCGCGGGCGTTGTGCTAGCCCTGATTGGAGAGGCAGCAATCGGACTGCCGCTGCGAGAGGCCGCCCCACTCACTTTCCGCCTCAGCGCAACGGTGCTCTTGGTAGGAGTTGCCAGAACTCCCACAATGCCATCACTCGCTCGTCCCTTTTTCTTCTCCTTCTCCGGTTTGTCCGACGCCGCGTTATGGGAGTGCGAACGGGGGCGTGCCCCGAAGGTAGACTTGATACGTTCAACCTGGGGAGATTGAGACCGAACAGGGGTCTCGGCGGTGGGCGTGGATTGCTTTGGTGTGGAGATGCCTTTTGGCAAATTGTCAAATGAGAGCATGTGTCGAGTGGGGTTCGGCGTAGACTGGTTGGCCTGAGGTGTCACAGAGCCAGAGCCACATTTGACTGGGCTGATACGGGGTGTCACAGTAGGAGTAGGGATAGATTGGCTCGAGGGAAAGAATCTGCTGTCTTTTGCTGGTGATCGTGCAGGACTACTTCTTTTTGGTGCAGAAATAAGTCCCAACTCGTTCACATCGGAAGGTCCAGCATTGAGATCGGGCGTCTCGGGTGGAGACTCAATCACTGTATCACCAAGGTTTCTCTCCGCATCATATGCTAAAGCCCGACTGATATTGCGCTCCAACTCGTAATCGTCTCCGCTACTTTCCACTGCTTGCTTCATGCGGAGAGCAGTGTCAGTGTTGGCAAAGGCGCCAAGAGGCGAAGGGTCTTTGGTGGCTGTTCGGCGGAAATGGCCACCAAAACTGGTAAAGACCGTGGATAGGCGTGAGAAACTCCGATCATGTGAATGAGACTCGTCCTCTTCTTCAACAGCTTCCATGATAGGAGAGGGGGGATCGGGCGACACATGAGCCTTCCAGAGTACGCGGTCACACTTTCAAGCACATAAGCATGGATCAAAGACAGAGGATAATACTCACCCAGCTGGGCACTCGTTGCTTCTTTGAGGTGTCATATATCCCCTCCCGCCTGTCCAAGCCCATTTCAAACTCATCATCTTCCTCTTCCTCTAACTCTTTAAAAGACTTTCCACTCGAGTTTCTCTTCATGACAGACATTCTCCTGCCAAAAGGTGGTTTGCCCAGCCCTTGGTCGAATTTGGGTGGAGAGAAAGACGAGTGCGAGTTATCCGAGCGATTTGAAGTTGCTGGAACGTTCAGATGACCCTCATAAGATAATGGGCCAGCTCTTACACTTCGATAGGACGAGGCGGACGTCCGTCGATTGTCGTCCTCGATAGCATTAGAGACAAAACTCGACATCGAAGTCCGGCGAGACTCGTTGCCCCATCGGTCCCTCAGCTCTTCCTCCTCTCTTTCCAGCTCTCTTTCCCTTTCTTCTCTTCTATCTTGTCTCGCAGAGCTGAATCCACGCTTTCGGTTGCTCATTTGACGCTTCCTCTCCTTTTTTGCCGGACTAGTGGTCAGAATACCATCCATCTTGACCAGTTCCAAGAGGTGCCGCGTCTTCTCTTTGAAAACGTGCTCGAATTGTTTCAACTGTTGAGCTGACGCCTGAGGCTCCTCATCGTCGTCCGAATCATCAAAATCTGTACCAGCAGTGGTAGATGCCATACCCGAGTACCGGCTGGATTCAAATGACCGTCGACGATCATAGTCATCATCGCTCCTGTAAGGAGAGTTTTCTCTCTGGCTCAGAAACTCGTAAGGCGTTTCGAAGTCATTGCTCGCCCTACTGGGATTTTTGACGCTGGGCTCTTCTTCACCCATTTCTTCCATGGCACCCGCTTCGGGTACACCACTGAGAGTCTTTTGATGCCCTCCTGCTTTCCTGGCAGGTGGCACAGCAAGATCTGACGGCTCTGGATCACCGGTAGAGATAGCCGACGTAGTGGACTTTCGTCGCTTGAGAGTTCTACGAAGCTCGCGATTGGTAGCTCTGACCGACTTCCAGACCTGTTTCACTGTCAGGCGCGAGACTGCTTCTTTTCACTCGGACTTACATCGTACTTGAAGGTACATGGAAAGTTTATGGGGGCTTCTTCAAACCCGGGGAAGGGGTTGTTCTCTTCGCTTGACATGGCCATGCGAAGTTGGTCCCACTTAAGGGCGTCTTCGTACTCTGCAAAACATCAGCTTCCATCAGAGAAACCAGACCCGAGCTCACTCTTTTGCTCAATAAGCCAGTCTGCATGTAACCTGGAAAGCTCAAGCCGAAAGTTCAGATCACCGCACCAAAAGACTGTATCAAATCTATCGGTAATGTCTTCTGCTTGAGATCTCGGGTCGTCTCTCGGCAAAAAACAGTCCAGTCGAAGCTCAGATTTGATCTTGTTGATGTTGGCTATTCGGGCTGCCTTGCGATCTGTATGGGCTGCAAGGTGGGAGTTCACAAAGAGGAAGCGATGTCCTGCTAGCTTGAGACTGATACCGCTAAGATTGATGTCAGAGGCTGAAGGCTTGGTCAACAAGAGACTTACATCCCGCCCTTGTTGCCCACCCGGCCACCAGCAAGACCTGCTGTCACAAAGTCCTTGTCCAGACCTGTGATACATGTCAGCACTGGACAAGTCTATCACGAGCAACATACCTTGTATCAAGTGCTCGGCGCCCTTGTAGACGTAGACAGAAAAGTACATTCCCATCAGTCTTTCTTTTGCCACGTGAACGTAGCTTCCATCGCCCTCGTCCTCATCGGCGCCATCGCCTGCAGGTATGACAATCTCTGGGCGCACCATCGTTGGCTTTACAGGAGACGACGAGGATTTCGGCCTGTTTGGCTTTTTTGTGTTCTTGTTTTCATCGGACGTGGTAGCTGTATTGGAGTAGTCCTCTTCAATTCCAGACTCGGAGGATGACTCCATTCCCGTTGATTCTAAAGAAGACCGTGAATTCCCCAGGGGGCTTACGATGGGATGAAACTGGCTGTGCGTGCGCACAATACCTGTCGGGGTTTGGGTGCCAGAATTTGAACCTTTACTGAATGGAATAGGTATTGGAGTTGTAGGTGTGGCAGGCACTGATGCTGATCTAAGGATAGGAGGCTTTGGCGAAGGGACAGGAGACGATGCTCCTATGGGAAACTTTTGAGGCATTGGGGAGTCTCGCGAGGTAGGATTGGATGGTTGATCGCTCAAGGGCAAGGAAGGCGGTGCCTTGTATTTGTAGTTGGGCCCACATAGAAAGTCGTCGAGCATGGTACTCCAGCCTTTGCTTGTTGTGGGCAGTCGATGGAAGAAGGGGGAATGAGAAGTCATTGGACTCGACACTCTTCCCTTGAAGTCGTCGTCCTCTGCGATGTCGGGGGATTTGAGGCCGGCTCCTTCCTCCAAGTCGCCTTCAATGACCTCGCCTCTGCTCTCAGCATCGTCCTTCTCCGTTCTTTCCTTCTCCTTGCTTTCCCTCTTGTTCCTCAGAGTCATACCCTTGATGAGACCACCTCCAATACCACGTGGGGCACCACTGGGGGTCGGACACTCTTGTCCGGCAACGACAACGATGTGGTAGGGATGGGCGTTTTCAACGGGCAAATGAGGAATCTCAGATGTAGCCGGTTGCGGCTTGTAGGGCGGGACCTGTCCAAGGAGCACAGAAAGATCACCTTTCGGCTACAAATGATCAGATGTGCGCATCACAGTGATTTGTAGAACATACCAAAGCGTCTCCCATGTTCCATGTGACCACCATTACTTTGATAGCCTCCCTCTGTGGTTTCGGAGGACTCAGTGTCAAAGCCACTCTAGGATCACCGTTCGGCGTCTCTGATCGCTTCCCTTCATCCGCTCCCTCCGCAACACCCGCTCCAGCCAAATCGCCCGCATCTCTATCGGTCTGTTCTGAAGCTCTACTCTCGCCGCCCCCGGGATCATGATGAGGTTCTAGGTGCTGTTCGTCTTTGGCGTGGAAGAGGGCATGCAATCTTGACCGCACTCGGCTCGAATCCTGGGCTGGGGCACAGCCATTGTTCGGGGGTTCCGAGGGAGTAGAGTCTTGTTGATGATGGGCGGAGTGCTTGTTGGCCAAGGAGAGTAATAGATTTCGGGCCATTTTCTACCCTCGGCGGCCTAGGTCGTTGTTTGTTTTGATCGTGATGGAGAGGACAGGACTATCAAGAGACGAGCACTGGACGGCGTGAAGAAGTTGTAGTCAGTGGTGCACAGCAGTTGTGGTAGAGTATAGGACACTTACAGAGTATCGCCCTGGACGGCGCGAGAGGATAGAGCAGCTGGACAGCAGATCTGAGCTGCCCGTTGCCCGTTGCCCTTGGGTTGGGCAGGGCTGCACCTTTGAGAGTGATACTTTGGGTATGCGATCCTGTGCTGACTGCTCAGGGGCGGTGAGGCATGGCGGTGGGGCTGTATAGAGAAATAGAGAGACAGAGTATCAATGCAAGAGCAGATACAATCGCGCTGTGAATTGATGATTCGACTTTGTTTATGACATCCGCGCCAGAAATCCATCTTGATCTATAACTCTCAATCTCGCTATCCCTTTGTCAACTGCTTCACCTCATTCACCTCCTCCCGGAGCTCCCCCATCTCTGTCCCATGTCGCCTCCCTCCACCTTCGAGCCGCCCCCTCTCCGGCCTCACTCGGCGCTCGAGCTGTACCTAGCCTCCGCGCTCATGTTCCTCATCTCTGCGCTAGCTGCCCTCTTAGCCGCTTCCTATGTGTACTGCCCTGCCCATGTAAGCTGCTCCGCTACTCTTACTGTCCTCTATGTGCTGATTGGCATAGATATGGTGGATACAGCCCCTATGCGAGGACACGCACTACAAGTATCTGGCGCCGCTGCTGGTACCCGTGACTGTGTGGTTTGCATTCGCCAACTGGTTTGGTTGGGAGTACTTCCGTTATGCGTAGATGGGGTCACTTGATTGGGGGTCTACCCGTATCAATCAAGGGGCTGTATGCTTCTGTCTTGGACAACGGACAACTCCTCAGCTAAGGTCACTACGGCATGATCTGGGAGGCTGCTGATGGAGGCTCGAGTGCGAGCTTCACACGAACCGCCGTTATACACCTTGCAGACGTTTGGGCGTATTCCCAAGGATGGGATTAAGGGTGGTATGCGGCTACATATAAAGTATGTGTCTTGGAAGCCAGACCATACTATACATGCCCTCATGGAGGTATAGGTATCTATGCACAGCGATCGTCCCAATCATGTAGGCACAATCAAAACGTGAAACACTAAAGAGAATATCGTATGAGATGTAAGAAAGTAAGATCCAAGAACAAGGAACCCAAGCCAACGAAACAGTCTTCACACCACAAATCACTTCAAGTTCCTCAGAGACCCTATCGCCGGGCTCTTCGCTCCATCTCTCCTATCTCTATGTCCCATCGCGCTCTTTGACCTCTCTCTCTCCCTCCTCTTTCCCGTAGAGAAGATGCTCTCGGCATCGCTCATAGCAGTTGGCGGACGTTGGGAGCGGATTGACCAACCTCGAAGGGACGGGGTCTCGGGACGGCTAGGTGTATGGGGGACATTGGGGTGGTTGTGGTGGTGATGCGGTTGTCCCACCAGGTGTTTACCATCACAGCATGCTATTCCAGAGTCAGCTCTGATTCAGAACCATAAGAAATTACTTACCCCGAACGTTTTCTAGCCCTTCAAATGAGGTATCCAAATCATCCCCGTCTCCTCTTGAGATCACATCAAACTCGTCATCTACTATAGGAGCACCCCTGTACGTCCCCTTGTATCTGTGTCCGCCGTGCAGAGTGTGCGGAACGTCGTTTCTCCGCATGTACTCGTGTGCAGCGGTCCCCTGCCTCTTACCCATCGTTGATGATGTCCGAGGGTGAACACCCAACGAAGTCTGAGGCCGGTGGGCTTTAGGAGTGATGTCGAGTGAATTGCGAACTGAGCCGAAAGATCGAAGAGACATTGGCGACTTGGGCATGGGGAGACGTCCCTGCTCGTCGGCTATTGTGCTCAAAGCAGATCGAGAGGTGGTGTTCTGGATAGCTGTCGTGTCGGCCAAAGCGGTGTCGGCATTGGCATCTTGTTTCTGCAGGAGGAATCCGAGTGCCTGCACCATGTCAATACATTTCGCAGCCAGAAACCAGAAAAAACTCACAGACATCCAGAGATCATGTCTCTCTTTTGTAGGCGCAGTGAATTGAATCTCTCGGTTCGGTGTAGCGATAATGATGCTCTTGTTGAACAAGCCAGGAGGCTGGATGTTGGCGTCTTCGATCACCTTGATGTTAGAGATGAAAACTGAGTGCAAGTTAGCATATACAAACTGTCTAGCCCGTTATGCGACGTACCACTCTTGGCTGAGCTTTCTGTGGCCCTGCTGCTTCCAGGATCTTCCGAGCTCCAGTACAGAGTCTTGGTGTACGGATGCACCCAGAAGAACCTCCTGTGTCGGTTGCTACTCTGCCCCTTACCGACAGTTCTCCTAGTGTACTTGTACAGGTACTCTCCAATCATCGTCTGTGTAATGGCATGGATCGTCTGAGGATCAGTCGATCCGTGAGCAGGCTGTTGAGCCTGGCCGTTGGGAACCGTACCAGCAAAGCTATCGAACGACGAAATGGAGGGGTTTCGGTCAAACTCGGCAAACTGGTCGTGCCCAGTGACACTCGAGTTGTTCGACGCGTAGCCGTTGGAAGCGATAGTGTTCCCAGTACGTCTTCTCAAGCTTCGTGCCTTGTCATCCTTAACGGGGGTAGGCACAGCCAAAGAGGTAGGCTTGAAGCTGCTCCTAGAAGGCTGACGAGTGGTAGAAGCAGGTGGAGGCATGTCATTGTGGGCAGCTCGGATAGCAGCAGCAGCTGATGAAGGGGCGTTGCGAGAAGCTCGTCTGCCAGTAGACTGGAAGGTGGGGCTAGTAGCTCGAGCAAGGAAGTCCTCGGGGGGAGGGGAGGTGGGCCGGGGAGGTGGGCCCATTGACATCTTCTTTCCGACACCGGCGGGAGGAGGTCCGCTTGGTGGGGGAGGAAGGTTCATTGTGGGAGGTCGCGACCTATCGGGAGGAAGAGACCCAGCAGGCGAGGGAGGAGGCATGTCGTCGCTGGTGTCTGCGCCCTTGGGCGTACCCTTGGATCCATCGGCCACGGCTGAGAGGTTCTCATTAGAGACGCGGCGGCTGTTTCGCAATGATCCGGGAGCGGGAGGAGCTTTGAGGAAGTCATAGTTGGTACCGGCAGCGACTCGGAAAAGACCAATGTCGGGGTTTGGAGAGAGGGGCGAAGGAAGGGCAGAGGCGAGGGGATCGGTCTGGGAGGCAGAATCGACAGAGCGGTTCGCCGCGGCGGGGACCTCGACAATCTTTTCGACAATCTTTTCCACGGTGATGTATTTTTCCACCGGTACCTCGACCCGCTTCTCGACAATCTTTTCCACCGGGACTTCGACAATCTTCTCGACGATTCGTTCCACGGGGACCTCCCTGTCGACAATGACCTCGACGGGCACCTCGACCCTCTTCTCCACTTCCACAATCTTCTCCACAATCCTTTCGACTTCGATAGGGACCTGAACAATCTTTTCGACCTCGACTGGAACCTCGACGATCCTTTCAACCTCCAATGGCACCTCCACGATTCTTTCGACGATCTTTTCGACCTCGACAGGTACTTCCACAATCTTTTCGACGATCTTTTCGACTTCGAAGGGAACCTCTACCCTCTTTTCCACCTCCACAATCTTCTCCACGATCCTTTCAACTTCCACAATCTTTTCCACCTCGATAGGAATCTCCACCCTCTTTTCTACGACGACCTCCACAATCTTCTCCACAATCCTGTCGATGGGGACCTCTTTGATGACCTCCACAATCTTTTCAACAGGAACTTCCTTGACGACTTCGACAATCTTTTCGACAGGAACTTCCTTGATGACTTCAACAGGCACCTCAACAATTCTGTCGACGGGTACCTCCTTGACGACTTCGACAATCTTCTCCACCACCTTTTCGACGATTTTCTCGACTTCAACGATGGTGGGGATTTCGACGATTCGTTCGACAAGCTTTTCGATTTCGACGACCTTTTCGACATCGACGTTGACGGGCTTTTCGACGATTCTTTCGACAATCTTCTCCACCTCAACTTCCTTGATGACCTCCTTGATGACTTCCACAATCTTCTCCACCTCCACGGGCACCTCCACAATCTTCTCTACGATCTTCTCCACCTCTACGGGCACTTCTACCCGCTTCTCAACGATCTTCTCAACCTCAACAATCTTCTCAACTTCTCGGTCGACAGGTTTTTCGATCTCGACAATCTTTTCAACCTCGACAGTCTTGATGACTTCGACAGGTAATTCGACGATCTTCTCCACAATCTTTTCGACCTCAACGACCTTTTCGACGGGAACTTCGATTATCTTTTCCACAATCTTCTCGACCTGGACTTCGACAATCTTTTCGACCTCGACTGGGATTTCGACGCGCTTTTCGATTTCGACAATCTTTTCGACTGGGACCTCCACAATCTTTTCGACAATCTTTTCGACTTCGAAAGGTACCTCGACAATCTTTTCGACCTCGACTGGGATCTCGACCCGCTTTTCGATCTCGACAATCTTCTCGACTGGGATCTCGATGATCTTTTCGACAATCTTTTCGACTTCGACTGGGATCTCGACGCGCTTTTCGATTTCGACAATCTTCTCGACTGGGACCTCGACAATCTTTTCGACCTCGACGGGCACTTCGATGCGCTTTTCGACCTCCACAATCTTTTCCACGGGTACCTCTACAGTCTTCTCCACGATCCTGTCAACGGGAATCTCGACTATCTTTTCAACCTCGACGATTTTATCGACGGGCACTTCGACAATCTTTTCGACGATCCGGTCAACAGGAACTTCCACCCGCTTTTCCACTTCGACAATCTTCTCCACCTCCACGATTCTCTCCACAATCTTCTCCACTGGCACTTCCACCCTCTCCACAATCTTGTCCCTGCTGGCCAGCTTGTGAGCTTGCTTGGCTGCAGTCCATCCACCCGCAAGTCCAAGACCAAGAGACGTGGAAGACAGCTTGTGGCCGCGCATAGTATGCTCTGGCTCTGGCTGGTCGTCGTCCGCATCACTGTCCTCGGCGTCGTTCCACTCGCGGCCAGTTTGGTAAGCCTCGGTGTCGGTAGGAAGTTCAGAATGGGATCGGTTGGGGGTGGTAGCGCCGACCGTTTCAGCTGCAGACTCGTATGCGTCGGCATCGGTATCGGTGGCAGTAGACATGCCATCGTCGACAGAGTTGGATCGAGGGAAGACTTGTTGGAGTCTACTAGGCATAGGGAGGGCCACAGTGTTCTTTGTGGGCGTCGTCTCGCCAGCAGAAGCAGCATCCGAGTTGGCGGGGGCAGCAGGGAGACCTCGGAGTGTAGAGTCGTTGAAGGCAGACCGAGTAGGAGTCTGCAATTCTTTGGGTGTACCGGGAGGAGGGGTGGTGGCAGCAGGACTGGTCATGGTTGGCTTTTCTGGAGTCCAGTCGTCGACGTCGTCGGATACTTCTGCATGGCCGCTTCCAGGACCAAATTCATCAGAAAGTGCGATCTGGCCAAAGTCACCACCGCCGAGGTTTTCGGAAGACGCGACGGAGGGTGACATTGAACGGAGCCTGTCGCGGGAGTTGGTTCCGAGCACGTTGCCCAAAGACTCGCCTCCCAGCACAGATGGGGCGGGACTAGCAGACAAGCCACGGTTGCGCAAAAGGTCGGGAGTACCAGAGCTGGTGGAATCAAAGCTCTTGTCGCCAGCGCCAGGGGTGGTCATGCCGGAAGGAGCGCGGTTAAAGCCAAACTTGCGGCCAATAGTAGCAGCAAAGCCCTTGCCTCGTCCTCCGCGCCTACCTCGAGAGCCGCGGCCACGAGTGCTGGCAGCCCCGATCGTTTGCTCA